TAGATGCAATTTCAGGTAGGGCTGGAAAGCCAGTAGCAATCTGTGTGTGCAGTACGGAGCTAGTTGGAAAACAAAGAGGTAACAAACTCCTTGCCCGCGCCAGTCAGGAGTGCAGAACCACCATCACCCGTCCACACCCGACACCCTCACAATTCTGTTCCTGGAAGGCTTTTTCCTTAGCTGAGATCTGATGCCAGACTTGCAACTTTGCAAAAAGCACTTGGGGAGAGGGGCTGCCAAATTCAGCACCAACGGTGAGGAGGGACGTCTGCTGTTATTCAAAGTTGATTCCCCCCCCCCAAAAAAAACCCTGTGGTATTAACACCAGGGCCCCATAGGGGAGGGGAAAATAAAGCTAGCTTTCTGTTTCAGCCCAATATGGTGTTCAGGCTTTCTGCACGCACCACAGGGTGTCAAAGTGAAGCCTTACTAACTTGACCATTTACCAGATATTTGAGGCACAGACCTTCCAGTTCTGCCCCCCACCCCAATTCCATAGGAATCCTCCCCTTTCATTCTGCAGCTGCAGCAGAGTGTAGAAGGAACTGAGTTTTGAATTGCCATTCAAAGTTTGTTTTTAGAAAGGTTTTCATTGTTTTCCTCTTGGATTCAACGAGGTCTCGAGGACCACCAGAAAGGAACCACCAGCTGCCCTGGCCACTTTACAGAAGAATGCATCAATTCCAAGCTTCGTTCCATGAGTCCTTTGGAACCATTTGCTCTGAAAGTGCTTTCTGCAGCAAGGCCTGCTCACTTATTCTGCCACTCAGCGATCTGGATTATCTAAATCAGTACCTTTCAGTCTTTTCATCCCAACCTACAGCATGAGACTGACTTAATACTGTAAACTGCCCAGTGATCTTTGGATGAAGGGTGGCATATAAATTTAATAAATAATAATACTTTTTAAACTCTCTCACCCCAGCTTTCGCTTCCTTTGTTTTCTCCAGCATCTCATCTCTTACCTTTCCCGCCCCGACCTGGCCACAGTGATCCATGCGACGGTCACCTCCAGGCATGACTACTGTAATTCGCTCTAGGCGGGGCTACCCTTGAAGCTGTCCCAGAAACTCCAGCGGGTGCAGAATGCTGCAGCGAGGCTCCTCACGGGGTCTCTGCCATGGGAGCATATTCACCCAGTGCTTTTCAAGCTGCACTGGCTCCCGGTGGAGTACAGGGTCAGATTTAAGGTGCTGCTTTTGACCTTTAAAGCCCTTCACGGCCTAGGACCCTCGTATCTACGGGACCGCCTCTCCCGGTATGCCCCATGGAGGACCTCAAGGTCCATAAATAGCAACACCCTAGAGGTCCTAGGCCCTAAGGAAGTAAGATTGGCTTTAACCAGAGCCAGGGCCTTTTCAACTGGTGGAACGCCTGGTGGAACGCTCTGCCTCATGAGACCAGGGCCCTGCAGGATCTGATTTCTTTCCGCAGGGCCTGTTAAGACAGAGTTGTTCCGCCTGGCCTTTGGCTTGGAGCCAATTTGATTCCCTCCCTCTCTCTTTTTTTCTTTTCCTTCTCCTCCTGTGATGAGGCTACATTTTAATATTTTAATGTTTCAATATTTTAATGTTGTATTCTAATTTTGTTTTTAAGTTGTAATCATTGAACTTGTTTTTATTATTGCTTGTAAGCCGCTCTGAGCCCGGCCTTGGCTGGGGAGGGCGGGGTATAAATAAAAATTATTATATATTATTATAACGTGGACCCTCCAAACTTCCTTTTATCCAAAGCTAGCATACAGCTATGGCACAGTTGTAGCCCCAAGCCAGTTTTCTCTGCTTCTGACCCACAAATGTTTTAATTTTATCATCATTTATAAATAGATGTTCTGTTAGTAAGAAGAGAAAATCCAAGGCTACACTGTGACCTTTCATCAAGCAGAAATTGCTTTGCTAAATAAAGCCGAGGAGTGTGGGTCTTGCCACGTTGCTTGTCTGGATGGGAGATGCAACAGAACACATATTAGAGTGCTGTATTCAGCAGTAATTTCGGATTAAAGTTTGAGGTCTGTCGTGCAAAGTTAACAAGACACGGACATGCGAATCCTCTCTTTTTGCATGGTTAGCTACCAACTAAGACCAATTTTACCTCATCAGCCAACTCACACTGGACTTGGTTTTCTCAAAAGGGCAGGAAAGAGGCTGAATTGAGGGCAGGGTATTTTTAGCACTCATCACGGCCAGAGATTTTAGTTGTCAGCAGCTTTTCCCTTCTGCAGAGGTGGGAGAACTACCTGCAGAGGCTGATGGATCGCATTGATTTTCAGATGGCACTAGGGGGCTTTGTGGCCTGGCAACTGACATGGTCATTCCAGAGCAGTATTCAGGTGGCTCCTGTATGCTGAGAATACAGCTTGAATGCAGGAAGAGGAAAGCTTGAATACAAGCAAACATTAGTACATGCTGATAGTCTACTCAGTGGTAGTGAAGGCTGCAAAGAAAACTTTCTTAACTAAATGCCAGGCAGGTGAACTTTTCCAGGTGGTTCAGAGTCTTTTATCTCCTGGCCCAAACGAGTCTGTGGAACCCCCAGCAGCCTGCTGTGACTCATTTGCACGGCATTTTGAGGATAAAATCTCTTGCATCTGCCAGGCCCACTGTTGCAGCCAATCCATCTCACAAGGCATCCAGACTACTGTCTGGTTCAGGGTTATTGGACGAGTCTCGGTTGGCAGGTTCAAAGATGTGGACAATGTACTTGGATTGGTGTGTGAGCAACCACTTGCATACTTGACCCTTGCTCTCCATGACAGGTAAGATGTAGCATGGACAAATGGCTGGACCACGGTGTGTGTAATTAATGGCAGTAAGACAACTTCTTAAGAAATATTCCCCAGGCCCAGAATGTCTTAATAATTGTAGACTGGTCAAGCATCTCCTTTCCAGGAGGTGTTCCAGAGCAGGTGGTCACTGAACAAATCCAGGCACTATTGGCTAAGACTGATTTTCTGGATCTACTTAAATTGGGCACTGCCCTGCTATTATTTGCTACCATCTCCTCCTTTTTCTGGGTGCCTTCAACTTCAGCATTGGTTTTTCAAGCACTCGTAACATGTCTCCTCCCACTGAAATGCAGCTCACATCAGCACCAATTTTAAAAAGCTTAAAAAAAGGAGTGAGGAAATATGCTGCAAAAAGTGGGATCTGAAGTAGGGATCTGGTACGAAATCACGTCTTGAGTCTGGAAAGGTTGATGACTACTTTCTTACAGGGTGGCTTTGCCATAAGAGACATACTTTGGAGCCATCTTTTCCGCACACATATACTCCCTTCTGTGGCTGGGGTTTCTTCTGCATATAGTGATGGTGCTTTAAAAAGTGTTTGATGACACCCGTGGAATTGGTGAAGTTGTGAGCCAACATTTTAAAATGGCATCTTTTACACTGCTCTTCAAATTCGCCTAAAAACTCAACCTCTGGTTTTCTGGTTCTTCCCCAAATTCTTGGTTTTAAGGCTAAAATATTTAGCCAAACTACATCCATAAAACATCATGTACACGGATAAACACACAGCGCAGACAGTTCTCTAGACCCAAACAACGAAGGAATTGAGTGGCAAGACCAAAACACATTAGGTATTGTGTCTGCGGTGTCCTTGCTCTTGCGATAACAACCTTCCTGCCAAGGACTGGCATCTTAAGTGTTCTGCCATTATTCCTGGATTACCCTGTGCTGCCCCCTGCTGCTCCACCTTAGTTATTAAAATGTTATCAGCACATCCCTAGTAGAGCTACGCCACATGGCTTGCTGTATTGCATTTACCGTATTTTTCGCCCTATAAGACGCACTTTTCCCCCTCCAAAAATGAAGGGGAAATGTGTGTGCGTCTTATGGGGCGAATGCAGGCTCCTTGGCTTCAGCGATAGCAACGCGAAGCCTCCGAAGCCTGCGCTCCGGAGGCTTTGCGTTGCTTCTGCTGAAGCCAGGAGAGTCTGCTCTTTGAGACTGGCGGTGGGGGAAAGCAGCGCTTCCCCCATGGCCAGCCCCAGAGGATGGGGGGCAGCGGGAAGGCGCGCGACGCCTTCCCGCTACTCTCCAACCCAGCTTTGAGGCTGGCGGTGGGGAAAGCAGCGCTTCCCCCATCGCCAGCCCCAGAGGATGGGGGGCAGCGGGAAGGCGTGCAATGCCTTCCCGCTACTCTCCAACCCTCCTGCGGGCTTTTGCGGGAGATGGGGGAATTCCCCCACCTCCCACAAAAGCAGGCAAAAGCCGCACGCTCTTTAAAGGAGCTCCGCGGCTTCTGCTGGCTTTTCTAGGAGGTGGGGGAATTCCCCCACCTCGTAGAAAAGCCCGTAGGAGCCGCGCAGCCTTTAAAGAGCGCGCCACTCTTGGGGGCTTTTCCCCGAGGAGGGAGAAGGGACTGACTGGCCATTTCAGTCCCTTTTCCCTCCTGGTCGAAAAGCCCGTAGGAGTCGCGCACGGCTCCTGTGGGCTTTTGCGGGAGGTGGGGGAATTCCGCCACCTCCCGCAAAAGCAGGGAGAAGGTCTTGGAGTAGCGCACAGGCTGCGTGCAGCCTGTCCGCTGCTCCCAGAGCTGCGGGGGGGAAATCATATTTTTTTCCTTGATTCCCCCCCCCCCCGAAAACTAGGTGCATCCTATGGGCTGGTGCATCCAATAGGGCGAAAAATACGGTACTCAGCTGATACTGGAAACCAACCATTCATTTCTGGAATGCAGAATGAGCGGCAAGGATACCAGACTTTTGCCTCTACCAGTGTTTTTAAACTTGTTACATTCAGCGATAAAGCAGATGTATCTAAAGCAGAGAAGTCAAAGTGCAAATCTATCTGATTCAGGAAATATGAAGTGAGATTCCTATTAAATTAATCCTCACTGCTTGCTGTTTCATGTTAGAAATAGTAACCAGAATTAGAGAAGTACAATATCCCCCAAGCCCAAAAGGCCGGCTGAGCTAATGACACTAAGAGTTATGCAATTACCTCCTTCACATTGGAGATAGAGCCCAGTGGAAAACACCACAAATATAAGGAATTATATGGTCTCAACATCTGGTCTTTGATTTCAATTTTCATGTGAACACATTTCAAGTACGCAGGGACAATAAGGAAGTTATAAGGTGTGTATAAAAGCTGACAGTTGAGTTCAACAGGTTCTACTGCAAGTAACAAAGAAAATTCATAACCCAATTTTACAAGTTATAGCCACTTAGCAGTAAATTTAATATTGATGTTGACAGATGTCATTTTAGCGGTGCAGTCCACTGCCAGCAACAGACCCACCAAAATTATAAGCGTCATGGAACTTACACGGTACAAGAAGTAAATATGAAAACCATTTATATTTTAAAAATAAAACGTAAGGAAACTCTTGTAAAATGATTCCCATACAACACCCCCCCATAAAACCTGAAATACCCCCTTATTAAAAATGTGTTTGCAGATGCTTAGCCGGAGCATAAATATCTAGAACAATGCACATGGATAGTCAATGAAAGTTATCCCATCAGACATTTTTATCACTAAGGTCAACATTATCTTTGCTTTCTATATTTTTGGTGCTCTCATTTTTGACGCTGGAAGAAAGGCTTTCTACTAGCTTAGCTTCTATGGGTTCCATTGCAGGTTGCCCATTCAGTTCATCTTTAATTTGTTCAGGTAACTGACTGTGTTCCTTAGCTTTGCATCCCAAGTCCATTTCTTCCACCACCTGCCCTGCGGTGTCTATGGCTGTTTTACCTTCTGCATCTTCTTCTTCTGTTTTACGTTCTACATCTTCTTCTTTTCTCTTTGCTTTGAACACCTCAACCCCCATCATTCTCAGGTAATGCAACCTCTCATTCTTGGCCACGAAGGCACGAAGGGAAGTCTTGCCCAGCCAGCCACAAAGCACAATGGAACACTGAAGACTATCTGGCTTGCTGCAAAAACAAGAGATCACCAGCATTAAAAATATACATACAGTATATTGAAAATTACCGTATTTTTTGCACCATAATACTCACTTTTTTCCTCCTAAAAAGTAAGGGGAAATGTCTGTGTGTGTTATGCAGGGAATGCCTACGGGTGGCATGCCTACGGATTTTCCTCCTCTTAAAACTACGTGCGTGTTATGGTCGGGTGCGTGTTTTAGAGCGAAAAATACGGTAATTCAGTGACACAAACAGTTTCTGTAGGCTACTGCTTTCTCGGTTAATAGTAAATTCCGCTGCCACGTCAATGAGATGTATTAGTAGTTTTAAACAATACTGCTGGCTGGTTTTTAAAGTACTTTAATCAGAGCGGTGGCACAGCTCAGTGGTAGACCACATGTTTTGCCATGGAGATGATCACAGGTCAAAATCTCAGCACTTCCAGTTAAAAAGGATTTGTGGCAACAACAATGGGAAAACTCTCTCCCTGGGATCTTGGAGAACATCTGCCAGTCAGAGCAAGGTATATAGAGCTAGATGGTCCAGTGGCCTGACCCGGTACAATGTGTGTTATTTTAAATGTAGTTTTCCCCCCTGCTTGCATACTCCTTTAATTAATTGCCTTCAAGGCTAAAAGGGGAGGATGAAAATAAATAAATGGAAGGAAACAGCTAAGGAAGTTGAAAGCCGAAGGAAAAGACTGCCAAGAGGTAAAGTCAGACGTGAGGGACGCGGGTGGCGCTGTGGGTTAAACCACAGAGCCTAGGACTTGCCGATCAGAAGGTCAGCGGTTCGAATCCCCGCGACGGGGTGAGCTCCCGTTGCTTCTGCCAACCTAGCAGTTTGAAAGCACGTCAAAGTGCAAGTAGATAAATAGGTACCGCTCTGGTGGGAAGGTAAACGGTGTTTCCGTGCGCTACTCTGGTTCGCCAGAAGCGGCTTAGTCATGCTGGCCACATGACCCGGAAGCTGTACGCCGGCTCCCTCGGCCAATAAAGCGAGATGAGCGCCACAACCCCAGAGTCGGCCACGACTGGACCTAATGGTCAGGGGTCCCTTTACCTTTACCTAAAGTCAGACGTGAAAGTAAGAAGAGCGATGAAAGAGCTCCTGCCCTGGGTAAAGGCAGGGAATGAACTGGGAAAGAGCCTCCAGGAAGAGGCTGCATTGTAAAGGTTTGGTCAAATACTCCTTGCCTTCCTAAGTGGTGGGAGCATCAACCAGAATTACTAGACGCCTCATTGGGAAATCACATGGTCTGTTATATTTCAACTTTTAAAAAAAGATTTAGGTGTTTGCTGATGGTTTTGTAAAATTCTTTAGAGAAACGGGAAAACGGAGGAGGCAGATGACCAGGTCCTCCCTTCTGTCCTTTAAAGCAGAGCTTTCCAAACTCTTCATTTCACAACACAGTAATTCAGTTTTATTAGCAAACTGGAGATGACACTAACCCCTTTCCAGCCCCGGGATGGGGAGCGTTCGCAAGACTACCTACGCACTGCAGCCGACACACCAACGTGTTGCAACACACGTGGAAAGCTCTGCTTTAAAGGTACAATAGCTCTGAGATGTGGCCTTCACAGGTTTTATTAGAGTTAAGAAGACAGGGGCATAAAGGCTTCAGTTTCCCCAAAGCGCAGTTAGCTGCTGCCATACAGAAGCAGCTGCTGTTTGTTGCATGCTTTTATTTCCACCGATTTCAATGGAAGGAACGTTAACCTGAAATCAGTCAAACTTAGAAGTGCGTCTGTATGTGCACATGTGCGCACACACAATGAAACAGTGCAGTTACTTACGTTGGATCTGGCTCATACTGCAGGACTATGCTTCCCATAGCTGCAAAAAAGAGCATATGCTTTATTAGACAACATCAGGACCTGCTCCAATCTCACCCCATGCCACCATCTATTTAATGGGAACAGAATGAGGAACCAGCCAAAGACAACATCTGGATTCAACCAGTTGGATTCAAGTTAAGATGGGACTATGGTGTCCCACTGTTTTCAATGGGAACTAAGTGCAACTAACTTAGCGAAGCTGATTGCGCTGGCCACTCGGTCAGTGCCTGAGGGCTACCACCTTGTTGAAGCTAAGCAGGCCTGGATCTAGTTAGGGGCTGGATGGGTGACCAATCACATGCTTGGGAATCACTGCCATGGGTTCCATAATGGCAAAAAGGCCATAAACATAAGAAAGTACAAATAAAGGAAATAGAATGGGCTTGATCCAGACCAAGCATAAGTCCTACTACACACCTGAAGCTTGTGTACTCTTGATATTCAGTCTGTGTTGATTGATAAGTAATTGCTTATTAGAAAGCTCTGTTCTTCAAAGTTAAAATTAGGGAGTAACTATTACTACTATTACTACTACTCTCAGGGGACGTGGGTGGCGCTGTGGGTTAAACCACAGAGCCTAGGACTTGCCGATCAGAAGGTCGGCGGTTTGAATCCCCGCAACGGGGTGAGCTCCTGTTGCTCGGTCCCTGCTCCTGCCAACCTAGCAGTTTGAAAGCGCGTCAAAGTGCAAGTAGATAAATAGGTACCACTCCGGCCGGCGGGAAGGTAAACAGCGTTTCTGTGTGCTGCTCTGGTTCGCCAGAAGCGGCTTAGTCATGCTGGCCACATGACCCGGAAGCTGTACGCCGGCTCCCTCGGCCAGTAAAGCGAGATAAGCGCCGCAACCCCAGAGTCATCCGCACCTGGACCTTATTACTGCTATTAGGGAGTAACTATTACTACTATTACTATGGAGCTCAAGGTAAGCTGAACAGCAGTCAGAGCTTAATAATTAGTATATTTCCTTCTGTACATGATGCTTTTTACCACTGTGAGAAAAGAATGAACCAGGATTGGAAATCCTCAGAAGTGAATACTTACCCATTGCTTTGACTTGATTGCGCACCTCATTACTAAGTTTACTTAAGAATGGGTTTTCTTCTGTCAGCAGCACTTTAACATCTTCTATGCTGGCATTTACAATCCTTGCATTAATGAAGGGATACAGTGTATATATCCCCTGGATGTAAAACAGAAAACCTATTTTAAAAATGCAGTCCTTGCTTTCTTACTATAGGCTTGGTCATTTTACTGGTCCAACACAACAACAACACAACAACCCACCAGCACCAATAAACACCCCCTTTAAATGCATGTTTTTAGTACCATTATATCTAAATATTTTTGGACCATTATATCTAAATAAAAAAATAGTCAATTCATTCTTCCTCCCTCCACCCCCAAATCAGTTCATTGTTGTGAAAGAAAACTTGCACTGAACTGATAATCTCTTCCTGGTCAATTGAATGTTAAAACATATGAAAGCAGAATATAGCCAAAATTTTCAGCCCCTGCACTTTGAGTATAACAGTATCAGGGAGGTAATGCACATTTGTCAGGTTCCAATTTTATGGGATAGGAAAAAATACAAGGGAAAGCCTATACTATACATGTGGAGACCTACAATGGAACTACAGAAATGTTCATAAGCCTGTCAGGAAAAAAACCTTTACGACAGAAAACCCGTCCTCAAAAGGGACAAAAATACACAGTGCACCCAACAACAGATTAATAAATTTAAGCACAAGAGAGTTGGATCCAGAGTCTTCTCCCAAGTAAAGGCAAACAAGCAAAAACCAAAACCATTTTTGGAAGCAACCGTGCTTTTGCCTTTAAGTACTAGAAGCAGCTTACATCCCACCTGTGGACAACTTACACTCAGGGGGAAATATAAGCCCTTATCCTATTGGTATTTTAAGCTTTACTTTTGAATTGTCACAAGCTGTAGCCCTTGCATTTCACAGCCACTTAGCTGAACAGATCACAATTTTTTTCTCTATAAATACACAGGTATGAGAGAGAGGTCTGCCAATTAATTGTCATGAACCTTATGCAATGAAGTTGGCTGCAAAAGCAAACACCGAAATAAACTTGTCTTTAACCACAAAAAGACTCTTTGTTTCAAGGCATAGCATAAATAAAATACTTTCACAGCATAACTGTAGTGCGTTCATTGTTACCTCTTGCGCTAATCTGAAGGCACAGCCAAACTGTTCCCCATCGCTATTGCGGGACCACACTTTTATCCCTGTGTTAATCACCTAAAAACAGGGTTGAAAAGAAAGCGAGAAACAGTATTAACATATTTAAGCATTCCAACATGGAATAGGGCTTCGGAAGTGGCTTGGCAGGCATCAGTATCGGTAAAAATACATAGCCTATTTTTCTTGACAGGGAAAGGCACTGAGTGGAAATATAGGCATCTTACATGGTCTACTCTGAATTTCACAAAATATGTAGAAAGACAAAGAAGGGGATAATTGATTCCTAATAAGGACCCCAAGTTGGGAAGAGTTTACCTCAGCCTTTCATAAAGGGGCAGTAACTGAGAGCTTTTATGGAGGTTTAGGTGCCCAAGTTGGGGGGCGGGGAGCAAGAGGACGAAGGGAACTGGAAACAAGTGACTGTCCTCACCAGAGGAATCTGCTTCCTTTCTTCATTTTCCTCAGCAATGGGACATTCTAGGCACAATTTACACTTTTAAAGCACTCTTTTCTCCTATGGTTGTCAACGTGGCATTTCCGGTCTTGAAAGAAGCTAGCTGCTGAGTTTGCTTATTCACTGACACTTGAACTGTTAGGGAAAGACTGTGCTCCACCGGGACCAAGTTAAACGTCATGGTGGGAGACAGCTTTGACAGACAGAAAGAGAAGTGCAGCCATGATGGATCATCAGACAAAAGGCCGAACTGGTCCAGCATTCTTCTCATACTGGCCAAACAGATGCCCATGGGAGCCCCACAGACAGGACAGGAGTGAATAGCATTCTGCAGCTTCTGATCCCCAGCAATCAGAGGTTATCACCATCCCTACCCCCCAGGACTGGGACGCAGGTGGTGCTGTGGTTTAACCACAGAGACTAGGGCTTGCCGATCGGAAGGTCGGCGGTTCGAATCCCCGCGACGGGGTGAGCTCCCGTTGTTCGGTCCCAGCTCCTGCCAACCTAGCAATTCAAAAGCACAGAGTGCAAGTAGATAAATAGGTACCACTCCAGTGGGAAGGTAAACGGTGTTTCCGTGCACTGCTCTGGTTTTGCCAGAAGCGGCTTAGTCATGCTGGCCACATGACCCGGAAAAACTGTCTGCAGACAAACACCGGCTCCCTCGGCCAGTAAAGCGAGATGAGCGCCGCAACTCCAGTCTCGTTCTCAACTGGACTTAACTGTCAGGGGTCCTTTACCTTTTTACCTGCGGGACTATTGTTTATTTCGACTTTCTTGCTGAGACAAGAAATACAAGTCAAACCTTCAGCTTTTCACTGTTGTTCAGGAGTACATTCCTGATTTCCTTGGAAACCATGTATAACTGCCTTTTCTTCCCTTCCTGAGTACGAGTTAACAAATTCATCTTGGGAAAGGAAGGATCCAATGCATAAAAGGTTCTAATAAACAAACAAACATATTCAAGTTTTATTATTCTGTAGTTCTTACTATATTGTTGATGTTTAAGCTGTATTTTTGGTATTTTCTGGAAAGATAAACATAAATATTGACGTTCATAGCACCTGTGAACCTTTAACTTGAGATGCTGAATTGATTATTATTATTTAACTCAACGTACATTATGAAGGCTTAAAGCAAGTTAATATCGGGCCAATAATATACGTAGACCACACATCAGTGATATTTGAATAGACGTGCAACAATTCTGCTGAAATATATACTGGATGGAGACTGAATAATCCTTTCCTGCAGAATAAGGCAACTTCTTGAGGATTTGAGACATAATTTCTTTTTTCAAACGAACAGAACAGAAGGAATGGATTAACAGTTTAGAAAAGATTTAATGTGCACATGAGATGAATATAAATAAGGCAGCTTCTCTTCAAAAGAAAAAAAGCAATATGCAGAGAGAGTAATAAAAAACCAAGATGTCAGAAAAAGTACTGTGCATAAAAGATGCAAAAACGTAAGCTAAAAATAGCCAGGAACTAAGTTGAAATTATTAGACGCTCACGACAACAGCAAAACCTTTGCTATACTGTGTGAGACAGCAAGACAAGTTCAGAGTGAGACAGCAAGTTTCCCTACAGCTACGTGTACAATGCAACCCCAAGTTGTCCAGCTTTTTTGCTGCACAGTGCTCTTTTGAAAGACGTGTTGTCTGCACACCGAACCACAAGAGTGGGCTTCTTTCTTAATTTCTTGTAGGCTTTAGCTTACTGAAAGGGAACCTGTGACCCACAAGCCTAAATTGGTTTGTGGTGGAGAGGCATATTTGGGCTAATACATTTAGCACACTGAATCTGTGCTTTCTCCAAGTAGACAGAAAGTAAAATAATGTCAATAGAACCCCTGACTTGAAAATCAAAAAGATGGACTGACTGACATGTCACACCATAAATTTAACTTTGAACTGTTGTCTACTCAATGAAACGTCTATGATAATTTGTATTATTTAAAATTTTTATTAATATAAAATAGTGAAGTGAGGATCACATATTTACGAAAGGAACCTGCAGATTTAAAAATGGCTTGGTCGTTTCATTTCTTCTCATGATCCTGTTGTCTGGATCCAAAAACCAGTGACGGTAGGAGAAAATGCAATAGCAGTATTCTGTGAAATCTTCTGGAAGCCAGCAGTATAGCACCACAACATTACCAAGAGGTTATTGTGCAGGATGTGAAATGTGCTGAATAAGTAAAATAAATGCAGGTTGTTATGTAGCATATACTTATGTTGTATGAAAAATGAAACGTATTTTCTTACTGAATTGGTGAAAATAGTGAATCGTCTTCAGAAAGAAACACAAACGGATCTTCTTTAAATCCAAAAAGCTTCATTTTTTTAGACGGTGGAGGCCTGGAAGTAACAGATTTATCCAGGGTCAACAGTTTATGGATGGACTGGCAAAAATTATGGTCAAATTCTGCTCCACCAAAGAAGCTCCCCACCACTACTAGGAGAGCCTGCCATTTTTGGGTAGGCGGTTTTGGCTGCTCAGAGAGAAGGCTGGTTTGGCAGTGAGGGATGCCAGTGCCAGCATCCTCCCCCCATCATCCCTCTCAACTTTAGAGCTGGAAAGGGAGCAGAGATCACCACACAACTGCTGAGATTATCTCTGCCCACCTCTGCAGTTTTTAAGTAGAGAGGAGGGCCAAACTCCCCAGGTCGAAACCTGGATATATCAAAGTTGAGCAGTACAGGAAGAATTTTAACAGATTTCTGTACAGTGGTACCTCAGGTTACATACGCTTCAGGTTAATGACTCCGCTAACCCAGAAATAGTGCTTCAGGTTAAGAACTTTGCTTCAGGATAAGAACAGAAATCGTGCAGTGGCGGCGCAGTGGCAGCAGGAGGCCCCATTAGCTAAAGTGGTACTTCAGGTTAAGAACAGTTTCAGGTTAAGAACGGACCTCCAGAACGAATTAAGTACTTAACCTGAGGTACCACTGTATTTTGCTTAGAGTGAGAACTGCCAGAAATATATTTTAAAAGGCTGGTTCAACAGCAGTTCTAGAATCCTCTCCTGGGAAAGCTCAGTTGGTAGAGCATGAGTCTCTTAATATCAGAGTCATGAGTTGGAGCCCCACGCTGGGCAAGAGATTCCTGCACTGAGGGGGATTGGCCTAGATGATGCTCACTGTCCGTTCCAACTCTACAATTCTTTGATTCTGTGATATTCACTAATGCAGAAAAGCATAACCACGTAATACTACTACTCTAGTATGTGGGAGTTCAGTGTTCAAAGTATTCCATATATATTCTCAGCCATCCTTAAAACAGCACAGTAAACTAGTCCACTATTACCATTATAACACTAGCTGAAGAAGTGTGCATGCACATGAAAGCTCATACCAATAACAAACTTAGTTGGTCTCTAAGGTACTACTGGAAGGAATTTTTTTTACATTTTAACACAGTGGTTGGGGTTGGGAGGAATATTGCTTATAGCCAGCTAGGATGCGGGTGGTGCTGTGGGTTAAACCACAGAGCCTAGGACTTGCCGATCAGAAGGTCGGTGGTTCGAATCCCCACGACGGCTTGAGCTCCCATTGCTCGGTCCCTGCTCCTGCCAACCTAGCAGTTCAAAAGCACGTCAAAGTGCAAGTAGATAAATAGGTACCACTCCGGCGGGAAGGTAAACGGCGTTTCCGTGCGCTGCTCTGGTTCGCTAGAAGCGGCTTAGTCATGCTGGGCACATGACTCGGAAGCTGTACACCGGCTCACCTTGGCCAGTAAAACGAGATGAGCACCGCAACCCCAGAGTCGGCCACGACTGGACCTAATGGTCAGGGGTCCCTTTACCCTTTACCTAAATTCATGGCAGAGACAAAATTTAAACAAGGCTTTTCCACCTTGTAATTCTATCTAATCATTACGTTACACCAACTTTCCAAAACAACTACTTCCATATCAGTCATCATAGGGATGTCACAACCATGCATATGAAGTGGCCCTCACAGGTTGGCTTTGCTTAGGGCAAGAAAACAAAGTGTTGAGAAGGCTGAGTGGAGATTGTATCTCAATAAGGCTGCCTTTGTGGTTCTATGATCTCAAGAGCTTCCAGCTGGAGACGAAATCATGGGGCAATTTCCGCTTCCCTACATGCTGGGAGAACCAGCAAAAGCACCAATACAGACAAATGGCTTGGCTTGACTATCTTGAACAATGGCAAGCTTCATTTTAGTTTCTTACCCACACACTCCATCCTTCTTGTTTTCAGTAGTCTCAGTTACAAAGGAGTCTCCATCCTTTGCTTCTACGGCCACATGGTCTTCAGCAGTTTCTAAAGAACCCTGCTCTGCAGCGGCAGACACTGCGCTGATTGTCTTCTCTGGCAGCCGGTGCTGCAGCTATTCCAAAACAGAAGGAACAGGTCTTGATGCATAAAAAAAAGCTCTCAAATGTTACAACAAACACCATTTCCCCTTACCACTGTTTAAATCATATCTATTAAAGATCCAAAGTGCGGGAGCGGGGGAATTATGCTTTTCATAATGCACTGAAATTCAGAGTTACAAACCATGTACAACTTTATGTTTTATTCTATTTGATAGCAACAACAGATCCGCCTCCCTGTTGAGTGGGACACCAAGTTACACTGATAAGCTTCACTTCCATCTTTGGTAACTATTTTTGTTCTTATGTTTTTTTTTAGCTGTGCTGTGTGTTTTTTAGTCTTACAGAATTACAGATCAGCTTTGAGCTACATGTGTCTGCATGCATATGCCTTATGTAAATTGTCATAATGTACCATTTTACTGGCCTTACAAGATGTAATCCCTATTAAAAAAAAGTGAGACATGAGCACTGTGCATTCTGTTCCTAAAGTGTTTCTTAGCAGCCTCCTACTCAAGCTGCTGGTGCTGAGCTCCCAGAAATGTTATTAGAGGGCATAAATAAGAAAATTCTAAATTATCCATTTGTATCCTCTTATATGTAAGTTAAAGAGGGCCAGCAACAAATAAAACAAAAAAGGAGGTAGCCCCCCAAAAAATCTGGACAAAGGCAGCAAAAACCATGAGATAGAACATTATTCCTTTTTCCTATCCTGTGCATTTTGCTCCTATTCCTACTATATTTTTTTACATTCCACACTGCATTCTCTAACTGTGTAACTTCACAGGAACTGTAATAAATACAGCAAAATGAAAAACTGTGAACTATCAATGAATTTAAGTGTACCGCGAAATCCACAGAATTTGCATGAATGCACATTCTAAAACGGCAAAAGATGCTTTAAAGATGTTTCCACGCTATCCTGAGTACAGAAGATTTAAATATTTTTTCAGCTTAACACCTAGGGCACTGTTGAAATAAATGGGCCTTAAGAATTGATTAGTTCTGACTGGATTGTGCCACTAGTATACAGCCCACCCCAAATACATTATTATGTATTGCATTATTATGCACATCTTCAACACTGCGTCTTTGCACTTCTACTTTCTTATACAATGATTTCACAGTTATTTCTACAACTATCTGAAAAACTTGTCAGAACTGGGTTTCAATGAAAGAGCTGTTCCTTGTCCATAAGTGTCACAGGACCAACTTCAAAACAGAAGCTGGGACAGCTAGTACTCATTCTGCCATTTTGAGATCAAGTGCTCAACTAAAAGGGCTTTGTAGACCCAGCCTTTTTCTAGAACACCAAAGAGATGTGATACTTTGAGACATCTAGCATAGATAACTCCATAATAACTCTGTTATTATGGAGAAAGCAGCCCTACACAAGAAAACCAGGTACCACAAGGTGCCATGTTACCTTCCATTTGTACAGATTTTCATGCCTCAATTTCACTAACTAGCCAATTATGCAGCCATATGCATCTGGAGTTGTATTTATGTTATGGCTGCATAACTGGTTAGTTAGTGAAATTATCCCTAGAATCACATCTCTTTGATGGTGTTTAGAGCAGGGCCAATGAGGGGCAAGCCTGAAGAGAACCCCAAGAAGAAGAGGCCTTTGGCCCACGGACGTAAGGTTTCCTGATACTTTGAGGCATCTAGCATAGATAACTCCATAATAACTCCGTCTTTATGGAGAAAGCAGCCGTACACGGGAAAACCTGCCTCTTGTTCTGGGGGTTCTCATCAGGCTTGCCCCTCATTGGCCCTATCCTAAACACTCCCTTGTGGCTTTTACCTGCCTGGAATATGGGCCTGGATTAAGAGATATGTGTAGAAACCTCTGACATGCGTGGCCGGAAGGCAGCCTACTGTACAAACCTAAGAGTCACACACATTTCTATGTCCACTTTTGCCTCTGACATGGCAACATAATGCCCAGGTCTCAATGAATTTCTTTGAGGATGTTCATAGATTTGGACTGCTCAATGAGTTGTTGTTTTTTTAAAAGAAGAAGAGAAGAGTTTGGATTTGATATCCTGCTTTATCACTACCCGAAGGAGTCTCAAAGCGGCTAACGTTCTCCTTTCCCTTCCTCCCCCACAACAAACACTCTGTGAGGTGAGTGGGACTGAGAGACTTCAAAGAAGTGTGACTAGCCCAAGGTCACCCAGCAGCTGCATGTGGAGGAGCAGGGAAGCAAACCCGGTTCCCCAGATTACAAGACTACCACTCTTAACTGCTACACCACACGGGCTGTCAAAAATTCACCAACTGCACTTGAAAATTCCCCTTGACATCCATGCTCAAAAACAGTTCCCCTTGGTGGCCTGGGGTGAGTGAGAGGGGTTGCTCTATGAGACACAGAAGCCCACAGTCCTCTGGGGCCACCAAACTTGTCTTGGAGATCTTGGGATCCTAGCCTCTCTTTCACAGCATGTTGCAAAACCGTTCCAACTAGAGCAAACATTACCTTGGGCTGACGCTTATTCCATGGCATCGGAGATTTTTTAATTAATACAGCGACAAAGAAACCTCCAGTATTCTGATGATGTGGCAAAATTCTGAAACTAGATAAAGACACAGATTTTGTACCACTATGCACCACCTAAGGAAGGAAACTGAAGTCCAGTTTATGAACAAGGAAGTTTATACTTTTTGGTGTATTTTTTTTTTAATCAAGCCAAATGAAATCTAAATGAACTGTTTTTCTACCATTATTTTTTTCTGAACTGTCATATATTGAATAAAGAATTCAGAACAGTGACATTTTCATGGTATTTGACTGCTTTGGGTTAAGGAACGTATCGTAAAAGCAAATATCCAAAGGATTATGAAACGTAATTTTTAATCAGCTTGAGCTCAGCAACAGAAAAGGATGATATAAATGTAGTAACAAATAATAACAACAGGTTTTTTTTTTGCTTTTAAGAAAGTTGATCTGGTTTTCTGCACTGCCACTTAAGCAGTCATCCCCAGTGCACACATCCTGTTTTAAAAATAAAAAGTGCTTACAGCTGTCTGAGCACATACTTCACAACTGAACCCAATTAACAAGTCTGCCAATTTCAATGGCTCTACTCTGAGAATGACTTAGTTGGATGCAACCTGATATTTAGATGAACCTGAACTAAAACACAGTCTACAGTTCTGAGACCACCAACAATCGACCCTGAAATAAACATCTCCTCATTACAATCAACTAGGAACTGCAAGAGTATGCTCAGCGTGGAAACAATCAGCTGCAAGAATACCCACCAGCGCTCCAAATGTAACGCTTTAAGTTTTTCTTCATCTTTTAAGGGGAACATGGTGGGACGGATCTGGGTTTGCCTGTTGGAAGGCACTTCACTCCAGTCTTCAAACCACTGGCCATCTTTTGTCATTACCTAGGTGGGGAAATGTACCAATTAACAATGAGGGTGGCCTCAAGTTTGCCAATGACAAGTCAGCAGATTACAAGAGGAGACTGTTAAATAGCAATTTCAGATTTTATTAAGACTTTAAGACTCAGCCCACTAAGTGAAATAGATGAATCTGCTAGAAAGCTGGAGAATGTGATTTTATACCCCCTGCCCCAGGGTACCCCCTGCCTGCTACTGGGGATAAATTCTGCTCCCTCCAAGAAACCGTCACAGGGTAGTACCTGTATAAATGTTTTATCTAGGGAGTGTATTGTTGTATTGTTGCCTGCTTGTATGTTAGTACTTGGGTCTCACAAAGTCACTATGCAAAGGGGTTGTTGATCAAGGATGTAACACTTGTAGTATGTGGACAATATGATTTGAGGGTGTACCAGAATAGTAAGTTTTGGGCTTGAATGGAACTGAATGGTATTTATTCTTAGCCATTGTGCTTACTGCTATATAGGGGGCAGTGGATTTAACTGGTTTGTTTAATGGTATGACTCAGGCATAGGCAAACTCCGGCCCTCCAGATGTTTGGGACTACAATTCCCATCATCCCTAGCTAACAGAACCAGTGGTCAGGGATGACGGGAATTGTAGTCCCAAAAATCTGGAGGGCCGGAGTTTGCCTATGCCTGGTATGACTGATTCATACATGGTGCTACAGAAGAGTGAGTAGCTTTTCTTTTGCTTTGTTGTTCATCAAGCTATTTTAAAAGGTGAAATTTATACTTGCTAGTTGATTTTCACTTGTAATATTTTACTCCCTGATGTTTACAATACGTTCAAAAGTTAATGTGTCTATTTGTTTACTATGAACATATTTTGCGTTTTTGTGGCTGATTTTTATTTGTAATGTTCATTTTCATGCCAAAAAGATACTCTTTGGTTGTTAATTGTGGTTTATAGAATGCAGAAAATCTGTTATTTTTCTCTATTTGCTAATTAACCTATGTTAATGTTTTTAACCTATGCTGTAAACTGCTTAATAGTTTCATTTCAATGCAAATTGTCCAAACAACAACAAACATTAAACAATCCAGAAAGTTGAAGTGCTGTGTCCACCAATGTATATTTTCATATTATGTTTGTGTTCAAACACACCCCTATGTAATGTATTTGAACAACATAATTCTGCCCCAATCCCAGCATTTCTCAACTCGGCACCAGATTAGGAGAATTCTCAGTCTCAGGTATCCTTCTCTCTTTCCCTCAAGAGACTGGAGGTTACTGTCTGGGTAGGTGAAAGTTAACTTCTTGGAAGCCAAGAAGTGCCATAAAAACGGTAAGAGCTTTCTCCTGACAGGGAAGTGGGAGTTGAAGAATGAACTGCTACAGAACAGTAGTGCTCTTTTGCTTCAGTATATGTTCATTTCCTACTCAACATAGGATTAGGAGAAGACAAGCCCAAGAATCTGTGCCAGGAGACAGAGGACATATATCTTTAGGGCCCCTATTCTTTCAGGCAGAGAGAAGTTTATTGAAACTCTGGAGAGCTTCACATAGGTCACAAGCTGCGTAGGTCTGACTTACAGAAAGAAGAAATACAGTGGTACCTCGGTTTAAGAACAGCCCTGTTTACGAACTATTCGGTATAAGAACTCCGCAAAACCAGAAGTTGTGTTCCGCTTAGCAAACTTTACCTTGGTCTACGAACGGAAGCCAAACAGTGGAAGGGCACCGGCGGGGAGACGCCTCATTACGGAAAGTGCGTCTCGGTTTAAGTATGGCTTTGGTTTAAGAACGGACTTCCGGAACTGATTTTGTAAACCGAGGTACCACTGTAGTTCAGTGATTGAGGACATTCTTTGCACACAGAAAGATCCAAGCGCCTGACACCTCCAATTAAAAAGCATCTCAAATAGTATGACTGGGAAATAGCGCTGCTTCAGATCTTGAAAAGCTACTGTGGTCAGGGTAGATAATGGTCAAATGGTCTGATCTGGCGCAACGCAGCTTCATATACAGTAGTACCTCATTTTGCGACTGGGATCCATTCTGGAGCCCCGGTCGCTGGCTGAAAAGGATGCTGGACAAAGCACCGTGTCTGCGCACGCGCATGGAGCGGTTTGTGCTTCTGCACATGCGTGAGTGGCAAACCCAGAAGTAACCCGTTCCGGTACTTCGGAGTTTGCCACGGACGTTCGACGGAATGAGCGCTAGGCGAGGTACCACTGTACCCATAAACACATGACTACTCATTTGATTTTAGAACAGAATGCTGTTCTCTATTAAAGTTTGATTTGGATTCTATTACAATACACATTTCTATTAAAAAATACCTTCCACTGTGTAACCCCAGGCATCCTTTTCAGACCAGGCAATTCAGAAGAGACGTCAGCAAGTTCTAAGGCACCTTTGAACAAACAAGATTACTGTAAATAAGAAATAGCTAGGAAAGTTACCAACTCTGAGAAACTATCCCAAGCCAAGAAAAACAACATGTTTTGAAATGACACAATTCTTTATATGATCTGCAAACAATGAAGGTTGGCAGTTGCATTTCTCTAACTCTGCCCACGTTATCTCCACAGGATTGCTGTAAGAAGCATTACCTATTCATTTCAGCCAATGAATGAAGCATAAGAGAGAGCGTGGAGGTACATGGAGACGAACACAACAATTCTAACCAGGTCTACTCAGAAGCAAGCCCTATTAAATTCAATGGGGCATACTCCCATGTGAGTGGGATTAGGATTGTACCCAAGTGAGTCATATTATACCAAATTGTAGAATGCATTTGCTGAATGTACAGCACAAATATAGTCACTAGACCTGTGCACCAGATTTGGCTGAGGCCCGAGCCAAGCTGACTCAGAGGAAACCAGATGTGATCAACCTCCAGAATGCCCTGAGTTGGGTGTCCTGGAGCAATCTAGGACTGTCAGGGGGTGAAGCATCCAGCAAGAAAGAGGCAGGCGTGAGCAGGAAAGAGGAAACTGTGTAAAAAGGCCTTGAGTGGGAAGGACCAAACTTAGGGTGCCAAATTCTGGAATGCAATCAGGTTCACAAGCAGAAGAACCTTAAAAGGGATGTCAGAGTTGCATGTGAGAACTGCAGGTTTGCATTCAAACTGCACACTGCATTAGACTCCACTTCATGAAGTACAGGATCCTGATCAAGGGCAGTAATAGTACCATTCCATTCTGCCTTGGCCAAACCACACCTGGAGTACTGTGTCCAGTTCTGGGCACCACAATTTCAGGAGGATATGGATAAGCTGGAACCTGTGCAGATGTTCAAAGGCCTGGAAACCTGGCCTTATGAAGAATGGTTGAGGGAGTTGGGTATGTTCAGCCTGGAAAACAGCAGACTGAGAGGAGATATGACAGCTATCTTCAAATATCTAAAGGACTGTCACATGGAGCAAGCTCTTCTTCTACAGCTTCAGAGGTTAGGACCTGAACCAGTAACAAGAAAGGAGATTCCAACTAAACAGGAGGAAAAACTTTCAGACGATAAGAGCTGTTCCAACAGTGGCACAGACTCCCTGGGAAAATGGTGGACTCTCTCTCCTCGGAAGTTTTTAAGCAGAGGTTGGGTGGCCATCTGTCAGGGATGCTTTAGTTGAGATTCCTGCATTGCAGGGGGTTGGACTAGATAATCCTCAGGGTCTCTTCCAACTCTACAATTCTGTGATTCTGTGACACTGGGCACATACTCCCTGCCTTCTTGGGTAGTGGGGGTAGTCAACTGCCACTACCTGATGCCTCCTTCAACCCAAACTGAGTACAGTTTATACCAATTGAGTATAGTTTAACACTTGATTCCACTATTATTGTCTGTTCTCACTATACAACCAAGAGATACACACACCTTCACTTTTTTCCAGCAGAGAGGCAATGACAGCTTCATTTTCAACAGGATTCAATGAGCAGGTAGAGTACACCATCCTACCTCCTTCTGCCAGCTGCTCAACTCCACGGGTTGCAATCCTTAACTGCAATCTGCAAATTGATGAACGGGTTAGCATCTCATCATCCTTTCCCAACAGTTGGTCCTGAGATTTCAAGTTGACTTTTGACAACTAAATAATCCAAACATTGCTTTCAACATGTTTTGTCACACTGAAAGAGCTCAATTGTTCCCACCCATTCAACAAGTCAATCAATTGCTGTATCATATACAAAGCCATTTATACGTATGTAGAATACACCATTTATTAAGTCTTTTGAGTGTACGGAATAAGGACTCAACTAAGATGCAAGCAAAGGATGTCATACACTGTGTGTAGAAAAATTAAGGCTGCAACCTGAATTGGTGCTGGTGTTGGATATTTGACAGTCAAAAACAGTTTGCCCAAATAGCCAGTTAACTAATGGTAAAGTGTTTTTAAAAACATTAACACTGTGAAAACAAAAGTAACAATCTACATGTCTGATCTGTATCCTAAAAAGAAAATCGTAATTACAGCTCTTATTGTGAAACAATGGCACAGTTTTTTAAACTGTTAATTATTTAGCTTTATAACCTTTTTTACTGTTCCCTTCAACTAACTGACCTTTCAGCTAATGTGTTTTGTTGCTGAGTGAGGATTTGAGCCTGAGTCTCCTTGACCATAGCGTGACAGTATATCTATTATTATTATTTACTCTGCATTTGTTTAGCCATTAAGATGCCACAAGACATGTTGTTTCTTCCTGCAAATGGGAACATGGTCAATCCTCCTCAAACGTCAACACGCTGGCATTCTTGGAATATCTGATTAGTCAATAGATAAGTGCTGACCAATCCCTTTCCTGCAAGCTATTCTTGGAAATGTACTGAACACACTGAACTACAATCTGAAATGCCATGCAAAGGTGCAAATGTGCTAACCCAGATAAACAACAAAGGAGCAGACTGCAAGACCATTACTCTCTACAATCCTTTTTTATAACTGGTATGGACATACGTAAGTCAGTATGCTATATTCTAAAATGTATGATCAGCCCTGGAAGAATTAATGCCTGGTTGGCCAAAGCTGCCTTCTTAGTGTCAAGGGTTTGGTTGGGAAAGCAGCAGAAAGAATATAAATGGGGGAATGTAAGACTATGAATCTGGAATGTGTCCAGATTAAAGCATCTAAAGTATTACCAATGGCGCAGTATTTGTTAATGAGAGTTTATATTGTTCTCACATCTGTTATTCTTTTCTCCATTTTGCAACATTTAAAAAATCAGTTGTCAAATATCAAACTTTGAAAACAAAGTTGAAGGAAAAACAGTTTGCTTTTATATATTTTAGTGGTATTCAACCAATTTTTACCCAGAGTAAAGGTAAAGGGACCCCTGACCATTAGGTCCAGTCGTGACCGACTCTGGGGTTGCGGCGCTCATCTCGCTTTATTGGCTGAGGGAGCCGGCGTACAGCTTCCGGGTCATGTGGCCAGCATGACTAAGCCGCTTCTGGTGAACCAGAGCAGCGCACAGAAACGCCGTTTACCTTCCCGCCGGAGCGGTACCTACTTGCACTTTGATGTGCTTTCAAACTGCTAGGTTGGCAGGAGCAGGGACCAAGCAACGGGAACTCACCCCGTTGCGGGGATCCAAACTGCCGACCTTCTGATCGGCAAGTCCTAGGCTCTGTGGTTTAACCCACAGCGCCACCTGCGTCCCTTACCCAGAGTAGACCCACTGAAATTGACAGGCATGACTAAGTTAGGTCTACTCTGAGGAAAACTTAGTTGAATACTACCTCTGGGTTTATACATTTATCTTACTCATTCACACCAAGTTATTCTGAATTATTTAGTCACTGGCCTCTGTTTTGCACACCATAGTTATTACATCATTATGATAAAACCCTCACTAAGTAAGGGCCCTGACATCTAGGCATTTCAAGCAAAGAGTTTGCTCCTGTGCCCCACTAGGCATAAAACCTATATGCTTGCGATATGTGTGAACCAATTTTTATCTTTACAGTAAACTAGCTTCAAATACCTTGGAGGATGGGGAGATTAAAATACAAGGAAATTAATATATTTTGGGGAAATGCAAAGTTATTACTTGTAAACTTATTTTTATTCCACTGAAGTTCAAAAAGGATGTGATATTAGAAATAAAATTGTTTCTTACCCATGTAGCTGCAAGCTGTTTTGAGTAGTCCACTTTTTCCACACATCAATGTTTTTTCTCATGGTACCATCTCCACTGCAACAGACATTCACACATGAATTCCAATGACACCAGTAAGCTACATTCTGAGTCAGTAACACACCTCGTGTGTTTTGAAAATCAGAAATCATTGACTATTCTTATTTATTAATCGCTTTCTAAAACACTGTCTCAAGGCAATTTACACATAAGGTACCATATTTTTTGCTCTATAAGACTCACTTTTTCCCTCCTAAAAAGGGGAAATGTGTGTGCGTCTTATGGAGCAAATGCAGGCTGCGCAGCTATCCCAGAAGCCAGAACAGCAAGAGGGATTGCTGCTTTCACTGTGCAGCGATCCCTCTTGCTGTTCTGGCTTCTGAGATTCAGAATATTTTTTTCCCTTGTTTTCCTCCTCCAAAAACTAGGTGCGTCTTGTGGTCCGGTGTATCTTATAGAGAGAAAAATATAGTAATTATAAACAGTAAAAAACAGAAAAACAACTAACTAAAACTAAATCAAAACTAAACTAAAACAGTAACAAGTGGGTGGTCGTGGTAAAGAACATTTATCTACCTAGGAAAGTTTATTGGAGCAAATATGTCTTCAGTTGTTTCTGGAAAGTGCAGATAGTAGGTACTGATGGTATTTTTACAGGAATACTATTCCACAAAATAGAGGCACACTTAAAAGCTCTGCTCTGAGCTACTATAGAGGAGGCTTCTGAGAGCTTTGGAACTTGCTGGAAAAACTGTCCCACAGATGGCAGCTGTCTACTGGGTATAGAAGGGTTCAGGAAGTCTCTTAAATAACCTGATATTGAACTGTATAGGGATGGATATATTAATATAAACACTCTGAACTCGGCCTTCAGCCAAGAGGTTACCAATGCATGAACTATTGTGGTCAGGCTGTAATTTCTCTTGAAGCACAAGGTGTGAAACTGATGATATCAACCACTAGGTTCTATCAGCACCAGAAAATCAACAGACTAGATTTGGCAAAAAGCGATGCACACTTTTGTAATCTATTCTTTCAGTTACTCCTTTCCCTGTTTGTTTGTTTGTTTGTTTGTTTGTTTGTTTGTTTTTAAGCACAGCTGTTGTTAGTAAGACATTGGTTCAGTTTTTGAGATCCTGCTATTTCAAAGCAGATGCATACTTCAAAGAAAAACTGAACAGGATGCAAAAGACAAACATGACACTGATAAAAGGCACAACTGAAAATAATATTAAGGCTGAGAAAACTTTACTATGCTTTAATTTTAGAAACTTATGAATTATTTTGTATTCCACACTTCTTCCAGTGAGCACAAAGTGGCATGCATGAGCACTTTTGCTTCCCACATTTAGTAGCAATCTTGGGATATACAGTGGCACCTCGGGTTAAGTACTTAATTCGTTCCGGAGGTCCGTTCTTAACCTGAAACTGTTCTTAACCTGAAGCACCACTTTAGCTAATGGGGCCTCCTGCTGCTGCCGCGCTGCTGGAGCACGATTTCTGTTCTCATCCTGAAGCAAAGTTCTTAACCTGAAGCACTATTTCTGGGTTAGCGGAGTCTGTAACCTGAAGCGTATGGAACCCGAGGTACCACTGTAATAATTTGCCCAAGGTTACCCACAGAACTTTAACAGTGCAAGAGATTTGAACTCCGGTCTCTCAGATACAAATCCTATCTCGCTATACAAAACATCACACCCTGCTTATCTTGATGTGATGTAAAGGGCACACTAGTATTAAAAAGTCATAAGCATTACAACACTAGCAACATTAAAAATAAATATAGCATACCTGCAAGGGACATCACATAATATCCTATCGTAAAAGAGGATCTCCTTCTTTCCATTAGTGGTGATCTGTAAATTAGGGATGCTGGAAGCATCATGATTTACAACCATGATGCAAGGGCTGTTTAACCTCTTTGCTTGATGAACCAGTAGATAGCAGCGCTTGTTGTCAACATCATTTGCAATTACAAATCCCTCTAAAGGAAAAAAAAAATGAACTCTTTAGGTTAAGGGTGGAATTTTGGAGGGAGGCAAGCAAATGATTTTTTCTGCAGTTTATTAGACCAGGTGCTCAAAAGAATATTAAAAAAACGTTATAAGCAAAAGCATAATTTATGAGAAATGTTTTTAGAATAATCATCAATATAAAGTAGAAGAGATATACAATGGATGTTAACATTTTGTAGGACATTTGTCTGATCTAATAAGCACATGATGTGATAGTTAAGTTACGTTTTGAGCATTATTTTAAGTTATATAAAAAGAGAAGCCTGTTATAGATTTCTTTTTAACTGGTTTTAATAAAACAAGAAAAGCATTCTAAGAAATTATCAGTTATGAAACCACTAAGTAGCTTAGCCCACAAAAAATAACTCTGATGAAGTCAGGGCAAGGAGAAAGGAATTCTGTAGTGAGAAAGGTAAGAGAAAAGAAAGGGAAATTAGTTATGTCAACACATAAGGTGTCTGACACACTAGTGGCACTAAAAGTACAGGAAGAGAAGATGAAGACTGATAGATGACAAAAACAGGATGATCTGGGAAAGCAGAGGGACAGGAAAAGGCCAACACAAAATGATGAAACGCAGCTAGCAAAAACAAAAGAAGAGGAAGTCCATTTTTGATCCAGACAAAGAACCCCAACAGGGAAAAGGTGCTTCTTGGGTGATGGCTTAAAGGTTCCAGGGTGGCCAAGTAAGAGAAATAATACACAAATACATATACCTCAATACTAACAAAATGTGTGACAAAGGGGTGTTTCCACTGAGGAAGGTGAAATGGTGGAATCCACAGGTAAGATCCAACTGCTAACAGCAACCATATTGAGGTTCCAGAAGCAGGTCCCTATCCTATGCAGGGCCTATACTGTTTGGCACCACGGGGCTTTAAGCCCTCTCCCTTTCATGAATCTTTCTGGCAAACCTTCAAAAAGATTACTTGAAGGTCCGCCTCTTGGACTGAATTGCATATTATGTGTGAGCAAACTGGGCACTAATGGCCACAATCCAATGCTAACCCTTAAAGGTACAGCCTTGACTGTAAATGAATTTTGTTTCTCAACAAAAAATGGGGCAGGGATCTCTATATACCACTCCATCTCACTTACCTGGAAAAGGAACATTCATGTCTGCGTGCAACATTTCAATAAGCTGGGCAGTTTTGGACCCTGGTGCAGCACACAGATCTAGAATCTACCAAGAGCAAAACAATACACAAATAAAAGATCTCATTAACATACGTACAAAAATTATATTACATATAGGTATCTCCCCACTTACACACGTTCAACTCGTGTGGAACTGCATATATGCAAAGCACTGGGAAATGGTTAAATAAATCAATTTAAACTGCAAAAATGGCACAAAAAGAGTGTTGAAACGGCTAGCAATCCCAGGAGCCTTTGCAACTGCAATCTCAGAAGCCTTTGGATCAACCTTTGAAGCCTGTGGAGAGTTGGAATTTGAGAAAGGAGGCTTGGAGGGAGCGATTGTGGTGGAGTTTGGCTTTTTAGATAGTGTTCCCCAATGTACGTGATTTCGTGTATACATACAGCACCCAGGAAAGTAATTCTCACAGCTGTATTATCTGCTTAGAAGTAGTTACTTCAGTCATATGGGGCAGAGTCTACAGAATTCTTCATTTCAGAAAGACGATACTAAGCCCTTCACAATACTACAAACATTCCAGTTAAAACTGGGAGATCTAATTAAGACCAGTCCATAGCAACTGAATAGAAGTTCATCAATAAGGAATGCATTAATTCAAGTATCTGTTGAAATACCTTTCCAGCTAACTTCATAATCCTTTTCATTCTGAATGTATGCAATTGAAAAAGAATGAAGCAATAAAAGGATAAAACAATTAAGCTACTCGTGCAACTGGCCGCTGCCCCTTTTATGAAACAGAAATGTGTCTTATTGATACCCTGAAGCCAGGTTTCAAGAAAGCCACTACCCAGGGTGAATTTGTAATATAAATTTATAATACAAAAAAGAGCATATTAGATGTACTGTGTCAGGTTACTTTTAACAAGACTTCAAGATCCAATAGCAATGCAAGGCCTACCTTATGATGAGACTGGACATCAAGGAGCAGGGGAGGAATCATACTGACAGCTTCTTGGCGACTAATGTTCCCCTAGAAAAATAAAATAAAAATTTGTAATCAGTGGCAACTCCAATTTCATGTTTTGAATATTTTAGATGCAGAAAATGTATATATGAAACCCTAATGTAAGTTTTATTGTTTTAAGCTTATCTGATTTTGTTCCTAACAAACCCTTAATGGGAGAATTTCATTAACACATTGTCAGAAGTCACGTTCATGTGCAAGTTACTATTACACAGTAATCTCTAGTTCCCCAAGGGACATGTCAATGGCAAGACAGCGAGTAACAATTCTTCAACGCAAAAGATCACAGTAAGACACAAAATGAATTAAAACAACAGCAATTTAGGAACGTACTTACACATTCTGTTTCACTAACAAGAAAATGATGGAATTTTTCTAGTTGTGGGGATTTTCGCAGGACCTTTCTGCTTAGGTTTGTATGCCATGCCAACTCTTCTGGATACCTAATGAAATATAGTTTTTATAAGAACTATCACCAGCATATTTGAAATGAAATAATGGAGCATGCCATTCCATTTATATATATAAATGTTTTTTTATAAACAAAATAAACTAAATATAGAACATAAATATGCAGTATTGCAGCAGGTTGACAACATGGACATTATCACGGGACCTATTCCAAAACACTACAAAAATACCCATTCTGGAAATCTGTTCAGACCATTATCTCTGATATGTTAGGATATCATATACCTTTGGAACCTAAAATATTTCTGCTTGGTTATCTAAAATATGTAATTTTTGAAGATGATCAAGAAATACTGTTCAACCTACTAACTGCTGCTAAGATTAGAATAGCTAAAAATTGGGGGGGGGGAGTATCTCCTACGACATCTGAATGGATTGAGAAATTTAGTCCATACTAAGTATAATTACGCTAACTTATTATAAAAGAATACATATAAACCTGTCTAACAGGTTTATGCAATTGCATTTTTAACTATATACGCACAGATTTAACTTGTGTATGAAGCATATAGAAACTGGATAATACTAGGCGTAATAAGGTTACTCAATGAGGTAAAATAAGCACGCTACACACAAAAACACATTGATGTCAGCAATGGGCTTTTAAAGAGAACAAAAGCAGGATAGTCTCAAGCCCTGATATATGTGTTTTAGCTACTTTATTATTTTAGTATGTATATTTTAGTCCTAGAAGCAATATTTATGGTCCACACACTCTTTCAAAGCATTTGCACTTACCCAGCTATTTAAAGATACAGACTTAGAACTAGGGATGGACAGAACAGTCTTGTTCCAATTTGTGTCCACAAGCAGACTAGTGGACAAATTCTGTCAAATGTCTGTTTGGATTTTCTTAGGCAAAGTACTAAAAACACCTCCACACCTTTTAAAGGTTTCAAAAAGTTATAAAGCAGTTATAAGGTGGCCCGAGGGATTTCCTGACTTTTTTCTTTTTGAAAACAACTCCTAGATCTGATACTGCAATAGGCGGGGGGGGGGGGGATGGCTGCCCCCCACTAGGTACATGAGAGCATCTATCACTCTTTGTACCTTTACTCTGGAATGGGCGACATACCATACCGTTACTTCCAAGAGCTTTTTAGTCAAATCTGATTAATATAGAAAGAACTGTGCTTTCTAGAAAAATGTCCTGTGCTTTCTTAGACCACACTGCAAAAAGAAAAACATGAGCTGGAGCAAATCATTCTTAGAAAGGTTCATAGACAAGCAATCTGATCTGCCTGTCTACATTAAGATCCAAGTATGATCCATTGGATGTTGGCCAGGGAGGTTTGCTGCTAACTGTGGAGTGAACCAAAATCCTCCACCATTCCAACCTGGATCCTGAGAAGCCCATCTGCAAATGAAGGGCTCCTCTTGTACGTAGAACAGACTCCAATTCGCCAGATGTTCACACTGTTAGAAGCGGAGAGGCTATTTTCACCCATTCCCTTCCCCCTGCAGCCACTTCTCAATGGTATTTCATGCATGTATTTATGGGTCCAAACTGTATTTATTTAGAATAATCTTTAAAAAGATCACACTGCAACTAACAAGTTGAGAATACCACATAGCAGAGGGGGAATGGCTAATAATACCTTCAAAGTCAGTGTAGACAATTACACAGCAAAGGCAGGAACATGCTAAATATGTTGATGGCCATCCTACAGGTAGTCTTACCAGCTTAATGGCTGAGGCATTTCAATTTTCTGACCGTCTACCACCTGGTTTTCTAATTCCTTGAAATATTTATTCTTCAAACAATGGAGAATTTCTTTAGCATGGCTACAAAATGAAAAACAACATTAGAACCATAGAGTAAGAAAACAGTACAACCTATTATTTCACTGTAACTACTTTTAAAAATCTCAATAAAAACCTAATGCTACTACCATAGTTACAGGATTTTTGGAATGGACTCATTTTCTTGAAAAGTACATTTTACATGACCAAACACTCTGGAGGATGTTCGAAATTTAATCAGTATGCCAATTTACTACGAGGTACCAACCGCTACCACAAGGCTTTCTCCATATTGCCACAGAAGTCTTGAGCCTCTTTTACAGCCAGAATAGAGAAAACCAAATAGTAACTGTCCTCTCCATGAAGTAGCTTCTGTGCCACTGTTTATAAGAAGCAAGATGAATAATAGTACTATAGTAATTATCAGATCTGTTAGAAAAGTGGGCTCTATACAACCCCCCCACAACCCTGCCAAGCTGAGAGCCTGCTATTAGATCTTTCCCACCCCTCAGGTGAGATAAAAGGAAAAGTGACGTGAATCTTTTATCAGAGGTTGTATTGCTCCTTGCATGTCAGTATTTATCCAGGTTTGCCTGGGTCTCGTGATATAGACATGTCAGTGTTGTTGACTAAGGATGTACAATTGAATTAAGGAAATACTTGTAGTATTTGGAGAAAGGAATTAAGAGTGTGCCAGAATATTAAATTTGGATCTAATATTAAATTGGGAGGCGGGTGGCGCTGTGGGTTAAACCACAGAGCCTAGGACTTGCCGATCAGAAGGTCGTGGTTCGAATCCCCGCGATGGGGTGAGCTCCCGTTGCTCGGTCCCTGCTCCTGCCAACCTAGCAGTTTGAAAGCACCTCAAAGTGCAAGTAGATAAATAGGTACCGCTCCGGCGGGAAGGTAAACGGTGTTTCCGTGCGCTGCTCTGGTTCGCCAGAAGCGGCTTAGTCATGCTGGCCACATGACCCGGAAGCTGTACGCCGGCTCCCTCGGCCAATAAAGCAAGATGAGCGCCGCAACCCCAGAGTCGGTCACGACTGGACCTAATGGTCAGGGGTCCCCTTTACCTTTACCTATTAAATTAGAATCTTTGTGTTCGATGCAAGTTGTGTCGATCACGTACAAGTGTGCTTGGGTGGAATTGAATGGTGTGCATTTTTAACTGTTGTTAGATTAAGCTGTGCTTATTGCTATACAACGGGGGCTGGAAATTTAATTGGATCAATTTGTTTAATGGTATAATTGGGGAAAATGAGCTGGTTTTCTTTTGCCTAACTATTCATTTTATTGTATGTTAAAAAGATGGAATTCATACTTTTTAGTTGATATTAATTTCTAATGTTTAACCCTGATGTGGCATATGATTATCCAGAGAGGCCTCGGGCCGGATTAATTCAGCCTCTGTTCTGGGCTGCTTGTGTGAGCTCTTTAATGAACAAGCCTGTCATATTAAGCAACACACATTTTTAGCATAGCCTGCCCATACCCTGGATAATACAAGTTACACAGGTAGTTTGGCATTACTTCAGAAAACTGCCCGGTGAAGCAAGTTCTGCAGATTTTTGAAGAAGTACAAAGACCTGCAAAATATTTGCTTTTGCCAAGCACCAACAGTGCAAGGATATAAAGTCTATGGCTTTTGAGATGTAGGGGTCCAACTCCCTTTGCTCCCAGCCAGCACAGCATAATGGCCAAGAGATTTGTAGTCCAATGTGGACTTTATCCCTGTAATAACACAACAACAAAAAAATAACTGCATACACCACAGGCTTTGGTTTGATTCAGCAGGGCTCTTACGTTCCATTTCCATCAACCAACCGCAACTTTTAAGATTTTGCACACCGTTGTAGAAATTTGTCAGTGGGCAAAAAATAATTGTGTTTAATTTCATAAGAAGCTTCAATTGTGAAGGAACCAGGAACACAGTCCTCCCTTACTACAGGGCTTCCTTCTTTATTAAGAAAACTTATGTCAGTTGCATTCTTCAATTCTAAGCTTTCAAACTTATATGTATGCTTATTGGAAGGGAGCACGTTTCCTCTCAAAGGGGAAACTGGATTCCCCCTCCCTCCCCCCAATACAGTGGTGCCCCGCAAGACGAATGCCTTGCAAGACGGAAAACCCGCTAGACGAAAGGGTTTTCCGTTTTTGAGTTGCTTTGCAGGACGAATTTCCCTATGGGCTTGCTTCGCAAGACGAAAATGTCTTGCGAGTCTTGAGATTTGTTTCGCTCCCCCTTTTTCTAAGCTGCTAAGCCTTTAATAGCCTTTTAGCAGCTAAGCCGCTAATCCGCTAAGCCTTTAATAGCCGCTAAACCGCTAATAGCACTAATCCGCTAAGCCGCTAATAGGGTTGCTTCGCAAGACGAAAAAACCGCTAGACGAAGACACTCGCGGAACGGATTAATTTCGTGTTGCGAGGCACCACTGTACATAAAAGGAGTACTGGCTAAGAGACAAGCAGAGCAATCCCAGCTCCTAATCCACTGCGCTGAGGTCTGGATGGAACAGACTCTGCTGAACTTCCCTGATGGAGAAGACACACGGGGGGGGGGCACTCTGATGTGAAACCCAAAACAGGAGGTGGAAGATACAGATAGCAGCATCCCCACGAGTGGAAACCCCAGAAATTGGGTCTCTCAGGGATGGGGCATTCTGCTGTCACATGACTGCAGCAGGCCCAATCTGGGACTCTTCACTGCACCAGCCTCATGGCATAAATTTCAGGGCTGTGAATGCAATGCTAGCTGTTCTGCTGTATCAAGTGCTGCTCTCCATCCTCACGAAGGATTAAGACTGCAGTGTGAACTATGTAATTCAGAAAGTCCCTGGTTTGAAATCTTGACAATGAACTCACTATGAGTTCCTCACCAGGTTAGGAACTCTCCCACCTTGACTCTTCCCTCCACTTTAGAATACAGTGGTACCTCAGGTTACATACGCTTCAGGTTACATACGCTTCAGGTTACAGACTCCGCTAACCCAGAAATAGTACCTCGGGTTAAGAACTTTGCTTCAGGATGAGAACAGAAATAGTGCTCCGGCGGCGCGGCAGCAGCAGGAGGCCCCATTAGCTAAAGTGGTGCTTCAGGTTAAGAACAGTTTCAGGTTAAGAACGGACCTCCGGAACAAATTAAGTACTTAACCCGAGGTACCACTGTATGGGGATAATAGCTACAGGGACCACACTATGAGCAGGTTGCTTTCATCACTTTTAAGATCACTGGATAGAAAAGAAATTTTATGCACACATAACCAAATATTAGAAAACATGTAAAATTTGGACCCACCCCATTCTCTATGCACCAGCGACCAAATTTTGCTCACCTCTTGTACCCTGTGATGCGGAGTGTGGCAGGGAGTGGCTCCCGCAGGGCCGCCATGAAGCTCTCCCACTCCCCATGAGGCACGATGCCCTGCTTGCCATAGTAGAGCTCGAAAAGCTCATTCTCCTTCACAATCTCCGGGTAGCAGCTTTCAGGCCAGCACTGAAAATGAGTGGGTGTGAAAAGTTATCAGAGGAGGAAAGAGTCAGCAAATCCCTTATTCTGTGTCTTCAGAATTGCAGGTGCGGACATACGCCAATAATAATAATAATAATAATAATAAATTTTATTTATATCCCGCCCTCCCCAGCCAAAGCCAGGCTCAGGGCGGCTAACAACAAACAAATAATCAAACAATCAAATAATCCAACATTCTAAAACATTTCATTATAAAAATTAATTAAAATCAATTTAATGGCAACCGTTAAGCAAAGTTCTGTGCAGGTTGCCAGAGGAGGGAGTCAGGCTGGGCCCTGACCAAAGGCCTGGTGGAACAACTCTGTCTTGCAGGCCTTGCGGAAAGATGTCAGGTCCCGCAGGGCCCTAGTCTCTTGTGACAGAGCGTTCCACCAGATTGGAGCCGCAGCCGAGAAAGCCCTGGCTCTAGTTGAGGCCAGCCTAACCTCTCTGAGGCCTGGGACCTTCAGGATGTTTTTATTTGCAGACCGTAGGTTCCTCTGTGGGGCATACCAGGAGAGGCGGTCCCGTAGGTACGAGGGTCCTAGGCCGTATAGGGCTTTAAAGGTTAAGACCAGCACCTTAAACCTGATCCTGTACTCCACCGGGAGCCAGTGCAGCTGGTATAGTACCGGATGAATGTGATCTCGCAGCGAAGACCCCATAAGGAGTCTTGCTGCGGCATTCTGCACCCGCTGGAGTTTCTGGGTCAGTCTCAAGGGCAGCCCCACGTAGAGCGAGTTACAATAATCCAGTCTGGAGGTGACTGTCGCGTGGATCACAGTGGCTAGGTCAGGGCGAGAGAGATAAGGGGCCAACTGCTTAGCTTGGCGGAGATGAAAAATGCCGCCTTTGTTATAGCTGTAATCTGCGCCTCCATAGAGAGGGAGGTATCGAAGATTACACCCAAACTCTTAACGGACGGTGCTGGCACTAATTGCACCCCCGCAAGAGATGGGAGTTGCCCCCCCAATCCCATGTCGTCCCGTCCCAGCCAACAGAGAATGTGAATGGGCTTTGTGGTTTTATTGTGCACTGTGAACTACCAAGTTCTTTGGAGGAAGGGTAGAATACAAATTTAATAAATAACAACAATAATAGTAATAATAGAACTCCCTGCAAACAAAAATCTAGCACATTAAGGAGGCCAGCCCTTCTTTACCCACCCGACATGCGCTATCTCCTTCCATTTCCAGTAAGTACCATTCCTTCTAAATGAGCCTCCTCCATGTAAGGTCTGGAGGAGGATGGTAACATAAAAATTGAGAATGAGATTCCTCTGTGGTGGCTCCCCATTTGTGGGATGCTCTCTCCAGGGAAATTCGCCTGGCATCTTCATTATATATTTTTAGGGATCAGGAGAAAACGTTCCTCTTCAACCAGGTCTTGGGCTGATTAATATTCTACACTTTTTTTAATGTGTCTGTGGGAAGGGAGGGTTACTGCTTTGCTGTTTTACTAAGTTTTTGACTTTGTATTTCATTCTGTGAACTGTCCTGAGATCTTATGCCAAATAAATGAATAAATTGGTTCAATAAATCAATAAGCCCCAAGCCCATCCCGATGTGCAAGAAGACATTCTGTCACGGGAACCCTACCCCCCCCCACCCGCCGGCAAAAGGCATGCGTAGGAGACACGTGTACAACGAGACACGTGTACAAGGAGCAACGTGTAGAGCGAGACACGGGCACAACGAGACACGTGTAGAGCGAGGCACGTGGAGAGCGAGACACGCGTGGAGAGAGACACGTGTAGAGCGAGACACGGGCACAGTGAGACACGTGGAGGGCGAGACACGGGCACAGTGAGACACGTGTAGGGCGAGACACGTGGAGAGCGAGACACGCGTGGAGAGAGACACGTGTAGAGCGAGACACGGGCGCAATGAGACACGTGTAGGGCGAGACACGCGTGGAGAGAGACACGTGTAGAGCGAGACACGGGCGCAATGAGACACGTGTAGGGCGAGACACGCGTGGAGAGAGACACGTGTAGGGCGAGACACGTGTGCAACGAGGCCTCAGCCAGGCCCAGGCCCTGACTCACCCCAGGGCCCTTCTCTCGGGTATTCGGCTGCGGCTGCCGCCTGTGGCGCTGCCTGCGGCCCATCGCGCCCGCACCACGCAAGGCCTCCACCCGAAGCGGAGCCGACGACGAGCCTCCCTCAGCCGCGGACGCCACGCTGCGTTGGGGGAGACGTGATGCGCATGCGCAGGAAAGGGGGAAGGAGGGAGGGGGGAAGAAAGAGGACCTAATCTTTTAAACTCACACGACGCCCGTTTAGTTTCCGGGTTCACTTGCCGGCTTTCGGCTTGCGCGTGCGCGTCGGAGTCGAGCGAAAGTGCTGCCGCGGAGCGTCGGTCCTGCAATCTTGCAAGCGGTACATCGCGTATCAGCAACGGACAGGGCGGCAGAGATCTCATAGCGCACTCTTTCCTAGCCCAGAGGTTTCTTGGGCATTTTAAAATTTCCATCAAAGTTGTTGCAAAGCGTTTGCAATTGCGTGCACTGGGCATTTAATCAATGGAAATTTAAAAACTTACAAGAAACCTCTGGCCAACCAGAACTTGGTGGAAGTAAAATGTGGCTTTCAGTCGTCTTTCTCATTCTAAACAGAATGATGCAGAAGACTAGCTCACAGATACAGAAAGAGAGCAGGCAGAGGGGTTCAATGAGGTCTGTTTGCAGGAAGAAAAACTGAAGCACTGGCAAAAAAAATTTTTTTTAAGTTTAAAAAACTGAATAAATATGAATTATAGAATACGAAAAACCCATGCACCTTTAATGGTGTTGCAAGGCCAGATGAAAGACCCCATTGATGTCACCTACTTACAAACCTTGTTAGGTAAAGGTAAAGTTACCCCTGCCCGTACGGGCCAGTCTTGACAGACTCTAGGGTTGTGCGCTCATCTCACTCTAGAGGCCGGGAGCCAGCGCTGTCCGCAGACACTTCCGGGTCACGTGGCCAGCGTGACGAAGCTGCTCTGGTGAACCGGTACCAGAGCAGCACACAGAAACGCTGTTTACCTTCCCGCTATAAAGCAGCACCTATTTATCTACTTGCACTTAAGGGTGCTTTCGAACTGCTAGGTGGGCAGGAGTTGGGACCGAAAGACGGGAGCTCACCCCGCCGCGGGGATTCGAACCGCCGACCATGCGATCGGCAAGCCCTAGGCACTGAGGTTTTACCCACAGCGCCACCCTTGTTAAGTTGCTGCTAAAGCTGGAATGGCCTGGGATGAGCCAGAACAGCAAATATATAAATAAGATTCCCCCCCCCCCATGTTTGAGACACCTGAAATCCATATTTTTCGAATGCAAACCACTCCAGTATTATAATTTCTTTACCTCTTAAAACCCAAAACTCTTCTGAAACAGAACATGGTTGGATTTCAGCCTCGTGTAACCCTAGCATATTTGCAACTAATTAGTGCATGAAGGGATTAAAGAGTAATTGTCTTGACGGCTTAGTCTATGCCACCTCCCCTCAGTTTGGGAGGAAAGGGGTTGCCAAATCTTTGTTATCTCACTCCTCATGTGGATTTCAGTACATCTTTAAAGGAACTCCTTCCAGGCAGCCACATGGCTTTAACCAGCCTCTCTTGTTTCAGAGCAGCATGGAGACTTGCCAAACATGTGATCTCTGTGTTAGGGAGGTGGAATAACTTGGAAAGAGCTATTAAAAGGGGGTGTTTTAGGAACACACTGGAAGGGCACATTTTAAAAGTTTGACAGCTTACGTTCAAACATTGCCTCCTACATTGCAAAGAATTGGGGCAGGGTGGGGTGAGTGGAATGGGAGGGGAAAGAACCAGGAATTTTGGGCAGGGCATGTTTATCCCACTTTCCGATCCTGAAATGTTGGACTGTATGTGCTAAGATAAGGGACGTGGGTGGCGCTGTGGGTTAAACCACAGAGCTTAGGACTTGCCAATCAGAAGGTCGGCGGTAACTTCCCTGAGCTGTCAAGTCGAATGGATACATTTACGCATACTATTTGTAACATTTAACAACTTTAAAGATGTGCCCCCCCCACCCGTAATTTCCGTAACAATTATGTATTCTGTTTTATTCATTATCAAAACTTGGCAAGCAAGTGCATTAAGCTAACTGTTGCTTTGAGGGTTTGTTTGTTGTTGTTTTTTAAAAATAACCTTTATTAAATTAAAAAACCCCTAACAATTGACCCATCCTGTGATAGATTCCTTGAGGCCATTCTTCGTGCCCTTGACATATTGTTGAAAATTCTGACCGATTTGTCTTCTGCTTGAGAAATCTCCCGCAACACTGAGTTTTGGGAAGTCTGAATGGCAGGATCCAGTGAAGGTGGTATAAAATGTGACTTAGGTTGAAAATGACTCACAGTGTGGGGAGACTCATTCTTAAGCAAGTTAAGCAAGATTGGGTTTCCTTTGGAATTCATCAAATGGATTAAGATCTTATATGAGTTGCTCACATCTAGACTAAAGGACAATGGGTATGTTTTCTGCTACTTTCCCGTTATTCAGAGGAACTAGACAAGGATGCCTGCTTCCACCTTTGCTTTTTAATATGTGCATGGAACTCTTAGCCTGTGCTATAAGACAACATAGGAAGTGGTACGTAAATCATTTGTCTATTCTGTAAATTGGTTCGATTTGTAGATGCTATTATTTTGTTCATTTATAAACCTCATTCTGCTATATTCCTGTGTCAATGCAAATGATAGATGACTTTAGTGAAATATCAGGATACCCTATTAATTGGTCCAAATTGGAATTGAGACCTGTGGGTGTAGCCTTTCAGGCCTTCCACAGGGCTAGGAAGAGCATTGCACCCGGGGGGAGGGGGGAAGGAGCCAAACAGACACCGAGGGTAAAATTCAGAGAAAGAGCTTTATTTCGGCCATCCGGGGTAGCAGAAGGAACCTGCGCGATTGATTCACAGCAAGCACACCTGAAAGCATTTTACAAAGAGCTTATATCCATTTTCCAGATCCCCCTTTACCCCTCCCAGCCTCATGAGTTTTGTTCACATAAGTTTGCATGAATAGAAACTGTTTCTGTATTTCTTATCTTAGCGCTTATGGTTTTCAGACAAAAACATCTTGGAGGTCCCGGGCCACAGGGAGGTTAGGCTGGCCTCAACCAGAGCCAGGGCTTTTTCGGCTGTGGCTCCAATCTGGTGGAACGCTCTGTCACAAGAGACTAGGGCCCTGCGGGACTTGACATCTTTCCGCAGGGCCTGCAAGACAGAGCTGTTCCACCAGGCATTTGGCCAAGGCACAGTCCTTTGGTAATCCTCACAGAACTCTAGCCCAATGGTTGCCATTAATTTGATTTTGAATTGATTTTAGAATGAATTGATTTTAGAATGCTGTGTTACTTTTATTGTTGTTAGCCGCTTTGAGCCCAGCTTTGGCTAGGGAGGGCGGGATATAAATAAATTGTTATTATTATTATTATTGCTATTATTATTATTATTAGGTTGGCAGGAGCAACGGGAGCTCGAACCGCTGACCTTCTGATTGGCAAGCCCAAGAGGCTCAGTGGTTTAGACCACAGCACCAAGGATACACACACACACACTCTTATGATGCTGAAATTAAAAAAAAGCTCGTGGGAGGGGCAGTTAACCAGGAATGGACTTTTTATGGGAAGACTGCAACCTCAGTTCTTTTATCATGGTACTCAAAACCTGGCTCCTCAAGGTGGGAGCAGGGGTTATTGGTTTGTTATGTTATGTATTTCGTGTTTTCTTTTTTCTTTTTAAAATAATTTTTATCAACAGGCCAATCACATCATATTAATTCCAAATCACATTAGTTCGAAATTACACAGCCAAATTTTTAATTTTTGTTGGGGGTACCCATACTTCGCGCTCCGAAAGGGATCCAAACATCTCTCTTGCTGTTGCTTTAATGTACCTTCTCTTTGTTGTTTTCCTCATCTTCTTGTTGTTATCATATATTCCTTTCTTTGTGATCTCTGATAGTCTCCACAAGCGGGTTGAAAACAAACGTTGTTATATCCTGTGTGGATTTTACACTCCTCCAAGAGCCATGTCAAAAAAAACAAACAGACGCTATTTCCGCACCTCCGTACAAAACATTCCCACAGTCTGTCCGTTGATTTCCACAGGCCTGCCAGTCTCTCATCAATTTTCTCAGGGGGCCCTGCCAGGTCCAACTCACATTCTGATATAGTAACAAGCCATGGTCCTCCTCCCCCTCGTCCTCCTGTAGGCAGGCCTGTCGTAACAAATCTCTTTTTATTGCTGCATCACACAGAACTTTCATTCCTTCCCGATCTTCCCACCAGCCATGTCTTTGATTAGTAATTTATTTCCACACATTTCTTAATCCTCCTGCTTGTGATCAGTAATTGCAACGATTCTTTTCTTTTATTGGGGGGGGGGTTATTAGGTACTCACATAAGACAAAAAAAGAAAAGTCCCCCCCTCCCCTTTTCAGTTCCGCTACATACCAATCCTTTGATGACTCTTCTTGATTTATTGTTAAATCTAGCCCGTCGCTTCCACTTCACAGAGATCCCTTTAATTAGCAGTCTTTACTCCCGATCTTCACTTGAAGTATGTGCATTTGCTTCTCTCTCTAATTGTCTATTTTGAGCTGATGCAGCTAGTGCGCGATCAGAGACAGCGTCCGGGAGAGCCGGACCCACACAAGGGCTTTGTGCCTAGTGCCCTCACCCCCTTCTTTCGAATCCGGGGGTGATTTATGGCCACAGCAGGCAAGGCAGTGTTCCCCATTTCCTTGGGGCAACAAGGGAGGCTGCATACTCCCATATCAGCCTCTTAATTACCTCGTGTGAGCCGGAAGGATGGTATTGTCGGCCATCTTCCAATGTGCCCCTAGTGGCCCCCCATGTATTTCGTGTTTTCAGGTTGTATTTTTATACTGTATTGCAAACCGCCCTGTAATCTTTGGATAAAGGGCAGTATCCAAAATTTAATAAAATAAATCCTGAATGTCTGCCATGTGCACCTGGCTTCAGTTGCCCCCAAGTCTTCATTTCTTTGCTATAGTTTATTGATCTAGTCCAGGGGTCCCCAAACTAAGGCCCGTGGGCCGGATAAGGCCCAAGGGACTCGTTTATCCGACCCATGGCAACCCCCGCCGCCTGCTCTTACCGGCGCTGTGCGGCTGTCCACTTCTGGGTCGGAGGAGCACTGGAAATAGCTTGTGCGCATGCGCAAGCATTTCCAGTGCATATCCGGGTCGGAGGAGGCCCATGCACATGTGCACAAGCTATTTCCGGTGCTCCTCCGACCCGGACGTTCACCAGAAATAGCATGTGCGCACACATGCGCTATGGGCACGCGCTCTCCAGCCCACCGCGCGATCGGCGCTGGAGCCACCGGCCTGAGGCACGTTAAGTTTGCTGACCTCTGATCTAGTCCATTAATCTTCCAACTTCAGGGCCAAGGTGTCTCATAACCAGGTCATGATGCCCTGATATAATGCAAGCTCACTGCCATCAAGCTAATACCAGATTCTCAGACAGCTGCCACAACAGATGCAGTGTTATGCCAGTTTATCCAGTCATCCTTTGAGATAAGATTAGAGTATAATCCGGGAACTGCTGCAACAGATGTACCTGACACAGCTTGCCGCAGCCATTGGTGTGAATCATGGCCACCACAACCTTTTATCATCCTTGTTATTATTTCACAACACATACAAAGGTGGTTTTAAGAAAAGTTAAGAAAGAGGAAAAGAGAAAAAAGGAAAACCCCCAAAAGATACAGTATATTACTATAACAATTGTTAACCATTAACCATTGCAATTTTGATGTGTGAATCATGGCCACCACAACCTTTTATCATCCTTATTATTATTTCACAACACATGCACACAAGCCATTTGCACCTATCTTTGGGCCAATTGTTGCATAGCAAAAGGAATTCCTCTACTTTGGACATGTACCAACAAGCGGCAGGTGAGCCTGGTATATACAGGATACCCCTGGCATATTATTCATAAAGTCTGGGTGGAAGCAGATGCATGTGACAGATGGGACCTTGTTGTACCCAAAAGCAAAATACCACAAAAACGTATTGCCTGTTCTTTTGAGTTTACCCCACAGATGATGGAGGTAAGAATCATAAACAGATACTGGGGCATTGAATCTCAGATTGAAGGTCGTGATCTCCAGAAATGCGATTCATTTAATCAAATGCACTTGTCAGTTGATATACATTGGTGGCACCACCCGCCCTATTAAGACTCGTATGTTAGAACACTAATCCCACATTAGAGGCAAAATTAGAGAGGCTCCGCTGGTTGAACACTTTATTGAACAAAACCACACTTGTGATGACTTTCGCTTTTTGGTTGCAAAGCACATCTCTCCAACCAGTGGAGTCACTGGTGTTAATGTGTACAGATTCCTTTCCCAGATGGAGTCCAAAAATATTTATAAACTCAATACACTAGTTCCACGTGGATTAAGTTCAACACTAGAGTTTGCAGGATTCATATAACTGCTTGCAGCTGTGTCTGTGGTCTTTCTGCCGCTGTGCCTTTAAATGTGTGAGCCCTATCCATGTTTGATAAGGAGGTTTAACAAACTGAAGGGCATTGTCTTCTCTATGCTCCTCCGGATTGGAAACATGCAGATGGGAACAGGCAAGTTTCTATAGATTTTTTGTATTAGTGGGACTGAGGATATTAACTATGTATGTACAAATAGACTAGTTATTGTCTCACCTTTATTTTTGTAGATATACCCCTACTTTAAGTCGTTTACATACTGTCTTCTCTTGCATATTATTTACTGCAAAGGTATATCTTAATTATGCATTCTCAACGTATTTTTCATTTTAATTTTCCTTATTCTATTTATTAATTCAGTGCAATTCTGTTACAATTGATTTTGACAGTTTGAAGACTAAGCTCTTTAGCGATGAAACGTCTGATTAACGGAACGACGTCCGAGCACTGGACCATTGGTATATCACAACTGGACTCTTTATTCCTGTTTCAGGAATATTTTTGGCTATTTTTGGTCATCTGCATACTATCCCTTGCTTTTTCCTGTAGGACTAACTACCATACCTATTGAGTCAATCACCTATCTCCTACTGCCCTTCTGAGAAAATCCCACCCCACCCTCCCACTATATATAAGGGTCTGGTGACTTCTGTTTCAGTGTATCTGAAGAAGTGTGCATGCACACGAAAGCTTATACCAAGAACAAACTTAGTTGGTCTCTAAGGTGCTACTGGACAATTTTTAATTTTTTTGCTTTATTCCTGTGTTTGCAATTGTTCAAGATAAAATCTATTTTGGAAAGAAAAGAAATGAGCACTGATGTGTATAAAAAATTAACTAACCAACTGAAGAAAAATGGGATCCTATATAGATGGGAGTTTCCGGAAGGAATTTCATTTTACTTTAAGGATAAAAGATTCAAACTGTCCAGCCCTTCAGAACTTGAAAAATTTGCAAGAAGATACGAGAAGGAACTTGGAAGGGTTGCGGGGTGGGGGGAGGGAGGGGGCGGCTGGGGGAGGGGGCGGGGGCGGGGGGAGTGAAGAGGAAGAGAGAGAGATAAACTTAACAGAAGCGAGGGAAGAGGAAGAGAAGACAAAGAACAGCAGCTTTAAGCCAGATTTGATAATTTACTAATTGTACATAATAGATGGCTTTAAAAATACTGTCTTGGAACGTGAACGGACTTAACAATAAAAATAAAAGGAACCAGATTACACATATTTTATTAAAAAGAACCTTGACATAATCTGTCTACAAGAGACTCATGTAATAAGAAAACATAAGAGAATTCTGAATAATAAGAAACTAGGGTTGGATTTTGTGGCATCGGACAAGGTTAAGAAAAGAGGTGTGGTACTATATATAAAGGAAAAATTTGACCCAAAAATACTGTATAAAGACGAGCAAGGGAGAATGATAGTAGTACAGATTGTATTCCAAGGAATAAAAATAATTGTCGCCGGAATATACGCACCTAACGATAAAAAATCGGCTTTCTTCTTAGAATTAGGTAATAAGTTATTAGAATGGATCGATCAAAAATGATATTGATGGGCGATTTTAACGGAGTGGTGTCACCAAATTTGGATAGGTCAATAAAAAGCAAGAGACAAAGGAAGGCAAGCTACCTCGAACGTTTTTTGATTTGGTTGATAATATGGGACTAATTGACGCCTGGAGATTTAAAAACCCCACTATAAAACAATATACCTTTTTCTCAAACCCAAATCAGAGTTGGGGGAGAATAGATAATATTTGGATCTCGAAGGAGCTGACACAGAACTTAGCTAAATCTGAAATACTCCCACAAACTATATCTGACCATAATCCGGTATTTATGGAGATAAAGGGTAAAGATACTAGAGTATTTAGATGGAGAATGAATGAAGGTATATTTAATAATCAAAAGATAGTAAGGGAGGCGAAAGAAACAATCGAAGAATACTTCAAGTGGAACTTACACAAAGAAACAGCTATAGAAACGGTCTGGGATGCAGGAAAAGCCGTTATGAGGGGCTTCCTAATTCAGAAAAACAGCCATTCAAGAAAAGAAAAAGAGAAAAAAAAGAGAAGAGATTCTAACACAGCTTATGGAGAATGAAAGACAACTAGCTACTAAACCAGGTGACGAGACAATAAAGCAAAATTTAAAAATATTACAAGCCCAATTTTCTATGATAGTTAACCAGGAAATTGAGTGGAAAATTAAAATGATGAAACAAAAGAACTTTGAATCAGCTAATAAAATAGGAAAATTCTTGGCGTGGCAAATAAGAGAAAGGAAAAAACAAAATACGATCTGCAAGATAAGGGATGGAGAAAGGATAGTGGAAGAGCCAAAAGAAATAAAAAGGATATTTCAGACGTATTATAAGGAACTGTATAAAAGAGGAAAGGAAATAGATTATGAAATAGACCGATACCTGGAAGATCACCATTTACAACAGATTGCCATAGAAGAGAAAGAGTTATTAGACCAGAGGATTACAGAAGATGAGATAAGGAAGGCAATAAAAAGATGAAAATTGGGAAAGCGCCAGGGCCGGATGGCCTACCAGCCAAGTACTATAAAACATTAAGTGAGCAATTATGCCCAATTCTATGTGAAGTGATGAATAATATTTTAAAAGAGGGAAGGATTCCGAATACCTGGAAGGAAGCATATATTACTTTAATACCTAAAAAGATGTGGATGCCTGAGAGGTGAAGAACTATAGGCCGATTTCGTTATTAAATAACGATTATAAACTGTTTGCGGATATAATGGCAGAAAGACTAAAAGGGTATTAAAAAATAGAATTCATAAAGATCAAACGGGCTTCCTACCAGGAAGACAACTAAAGGATAACGTAAGAAATTTGATAGATATTATTGAATACCTGGAAACTAGAATAGATAAACAGGCGGCCTTGATATTTATCGACGCGGAGAAGGCATTCGATAATGTCTCTTGGCGCTTTCTGATGGAAAATTTGAAAAAGATGGGGATGGGAGAAAGATTCAGAAAAGGTATAGAGGCTATCTATCATGAGCAAAAAAAGGCAAAACTTATAATAAATAATACTACATCAGAATTTTTTGATATTTCTAAAGGGACGAGGCAAGGCTGCCCTCTGTCCCCCCTATTATTTATCTTAGTATTGGAAGTACTTACTAAGAGGCTGAGGGATACAGCAGAGGTTAAAGGAGTCAGGGTAGGAACTAAGGAACACAAAATTAAAGCTTTTGCGGATGACATTGCTCTAACATTAGAAGATCCAAAGCACAGTGTAAAAGAAGCCCTACAAAAAATTGAAGAGTTTGGTGCTGTGGCAGGCTTTAAGGTCAATAAGAATAAGACTAAAATACTGACTAAAAATGTATCTAAAGAAGATATAGTAGACCTAGAACAAAAAACCGGAATTATGACGGCAAAGAAGGTGAAGTACCTTGGAGTCTGGATTACGGCTAAGAACATCAATCTATATAAGGATAACTATGAGGTCACCTGGAAGAACATTAAGAAAGACTTAGAAATCTGGGAGAGAATGAGATTATCTTTTTTGGGGAGGATAGCGGTTATTAAAATGAACGTTTTGCCTAGAATGTTATTTTTATTTCAAACCATCCCGGTACTTAAAGGTTTAAAGCAATGTAAAGAATGGCAAAGAGCCTTGGCAAGATACATCTGGCAGGGAAAAAGACCGCGAATAAAAATGAAAATACTGGTAGATAAAAAAGAAAGAGGGGGTTTCTCCCTTCCGGACTTATGTTTATACTATGAGGCGGCGTGTTTATCGTGGTTGAAAGACTGGATAACGCTAGAAAACAGAGACATCTTGGATCTTGAAGGCTTCGATAACAGGTACGGGTGGCACTCGTACCTGTGGTATGAAAAGGTGAAAGTACATAGAGGCTTTTAAACCATATTTTTAGAGGGCCAATATTCCAAGTATGGGAAAGAAATAAAAACCTATTGGAAAGGAAGACACCCTGGTGGATCTCACCAACACAGGTGTTACCGGTCAAAAAGTTAATATGGAAGGGAAGAATCCTACCTATGAAGAACTGACTAGGAAAACGGATCAAGGTATAAAACTTAGACCCTATGAAGAGATTAAAAACTCATTTACTGGGTGGTTGCAATACCACCAGGTAAATGACCTGTTAAAAGAAGATAAAAAGAAAATAGGATTCGAAGATAAAAAATCCAAATTCAATGTGGAAGTTGTTGAAGGAAAGAACAAAATACTGTCTAGAATATACGATATTTTACTGGAGTGGTATACAAAAGACGAGGAGGTGAAGGACGTTATGACTAAGTGGGCAATAGACATCGGCTATAACATCGATTTTGAGAGATGGCTAGAATTATGGAATACTAACATGAAGTTCACGGCATGTATGGCATTAAGGGAAAATATGTGGAAAATGATATTTAGGTGGTACCTCACACCAGTGAAACTGGCTAAGATCTATAGGTTAAAGAACAAAAGATGTTGGAAATGTGGAGAAGTAGATGGTGACTTCTACCATATGTGGTGGTTATGCAGCAAAGTGAAAGGCTTTTGGGAATCGATTTATAACGAGCTTAAAAAATTTTTTAAATATACGTTTCCCAAAAAACCCGAAGCCTTTCTGCTAGGAATGACAGGTAAAGAAATCAAAAAAGAAGATAAGGTACTATTTTTATATGCCACAACAGCCGCAAGAATCATGTTAGCACAAAATTGGAAAACGGACGCCATACCTAATGTAAGTGATTGGCAGATTAAATTAACAAATTATGCCGAGCTCGCTAGAATAACAGGAAGAATAAGAGATCAAGATGAACAGAAATTTCATGATAATTGGATTAAATATTGGATATATATTGGGACTAAACTTTAAACGACACTGGCGGGATTGGAATAACTCTAACAGTAAAAGGTTATTATGTAAAAGAGATAAAATACGTGAATATAAAGTCTATTTGATACTTACCAAAGGAGTGGAAGGAAGTTCAAGGCTTGGCAGAGCCTAAAATAAATGTATTTATGATTTATGGAATGAATATATTATGTGTAATTTAAGTATTGGACTTTGTATAAGTTTATATGTATAATACCAATAAAAATTTATCAATAAAAAAAAAAAAAGAAAGAAAAGAAAAGAAAAGAAAAGAAATGAGCACTGAACCACTGATATATTACAAGTGAACTCTTTATTTACTGTGTTTGCTATTGTTTAAGACAAAACCTTTTTTGGAAAGACATTACAGTGGTACCTTGGTTCTCAAATGCCTTGGTTCCCAAACACCAAAAACCCAGAAGTGTTCCAGTTTTCGAACATTTTTCAGAAGCCGAACGTCTGATGCGGCTGTCGGCTATTGTTTCTGGGGTGCCTGCACCAATCAGAAGCTGCACCTTGATTTTCAAACATTTTGGAAGTCAAATGGACTTCCGGAATGGATTAAGTTTGGCACTTGCTTTTGCTATTTATTTTGCGTTTTTGTTTTTGAGGCTTTTTCGGTTAATTTGTTTTTGTGACTGTGTGGAACCCAGTTCAACTACTGATTGATTGTGACTGCAGAAATGGATAAAAGTCGCCCCATCCAAAAAAATGACTATCATCAGTGCAGATAAGAAAATAATAGTTATTTATTTTTATCTACAATACTCTTATTTTATAGTACAGTACATTGAGTATTGCTTTCATTTTATGGATCAATGGCCTCGTTAGATAGTAAAATTCATGTTAAATTGCTGTTTTAGGGGTTGTTTTTAAAAATCTGGAATGGATTTATCCGTTTTGCATTACTTTCTATGGAGAAGTGTGCCTTGGTTTTGGAACGCTTTGGTTTTGGAACGGACTTCTGGAACGGATTTTGAGAACCAAGGTACCACTGTACTCTTTTTATGGATGTTTATTGTTGGTTCACAGATAGTTGCGTTGCTGATATTATCTTGTGTCAAATTTGTTATGGGGGACAGAACCTCAGATGTATACTCATTTGCATAGATTTTGGGGAGCACCCCTCCCCGCACCTTCACTATGCCCATGACTACAGCAATTACAGCCCCCGTAATCTCAACTCTTTTCCCAATCTTCAGGAGGGCCCTTTTCCTAACCAGAATGGGCAACAACCACCATGCACAAAAGGGAATCATCAGCATGGGGTTGGTTTTTTTTGGTCTTTTTTTAGAAGTGCAAAGGGGGGGGGGGGAAATGATGCGGAAACCCCTCCGCGATGTGCACCCCCAGAAGACCCTGGGCTAATGGTGAGATACGGGCATGTTCAGTGACCTAACGACCTCCTTTTGCGGACCTAAGGAAATCTGGGCAACGGGGGTGCAAAGCTTTCAGAAACGGGGGTGCAGACCCCCCCCCAAAAAACCTAGCCTACTGAATCAGAAGAATCTGTATTTACATCAGCCACTGAGCCATAGCCATACAATAAAATAAAACGTACTGAAGATACAGTAGAGGTAAAAACTTAACAATAGAAAGTACATGGGGGGGGGGGTTTCAATAATCAAATAGTAGATCTAATTCTAATTCTAACCTTGCAGTTTTTGCTGTCACCTGATCACCCTGATCTGCTAAAAGACAGGACACAGGAGGGAACGGTTGAGCAACCCGGCACGAACAATAATACAGTGGTACCTCTAGATGCGAACGGGGATCCGTTCCGGAGCCCCGTTCGCATCTAGAAGCAAACGTAACCCGTGTCCGTGCGTCTGCGGGTCACGTTTAGGCGCTTCTGGGCATGACGTCATTTTGAGCATCTGCGCATGCCACGGAGCGCAACTCGAATGCGCTCATTCCGAAGCACATTCAACCCGAGGTATGACTGTAGGAGTAATAACCTCAAATAAATACAGTGGTACCTCGGGTTAAGTACTTAATTCGTTCCAGAGGTCTGTTCTTAACCTGAAACTGTTCTTAACCTGAAGCACCACTTTAGCTAATGGGGCCTCCGGCTGCCACCTCGCTGCCGGAGCCCGATTTCTGTTCTCATCCTGAAGCAAAGTTCTTAACCTGAAGCACTATTTCTGGGTTAGCGGAGTCTGTAACCTGAAGTGTATGTAACCTGAAGCGCATGTAACCCGAGGTACCACTGTAAAGCGAGGCAAGCGCACCTTTCCCCAAAAAAGACCCCGGACCTCTGAATTCTGTGCGCGCTCCGCGCTCCCTTTGCGGGGTGCAGCGCGCGCCGCGCGCCTTCCACGGCGGCGCGCTCCGGCTTGGCTCGCTCGCGCGCGCGCGCGCGCATCCCGCCCGCCCTTGTGACGCCGCGCGCCCCGCTCGGCCACTCGCTCGCTCGGTGCCGGCGGTGCCCTGGGCGGGCGCGGCGGCGGCGGCGGCGGCGACGTCCTGGGCGGGGATGGCCACGCCCGGAGCCCCCGCCCGGAGACCTTCTTCCCGCGGGGTTGGCCTGTCGGCGGGGAGGGGGACGGCGGGGCCGGCTCCCCTTTTCTTCCCCCGCCGGCGCCCGGGCGCGCAGAGCTGAGCCGCGTCGCCTGGCGCCATGGAGACGTTGGCTTGGGCGCTGCGCTGCTCGAGGGCCTTTTGGCGGCGCGTCTCCGGCCCGGAGGAGCAGCGGCTGCTGGAGGGGATGAGCTACGGGATGGTGGGCAGCATGGCGCTGGCGATGCTGGCCACCCGCTACCTGAAGATCCCCTACGGGCGCTACGCCTCGTCCGCCTACGGGCCGCCCATCCCGGCCAAGGTGGCCTGGGCGCTGCAAGAGGCGCCCGCCTTCCTGGTGCCAATGGGGCTCGTCTGGGGCAGCGACGGCGCCCGGCTCGCCTTCTGGCCCAACCGCTTCCTCCTGGCCCTCTTCGGCATCCATTACGCGTACAGGTGAGCACGGCTGGCGCAGGTGTGTGTGTGGGGGGGGTTGGCCTTCCCGGGACCTGGAGGACCCGGGGAAGGAGCCCCGACGCCGGAGGGAAGCAGCCCGGCAGCGAGGTCCCCGCCGGGGTTGTTCCATTCTTCCTCCGGCTGGATGAAATCGGCGGAGGAAATAGAGGTCAAAACTTCACAATGCAATGTAGAATGACCTTTTATTTAAAATGCATCTCTGGGTTATTTGGGGGCCATAGGAATTTGTTCATATTCCCCCCCCCCCAAATATAGTCCAGCCCCCCACAAAGCCAGGGACAGTGGACCGGCCCCCTGCTAAAAAAGTTTGCAGACCCCGGATTTGACCATTGTGACCAGTAGCTACTGGTAGCTTCTTCCATTAAATTGTATAGCCCATTTCAAAGCCTCCACATCTTAGGCATGCAAATTCCATCGTTTAAACCACTTGCTGTGTAAAAATGCATTTCGTTTTGTCTGTCCCGAAATTCCTACTATAGTCATACCTTGTTTTTTGAATACAGGGGTGCCCCGCAAGACGAATGCCTCGCAAGACGAAAAACTCACTAGACGAAAGGGTTTTGCGTTTTTTGAGTCGTTCCGCAAGACAAATTTCCCTATGGGCTTGCTTCGCAAGACGAAACGTCTTGCGAGTTCTTGCGAGTTTGTTTCCTTTTTCTTAAAGCCGCTAAGCCATTAATAGCCGCAAAGCCGCTAAGCTGCTAATAGCCGTGCTTCGCAAGACGAAAAAACCGCAAGACGAAGAGACTCGCGGAACGGATTAATTTCGTCTTGCGAGGCACCACTGTAGGTTAGTTCCTGAACGTTTTGGCTCCTGAACGCTGCAAACCCGGAAGTGACTGTTCTGGTTTGTGAACTATTTTTGGAAGCTGAACATCCGACGGGGCTTCCGATTGGTTGCAGGAGCTTCCTGCAGCCAATCAGAAACCACGCTTTGGTTTCTGAACCTTTTGGAAGTCGAATGGACTTCTGGAACGGATTCCGTTTGACTTCCAAGGTACGACTGTATTTAGCTTCATTGGACAACAAGGTTACGCCTGTTGGTTCTAGCATTATGAAAGAGGAGAAATATGGATTGGGCAAGAGATTTGGGACCTAATATAATGTTTGAAGATTGGGAAAGGTGGAGGAAAGGAGTCAAGTTCACTGCATGTACTGTGTTAAAGGAAAATATTATGAAAATGATGTATAAATGGTACTTAAGCCCTGTAAAATTAGCAAAGATATATCATAACATAATCCATGCTGGAAATGTAAAGAAAAAGAGGGTACCTTTTATCATATGTCATGGACCTGCCCCAAGGTGAAAGACTTCTGGGAGAAGATTTATAATGAATTGAAAAAAATGTTGAAATATACATTTATTAAGAAACCAGAGGCCTTTCTTCTTGGAATAACAGGTATGGAATTGCCCAAAAAAGATGTTAGATTGTTTTTGTATGCCAGAACTGCAGCTAGAATTTTGTTAGCCAAGAATTGGAAATCACAAGAAGTCCCAACAGTAGAGGAATGGCAGATGAAGATGATGGACTTTTCGGAGCTAGCCGACCTGACTGGAAGAGTCCGCGACCAGGAGGAGGAGGAGTACCAGGAGGAATGGATGAAATTCAAAGACTATTTACTTAAATACGTTAAGATAATTTAACTGGAAAAACTTGCAAATATAAGATAGGCTTAGGATTTAAATATGTGATGTTAGAGAATAATATGTTTAACGTTAATATGAAAAGAAAGATGTTAAGTGATTAAGTTAATTTTATGAGAAAAAGTGGTTTTGGAAAACTGTTACAATGATATACACTGAAATTCAGGCAGGGAGGAAGTCACTTAACAATGTTACTAAGACTGGATCAAGTACAGTTCAGATCTATGTTTGTTTGTCTGTTTAAAATTTTGGAAAATCAATAAAATTTATTTTGTGCTATGCTGAATAGAAGGCTCTGCTTATTAAGGGGGATGTCGATGGTCTTATACCTTTTGCCTCAGGCCTCAAAATCTCTTAGGTTGGAAAATGTCCTGTGTGTATATGCAACTTTCTTCTTTTGCCCCTGACCTTAACATACATTATGCTTTAAAATACCATTTTTGAACCACTGCTATTGCAGTTTGTCACATTTTAACCAGCACCCACTCTTTCTCTATTTTTCTTTTTACAACTTTGGTATGCCTTTCCCTGCCCTTTCCCCTAATATGTGACCCGATTTGTAAGGTAAGCATTGTGAATTGGGGACAGCTTAAAGGAGTAACCCAGTTCCTTCTCATCTTGTATTACTCAGCTAAGTGGAATCCTTGCTACCTTACGTTACCAAAAGCAGGGTTATTTGATCACAAGCTGTGCTTTAAAGCTGCTGTCAATATGAACGCTTACAAGTAAATGATTCATTTTTAAAGTCATAAAAACGTGTTGCAAAGTGCAAACGATAGCTTTTTCTAAACGTAGTTGTAAAAATACGGAAAGATTCACACCATAATTACAAAGGGACCTTGATCTTCTCTGTATCGTTCCGTTTTTAAGCTTCTGTGAGCACACATAATTCAGTGTTTAGGTAAATATGACCCAAGGTTCTTGCACCATAAAAGCTAATTTGCCTGTGTGTCTACAACTTAAAGGCAGCAAACTGCAAATACAAAAATACGTATGCGGCAGTGTATGCTGCGAAATCTATTCTAGCAAAGAAAGGGGGCTGAAGCCCATTACACCTTTTCAGATACTTAGACAGCAATGCATTCTGGGAAGCAGAAACTTACTTTTGCATAAATAAGGCTGAGGGTCTTGAGACCTTTTTTGCTGTCTTCCCCAGCGCCAATCCTATCATTAGAGTGAGGTGGCAACTGATTTGGGTGGTCATGAAAGGGGAACTGTAGTTATTATTCACAGCCGTGGTTTGAAGTAATTGAAGTTTCTGAACAGTCTTCAGAGATGGCCCCATGTACAATGCGTTGCAGTAATCTCATCTGGATGTTACCAGGGCATGACAGGCTATTCTTCTTCAAGGACGGTCACAGCTGGCCTTCTGCATCACTGAAACCAGTTAGGTCTCCAGTTAACAAATGGCTCCAAGGAAGGCAGAGTGCTTGTAAACACTTCACCTTACTTGCCCAACTCTGGAATGCAATTGGACAGGCTCTGGGAGGTTCTTGCAAGATCTCGTGGGACCGTCTGAGTTCCTGAGAGATCTCGCAAGAGCCTCCCCGAACATAGTACAGTGGTACCTCAGGTTACCGTATTTTTCGCTCCATTGGACGCACCGGACCATAGGATGCACCGGATCATAGGAGGGGGAGAACAGGGAAAAAGATTTTTTTTCTTGTTCTCCCCCTCCAAAACAAGGTGCGTTCAAGGTACATTCACCAGAGCTTGTGGGGCTGGCGGTGGGGGGAAGCGCTGCTTTCCCCCACCGCCAGCCTCAAAGATCCCTGAAGCATATGGAGCGCAGCGCCCCGCTGCCCTGCACAGGTTTGCGCGCAGCCGTCCCCAAGCTAGAGCAGCGAGACGGAGCCCTCCGTCTTGCCGTTCTGGCTTGGGAACAGCCTTGCTCGCTTCTGCAGGACAGCGGGGTGAAGGCACCCCGCTGCCCTGCAGAGGTTTGCGCGCAGCCCTCCCAAGCTAGAGCAGCGAGACGGAGCGCTCCGTCTCGCTGTTCTGGCTGGAACAGCCTGCTAGCTTCTGCAGGACAGCGGGGTGAAGGCACCCCGCTGCCCTGCAGAGGCTTGCGCGCAGCCCTCACCTTGGAGCAGGTTTGCGCGCAGCCGTCCCCAAGCTAGAGCAGCGAGACGGAGCCCTCCGTCTCGCTGTTCTGGCTTGGGGACGGCTGCGCGCAAACCTCTGCAGGGCAGCGGGGTGCCTTCACCCCGCTGTCCTGCAGAAGCTAGCAAGGCTGTTCCCAAGCCAGAACAGCGAGACGGAGGGCTCCGTCTCGCTGCTCTAGCTTGGGGACGGCTGCGCGCAAACCTCTCCAGGGCAGCGGGGTGCCTTCACCCAGCTGTCCTGCAGAAGCTAGAAAGGCTGTTCCTAAGCCAGAACAGCAAGACGGAGCGCTCCGTCTCGCTGCTCTAGCTTGGGAGGGCTGCGCGCAAGCCTCTGCAGGGCAGCGGGGTGCCTTCACCCCGCTGTCCTGCAGAAGCTAGCAAGGCTGTTCCCAAGCCAGAACAGCAAGACGGAGCGCTCCGCAGTGCTCTGTCTTCCTGTTCTGGCTTTGGGCTTAGCGGCGCAGCCTGCATTCGCTCTATAGGACGCACACACATTTCCCCTTAGTTTTTGGAGGGGGAAATGTGCGTCCTATAGAACGAAAAATACGGTACATACTCTTCAGGTTACATACGCTTCAGGTTACAGACTCCGCTAACCCAGAAATAGTGCTTCAGGTTAAGAACTTTGCTTCAGGATGAGAACAGAAATCGTGCTCCAGCAGCGCGGCGGCAGCAGGAGACCCCATTAGCTAAAGTGGTGCTTCAGGTTAAGAATAGTTTCAGGTTAAGAACGGACCTCCGGAAAGAATTACCGTATTTTTTGCTCTATAAGACTCACTTTTTCCCTCCTAAAAAGTAAGGGGAAATGTGTGTGCGTCTTATGGAGCGAATGCAGGCTGTGCAGCTATCCCAGAAGCCAGAACAGCAAGAGGGATTGCTGCTTTCACTGCGCAGCGATCCCTCTTGCTGTTCTGGCTTCTGGGATTCAGAATATTTTTTTTCTTGTTTTCCTCCTCTAAAAACTAGGTGCTTATTGTGGTCTGGTGCATCTTATAGAGCGAAAAATACGGTAAGTACTTAACCTGAGGTACCACTGTAAGCAAGTCTGTGGGCTTAAAAGCTGTTGACACACTGGGAAAACCCAGCGCAAAAGAGACTTTGAGGTTCTCTGCCTTGCATGCAATTCATTTGCTGGCTTGCCTATCTATCTGCCATTTATGATTATCTATGATTATCTATTATGATAGATGTATACTGCGAAAGATGAAGTAAAATGAATATCAGATAGGTGGGACTTGGGGAAGCCCACTTAACAATGTTTAGAAAAATAAGGATATGACAAGAATTTGTTTGTATTGTTTGTCTTTTCTGTTTGTGTTTTTTATTTGTGTTGTAAAATGAATAAAAAAAAATTTGGGGCAAAAAACATCTTCAGAGGAGGCTTCTGCTTCCATGAGACCCTGGAAATGCAGCCGCCCCATACGGGGATCAAACTGCGGTTATCAGCACCACGCTTTAAGCAACTGTGGAGGCTACCAAGGGTTTTCAGAAGCCAGGAAAAACCAGGGTTTCGAAACAAACAGAAGGCTTCCTGAGCCTCGGGGGCTTCCCCATTGCAGACTGTTGCCAATGAGCATGCAGCGCATTACAGGGGCAAGGGCAGCGTTGACATCCGCATGCACCCTCTCATTTGCGTCCTTCTCTGTTCTGATCCATATCAGAGCAGGGTGGCACTCACACTACCCAAAGCAGCCCTGCCTCATCTGTTGGTGCATCGTGCACAGATGATGGAAGATGGCTTGAAGTGAGTTTCTTTGGGAGATGCTGAAAAGCAGGACAAAAACAAGTATTTTCACTCTATGAGACGCACCAGACCATAAGACGCACCTAGTTTTTGGAGGAGGAAAACAAGAAAAACAAATATTCTGAATCCCAGAAGCCAGAACAGCAAGAGGGATCTGGCTTCTGGGATAGCCTCTTGATGTTCTGGCTTATGGGATAGCTGCGCCAAGCCTCTCCTGGGCAGCGGGAGGAAGGCTCCCCCAAGAGCTGCGCTCCCTTTAAAGAGCCGCGTGGAGCATGTGTGCGGCTCTTGGGGGCTTTTCCCCTAGGAGGGAGAAGGGCAGCCCAGCTCTTTAAAGTTAGCGCTGAGCAGAGCCTCTCGCCTGCCTTCGCTCCATAAGATGCGCACACATTTCCCCTTACTTTTTAGGAGGGGGAAAGTGCGTCTTATAGAGCAAAAAATACGGTAAGTAAACATGGCTGCTGCTTGGTGAGTCTGAAAAAGGAGGCCACTCGAACCAAAAGAGGCTTTCTTTTGCTTTTCAAGTTTTTGCAGCTTGTCGTTATTTTGGGGGAAAGAAACCCTCTGAAACACTGGAAATTTCCTCCTTCACCCCAAGGGACTTGCTGTGAGCTCTCCGGGTGGGGGGCGTTTCACACTGTCCATAAGCAAAACCTCAAATCCGCAGGGTCATCTTGTTTGGGTGATGGACATTCTCCTCGGGTCTCAAACTGCTTCTGCCTCGATGTCTCACCCCAAGGATTAATTTCTGAACCAAGGGTGGCCTTTTACTTGGGTTTCGTAGCCAGGAAAACATCAAGAATGCACTTTTTTGCACTACAGACCAAGTTTACACCAAAGATACTGATAATGAGGAAACTGCGGGCACTGGTAACAGTTTTGTGCACTTTTCAGGCATTTTAAAACCGTGGATTAGCAAAATTATGGAGAGGAGAGCAGGATCACACCCATTCTCCCCTCTCAGCCTGGAACAGTCTCGGATATGGCATAGAGAGTTGTCATTTGTGGAGGGGATTGGTGAAAATGGGATGTGCTCAAATATAAAGGGTAAAGGGACCCCTGACCATTAGGTCCAGTCGTGGCCGACTCTGGGGTTGCAGCGCTCATCTTGCTTTATTGGCCGAGGGAGCCAGCATACAACTTCCGGGTCTTGTGACCAGCATGACTAAGCCGCTTCTGGCGAACCAGAGCAGTGCACGCAAACGCCGTTCACCTTCCTGCCAGAGCGGTACCTATTTATCTACTTGCACTTTGACGTGCTTTCGAACTGCTAGGTTGACAAGAGCTACGGGAGCTCACCCCGTTGTGGGGATTCGAACCACCAACCTTCTGATCGGCACGTCCTGGGCTCTGTGGTTTAACCCACAGCGCCACCCGCGTCCCTGTGCTCAAATATACTTGAGTATATTTGCAGAAAAACAAATGGGAAGATTATTTGGGACAGTTCTCCACCTCCTTTACTTAGGAAAATGCAGCAGCCAATATTGAAGGGAGGCTTCAACTTTCCAGATATTAGTTTATACCAGACGGCATATTTGTTAGCATGTACAAAGGATTGGCAGGTTTCTCCTTCTATCAACACTCCAGCTTGGGTAATTTTAGAGATGACTTATTTAGTAACACCTTTATTTGGATGGTTAATGTTGGGGTCTATGTATAATAAAAAGAAAGGATCTAAACCACATTTAATTTTAGCAGCTAGAAAGATACAGGGTATACAGGCTTGTCAGTTGCAGTTTGACCCATGTGCTCGTACTAAATTAAATTTATGGGATTGGAAGATAGGCAGCCTTTTTTGCGGACGAAATAACAAAATGGGTTGAATGCGATGTGTGTGTGTGTGTGATTTGCTATTTTACAATTTGAATATAGATTACCAGCAAGTACGAAATGGCAGTATCTTCAATTACAGCCTTTGCTGGAGTCTATATATAGCCCATCTGCTTTGAGATCTTTGGTATCTCCTAAGGCGTTGGAGGAAATTATTGGATCTTCCCAGAAAGAACAACCTGTACCTGTTGTTTATGAACGCTTAACGGAACTTCGTAAGGGAGAATTTCAAGAACTCAGAGGTGCCTGGAATAGTAGGTAATGAGAATGTAATATGCAGCCTAAAGAATGAAAAATTGCTTTAGAAGAGACACAGAATATTACCTTAGAATTGAAATACCCACCGTTCCAACAATAATTAATTGAGTGTATTGGACTCCACAACATTTGTATAGGAAGTCACTGTCTAATAGAGATAAACGTTGGTGATGTAACACCTTGGTTGAGGTACATGTTGCAAGCTTGTCCGGTGATGCACTATTTCTGGTCTGAAGTTTTTATCCGCATTGGCATCTGTTTCGTATTGGCAAAATATTTGTGTACTTCTAAAATATATTCTTGTAGGATGGGAATAACAGCAGGACAACAAAAGTGGATTTTTGTGAGCCCTTATGATAGCTAAGAGACTCAAACTTCAAACCTGGAAGGGTAAATTCCATGGTGACAATTGGACGTATTTCATACAGACATAGATTTTTGTGTGGATACCTATCTGGACATTTGGGGAGCTTATCTTAACTTACATATTTGACTTAAGATTTACTGATGATTTATTGTACTGTACTCAAATTGTGAACCTATTGTGGCTTTTTTGGGGGTTAGTATTATTTATATACTACTTTTAATTGTCTTTATTATTTTGTTCTCTTCCCTTTCTCTTCCTCTGTTAAATTCACAATTTAAAAAACGATTAATAAATGAAAGACCAACTGACACAGGGCCTGGAATTCTACAGCATCACTGAGTCTCACCTCTGCTATTGCAGGAGCAAAGCCTCCCTCTGCCGCTGACTTGTCTATGGAGGGTTGTCGACCCAGTAGGCAGATTCTGAGGATTTCCTGGTTAGGAAAGTTTTTAACGTTTTTATCATGTTTTTAATATTCTTTTGGGAGCCGCCCAGAGTGGCTGCAGAAACCCAGCCAGATGGACAGGGTATAATAATAATAATAATAATAATAATAATAATTCCCTCCTCCTCCTCTTTCTTCTTCTTCTTCCCTGGAAGTAGACTGGCCGGGTGCCTTGGAGATGAAGGCATAATATACATCTAATTAATAAAACAGATCTGCCTCCTGCTTCACTGTAAACAAGGAATCTTTGCTTCCTGACCTACTGATGCCAGTCATTTCAGTCCGATGAATGCTCTCCATCGCAGAAGCGACACCCAAGGGAGCCTGCTACAGATACACCTGCTACAGATATGGCTGAAATGAAGGCTCCCTCCAGTGCTCTTGAATGATACCATATTCGATCCTGGCTCTGCAAACAGTGAGGGGGAAAAGCTTGCCTATTTCTGGACTGGATTCCTGGACACCCTTTAAGTTGCACTCTAGGAATCATCTGGTGCACAGACTATTAACATCAAACGAGCGAAGTCACTCAGCCCCTCAGGAAACAATTATAGGCTCCTCCCTTGCCTCGTCTCTCAACAAGTCACAGGTGTCCTCCTTCCCTGCCCCACCTTCCTGCAAGAAGCTTCGGTTATTTAAATAATGTGCATGAAGTGCTTTGAGCACGTTCGACTTCCAAAAGGTTTGGAAACCAAAGCGCGGCTTCTGATTGGCTACAGGAAGCGCCTGCAGCCAATAGGAAGCCCTGTTGGACGTTTGGCTTCCAAAAATAGTTCTCAAACCAGAACAGTTTGCAGCGTTCAGGAGCCAAAACGTTCGGGAACTAAGCTGTTTGAAAACCAAGGTACGACTATAGTAGGAATTTCAGGGGGAAAAAGACCGAAATGCATTTTTACATTTAAACTATGGAATTTGGTTTAAACTGTGGAATTTGCATCCCTAAGATGTGGAGGCTTTGAAATGGACTATACAATTTAATGGAAGAAGTTACCAGTGGCTGTTGGGATTTTTCCTCTATGTGCAGCTTCACACGAAGTCAATTAAGAGTTGCCCAACAGCCAAGACTGAGCAAAGAAGAGTTATTTGCCTAGAGATATGGGACCTTGGAGGCAGCTCTATCATAAGGTCTCACGCAGGCATAATGATTTATGACCTACTGACTGGAATGTGTTTTGTTGGTCAGTGTGGTGTTTCCGAGAGTCGTTTGGTTTTGTTAAGAGAGAGCTAGTTAAGATCCGTGTATCTGTTCCTGTATATAGTAACTTGTAGAGTCTGTTGTACATAATGTTGTTGTTTAGTCGTGTCCGACTCTTCGCGACCCCATGGACCAGAGCACGCCAGGCACTCCTGTCTTCCACTGCCTCCCGCAGTTTGGTCAGACTCATGTTTGTAGCTTCGAGAACACTGTCCAACCATCTCGTCCTCTGTCGTCCCCTTCTCCTTGTGCCCTCCATCTTTCCCAACACCAGGGTCTTTTCCAGGGAGTCTTTTCTTCTCATGAGGTGGCCAAAGTATTGGAGCCTCAGCTTCAGGATCTGTCCTTCCAGTCAGCACTCAGGGCTGATTTCCTTCAGAATGGAGAGGTTTGATCTTCTTGCAGTCCATGGGACTCTCGAGAGTCTCCTCCAGCACCATAATTCAAAAGCATCAATTCTTCGGCGATCAGCCTTCTTTATGGTCCAGCTCTCACTTCCATACATCACTGCAGTGGTGCCCCGCAAGACGAATGCCTCGCAAGACGGAAAACCCGCTAGACGAAAGGGTTTTCCGTTTTTGAGTCGCTTCGCAGGACGAATTTCCCTATGGGCTTGCTTCGCAAGACGAAAATGTCTTGCGAGTCTTGAGATTTTTTTTTTGCTTTCCCCCCCCTTTATCTAAGCCGCTAAGCCTTTAATAGCCTTTTAGCAGCTAATCCGCTAAACCGATAAGCCTTTAATAGCCGCTAAACCGCTAATAGCGCTAATCCGTTAAGCCGCTAATAGGGTTGCTTCGCAAGACGAAAAAACCGCTAGACGAAGACACTCGCGGAACGGATTAATTTCGTCTTGCGAGGCACCACTGTACTGGGAAAACCATAGCTGTACATAATAAACACATCTAAGTAATCAAGTTACTAGTAGCAGCATTTGTTCCTGCAACAGGTCAAAGTTGCAAGACACCAACAGTGGCTACTGGTCACAATGGTCAAAATGTACTTTATGCATACTGCACAATTTGCTTAAAAGGGATTCTGTTTTCAATAAGCTTGGAGTTTAGTTTTGTGTGTGTGTGTGTGTGTGTGTTGCATTTCTGCAACGTTTAAAACTAAATAAAACCCTTAATTTTGCATTTATTCCAGGGCATTCATCTTTCCTTTCTTAATTCGTGGAGGAAAGCCAACTCCTGCCATTGCATTTTTGCTAGCTTTTGTCTTCTGCACTTATAATGGATACCTGCAGGGCCGGAGTTTGAGTAACTATGCAGAATACTCTTTAGATTGGCCAACAGTACTGCGCTTCATTCTAGGTGAGTAACCTTAGGTACTAAATACGTCACAGATTTTCAAGTGCAGCCATTGGCGATGGTTCAGAACATCATAATGCAAGCAGATCGGATACAGACATACTGTGGTGCATTCTCATAACTTTTTTTTTTAAAGGTTGTGTTTCTAAACCAGCATTCTAATATATTTTCAGGTTTTTCAGGGTGGCTAAGTGGCCTGCTGATTAATGTGCATTCTGATAATATTTTGAGGAATCTCAGAAAACCAGGGGAAACGGGCTACAAAATACCAAGAGGTGAGTAATGTGTCATTGAAATCCTATGCTGCAAATGTGTCATTGAAACTTAAATTATTTTATAATGAAGCATTCTAACAGTAAGGGTTCTGTGCAAGTTGCTTGTCACAGAAGTGGATTCAAAAGGAGTAGAAGTGTTTTTTCTTATATATAAATTCCTGCGCTCATAAAGCAGGTGTTTTTTAAAGAACACAATAAAACAGATTTTTCCTTTTTGAAAATCTCTTTAGCTATTGCTGAGACACCCGCTTTATTGACAGTAAAAGCTCTGGGGCCGCATCACTTTTCCTAGTTGTGTGTGCTCAAATCCCATTTAATTTCCATGCGAGTTAAGTATATGGAACTGGTTGGAAGGTAACCCAGTCCTACAGTCTTGACAAGGTGGTTACTACCTCTGCTGCTTGCAAAAGTGCAAGCCAAGTCTGTCTCCCCCACCGCCATCCTCACTCGGCAGAAATTCAACAGCATTTAATGAAATGCAAATGCAGAAATAGCAACCAGTCTCGCCACGCAGTGCTTAGCAACCATGCAGCTCCTTATCAATGGCGACATTGTCTGTGATCCGCTCCATGCGCAGCTGTGCTTGGAAAGCACCAATCAGCCAGCAGCATTGTCACCTTACTTCTCTCCCCCCCCCGATGCCGCTCGCAAGGTAAAGACCCTGTAGGTTTATATGCAAAGGAAACACCAGGCTTTCCCTCCTAGCTTCTTGAGAAACATGGAGAGGCAGTTTCAAGCTGTGGCCCTGCGGGGAACGTGCCTTAGCTAAAACGCAACATTTTCGGTACAGCGTGCATTTGATGGAGGCAGGCACACATTTCCCAGTACTGCGGATCACAGCCGTGAATTCCTGAGTTTTATTTATTTGCCAAGGGCATGATGCAAGTTCACTAGGTGTCAGGGCTCTTTTGTCCAAACGAGCCTGCAACTCACTACAAGGTTACTCTGTCTTCATTCTGGGATTTACTGCTAAAAAAATAATTCCTTTGAATTAAATTGTATAGCCAAGAGGGCTTCCAGAGGAATGTACAGCCATATTAAAATACAAAATAGTAAATAATAATCCAGAGAGGTTTGGAGAGGGTTTATTTCCCCCACCCCACCCCCTGAGAAATTGCACACCCACCCTCAAAAGACAAGTCCAAACCACACACTGACAGCAATACTACTAATAATAATAATAATAAATTTTATTTATATCCCGCCCTCCCCAGCCGAAGCCGGGCTCAGGGCGGCTAACAACACTAAAATAGTGCAACATTATAAAAACATTATAAAAATTAATTAAAATCAAAGTTGATGGCAACCATAAACTAAAGTTTTGTAAAGATTGCCAAAGGAGGGAGTCAGGCTGTGCCCTGACCAAAGGCCTGGTGGAACAGCTCTGTCTTGCAGGCCCTACGGAAAGATGTCAAGTCCTGCAGGGCCCTTGTCTCTTGTGACAGAGCGTTCCACCAGGTTGGAGCCGCAGCCGAAAAAGCCCTGGCTCTAGTTGAGGCCAGCCTAACCTCTCTGTGGCCTGGGACCTTCAAGATGTTTTTATTTGAAGACCGTAAGTTCCTCTGTGGGGCATACCAGGAGAGGAGCTCTCTTATCAGCTCACCAAACAAAGCTGGAGATGTGAGTTCAGTCCCCATTACGGGGAAGTGGAATATGGCCTCCCCTCCTGTTTTTCATGCCTGACCAGCAACAGCAATACCAAGCAAAAAAAGAGGAGCTCCCGATATTTGAACCCGCTTAGCCACAGCAGTAGACAGGGAAACAAGAGACACCACGGGGCATTTTGCTTTTGCCCAGCTCCCTCAAGACTCAAATACGTGCACTGAGATCACATGGGCTTCAGAAGGAGCCCATGTCGGGGGTGGGGGAACAGCTTAGGTTTCATATGCAGGGGATCACAGGTTCAAATCTAAGGCCTAGGCCTAGCACCACACTTGAGAAGGTGGGGAGGGAGACTTCCGGTTGGTCGCCCGATTAATGGCGACGGGAGTTCTTTCGGCTGAAAGAGCCCCGGCGCTATGAAGATTGGGGTGACCGCGAGAGTGTTGCGGAACCCCGAAAAAAACCTCAGATTGAGCATTCTGAGGACCGGGTACCCTGAGTGACTCCCCTGCTCCCCGGGAAGCTCTAGTAAGAGCCCCGAGAGCGAGCGGGGTTGGAGACGTGGGTACTGTGGAATCAACTCGCTTTCTTCATTGCGCAAAGCTCCAAAGTCTGGCGATCGTGAGCGACCAATTTCTCTGAAAAAATTAAGATTTGGAAACCGTGAGTAAAAATCTAAGGCCTAGGCCTAACACCACACTTGAGAAGGTGGGGAGGGGCTCCCACGTGAAGGCATAGTTGAACCAATTTGTAAGAGTGCTGTATGATCCAATGGCCCTCTTGGTCCACCCTTCCCCTAGCAACCCATGCAACCAGTGCCTCTGACTATTTTCCTTGCTAGGCCAGCCCTAACGTCCCAACAGACCCAAACATCCCTCCCTATTCCCCCATGCTGCCACAGTCTCTATCTGGAACATCATGCAAACCACTGCTTTATTTTGTAACGGAAACCAGAAGGGTGCAAAGAACCACCATGTGTTTAGCTTCACCTCTAGCTCGGACTCGAGCTACCGTCTCTTGACAAAAGCAGCAGCCAAGAAACAGAAACGACCACGCCTGAGTCAAATCTGTCTGCTACAAGGGCTAAATCAAGAGTTTGCTTTCTCAGAGGATGTGGATGTAGCTACCATGTACTTCAGCAGCCTGGTCTTACTCAGCTTGAGACCTACTTGCAAGCACAGATGCATCTGACTATGAAGCTCTGGATGACATTGCAGAATTGGGAGAAGGAATTAAGAGTCTTGCAAAGTACAGGATGCCACCCAAAATGAGGGTGACCAGAGTTGCAGATATTTTTTGGTGAGCACCAGGAAGGGGAACCTCAAATCCTCCTTGAGGATCTGACTTCTCTTGTCCTGGAGCAACAACAAGAAAGATTTACTTCTTTCTCTCTTCCTAAAATCTTGTTCTGAGAAAACAGCTCCCCTCTGGCAAGAGTCTAACTTGCTTCTCTTGCCCATGGAAGCGATTGGGACAGGGCTGGAAACCATGACTTAATGTAACATCAATATTGCTAGAAGTAGCTATAATTAGTTGTTTTACAACTGGGTAACTCCCAATACTTTCGGATTTACAGTGACTTAAAGCTATCAGAGCATTAAGTGCTACTACATTTTGTTCTACAGGAGGAATGTTTGAATATGTGACTGGAGCCAACTACTTTGGAGAGATTCTTGAATGGTGTGGATTTGCTCTTGCCTCCTGTACCTTGGAAAGCGCTGCTTTTGCTGTTAGTACATTCTTGATATTAGGAAGAAGGGCACAAATGCATCATCAGTAAGTTTTCAGAAATTCTGATTTCTCTTGAATTTTCATGTGGGAGTTTTGATGCATACTTATTTGTTTTTTTGTGATAAACCATACTTAAGGTTCCCCCTCTTCTTTGTATGGACATAGAACTTATGTTTATTATCTATATTTGCTAAGGAAAGTGACAGGGAAGCTAAATATTGAGCTGGTTTAAATCATTATCAGGCCCTTCAGTTATTCACCTTTCCCTCCATCTGGTACCCTCCAGATGTTTTGCATTAAAATTCCCACCAGCCGTGCTGATTGGGACTTAGGGGAATTGTAGTCCAAAACATCTGGACAGCACCACATCTAAGTCATTGATAAAAATGTTGAAGGATTGGGCCCAGGTTGAATCTTGTAGCACCCCATTTGAAACTTGCCTCAGGTTTGATGAGGAAGCATTGTGAGTCCTCTTTGAGCGTGATTTCCCAACCAACTCTAAATTCTCCTGATTGTATTATCATCCAGCTTGCATTTAACCAGTTTGATAACCTAAATATTATGTGGAACTCTGTTTTCCTGAAATCAAGATAAGTTACATTCCCACAGTCCGCTAACTCAGTAACCCAACCAATAACAAGGTAAACTTAATCCGGACACAAATCTGGGTTATTCTTGAAAAATCCATGCTACTGATTTGTGGCCGTGGTGGCCCAGTTGGAAGAATTCACTTGGCACCAACTTTTTAAGTGTCAGGCAAAGACTTTAAAAAGCAAACAAAAAACCAGTCATTTTAACTGTCTTGATTATATACAGGTCGTGCTATCCAAAAACTCATTGTATGAAAAGTCATTTATCCAAACAAGAGGAATTAGTACTCTAACCTCGCCTATACACACCAGATTCAGATATCCAAATAGCTGGATCTGAATATAGTATTGTAAACAAATAAGCAGCCTTAAAACAAGCCTTACTTTTTTTCTGTTTTACTGACCCATAACAGCCATGGTGAGAGGGAAGGGAGGCAAGGGGAGAGATTGGACAAATAAATGAGCATTTTCCCCTTCCTTGTTTGCCTTTTGCAAGGTTTCAAGGGGTTTTCCAGGGATTTTACAAGGCTTTTCAACCTTTTAGGGCCAAAATTCCATTGTTGGGAATGCATTAAATTTCCCCATAGGAATCAGTGGAAATTGTGGACTCGTTGTGTGAATGCTCGCCTAACAAACTTATTTTCCAAGAATGCATTGTGTTCGGATAGCGAGACCTGTGTGTATTTTAAACTGACTTTTAACTGTGTTGGTACCTGCCACTTTTATGCTTGGGTGTTTTTAAAGAAAAATATTAGATTTATTACCTGCCCTTCACCACAAAGTATCAGGGTGGGTCACAACAATGTAAAATACAACATTAAAAAATAGTTTAGAACATTACAATCAGAACTAGAACAGGTTCTAAAATAAATATATCTCAAATAAATTGTTTTCACTTTGGTGCGTTAACTTTGTAAACAACTTAAAAACCTACATACGGCGATAGAGAAATGTAATAATTAAATAACAATCGCATTGTTATCAAGTTGCTTACTCCGTAAATAACCTGTTCTACATGAATTTGGGTTCTAACGTACCGAATTTTTTGCTCCATAGGGTGCACCGGACCATAGGGCGCACCTAGTTTTGGGAGGAGGAAAACAAGAAAAAATTATTCTGAATCCCAGAAGCCAGAACAGCAAGAGGGATCTGGCTTCTGGGATACCGTGTGGCTGTTCTGGCTTCTGGGGTAACCACACCAAGCCTCTTCAGGGCAGCGGGATGAAGGATCCCCCTGCCCAAAGAGGCTGCGCAGGGCTAAGGCAGAAGCCAGGAAAGGCACGTCTGAGAGGGAGAACTGCGCAGCACCCCTTCAGCGAAGCTGGAGAAGGAACAGAAGGAGTCCCTTCTGTTCCTCCTCCGGCTTCGCATGACAGGCGCATCGCTGATAGTCACCTGAAGCCTTTGGAGCACATTGGGAACTCGCGCTGCGCTCCAAAGGCATCGGGTTCCTTTCGCTGAAGCCGGGAGAGTCTTGCTCTCCCGGCTTCCGGAAAAGGAACCTGAAGCCTTCGGAGCGCAGCGCAAGTTCCCGCCTCGCTCCGCAGGCTTCAGGCGGCTATCCCTGAAGCCTGGAGAGCGAGAGGGGTTGGTGCGCACTGACCCCTCTCGCTCTCCAGGCTTCAGCGAAAGCAACGCGAAGCCTCCGGAGTGTGGAGGGAGCGCTCCCTCTGCGCTTTGGAGGCTTCGCGTTGCTATCACTGAAGCCAAGGAGCCTGCATTCGCTCCATAGGACGCACAAACATTCCCCTTCATTTTTGGAGGGGAAAAAGTGCATCCCATAGAGCGAAAAATACGGTAAATTTGGCTTTTCCTGTTCTTACTGAGGCAGTTAAGAAATGTATTTGTATTTATGAAGATTTAAGAACATGCCCGGGCCTTATTTCAGATATATGAAAGGTGGTAATGTTCTAGTTTTATACAATTTGAGCCAAATAGTACTCCTCACTTCTTCTGCTTCTTCTCCTTCAGCTGGTACCTCAACAAGTTTGAAGACTATCCCCGCTCCAGGAAAATTCTGATTCCATTTATCTTCTGAGCTCTTCCTCACATTTCCTGCTGATTCTCAGCAATAGCTGCTGCTATGACGAATAAGAGAAGTTAATGTTCAATAAATGTTGGCTAAACGGGGCCTCTGAATACCCACCAGGGCACTTCTGGCAATGCAAATACTGTGCTTAATGATGCAACAGGGACAATTCACATTATAAAGTATTTTTGAATTATAGGTGCTATACCGTAACTCTTTACGAGCTCGTTATACCTCAACTTAATGTTCTCTAAGGAACTTTCTTAACTTTCTCGAAGGAAAAGGCCCCTTACTAGGTTTCCAAAAGGTGCTGAAACCTTAACCTAGGTAATTATTATATACTTATTATTATATACTTCCGACTGCTTTTCTACTTTTAAGAATTCCAGGCAGTTAACAGACTAAATTAGAAATATAGGGTGGTTGTCATTCTTGGAGCAGACCCACGGGAATAAATCAACTTTAAGTTCATTGGTTTCATTGGGTCTATTCTGAGTATCACTTAGTCCACCCTTAATGAAAGACAAGGAGCAAAAATATACAATATAATAATACCATACAATATAATATAATAATAATACAATACACAATATGCAATAATATAATACAATATAATAATATAAACAATAGCAGGCCAGTAGTTAAATGGCACCCTTCCCAAACAACTTAAGTTTTAACTCGGCCTTAACTCTTATTAACACTCCTCAAAAAGGAGAGTAGATGGATGTGTTTGGGGATGGAGTGCCAAGGCCTACGGGGAAAACCACCTCTGGCTTTTTTCGGGTGTTTTCCAGAGGAAGCAGCAGGTCCTTGGGAAACTCACTAGCTTCCTTCTCTCAGGGATGAAGGACAGAAAATAAAGCTTTTTGCTGTAATGTTCATGAAATACTAATAGGAATTCTTTCAAAGCGTTAATTCTATTATATGCTTTGGCACACCATTTTATTTATTTATTTTTTTAAAAAAAGAAGCCTGAATAGCTTTTCAGATACCTTTTAACTGAATAACTTTCTAAAAAAATGCCTAACGTAACTGGTATTATAGTTTGACGTCTTCTTTATTCTGTTATATTTTACTCCAAGAAGACCCATTTATTCTAAACAGAACCCAGTAAGGCAGACATGTATGTACAAAACGTTTTGTGTGTGTGTTTTTTTTAAGTGATCCCATTGAGATGTCAAGATCAAAATTTGCAGGTAGCTCTTAGAAATATATTAAATAATTAATATAATTATTGGAAATTTTTAATCACGTTAATTTTTTAACCACTTTTTAAATTTTGTAACTTTAAAATGTAAAGGAAGTCCATCATGTGACATATCGTTTTAAAGCCCATGAAGTTCTGAAGACGTTGGTATTTTTAATTTTGAAATATCTCAATTCTCGGCTGAGCTGTTAAGGTTTTTGTGTAGTTCAGCAAGGCCAAAATTGTCGTTTTTATTTTATTTTTTAATTTCAAACCGTAACTCAAAAACGGGACGAGATAAATAAAATTTTAGATTTAAACTTAGTTTGGATCATTCAACAAGTGTGCTAAATATTAAGAAAAAAAATGGATGACACGACGTAAAAAAATTGGATCACTTGATATGGAATGACCCAACCCAATGGATGCAACCCAATGGCATTCGATACGGAATAGGCATGTATGCAATTGAACTGTAGGGCTACAATCCTATGCACATTTGCTAAGGGGCAAATCTCCTTTAAAGGAGTGGGGGTTACTTCTGTGTAAGCATGTTATGTGCTGCTGACTGCCTAGGAACAAATCACCAACAAGAGCTCAGGGTGTTGATCAGAGACTTCAAAAATACTTGCTGCTACCTAGAAGGTGACAACTGAAGAGCGATGCCTAAAGATGTTGACCATTAGATTGACACTTGGGACGGCTGAAGCCAAAGGCATAGAACTTTCTCTGAGCAGACAAAATTGAGGACTCCATAGCTTGGAAGTTGGCAGAGGCATTTACGCCGCATGAAGCCAATCCATGCATGTTATAAGAGAAAAACACACGAGAAACTGTTGAACTATTGAGCTAGTTATTCTGGCAGGCATCTTAACCGAGGTTTGGTTTTACAGTTCTGATTAGAACTTCTTTCACTGTATCTTTGTAAACCACAGAGACTGTTGTAGTATATACATTATTTAAATGAAATAAATCAGTAATAATAAAAGCAAGGCTTATCTGCCACCCTACACGACCGCCATGCAGCCGCTTGCAGTAGCTAGAAGCAGCCTCTTTGAGAATCCATGTCGCACATGCTCAAAATTTGTACACCCCTGGATATCCAGGTTGGTCAGAGAGATGCGTTGCCTTTTCTGTCACCATTATTTTTGGTGTCATAACCAGAGAATTCCTTTCCCGTCAGGGTTGGGGGCAGGAGTGGAGTCAGGAAGTTTACTTTATTTGTGGATACCCCCCCCCCCCCGCTGAAAGACACTTGGTATAGAGATTTACCGTATTTTTTGCTCTATAAGACTCACTTTTTCCCTCCTAAAAAGGGGAAATGTGTGTGCATCTTATGGAGCGAATGCAGGCTGCGCAGCTATCCCAGAAGCCAGAACAGCAAGAGGGATCGCTGCTTTCACTGTGCAGCGATCCCTCTTGTTGTTCTGGCTTCTGAGATTCAGAATATTTTTTTTCTTGTTTTCCTCCTACAAAAACTAGGTGTGTCTTATGGTCTGGTGCATCTTACAGAGCGAAAAATACAGTAATTTGCAGTAGGTTGTCCCATCTAGTGCAAGCAGGAGGAAAGACGCAGCTACTCTGTGGGAATAGGGGTGGGAAGTTGACAAAAATAGGAGAAAAGACGAAATTGTGTTTTGATGTATAGGTTAGAAATGTTGAAATGTAATAAAATATGATTGGTAAAAAAATGAATGTATCTGCTGCCCGAATATATGTATAATCTTGCTGTCAGAAGCAGCCTCTGTATACCCCGTCTATCTTCATTCCACGTAATAAACCAATCTTCATTCCTTTGTTGTGTGAGCTTCTTTATTAGGTGTAAGGGTTAAAGCTATACACCAATGTTCAACAGATACATGTACAGACTCCACATGAAAGGTCTTAATCCTCTTAGAGCTGTATGTTGAAGACACGGGTGTTGTGGACATGCACGTAGGTTCAGACATACACCTCGTGACACTAGCAGCCTGGAGGAGCAAAATTAAAGGTTGAAACCAGAGATAAGAGGATAAGAAGAACAGAGGAAGTGGGAAGGATTTTGGAATTCAAGGAGGAATGTGTGTCCCATAATAATAATAATAATAATAATAATTTTTTATTTATATCCCACCCTCCCCAGCCGAAGCCGGGCTCAGGGTGGCCAACAATGCATTGGATCAATAGCTTGTCCCTAAAGTTTGAGTTTAAAAATTGAAAATTTGGAGCAGATTTCAGCCAAGGTTGAAAAATGGCAGGCTTCAAGACACATAACTTCATGCTGTGCATGGTTCCAAGTAAAAATAGAGTATTCCCACCGCTGCAGAATTTCTGAGTCCTTATTAAGTTCCAGAATATGACTATTTAAATTTACTAAGATATCTGCCTGGCGATGCTGCATAAACTGATGTTTATTTTAAGGACATGGATTCAAAGACTAGCATTGCTTTCCACTGCTTCACTTATAACAGTTTAACAAAGTGTTTGAACAACACAGTGGGCGGGATTCACTAAACAAATGCCATCAGCAGAAGCCCTGCACTAGCGCAGTGGGGCTTTCCTTGTCACTGAATTCCAGCCTATATCCATAACTCATACTATAACGCTGAATATCATTTACCACTGTAGCAGCCCCACGAGGTAGGTTACTAATATTTTAATTATATAATTTTTGTAGATAGTGGCATGTTGCAAAAAAAAAAAAAAAAAAGGTACATTGGAAACAGAAAAATTGTTGCTTCAGTGAAAGTGTAGTCACTTTAATCAAAATAAATTACTGTAAAGGGAAAAAATGATTAGTTTTCCATGTTTCTGGTATCCTGAGCATGAGCCAACAGGTTATGTATTAACCTTCTTTGGTGATTGCTCGTAGCCGGGTAAGATTGTCTTCCATAAAAACGGTTTTAACTATGAGTCCGTAAGTGACTGTGGAGGCCAATTACGTACATACATAAGCTCTGCTCTGACAGGCATGGTTAGCAAAAAAAGAAGAAACATTTTACATATCTCACGCTGTTGAGCAACACGTTTTAAGATTCAAACACAGGTCAACGGCTGAGCAATACTGCTCCCTACAGTTCTGAATGATCCTATAATTTCAAGGAATACCCCAAGTTTCCCAGTCAGTAATTTCACCAACTACTTTCAGCATGGTAGTTGCTTCTGGAAACATTAAGGCAGTCTCTTTTAAGTTTAATTATAATAGCTGACCATCGGTGGTTGTTGTTTAGTCATTTAGTCATGGCCGACTCTTCATCGTGTCTGACTCTTCATGACCCCCTGGACCAGAGCACGCCAGGCACTCCTGTCTTCCACTGCCTCCCACAGTTTGGTCAAACTCATGCTGGTAGCTTCGAGAACACTGTCCAACCATCTCGTCCTCCGTCGTCCCCTTCTCCTTGTGCCCTCCATCTTTCCCAACATCAGGGTCTTTTCCAGGGAGTCTTCTCTTCTCATGAGGTGGCCAAAGTATTGGAGCCTCAGCTTCAGGATCTGTCCTTCCAGTGAGCACTCAGGGCTGACTTCCTTCAGAATGGAGAGGTTTGATCTTGCAGTCCATGGGACTCTCAAAGAGTCTCCTCCAGCACCATAATTCAAAAGCATCAATTCATTTGTGATCAGCCTTCTTTATGGTCCAGCTCTCACTTCCATACATCACTACTGGGAAAACCATAGCTTTAATTAGACGGACCTTTCTTGGCTGACCATCGGTACTGACACAAATTCTAGCTTCCAACACACTAGAAGTCTTTTAGCAAAACGCCCGGCCCAAGCTGGCCAAATTGGCAGATCACAAGTGTCTAATGATGATGATAATAATAATAATAATAATAATAATAATAATAATATTATTTGTATAGTACGAACACACAGCCAGGGACTAGAAATGCAGGCCCACACTATATAGGGCATCTTCTTGTGCATAGGATTGCTGCTTAAATCTGAGCAGGAATTCTAAGCCAGATCCACCCCTATTGACTAAGGAGGACGTTTCACTGGTTTTAGTGAACCTTTTATTTCCCCCTCGTTTTAGCAGCCTCAGCCTAGGGCTCCCACCTTCCATTCCACTACACAAGCTGTGAGCACCCATGGATCTAGGATTAAAACCTAATGTATTACTTGTGTATTCCTTTGTTCTGTTTATCTGGAAACATTTCCTACCTCCAATATCCTCTAAAATTGTTTCCCCAAATGCCCTGTGTGATTTATAAATGTTAATTGTATTTGTTGTGCTGACCGATGGTTTTATTTAACTAAACTGGAATATACTTTTATTCATTAGAAAAGGAAATGGGGTGAGGGCTGTTGAAGAAGAGAACACACTTTTGCTCTCCTTCAGCAGATATCAAACGTGCATGCTTAATTTTATTATATTTACTGTACTCAATGGAGTCAACCATTACTTTAGGTTGTTCATATTTATGAGTTTGCAAGATGAGAAGGGCTGTTTAGGGCAGCCCTGTTTAGGGAAGCTTTTAATGTTTAACAGATTATTTTATTATTTTGTTTGAAGCCGTCCAGAGTGGCTGAGGAAACCCAGCCAGATGGGCGGGGTATATTATGGAAGAAAGGGGTAAAGTTTACTGCATGTACGATGTTAAAGGAAAATATAATGAAAATGATGTATAGATGGTACTTAACTCTGGTTAAATTAGCCAAGATTTATCATAGTTGTGATAATATATGTTGGAAATGTAAAGAAAAGGAAGGTACCTTTTATCACATGTGGTGGACATGCCCCAAGGTGAGAGACTTCTGGGAAAAGATTTATAATGAATTAAAAAAAATGTTGAAATATACATTCATTAAAAAACCAGAGGCCTTTCTCCTTGGAATAATAGGTTCTGAATTGCCGAAGAAAGATGTAAAGTTATTTTTGTTTGCCACAACTGCTGCTCAAATTTTAATAGGCAAGAAATGGAAAACACAAGAACTACCAACTGTGGAAGAACGGCAGATGAAAATGATGGAACATATGGAGCTGGCTGACCTTACTGGAAGAATCCGTGATCAGAAAGAAGAGGAATACCAAGAAGAGTGGAAGAAATTCAAAGACTATTTGAATAAATACTGTGATATTAAAAATTAGAAATTACTTGAAAGTACCAAAATAGGCCTGGGACTAAATGAAGAGTTAATTAAATAAATAAGACTTAGAACTTTAAGAAAAGTTAAGAAATTTTATTTTAATTGGAATACTGTGTTTTAAAAATGCTATCAGAAAACTGCTACATTTTATTTACAAGGAAATTCAGACGGGAGGGCTCAGAGGCAGTCCCAAACATGTTTATGAGGACAGAAGTTTAAATAACTAATTAATTTGTGTTGTTTAGGTATTTACTGGTAATTTGTTCTTTTTGTTTGTTTGTTTATATTTGTGATTTTGTCTTTTTTCTTTGTTCTTTTGTTGTGGTACGTGTTAGATTTGTAAGAAACTTAATAAAAATTATTTATTAAAAAAACAGATGGGCGGGGTATAAATAATAATTAATAATAATAATAATAATTAGGAGCTATTTGAGAAAATTACAAACATCCATAATATTAGAAATATTAGGTACAGGTACAGCCCCGCCCCGCCCCCTAGGGGGAACCAGGAAGTCCTCGCGAAACGACGAAGCTCCCAGAGCCGCTGACGACTACAAGTCCCAGAAGGCCAGAGTGCCGCTTCCGGTTAACCTCTTCCTCGCCGCGTTCTTCTCCAGAACCGTTTCCCTGTCTCTGGAGGTCCTCGGGGGGTCTTTGGGCAGTGAAGACACACACAGAATGAGACACACACACCCCCCCCCAATAAAAATTCCCTCAGCTCTGCTTTCTTTCCCTCAACGGAAAGGCTGCCCGGCTTATATAGGCCCGACGCGCCTCCTGAGGCCTTTGGCTGCCCCTCAGGCTGTGTCCCCGTCAGGCGAGAGCCGCGGCCTCCCGCGAAGCCCCTCCTCCCTCCGGCTCCACGGCCCACGCGGCGGCGGCGCCTCCTCCTCCTCCGGGCCTGAGGCAGCGGGAAGGGAAGCCGCTTCCCCTCACGCCCGGCCGCCGCCGCTAGGGGCGCTCCGGAGGGCTCGGCGTCGGGCGGGAGGCGAGGGGTCGGCGGGCTGCGCGGCGCTGGGCCGGGCCGGGGCGAGGGAGCTGAGGGCCGGCCGCGCCCGCCCGGGCCATCGCGGGCTGCCGGCGAAGCCCCGCCATGCCTGCCGCGCCGCTGCCGCCCAAGGAGAGCAACCTCTTCAAGAGGGTCCTGGTGAGGAGAGAGGGCAGGGCCTTCCTCGGGGTGGGGTGGGGGGTCGCACCCTCGTCGTCCTCGTCACCCCCCCCCGCCTTCCTTCCCTTTGTGCGGCGCCCGCCCTGGAGCTGAGCCCCCCGACCCAGCCCTCCTTTCCGTCCCGGCACCTTTCCGGGCCTCCCCTCGGAAGGAGGAGGCCTCTCTCGGCTCCCCTCCTTATTTACGGATAAGCTAAACAAGCTATAGCTTAGGGCCCCACTCCCTCCAAAATAGACTTCTCCTTAATTCTCTCACTATTAATATACTTCTTAATTGTCTCTCACTTCTTCTTAACTGCATTTCAGTTCAGCAATTACTTTGATAAAACACCTATTTTGTTATGTGCAAATGTACCTATTAGGTGCATACATTACCATATAGCATATATTCAACACACAAAACAGTGACAATTTGTTGTTGGCAAAGGACAGCTGGACATATAAAAGGCCCCATTAGTAGCTTAGGGCCGCATCAAACCTAAATCCGGCCCTAGGCTCTCGCTCTCTTCCCCCCACGCCCTTCTGCTGTCAGTTGCCTGCAACATACCATTTGTGCATTTCATTTGTTTTGTTAAATTTTCCTGCTGTCCTTCCTCCGGAGGCCTCATCCTGCTCTCTCCCGCCCACCCTGAATATCCCACACTTCTCGCCCCTCGCTGGAGATCCCCCGTCTGGTCACGGCGTGGCTTCATCAGGACCGAGGACACTGGAGAAGTGCAGGATTTGCTCCAGCCCCCCAGCTGGGCCCGCCAGGGGCTTCCCCAAGGGAAGCCAGCTGGCAGGATCCGAGCCTCTTGTGTACAGAGCCCTGCCAGCCAGGCTGGTGACCTGGAGAGCCTCCCCCCCTTCCCCCACGAGGGAGTGGGGTTGAGCCCTCTTTGACAACCACCCAAGTTATGGTCATAACTGTTTGCAAAGGACCGCCTCCAACACTGCAACCCCATGAACACGACAGGGTTTAATTTTAAATGAGTATGCAATAGGATTATGCTGTCCAGCTGCAACCCCAGTAAAGCTGCATTAGACACAGTGGGGCTTGTTTCCCATTGAACACCCTGAAAAGCTGCATCCCTTAAACTCGCTCCAATGGGAATAAGTTCTGAATCAAACGAGACAGCTTAGGATCATGCTGCACTTCAGCAACTTTTTCACCTCCTCAGCATCATTTTAAATCAGGTCCCCAGCCTCTGTTCTTAGCTCCCCCTGAAGCACCAAACGTACAAAACCCTTTCAGTCGTTTTGGGGGAGTGGGTTGTGTTCAGAAGCCAACTTGCATTCTGCATGTTAACCATGCATGCCAGCTTCTCTTCTGCTTCCCCAACTTAAGAGGAGTTAGGGTCACCTGTGCCCACAACCTTCCTTTAGAAACAGGCAGCCTGGGTCCTTGCAGCTTTCCTTCCCCATGAAGCGGTAGATATACCCGAGCAGTCAGTGTGCTGTCACTGCATCATCTCTACACAAGCTTCAAAAGGAAGCGTACAAAACCAGTCATCACAATGTACTGGATGACCCAGGCACCAAGACAATAATAAATCAGTAGGTATGGGGTGAAGGGGCCTCCACATGGTGTTTTGAAATGCTTCTGGAGTCTTCTAAAAGACACTCATTTTTTGTAATTGACATTTCCACCCCCCCTTTCTTGTACTAATAAATTACCATGTTAAACATGTGGGCAGTGTTTGATTATATATGAGCAGTCAAAAAGTTGTTTATTTTTAATCTGTCAGATTCCAACCTTTGTAAAACTGCTTGGTTTTAATACTGTATTTTACTGGGAAAATGGGGAGAAGTGGAGTTAGTTTGTGTAGGTGTGGTAACTTTTTTCACTTAGGGGGATAATCTGCTGGGAGGTGCATAACATTGGTGGGCAGAGCCAGAGCAAAGATGATTGGTAGACCTAGAGGCAAACAGTCTGGAATAAAAACCACCCTGCTACAAATCTCACCATGATTTCCGCAACTTAGAAACTCCAAGTCTATGGAGGCTTACTCAGAAGTAAGCCCCACTGGGTTTGATGGCATTTCTAACAAGAACATAGGAAAATTTAAATTCAACAGACAGTTGCTGTTGGAAAGCAAATTAAGCCAACTCTTTTCTGACTTGGGCGTGCTAAATGTGCACATAGAGACACACAGGCCTGGTTCGCATATTGCATAGCTGAAAACAGACTTGTTTAATTTGGATGTACTGTACACTGGTTCAAGCTACTGAGAAGTTCACTCCTTCCCCACTCCTGCTGCTGCATCACCAAGCAGCAAGCCAGAGTCCAGCTTGTGATTCCTGAAGCTGGATTTGTGGTTTGTTTCTCTCTAAGCAAACCATGACAAGGTAACAAAGGTTTGTTCTTTGCATTCTGCTGGTGGTTTGTTTGGAGGAAATAAACCACAGCTCCTGGTTTGAACATCACAGCAAGCCAGACTCCTGACTTGTTGCCCAGAGGTATGGCAGGAGCAGGGGAAGAGCAGAGTGAGAATTTTTATTGTTCACATAAAATCATTGCTTAACTATAACTTGTATGGCCCAGTTTGCCTGTCAAAACTCTTATTGGACACCTGGAGGCATTTAGCAAGGGGAGATGGCAGGTAAGGAAAAGGAAAAAAAGTTAAGAACTATTCTCTCCCACTGCTGTTTTTAATTTTTGAAAATTACTGTCAGTTTCCCTGCATATATTTGATTGTGTTATATAGTTTGACCCTCAGAGATCTCATTAAAAGGCAATCTTGTCAGTGATTTGAAGTGCCACTGAAGAAGCTAATGAACTGTGATACTAAGTTAAGTAAGAGATTACTTTTTAAGATAGGTGTAACCTAATCTTATTTTTTCCCCTTCCTAGAAATGTTATGAACAAAAACAGTACAAAAATGGACTCAAATTCTGTAAGATGATCCTTTCCAATCCAAAGTTTGCTGAGCATGGAGGTAAGTGCATTATTAATTTAATTTATTCGTTTTCTTAAAGCAGGGGTGTCCAACAGGTTGATCGTGATCTAGTGGTCAATCCTCGGGTGGTTTTGGCTCCCTTTCCTTTCCGGTGGCGAAAGAGCATCCAGCTTGCCCCATCCTCCATTCACGCATGATCACTAGAACGGAAGACGGAGTTTTCCCCTTTTTATTAAAGTTCAACATTTTTGTATCCCCTCCCTAAAAGAAGCTCAACAACTTTGACCTGAACCTCCGCTCCCCCCCAGTTTTTTATTCCAGTCTCCTTGGAGTTGGATGTCCCTGTCTTAAAGGATGCAAACTGTTTGTTTATCCAGCAGATATTCAGAGTGTTTGTTTTACACCATTTAAATGATAAATTTTAAACTTTAAGTATCTTGAAATAATTTAAAACAAGCCTTTTCTTCTGAGCAGTGGTAGAAACTAAGCCACATAAGCTAAGTGCCAAATGGCACCTTAAACCTAGGTTACATTTGCCACAACAGACTGTCTAGTTGCCTTTTTTGGCAGTGACATTTCTTATTATTCCTTTTCTATACCAATTTATATTTTAAAGAAAAATCTCAAAGCGGTTTACAGCACATTAAAACATCAAATAAAACAATTCAGAATAAAACGACAAGAAATCTCCCATGATCGGACGACTGGCTGGCAGACAGCAGCATCTTTTGATGTGGGGGTGTGCAATAGCAGAAAACGCTGCAGCCTGCTAGCCAGATGGAGACGTCAGTCGCCAAACCTAGAGACGAGGCATTGTCACTTGGGCGAAATTGGATCTGCACCAGTTGCAAAATGTTCCTGGCACCTGTGGAATTTCAGACAATGCTTCTGAGCAGAACCTTAGAGAATTCAGTCTTGGTCTGGTGTACGTGTACAAAAGAATGAGGTGGTAAGGTGAATTGTGCCATTTCAAACTGCAGATGGTAGATTTTGCTCCTATATCTATAAATAAGTAGAAAACTAGCAGAATTGGGAATTAGCTGAACTACAGCCTTTTCTCTCACATGCTAGATGTTTCTTGCACAGCTTGTGTGTTTGTGTATTTTAATATGGGGGCATCCTCACCAGAAGTCTGAAAGCTCATTACAATACAAAACCTGTTCCCTTTTGTGGTAGTCTTTGTTTTGTTTTATACTGGTACAATCTGTATTCTGAACTGTTAAACTTTCTCCTACCACTCTGTTCTGAAGGTGTAGAGATCAGAACTCTCTGGTTTCTGGAAATGAATGCATGTTCCATGATAGTTGTTGGTCATAGGTTATTATTGAGTTAAGCTTGAATAATTTCACTTTGATTTACTCTGATTCAGAGCTGCTTTGTTTGGGGAGTGGGGCAGTGTTTTCTCCTTCCATTCTGCAGAGCAAGAGCAGGATGATGTACACATTCTTCTGTGTGCTCTAGACTTAGCTGCCCCACCCCACAAAATAGTGAATGAGAAGCTTTGTGGATGTGTGGGATGGTGAGAATCCATACCTGTGTTTGCATCCATGTATTCCCAAGAGGCGCTTGGATTATTATTATTATTATTAGATGTGGACGGTGAAACTTATCACACGTGTGTTGCTTAAACTTGATTCTTACATTATAAAATATTTCTTACAGAAACTTTGGCTATGAAAGGACTGACCTTGAATTGTTTAGGGAAGAAAGAAGAAGCATATGCATTTGTTCGCAAAGGCCTTCGTAATGATGTAAAAAGTCATGTGTGTATCCTTTCAAATAGTACACCAATTTCAATTTTTCCTAATAGTTCTGAAATCCTCTTTCTCTACCCCTCTCAATTATTATCCAGTGAATACTTTGTTATGTAACAAATTTGAGCATTTTATATTTAAATGTATAGATTAGGCCATTAGATATTGTCTAACATACCTGTGGCTAACCTGTGGCCATCTAGATATTGTTGGGACTCCAACTCCCTGCCAACCATCAGGGATAATGGGAATTCTAGTTCCACAACAACTGGTGGGTCATAGATGAGCCACTCCTGGTCTAACAACTTAATTTGGTATGTAATCTGTTAAATTTAGGAAATTCTAAAATGCAGGGTATTAGTCATAACACTGGATTCCTGGGTACTTACTGTAGGTCAGCACAAAACGTTTGATGTTTACTATGCCATTCTGTTTCTGCAGGGATGGGGGACCCTTTTATTCTGGCAGGCCGGATCCTGTGGACTCCTGCCCTAGACACCAGCCTTATAGATTAGGCTGAAAGAGCCACTGCCTGAGGTTACTCAGTGAGTTTCATGGTGGAGTGGGAATTTGAATGCAGGTTTTTCCAGTGATGCTTGTTTTTAGCAGGGGTGGAAATCTCCAGCCTGTGGGCCTAGTTAGCCCTCTAAGCCTCAGAGGTTTGCTCCCCAGGCTGTTTTCTCTTTCCTGGGCCTGATGTAACAATATATGGCACTGGGCACAGGAAAGTCCAGGCCTCAAATAAAGGAAGAATTCTGAGCACCCGCAAAGCATGCTTCTGATTCTTCCTTTACAGATGCTTCTTGAACTTTGAATTACTTGACATCCTGTAATGTCAGGGGATGGAAAGGTGGTTGAAGCCACCCACCTGCTCACATGGTTTGCAGAGCCCGGGCCAGTTCTGGATCTGCCCATAGGGACTTCCCACCCCTGACCTACAGCCGACTTTTGAGGGTACAAATCTGTCAAAGGAACTTGCAAACAACATCAGTGCCTATTAAAACACACCCAGATTACTAATCCAGGGAGAGGGGTCCTTCCCCCAGGGCCCATGGCAGCCAGTGACTCTGTGGCAGAGAAAACCTTCCAGCTGGAGCAGGAGGGGCCAGTCTCCTGGCATCTCCTCTGGCCTGCTTGGCCTTCTCCTGGCTTTCTGTTCACAGAGCAGTTGTCAAGAACTTCCTTCATATCATGCTTCTGTCCTTCTGACATGCAGCTGCTTCATCTTCTCAGCTGCTTAGCCTCCTTGAATTTGAGTCATTCTGCAGAAAGGCAGGTAGCAAAAACAATCAAAATAATTTTAAGTAAAATAATATGTTTTGTCCATACATCACCTCAGCCTCATGGTCTAAACAAGTAATAGGCTATTTTGTGAAAATGAAGAATACCTAATATCACATGATTTCCTCCTCCCTTGGCTTATGGCACCAGAGTATCCGATGGCTTAGTCATATACAAACTTGGCATGGGAGCAAAACCTTATCTTTACCTTTGGCCTCCAGTTCATCTGGGCCTTTGTCTAGCAATGTCCAGAAGGGTTACATCACCACTGTAGTATGGGAGATTTTTCATGAGGAATAAGCTCTCACTAGGATTGGAAAATACTTCAGTTTTCTAGGTGCCAGGATGTCTTGATTCCCAGACAACTGAGCACTTTGGACTTCTTTAACCCAAGGAACTTCTCCACAATTTTCTGTTGAAGTGCTATGGTAATATGGCAATTTAACATTTAACTGGCAGATGCACAACTATACCATTAATGCTGAATGCCTGCGCAAAAACATTGTTCACATCAAAGTGCTATTAAATGCCACATCATATTGCTAACTCCTGCGTTGTATTTTGTATTTGAAATCGCTCCTATGGCTATATAAATCCTTCATTATAATATGTGTTTGCTCATGCTCTTAAGTTGAGATAAATGAATAACACTCATTTATGAATCCTTTCAGGACTATAAACATTTGTCTTCAACTCCCCATCCCCCCACCCCCAAAAACAGTGCATTTCCTTAACTCTGTTAGGTTGGCATGTTTATGGACTCCTGCAGCGCTCTGATAAAAAATATGATGAAGCTATTAAGTGCTATCGAAATGCTCTGAAATTAGATAAAGACAATCTACAAATTCTAAGAGATCTCTCACTGTTGCAGATCCAAATGAGGGATCTTGAAGGCTACAGAGTAAGTAATTCCTCCGGTTTTTGTGTTGAGCTTAACCGAAAACTTGCAAAGTGCTCTCTGAATATTTACTGGAGTTGAGAGGAGCATTTGAGTTTAATTAGGTTGGGGAAATGGACATGCCAGTGTTATCTGGGCACCATCTTATGGGTATATGATTTATTTGCCATGTTCAAAACCACCATTGTACAGAACAATTGGGGGGGGGGGACTTTACAAAATTGTAGCACACGGCAAAATGGAAAACCGTTCTTGATGTAGTACCTTCCATTGCTACTTGCAACACTATTCTTTAATTCTGGAGGAGTGACAGTGACAAATTGTAAATTTACTTGCTAGTAAACATAGTTAAGGTCAGAGGTTGGGCTTCACTTATAAGTATTTAATAAGAAGTCCAGCTGAGCTTTTCTAGTTTTCTTTGCTGTTAAGTCTTCATCCTTTTTTTCATTAAACAGAATCCTTTTGCACTGTTGGTTAAGAATGGCAAAATTAATTATTTGGTCGATTATATTATATTCATTATCTCTTTAAAGGAGACCAGGTATCAGCTGCTGCAGCTGCGGCCCACGCAGAGGGCTTCTTGGATTGGATATGCAATTGCATATCATTTGCTAAAAGATTATGATATGGCCTTAAAATTACTGGAAGAGTTTAGAAAAACTCAGCAGGTAAGATCTTTTAAAAATGTCAATTATTGTACACAGTTAAGAATCTGAGTAAGTGTACTGTAGTCAGAATGATTACTTATTTTCTGTTTTTCTATCCATTGTTCGAAAGAATTACAACTTTGGGACATATGAAATGTTTCCATTTATTGTACAGTCAGTATCAAATTCCTTATAGCCTCAGTTATGTTAGTGGAATGATAAGCTAATCAAGTACCAGAGATTGTGATACATTATACACCTGAAATTGAAAAATAGGATGCCACGGGCAACGCACACAGGTGGTTCAACATACGCAAGTCTTTGTACTTTGTCCCTGGTGGAATACCAGAAGAGTATTGTGAGTTGTCTGTAAAGCTGTCATTCTTGTTGGGTGGATCAAATTTGATCTCTACAGGTCCCTCTAATAATTTTGTTGTCAATTTGAAATAAGACTTTTCTGTGAAGAAGCTAAATTTAAATGGAAACCATTAAGCCACGATATCATGAAGAATTGACAAATGGTGTTTGTCAAATTCAGTTCAAAGCATCTGTTTATAATTTATGCTGGTGGGTGGAATTATTCACTTCCTGAATCATATACAGTGGTACCTTGGTACTCGGAACAGCTTGGCTCCTGTACAAATCGGCTCCCAAACGCTGCAAACCTGGAAGTGTTCCGGTTTCTGAATGTTTTTCGGAAGCCAAACGTTCGACGTCGCTTCCATGGCTTCCGACTGAGTGCAGGAAGCTCCTGCAGCCAATTGGAAGACGCGCCTTGACTTTTGAACGGTTTCAGGAGTCAAACAAACTTCCGGAACGGATTATGTTCGAGAACTGAGGTGCCACTGTAAATGCTTTTTTTTTTTTTAACCTCTGGAATAATATGAACCTGGAACATTGTGGCATTTTTGGTACTTCAGTGAGGCATAACGCTATCAAAATACTTTCTTTTGGGGTTTTATATACCTGGGTTCAAAATACAGGTCCCCCCTTTATAATGCATGGCAGCAGGAGACTTGTTTCTCCTCTTGCTGCATCTCTTTTTAAAATTGGAAAGCGTGTATGCATGAAGTATGAATAGTACAGTATAGATGTACTTTGATACCAAAGTAAAAAATGTATCCTAAGAAAAGAAGCAAATATGAATGTCAATAGTTGAGAGGATAATTGAGGAGATCAACTTATTGCTTTGTCATTTTTCAAGGCAAGAATTCTTTTAAATGACTGTTCATTTCCAAGTTCTAATTCAACTATCCAGTGTCCCTTTATTAACCAAAAAAGAACTTTTGTGAAGTTAGTCTTCTGGGGCAGATTAAATGTTAACTCTTCTGTTATTTTCCAGATCCCTCCTAATAAAATAGACTATGAATATAGTGAATTAATATTGTACCAGAATCAAGTTATGAGAGAGGCAGATCTGTTTCAAGAATCTCTGGAACACATAGAAACTTACGAGAGGCAAATATGTGACAAGCTCATGATAGATGAAATAAAAGGTAATACTTTTTTTCCTTTTCACATGCTTAAAATATTCCTTCACGTGAATCTTGGTCTGTGAGGTGGTTCAGTCTAGGGAGCTGTGGACCATTAAACCTAGAGGAAGATCACGTTTCCCCCTTGTCATTAGGTGTTTTTGGGGGGACTCTGTGTGCGTAATATAAACATCACACAGACATGCTTGCACACACTGTGCAGACACATGCCAGTCCATAAACATTTGTCTGAAATGTTCAAACAGTTTAAAGGAAAGGCTACTCTAGATTAAAAAGATACCCTATAGCGCCCATCCCTGTCTGCTTCATCATGCCTAGGGCTCCCATTCCATCACCGCGAGGGCTTCCACAACAGGCTGTCACCAGAGAGTCAGCGTGGTGTAGTGGTTAAGAGCAGTCGACTCGTAATCTGGTGAACCGGGTTCGATTCCCTGCTCCTCCTCATGCAGCTGCTGGGTGACCTTGGGCCAGTCACACTTCTCTGAAGTCTCTCAGCCCCACTCACCTCACAGAGTGTTTGTTGTGGGGGAGGAAGGGAAAGGAGAATGTTAGCCGCTTTGAGACTCCTTCGGGTAGTGATAAAGCGGGATATCAAATCCAAACTCTTCTTCTTCACCAAACTGCCTGGTGAGCTTGAAAGGCAAGCTGAGCACCACCACCATCCTTTTGTATTTTTTTAATTTATCTAACAAAATTTATTTACCTCTTGATGGCAAGAAAACCTCTTAAGCAGTTCTTGTTTTCAAGAAAAACAGGTGTCGGAACTTACCATGAAATCATTACAGTAAGTCGCTGGGTGACTCAGGGCAGCGCTGAACAGACGCAACAAGACCTGTCTCATTATCCTAACCAGAATGCTCATTCCATATCACATCAGCACTGCCCATGCTGGGTAGAAACTGATCTGGGAGAGTATTATGATCAGGGGCAGATGCGGGATGTTGCTGACGCACAGTTTCTGAGCAGCTTCGGAGCAGCACTGAGAGCCAGTGTGGTGTAGCGGTTAAGAGCGGTAGACTCGTAATCTGGTGAACCGGGTTCGCGTCTCCGCTCCTCCACATGCAGCTGCTGGGTGACCTTGGGCCAGTCACACTTCTTTGAAGTCTCTCAGCCCTACTCACCCCACAGAGTGTTTGTTGTGGGGGAGGAAGGGAAAGGAGAATGTTAGCCGCTTTGAGACTCCTTAAAGGGAGTGAAAGGCGGGATATCAAATCCAAACTCTTCTTCTGCAGAGTAGTCGGTCAGTGTCATCATCACTGTGGCTAACTGGCTCTTTCAGGCTTCCAGAGTTGAAGACTTCACCTTCCACCTGTAGGCTGTTTCCCTTAACTAAATCTGGTTTGTGATTTTATTACTACTTCAGGAGAAATGTTGTTGAAGTTGGGAAGATTGAAAGAAGCTTCTGAAGTCTATAAAGAGCTTATTGATCGGAATGCAGAAAATTGGTGTTACTATGAAGGCTTGGAGAAAGCTCTACAGCCACGTAAGTGTTGTAGTTATAAACTTGGCTTGCACTTTTTTTATTAAGCAATTGGTGTCTTGTTAAGTTCAGAAATCAGAATCCTTGGAACCCTAGACTTTGGAAAGAAGATGTGTATTTGAATTTCATTGTCCATCATAATTTCCAGTGTTTTATCTACTTATAAGCCTATCTGTACTCAGAACCATAAATCATTACCAGGGACTGCTTCATATGGAGGAGCTTAAAGAGTGAGCTAAATGGCTATGTTCCTTACTGAAGTGATAAGCTTACAGCTTTTTAGCTACTTGTTTTTTTAAGCTACTTCAGTGTACAGAAACCCATCACCCTGAGATTAAGAGTCTCGTGCTGTACCAACTGAGTGGCATCAGAAGTATAGCTCAAAATACTGTCCTTGGGAAAATGCTGCCAGAGAAATGATGGTATACAAATGGAAGAACTACTTATAATTACTAAATTTACTCTTAAATGTGCTTCACTGCACTATGCATAACTATTACATTACAACATTTATAATGAAATTTCAATGCTATGCATCCATTTACTGCTATTTACACTCAACGGCTTCAGTGGAGTTAAGCACAGTCAAAGGATGGCAGCCTTTTAAAGATTATATTTTAATCTTTATAACAATGCTGCTTTTTTAAGGTGCTCATAGAATTGCTTCCTCCCCCATGGTAAGTTCTGAAGCTCCAACATGTGATTTCAGAACTGAGGATTTATGTACTGCAGTTTGACTTTTGACATTGTTGAAATATTTTGCAACATGGTTGCACCACAAAATTGTTTGGTTTCTTTAAATGCATCCGCACGCACGCACACACATAGTATATTTCTATCTTTCTTTCATCAGCTGTTCTCTTTCATCATACTGAAAACTGCTTTTCAACCTGTTCTATATAAAAAAATGCAGTTTGAGACGTTCACCAAGGGCTTCTGTTGAAGAGAACAAGATAAAATTCCTACTAGTGTAGTTTTCCATATTGCATATAGGCACACTTGTGATTTAAACCAGATGCTTATAACATACAAAGACTCAAACTGTACATTTATTATCTACCAATAGGCTCTTTAGATGAGAGACTAGAAATGTATGAAGAAATCAGCAAGCAACATCCAAGAGCGGTTTCCCCTAGAAGATTACCTTTAAACTTTGTTACAGGTAACATTGCATATTTCTTTAGTACCTTTAGAACCAAACCGTTGGCCCCACATACCAGCAGCATGCAAAGTCAAAACATTGTGGAGCTCAGCGCTGCAGCAGAATGACTGTGAAAGAGCAGAGCAACTGCGATTCCCGCCCCCCCCCCGGGAGCTTGGCTTAGGGTGACAGGCCAATAACTGCCAATACAAAAGGCAAAGGGGATTTTTTTGTGTGGAAGGCAAAATTGTGTGCTTAGCACAAGTACAGTGGTACCTCGGGTTAAGAACTTAATTCGTTCTGGAGGTCTGTTCTTAACCTGAAACTGTTCTTAACCTGAAGCACCACTTTAGCTAATGGGGCCTCCTGCTGCCGCTGCGCCACCTGAGGTACTATTAACCCGAGGTACTATTTCTGGGTTAGCGGAGTCTGTAACCTGAAGCATCTGTAATCCGAGGTACCACTGTACTAGAGCAAGACAGGAATCCCCTCTTTTCATTGCAACCTGCTGTGTCCCCCCAAAACATTGCTGCTGTGGGTTGAAAGATACAGAACAGAATGGGATTCAGCACAGAAGGCTGCCACCACATCGTAAAGGATTGGTGAAAGTGCTTGAGCTAGTGGAAGCATGTCCACTAGCACAAAGCCACCATTTGGCCCTGTCAGATGGTTCTGTCAAACGCTGGTCACAAAACAGCTGACTTACTTTCTTTCTAATGTACACACATTCAGATGCTTCCTGTATTAGCATAGCACACTCATCCTTTATTGCTGTTACAAACAGCAGTAACGGCCACTAATTGTAAGGGTTCAGATATCTTCCTTAAGTCATTTTTTAACGACTCCGTCGTTAAAACGTCATTCTGCACTCACTGAACTCCTTGGATATGTCATAGGTTCAGTTAAAGAATGTGCTATGTGTGTTTTTTTAAAACAACAACAACAGCAACCCAGTATCCTGGCAGGCTGAAAAGGCTGAATTTGTGTATAAATTATGCAAATTAGAAAAATTATTCAAAACACTCAAATTTGCTCAAAAAAAGACCAGGTACAAGTATTTCTGTCGAAGCAGAAAAACTTTTTAATTTCAAATTACAAGTAGATCACTGTTCTTACCAGCATCTTTCAGGTTTTAATATAAAATTTATAAAAACTATAACATGAGCCGAAATCAGTAGTGCAACACTAAGTAATAAGAATATAACCCAATGCAATTTTGTTTCTAGGTGAAAAATTTAGAGAACTAATGGATAAATTCCTGCGGGTTAACTTCAGTAAAGGCTGCCCACCCTTGTTTACCACTTTGAAATCTTTGTATTACAGTAAAGAAAAGGTAAAACTCCAATTTATTCAGTTTTCATACAGCTTTGTGTGTCGTAAGGATAATTTACCAGTTACAGTCACTTTTCCTTTCCATTTCTCATGCCATGGTAAACTGTAGTAAATGGTTAAGATTATTAATAAGAAGAGTATTTCACTCCTTCCCACTCTCGCTGGGTGGGAGGAAACAAGCTGTGACCCTTGACTTATGCCTGAAGCAGGGATCATGGGTTGTTTCACTCCCAACAAATCATGGTCTGTGGCCAAGTTTGTACTTGGCTTATTGATCATGGTTTGTTGGAACAAAGCAAAGTTTCCTGGTAAGAGGAAGCCAGGGATCTAAGCAAGGGAGAACTGAGTCTATGTAAATCTGTGTTTAAATTTCATTCATCTGCCATAACCACCTGAAAATTTGATTTCGCATAAAACTTGCTATAGTCTTGTTTATCTACCCTGCTACAATTTTCTATTTTACTTGCTTACTTGGAAGTATATTCTATTGACACCAAAAGGTGCCTACTTGTGAAATGTGCATAGAATTGCAGCCTAGAGATCTAGATGCAGCTTCTGTTGCTCACACATTGTTGACATGCCGTTATGATTTTCTAAACTTTAAGACTTTATATATTTCCAATCCATGTCCTCATAGCGAAGGAATAGTACAAAAGACAATAAAATGATTCTGAAATCTTCATTTTCAGTAGAAAAAATGATATAAAAACTGAAAGAAAATATTGTCTAATGCATTTAATAACTCTTTGTGGAATTATGTCTTTTAACATAAACTATAACATAATCTTTAATGTTAACTTAAATATGTGGGTAGTGTCATGTAATAACAGTTTAAAGGTTATTTTAAAAACATTTTCACAATTTCAGTAGCCGTATATATAAAAAAACTTCAGCGGGGTGGGGGTGGGTGTATAAAAATACAACTTAAAGGTAAATACTCCTGTTATTCTTACCGTAACATTAACATTAGTTAATATCACTCTTCATCTTCAGGTGAAATGGCTGGCTGTTAAATAGTCAGGGAAGCCATGACTTCCTGACTCTTTTGGAAGATGGGACTCAGAAAGCCACCTGTTGTGTGGTGTGTACACATTGTTATGAATGGGAATTCCTATAGTGGGATATTTATGCCAAAATAAGGAGCCGTCGTTGATTTATTGTACTGTCTTTAGGAAGCTATCCTGTATTCTGAGTGGATGATTTATCTATATAGACAGCAGTTGATCAGGACCTTGGAAGAAGTGAGCTGGATGGCTTTTAAATTGAAGATGGGTTTGGAAAGTTGAAGTTGATGGATATTTTGTGGGGTTTGGCCTTGTCATCTTGACACAATAAGATATAAAAATAGAGGATCAAATATCTTTAATACGGTCAATGACCAGGAAGCAGTTTATAAAATATGACATTAAGAGTAGTATTGTGCTACAAGTAACAGTAAAAATATGGCCAATTCACAGAATTGGTGCTTATATTTATGACCAGGTTTCGAGTTTTAAGTTTTTAAAATTCAATTCAGGAGTCGCTACTGTTTATTATCGTTCCTTCGATGTTTACAGTTTGAACTCCTTTGTAGACATCATTGCTCGTCTTATTCTTGTTGCAATGTAACAGTACTTTGCCACGGACCTGTTAATTTCGGGCTCTTTGTCAGCTAAGATATAAAAATAGAGGATCAAAAAAATAAAAAAAAATAGAGGATCAAATAGAGGATTAATGTTTGTTTTGTGAAAAGCGTTTTCAAAGAATTTTAGGTGGCGATTTTGTTCCTAGATAGATGCAAAACCTTAGCTGTAAGAGCAGAGGCTCTTTTTTCATTTTATAATTTACACATAGAGCAGTGTCTAGTGCGCAGACAGACATAATTTACACAGCAGGATTTCCCCTTTTCTTGCTCATACATACACAGAAATCTGCCCTGCAAGATCTCCCAACCCTCAGGCATAGCTTTTTGGAGCAGTAGAGAGCATACGGCAACACCACATACCTGACCTCCCTCCAGATAAGTTACTGCTGCACACCTGGAGGAGGGGCAAGGCCAGTGTAGTGGCAGAGGCACTCAGGGGCTGGTGATGCATTAACCATGTGCTGACCTGACTGCCATGTCTCCCCTCTCCATCTCAGGATGTGGCAGCAGGTTGGCCAGAGGGCGGTCAGGTAAGCGGTGCAGCCCCACAGCGCCATCCACTTTGGTTTGGAGGGAGGAGGAAAATTCCCATACTGCAAGTCTTTTCGGCTTGTGAATGGCGGTCACCTGTAGAAAATGGAACAGGTTGTGTTCCCTGGAGTATGTTTATAACATAAAATAATAATAATATAATAATATCTTTCTTGTCACTGCCCCCTTCGGGGACAACGAAATTACTTGACTGCTCCATAAAAACACTAATTAATCAATACAGTATAATACAGCAAGGGAGATTAGATGACTTTCAAAGTCCGGGCTTCCCATTCAGGGCCGAGATCGCTCTGGAGAAGAAGCTGTTCTTAAGACGGCTCGTTCTTGTCTTCATCGTCCTGTATCTCCGTCCCGACGGCAAGAGCTCGAAGAGACAGTGACCAGGATGCGATGGATCTTTACTATGTCCAGTGCCTTCCTATGGCACCTTGTGGCATAAATCTGCTCTAAGGTGGAGAGTGGGCAGCCAACAATGCTCTCTGCTGCCTTAACAACCCTGCACAACCCCATCCTGTCCTGGGTAGTACAGCTTCCGTACCACACACATAAGCCATAAGTGAGCACGCTCTCAATGGCACAGTGATAGAAGGCAAGCAGCAGTTTCTGCGGAAGATGGTTTTTCCTTAGTATTCTCAAAAGTACAGTCTCTGCTGCGCCTTCTTCACAAGCCCCTTGTGTTGACACTCCAGGACAGATCCTCTTGTAATTCAGTGCCCAAAAATCTGAACGTTGTTACCCTCTCCACACAGACCCCATCAATCAAAAGTGGCTGGACGTTGCTCTTCTGTCTCCTGAAGTCCACCACAAGCTCCTTTGTCTTCCTTGTATTTATGAGCAAGTTGTTAGCTCTGCACCACTCTGTCAGCCGCTCCACCTCATCTCTATAATCCGTTTCACCCTCCCTTTCAGGGATGAGCCCAATCACGGTTGTGTAGTTGTTTGTGCTGCAGATGGGTGCTATTCTATCTGCCCTGCTCATGGATCGCCCCATTGTCTTTCAACAACTTTGTAAGTTGTGCCACTGGAGATGTCTGCATCTCCAGGTTGGGTTACTGCAATCACCCTAGGGCAGCAGCATCTGAAGGACTGCTTGCTCGTCTTATGAGTCTGCCCCTTCCTTGGCCCTTGCATCAGTTAGAAAGCCGCATCTTGGAGGAGGAGGGCTGTGCATAGCATTGATTTCCTGCTCATTGTATCAGTCGCAAAAAAGCTTCACAAACGCTCTTCAGAATTCTAGCAGTCAATCCTTCAGAGTGAAATACGAAGGGAGGACTGTAAAATAAGTCAACATCAAGGTCTGCGTCAAATGTGTTGCAGGTGTGTTGATTCCATTGAAGCTCAACATCATGTGTCCTCTTTGAGTAACTTAAAACACGGAGAGGCTGTGAGGAAATAATGCATGAGGGAATGACTGGCTGGAAGAAACAGCAGAAGTCTCAGAAAGTGTACTCAGGAAGGTAGGCTGACTCCCCCTGAAGACTTTTCTTTTGCCCTCGTAGGAAGGCTGGCTTTGTGCCTGATAGGAAATAATGGGGGCCTGAGGAAAGCTGTGGTAGCTGCAGAAGAAAGAGAGTCTCTTCCACAGCCAGAACAGAGGGAGAAAATCATTCTGTCTGACTGGATGAAACGTTTGCACAGGCAGAACGTTTAGCATAGTGAGATTTCACCCTGTATTCCACCTCTGCTTCCAGACTTCAGGAGGAGAGTATCATTGTTTTTATAGCAAAAACAGCACCACACAAATGGGAGGAATCAGCAGAAAGAAAGAAAGAAAGAAAGAAAGAAAGAAAGAAAGAAAGAAAGAAAATGAAATTTCCACGAGTGTGTTCAGATAGACTGGGCAGGACAGAGAGTTACTGTGGAAGTAAGGGGGCTGGTCTGCAAAGTTGCTCACTTTGCAGCCAGCACAAGCCGCATTTGGGTTGTGAAGGCCAAACAACTGTTGGCTGTGGGGTGGGCGAGGCAGCAGCAGAAAAATAGGACAGAGGGTACGAAATGGGGAAGAGGTGAGTGAAGAAAGCAGCAATGGAGAAAATGAAGACGGAGGAAGAAGGAAAGAAAATTGCAAAGAGGAAGAAGGGACAGCGAGAAAACCGGAACTGAAGTGAATATAGTGAGACTTGCAGAAAGGGAAACTAGAACTTGAGAAGAGTATGGGGTTGTTTGGGACATACCAGGGATCTGTAACGTTTCAATTTTCCTTTCCTGTTTGGCAGCTGTGTATACCCTAAACCAGCATTTCCCAACCTTGGGCCTCCAGCTGTTTTTGGACTACAACTCCCATAATCCTCAGCTAGCAAGACCAGTGGTCAGGGATGATGGGAATTGTAGTTTGAAAACAGCTGGAGGCCCAAGGTTGGGAAACACTGCCCTAAACAGCTAGGAGGAGCTCCTCAGTGTTCCTCCTTGCCAGGCCTAGCTTGGGAATCCATCCCTCTAACCTCTATGGCAAACCTCACGGATTGAGAAAAAGCTACTGGGGGCCAGGAGGAGCCAAAGTTCATTTTTGCCACCTTACTGTGTCCACCCATGCAACTTGGGTGGCTCCTTTTCTTAACATCTGCTTAATTTTGCTTGGTACCTCTCCCCCTTGCCTTCCTTTGAATCCTCACTCCCTTCCGGTCCTGCCAGCTCAGACTATCAGCCCTAGAGTCACAAGATGGGCCTTTCCCCTGTGGTTACAATATTCCCACGTGCTTCCCTGCAGCAGAGGATTATATCATGCTAGGTGCACTTGTGAACGGGGCTTTACTTGAGTCACAGCTCCTGTGCAAGTGATATGAAATTAATGGAGTCCCGCAAGAGCTTGTTTACATAATCAAGGAATCAGAGGTGACTGTTATGGAATAAGTTGTCATCCACAAACAAAAATTCAAGTTGTTTCCAGCGCATCTTCTTGATCTTGAGCTGTTCACTGTGTCACTGTATTTTTCAGGGGGTCTGTCTCATTTGTCAAAGATAACAAGGGACATACCTCGAAAAGATAAACCTACGATCTCTGATTCTGTTAACAATGATTGATTCAGTCTTCCGTTGTCCATCTCCATTTCACCCCTTGAGCACTAGAGCGCATAGGCTGTTGAAGCAGAAAAGGGGATCATGTTCTAAAAAGCAAAGCAAAAACAAACTTATCAGTGCTCTTTTGAGTGTTTCATTGAGTGTACCCTTAGCAAGGATGCACAATCCTCAGTGAAATGAGTTATGGTATTTTTCTCCTGTGTGTGTGTGTGTGTGTGTGTGAGAGAGAGAGAGAGAGAGAGAGAGAGAGAATGAGAATGAGGAGGCATATTGTGTAGGGACCTATGGAGAAAGGGCTTGGCTACTTATTTATATCAAATCAGAATGCAAAATGAGCCACGTTCCCCCCTTGCTTCATGGCAGGTGGGCACTTTACCACATCGCACACCAGCAGAATTAAATGCATGCGTTTGGATAGAGTGTGAGGTTTTCCCTAGCACAGCAGGGAAGACCTTTTAGTTTGATTCAGTAGGGCTGTGCTATGCTATCCCATGTCCTTGTGACCAACCTCTCTCTGTTTCTGTGGAGGCTTCTCTTTCATTCATGCGTCTTGCAGATACCAGGGTGGTGCACTTGTCCACGAGATTTCTTGTGTGGAGGTTCACTTACACCAAACTGCGCTTGCTGAATCCAAACCAGTATCTGAAATGCGGATACTTTGAAATGAGCAGACCCTCACCCCGTCAGGTGAATTTCTGAGATGGTGTAAGGCAGACTTTCAACACAGCAGTTGGAATGGTTATGGGCATTCTGTGATGATTAGCTTCATCACTGAAAATGAACACTCACATTATCCAATATACTAATCGTGTGCTGATCCTTATGTTGCCAGAATGGCGTTGTCCACACTCCAGGGGGTGGTGTCAGCAGGTTCAGGGGAGACCCAATGTTTGTAGAAATCTGAAAATAAAACTTTAATAAAAAAAGTAACCCTAAGGAGTGGGTGACCGAAAACATTCCAGTGGGGAGTGAGCACTCTTTTAAGTGTCTGTTTCCAGGTGAGGGGAGAGAACAGAAAACTGGGAGGGGGAAATGAAGTGTTCTGGAAGAGGGCTGGCTTGCTGGTTATTAGGGACCCCAAATAGAAGCATTCCACTCTTCAACACTTGGTTGCTCATCCCGCTTGATCTGTATAAACTCAAACACAAAATGGGCCATTAAGCTATGGATTTCTCACAGGTCTCTGGTTAGCAATTGGGGTAAGCATAATGCTGGGCTAGATGGAGGCTGCTTTAGTATATAACACTAAGCCATGGTTGCTTTAACCATGTGTTGTTCAATAAGCCACAAGTCATCTCACAGACAAATCATATCTTGTTTCTCTGAAGCTTGGTTTGTTTTTATATCTCTGTTGCTTTGGAAGAGTCTGGGGCAGACAAACTATGGTTAAGCAGAGATGCTGGGCTCTGACGGAACACCAAGCCATGGTTAAAATAATCCATCAACAATCGCAGTCCCTTCCAGCTCTACCGTTCTATGATTCTATGTATCCGTGGCTTCACATTGTAGCTTGTTGCCAGAAAACAAACAGTGGTTAATCTTCTGAATTAGAATGGCTAAACAGACCATGGATTTATTTGTTATTTGTGAACCAGGCCAGCCCGCTGATGGGATCCAGCAGTTTATTCTTATGTAGCTTCACCCATGTTCTCACAGAAACCCCATCTCTTTCGTGCTCTGATAGCAAAAGTAGAAACTGATTGGGTTGAACTAGTCTGCAAAAGTAGTTAACAGTTTTAAAAACAATGGGGGGAAAATAGGCAGCCATTTAACCTTTATTGTAAAGAGAAAGGAAAGGGATCCTCACCGCTTTGGATATAACGGGTGATATCCAGTGTTGGTTATACTCTGAGTAGACCATTAGATCAATGGTTTGATGCCACTAGCTTTTACATGTTCCGATTTTGCTCTGGGAATAAACTACGTGCGGATTATTTGTTTTGCAAAACATAATGTATTATACAGATTCTAGTATTGTTTTAAGTTAGTTAGAAGTATTAGCACTATTCATTTGGCATGATTAGCTGTATCTGGATAATATATCAAATTGAATGCAATGTGATTTAAAGAAAAAATCAAGTTAAAATAAACTTGGCAACTATATTTTTATAGGTTTCTACGATCCAAGAGCTTGTTACTGGTTACGAAGCTTCTTTGAAAACCTGTGACTTGTTCAGTCCATATGGTAGGTTTCATTATTCACGAACTGTAGCTAAAATGCAGCTTTTAATCCTTATTTTAGCTCTGTTGGTAGACCTCCAAACAGACATAATAATAAGTAAGCATTTTAATTTCTTGCCAAATTTTCTGACACGTATGTATCATTGCAGAAAATGGCGATCAAGAGCCACCGACAACTCTGCTTTGGGTTCGCTATTTCCTTGCACAGCACTTTGACAAACTGGGTCAGTTTTCCGTGGCCTTGGATTACATTAATTCTGCCGTTGCAAGTACGCCAACACTAATAGAGTTGTTCTGTCTGAAAGCAAAAATTTATAAGGTAATATTGTCATAAATGTCTCAGAAATGGAATATGTAATCAATGTATATCCTTTTCATAGGAGCTGATAGACATTTTATGTTGAGATAAGAACAGAACCACTCTTACCAGATCAAAGGAAAACAATGCACAATGTTTTCAATGAAGCAGCTAAAGTAATGTTAAGTGCAAAACCAAAACATCTAGAAATCACAAGCATATCATTAAAAACGCCGAAAGAGTTTTTGCATGGGCAAAACCCAGCTTTCAGTCTGCTTTTGTAGGAGAACGACCTTCCTAGCCACTCATAATCAGAACCAAGGTGCTCCAAGAACCCTAATAGCTAGTCCTATCTTAAACTCTCAGGTACCCATGTAAGCCCAAAAGAAAGCTACTACTTCTCCCTTTCTGGAACAGGTAAATTTTAGCATTTCAATTTCAATCTCTCCCTCCCTCCCTCTCTCACTCTTCTGGCTTCCTCTTGAGGCCTAGTCCCACAGCATCGGCATTTTGAACTTGCCCATTCCGAGCCTCCATTATGCCCTGCTGAATCCCAAGCACCCTTCCCTCTCCTTATGCAGCAATGGCAGTTCTTTCCACCTCTGTTTCCCTTTCCTTCTCCATCTGCCTGCGGACTGTCTCGCCAGAGTGGTGCATGCTCTGGTTATCTCCCGCTTGGACTACTGCAATGCACTCTACGTGGGGCTACCTTTGAAGGTGACTCGGAAACTACAACTAATCCAGAATGCGGCAGCTAGACTGATGACTGGGGCGGCCGCCGAGACCATATAACACCGGTCTTGAAAGACCTACATTGGCTCCCAGTACGTTTCCGAGCACAATTCAAAGTGTTGGTGCTGACCTTTAAAGCCCTAAACGGCCTCGGTCCAGTATACCTGAAGGAGCGTCTCCACCCCCATCGTTATGCCCAGACACTGAGGTCCAGCGCCGAGGGCCTTCTGGCGGTTCCCTCATTGCGAGAAGCAAAGCTACAGGGAACCAGGCAGAGGGCCTTCTCGGTAGTGGCGCCCGCCCTGTGGAACACCCTTCCAGCAGATGTCAAAGCGATAAACAACTACCTGACATTCAGAAGACATCTTAAGGCAGCCCTGTTCAGGGAAGTTTTTAACGTGTGATATTTTACTGTATTTTTGGTTTCTATGGAAGCCGCCCAGAGTGGCTGGGGAGGCCCAGCCAGATGGGCGGGGTATAAATAATAAATTATTATTATTATTATTATTATTATTATTATTATTATTATTATCTCCATAGAATCAGCTAAATTTTACCCAGGGTAAAACTTGAAATTAATGAACACGATTTCACCAAGTTTACTCTTAGCTGAATATCACTCAGTGAATTTCTGTGTGGCCTGTACATGTATCCACTTGTCCCTGTATTTCTTATCAATCAAAGTGGCTTTTTCCACCTCTCGCTGTGTTCCAATGCTGTCTACCTGCACCCCACCCACAAATTATTGGTATACTAGACTCCAGATCTTGGATAGCATGCTGCGGTTGGATCTATATGTACATGTGCATGACCAAGGCCTTAGTGTTTGCTCCTTTGTCCATGGCCTCTTGCAGCAGTCAGAAAAGGGACAAACAAAAGTAATTCATAATAAATTGTTCATACGAAATGTTTGTGATCATCGTCTTTTTGTGGAAGCAAATAGTGGGCTTGGACTATGGAAATGGTTTTTGTTTTCAATGTAAAATGTGAGCAGCTCTCACTCAAACTTAGTAAAGGTTCTGTGCTTCTTCCATACTCAGATATTTAATGCTAACATAATTTTGCCAGACCTGTGAAGCTTGACATAGGCACTGAAGTCTGAACATGATCCTTTGTTGTTAACTTCTTTTTTTAGTTTTCATCGGATCAATATCTTCAGAGCTACGTTTCACACAGCGAAGCATAATAAGATTGGCTGAGATTTGTGCATGCAAAATGTTTCGGAAAGGGGAGATGCACGTGCGCGTTACAGTTCTCAGAGCTTACACAATATGCCTGTTACTGACATTGAAAATTAAGTATAAAACTCTTCCCTTTCCCTCAATAGCATGTAGGCAACCTAAAGGAGGCTGCCAAATGGATGGATGAGGCGCAGTCGTTGGATACAGCCGATAGATTCATCAACTCCAAATGTGCAAAGTATATGCTGAGAGCAAATATGGTGAAGGATGCAGAAGAGATGTGTTCCAAGTTCACACGGGTAGGAGATATATTTTAAATAGAGGTTGGTTGCGTATTTGTTTTGAAAATTTCCTCTGTCAGTTTCAGATTTTTTAAATTTTATTATTATTATAAGTCATTGGTAGCAGAACTGTATGATGCAGGAAAAATTCACCTAACTTCTAATTGAGCCAAGATAATAGTACTGATGAATTTCCAGGAACAGAATAGTTCTATTTTCCCCCTGTAATCTTTAAATATATTTTAGCTATTTCACTGCAGTATGAAACAGCTTCATCATGAGTAACCCTGCCACAGTAAATGAATTACTCATGAGGAGGCTGGAAGTTTTAGTGGGAGCAAATTCCATGTCCATAGACTAGCCAACTAAAAGTCAACATTTTTCATTAAGATGCATAGGCTAACTTGGTGGTGAAAGAAATACAGGCATCGTTACTACTGAAGACTACGTTTAAATTTCGTAAATTATTAAATAGACTGCAGGCTACAATCCTGTACCCATTTACCTTGGAGTAAGCCCAGTTTAACTCAGTGGGACTGGCTATTGGAACTGTATGTGCAAGATTGCATTGTAAAAATCTTTGAAATGTCTTCCCATTCAGGCAGTTCTTCACATTGCCAAATTTTCCATTGGCATTTGACCTTTTGTAAGGTCTCCGTTCATTTTGACTGGGAAGCCCAGCCAGATGGGCGGGGAATGAATGAATGAAAAACTTATAATATAATATAATATAATATAATATAATATACAGTCACATTGCCAGTACGGTGTTGAGTGGTTGCTTTGATGACCACAGAGGGAAAGGAGTTGTTCAGATTTGCTTTTCTTGGACCTCAGTCCTTTACCCTCTTACCTAGGAGTAAGCCTCATGGACATGAATAGGACTTACTTTTGAGTAGCTATGTATAGGATTACCCTCTTAGTGTTGCACCTCGTGTCTTCACTATTAACATTCCCTGCCTTCTTGAGCTGTCAGTCATTAATTAAACAAGACCACATTTATAGCTTTTTGCACACAGTGTTTGCTACTACATGAGAAATATTGTCTGGTCTTCTTAAGAACACCTCCCTTATCTCTGCCACTCTTACAGTGAAAGTGCCCACATTCTCGTTTCTGTATGAATGAAATATTGCCCTTCTCACAGACTTTCCCCTTAGCTGAATAGAAAAAGTATGCATTAGGTCAGGGGTCTGCAACCTTTAAGACAAAAAGAGCCACTTGGACCCGTTTCCGAAGAAAAAAAAACTGGGAGCCGCAAAACCATTGCGACATTTAAAGCAAATATATCTCCGGAGCCGTGATCTGACAGCGGGCGGGAAGGTGGCGTCGGGATGGTGCGTGACTAACGCACGCACCGCCCCCATGCGACGTCACAGCCAGTACAGCGCCCGCCACAGTGGGGAGTGTCGGGGCGCACAGTGCGCCTCCTCCCCTCGCTAGTATCCGCCCTGGAGCCGCGGCAGAGGTGTAAAAGAGCCACATGCGGCTCTGGAGCCACGGGTTGCTGACCCCTGCATTAGGTAAAGCCTTTGGAAAAGGGAAAAGAATAGGATACTTTATAAGACTGGGGGTTGCCAATATGATGCCCTCCAGGTTTTGTTGGAGAACAACTCCTGTCACCCGCTGCCTGACCATGGATTGTGGTGGTCAGGGCTATGGCAGTGGCTTGGTTCTGCAACATCTGAAAGCGCTACATTTGCTATCCCTGCACTCAGTAATTGAAAAATCCAGAAATCAATAATTATCTTCTTTTTAAAAGACATCTGAAGGCAGCCCTGTTTAGGGAAGTTTTTAATATTTAATGCTGTATTGTTTTTAACACTTGATTGGAAGCCGCCCAGAGTGGCTGGGGAAACTCAGCCAGATGGGCGGGGTATAAATAATAAATTATTATTAATTATTATTATTATCCAAAGAATCATATCAGTTATTTATTGTTAAAGCATTCTTATAGGATATCATAGGGGGGGGTGTGTGTGTGTGTGTGTGTGTGTGTGTGTGTGTGTGGATGGATAGACAGATAGATAGATCTCACACATATACATATAAATTTAAACGACTGGTGATCCCACACAATACTTTTTTATTTATTTCAGGAAGGAACTTCTGCCATGGAGAATCTCAATGAAATGCAGTGCATGTGGTTCCAAACAGAATGCGCTTTAGCTTTTCAGAGACTAGGGAAATATGGAGATGCCTTGAAAAAGTGTCATGAAGTGGAGAGGGTAAGTAGGTAAACAGATTGCTTTTTCCTGACTACCGCTTCTCATAAGCAACATGAGCTTTGTTAACTTGTCATCTGCTTTAAAGTTGCCGAAAAACTTATTTCGAAAAAGCTGTAAGCACACCTAGGAAGCTGCCTTATTTGTCCATCTAGTAAACTGCATCATAAAAAATAGTATCCTCTTTTATTTTTTTAAAGCACTTTTTTGAGATAACAGATGATCAATTTGACTTCCACACCTACTGCATGAGAAAGATGACACTCCGTGCCTATGTGGACCTCTTGAGGCTGGAAGACATTCTCAGGCAACATGCCTTCTACTTCAAGGCGGCTCGCTCAGCAATTGAAATCTACCTGAAGCTATATGATAACCCGCTAGCCAATGAAAGCAAAGAACAAGAAGTAAATTCAGGTATTGAAGCAATAATTTAGATAGTGTGAGTATAAAAAGCTTTGTACAGAAGTGTTCACTGCTGAAAATGTAAAGCAGCGGTGGTGGTATATGTAAAGGAAACTTATTTTATACAGGGCTGGGGAAAATCATCTGCTGAAATGGTTGTAAAAATGGCTTAATAATCAGTGCAGTATTAAGAATTTAAAACAGGGATTGCCAGCCTTTTTGTGCCCACATACACATTTGAAAACTGGGAAATCTGATTGCCATGCATATACCACAACCGTTGAACACACCTAAATCTGTTCTGTTGGCTGCTGCAGGCACCAAGTTGATGGACCCTGATCCAGCACAGAATTTAGATGGTTGAAAATCTTCATTTTAGGGTTGTTGTTTTTTTGAAATGGTTTTTATTTGATTTTACAAATATAAATTTATAACAAAACCAAATACATATCCATACAGAGAGATTTCTCTGAATCTCAATATTTCCCCCCATCCCCTCCGTGGGGCCTATTGTCAACGTTTTCAACTGCATATTACCGTATTTTTCGCTCCATTGGACGCAGTTTTTCCCCTACAAAAATTGAGGGGAAATGTGTGTGCGTCCTATGGAACGAATGCAGGCTTGTGCCATAGCCGCGCGCAACTCCTCCGGCAGGGAGAGGCTGCACAGGGCTATGGTTTCTTTAGCTCCACGCAGCCTCTGACGGCAGGGAGAGATTGCGCGGGGCTAAAGAGGAAGCCAAAGCAGCCAGCGGGATCCATCCCCGCTCGCTGCCTTGGCTTGTTCCATAGCCGCGCGCAACCCCTCTGGCAGGGAGAGGCTGCATGGGGCTATGGCTTCTTTAGCTCCACGCAGCCTCTCCCAGCAGGAGAGTTGTGCAGTTGAAGGAAAGGTAATGGTAGAACTTTTAGCCGTTAACTGAAATGTTCTACAACAAAACGCTTTCCTCTGGTGTTCACAGAACCACGTGTCATTTAGATCACTGCAGAAAGGAAAATCTGTTGTTGCTTCAAGCAGCAAAAGCATTCACGTATGATGCTTCTGTTTACTTCCCTGTCAGAAAATATAGTTTTCTTAACTCACTGATGCTTCTGTGCATACACAGGCTGAGACCTATATAAATTTATAGGAGTTCACACTTTTCTCCATTGTGCAAATTGCAATTTATTCCTATAGTCTGCTTCCTATCTTTTAACCATAGCATATCTACCTCTTATCCCAAAATTGCTACGTTTTCTTGAGAAATTTTGATGAGGGACCTTGCCAAAAAGTTTCTGAACCTGAAGCGCATAGTGTGTACTGGAGTGCTTATAGCTAGCTTTTAAGAATCCTGAAGGTTTATTTAAACAATAAATTAAGAGTTACTTCTTTTATTTGTTTATTTTGTGTTTTTGTATTGTAAAGGGATTTAATGAAGTGATACTTAAATATGACACTATATTTTTTAATAAACCCAGCATTTCGTATGGTTTGTAAATCTCCTATTACTTGTAGAAAACCTTTCGGCCAAAGAACTTAAGAAAATGCTTAGTAAGCAAAGACGAGCACAGAAGAAAGCTAAACTGGAAGAGGAGAGAAAGCACGCAGAGCGAGAGAGGCAGCAGAAGAACCAAAAGAAGAAGCGAGAGGAGGAAGAGGAAGAAACCAGTGGTCCCAAGGAAGAATTAGTTCCTGAAAAACTGGAAAGGGTAGACTTGTTTCTCCTTTTCTATATTTGTTAAACATCGCATATTCAAAACCTTCTTCACTGTGCCATATCAAACCAAAATATTTACAGTAAGGTTGGGGTCAGTTAACTCACTGGCCTGACATGTAGACCGCACATATGATGTTCACAATCTTGGATTCACATGTGCCGCTTTGTCTCGAATGTGCCAACTGATCGAGCACATTCTGGGGGATGTACATGACTGATCAGATGACAGACACATTGTACATGCTGGAAGAGGGGCATCAAGATCAAAGCAAGCATTTTGCTGCTTTCTTCTGAACTTTTAAGAGTTCTGTGAAACTTGGTTTTGCTCACATAATTCTCTTCCACTGGGCTCCTGTTCCAAACCTTTCTTGGTATCATGTTTGTTCAGCAGAGTTGCTTTTAATTCCTTCCTGTGTTTCGTCTATTGAGTGTTGTTCTCAAGAGTAGGCTTTATGGTCATACATTTGTTCCCTCAACTTTGTCCCATCTTCCTTGCTGCAAGAGAAGTGAACAGTCACATTGGGAAATCCCCTGTTTGAATAACAATGGGGTTATTTAGGTAGGGCATTAAGTTCTCTGCCCAGTGATGATGACAAAGCAGGGAGCCCGTTAACTTGAAACTTGCTTTCAGTTTCCCTCTATAGGGTGGATCCCGGGGAGAAAATGAACAGCTGTTGGGCATTTTGTAATTCCTAAAGTACCATTATATTGTAGTTGTTGGGATGGCTCAAAGTTACGTCCAAGATGCCAAGCTCCTTCTTAAGTATTTATACAACTCAACCTGTTTCGTTGACTAGCTGTCTTTTAGAAGGGCGGGTAACTATGATAAACACTATTAAATGCATTGTGTGCAAAAATACATCAGTAAGATTATTGCAAGCTTGATCTTTAGAGACTTTTTTGGTATGACTTCAGTTTATAACTAACTTGAATTTCTTTTGGCAGGTTGGCAATCCATTAGAGGAAGCTATTAAGTTCCTTATACCACTTAAGAATCTTGCGGCTGATAACATAGACACACATCTTTTAGCATTTGACATTTATTTAAGGAAAGGTAAAGTATATGTAATTGTGAAACAGGATTGTGAAATAACAGGATGATTTTGTAATAGTTACATGTGTAGATTTATCCATTATTACGTAGTTTTCAGGTTACCTGTCTGCAAAAACACTAGTCATCTCTGGGCTTGACTTACTGGGTTTTCCATTGTCTCACCTTGGTCACAACTGTCCGGCACTGCTGCTCAAATTATTCAGTTTTCTTATTGCTCTCTGCACATAATGCCTGTCCTTAAATCCCTGCCCTGGCACCCTTTTTGCTCCCAGTTTCTGCGCAAGCTTCTTATCAAGACCTCCCTCTCCCCCCACCCCCTTGTCTCTCCATTTTTATATACCAACATATTCCTGTATTTTGGTTTCATTGGTCCAGCTCCACAATCCCCGGTTGTCCAAAGGTCTCCTGCCACCTCAAACAACACCATTTCTTATTTCCTGCCACTTATGCCTGAAACTTCCTCCCCATCGACCATCTCCCCTACTTCATTCAAATCCTCCTCCTCACCTTTTCTGTGATGCTTTTACTACACTGTTATCATTCTCATAAACTTCTATGACTTAAATAACTTCACATTCAGCCCGTCTACCCCTGCCTCCATTCACCTGCCCCTTCTCTGTTGTCTGCCTCAGGCCTGTTTCTTGGTTGTAAGCCCCTGTAATGGGCTGGCTGGGCACAGAGGAGTGGTGGGAGGCATCAGCTGGGGGACCTCCAAGGGAATCCCAGAAGCTCAGAGCCAGGGGACTGGTGATGGAATGGCAATGAGAGGTCAGAGGGAGAAGAAGGAGCAGATTTGGGGGGAGGAGGTGTCAGAAGCAGAAGAGGTAACAGGGTTTAGCGAGCAGGAAGAAGCAGTGGGAGAGAGCAGTTCAGACTCGGAGGCTGAAGCAGAGGCTGGAGAAGATGGTCAAGAGGCAGAGGGGAGACAGGTTCCTGAAGAAGCCAGGGAGTCTCCCCATCCTGCTGCAACCACTTCTCTCCGCCTGGTCATCTAGAACACGCAGAGAAATGAAGAGCAGAACAGAGATTGGCTGTGCGCAGACACAGTCTATGACTGCTTGGGAAAGACCCTGGAGAGCAGGAGCCTTGGAGAGCAGTGGGGCCTTCAGTCTTTGCAGCTGCCTCATTCGGGCAAGATCTCCTGGGAGGAGTTTCTCGGACCACTAGGCCTGCGCTTTTGGGGCTTCTCTGAATAAAGAGTTAACTTCTCTGACACTGTATTTTTTTATTGCTGGCCCACGTTTGACTTCAGCTCCTGGCAGCCCCATAGGGCAGGGACCTGGCCTTGCCTTGTTCATAAGCTGTCAGGTGCATATATAAATAATAGGGGTCTCCTTTATTTTGCATGTGACACATGAGTGAGAGTGTGTGTGCAGAATACAAACAGCAATACAAACAGATTATTCAAATGTAAATAACATCATAAAAACTAGTTCTTTATTCTTGTATGCAGGAAAGTTTCTCTTAATGTTGCAGTCGGTTAAAAGAGCTTTTGCTATTGACAGTAATAACCCGTGGCTACATGAATGTTTAATTAAATTCTCCAAATGTGGTAAGTATAAGATAAATCTGCTGTTTGCATGCTGTAAAACTGCACTTGGAACACTGAGGTACAGTCTTGTCAGATGGTAACAACTATGTGCTTTGTTGTTGTTTTTTGCTTTTTTAGTGTCTGATCATAGTAATTTGCCAGAAATTGTGAACAAAGTCCTAACCCAAGAAATGCAGAAGATTTTTATTAGTAAAGATTTGGAAAGTTTCAATGAAGAATTTCTCAGACGCAATTCTACCTCCATACGGCATCTGCTGTCAGGTTGGTTTATTTGTGTTTTAAAGGATGACATTATGCCAAGCCTGTGTTTTATGGTAGGACTTGAAGCAGGTTCAGGAGAAGAGCCCTGCTCCACAGACCAAAGGTCCATCTAGCCCAGGACTCTGCCCCTGACAACCATAAACCTCTAGGAGGCTCCTAAGAAGGCTTGAAGGCAGCCTGAAGTTGGTCAGTCACCATGAATTCAAGTTCTTTAAGGTCCTCTGTCTTCTAAAGCTGGTGACAATCGTTCAGATAAAACAAGATGCTCTGGCTCATTACAGACTTCCTGGTTTATTCACTCCATACCCTATTTTCCAGGGACAGTGCCGAAATTACGAAAGCCATTCCGGGGTTTTTATTTGATCCCGGAATGTCCCCGTCCTCTGCCTATGCTGCTGCCGCCAAGCTTCGGGAGGAGTAGGTGGTGCTTGGCCCGAGCTGTGACGCTGCAAGGGAGCATCCCATTTCCTCTCTCTGGTCGCTGGTGCTAGCCTCATCCCTTGGGCTGCTCAAAGTGGCTGCTGGAGAGCAGGCAAGGAGGAGGGGCTGTGGAGGCCCACCCAGCCTGGTGTGACACATCGGCTCTGAGGCGCAGACAGAGGGCAGGGCTGCCCTGGGCAGGAAGAAAGGGGAAGCGGAACAGAGTGCAAGGAGTCTTGGTTTTTCTTTTTTAAGCTGAAACGAGGTTTATTTAAATCTGAGCACATAGAGAAGTCCTTATGCTAACTAGCACACAGCCTCCACCAACTTCTTTTATTTTTTCTTCTGCTTTTCTGCGGAAGAACTTTGCTTTTGCAACTACAGGCTGCTTGGGCAGTTTCCCCTTGCCCAGGACTGTATAATAACCTGAGCGCACAACATCAATTACAGGTGATAATCCGGCTGGATTTTTGGCATACTTGAGCCTTGTCTGCTCACTAACAAGCGCCCACAGTTTTTCCAGGTTGACCGTGGGACAGAAGTGCTGGTTTTTCTTCAAGTGGTAATCCTTTCCAAAATAACCAGGATGGTATCTATCAAAGTTAATTATTGTGGTGGTGCAGACGTCCAGCATTACCACATCCTCCAGGATGCTTTCTATGCTTACCAATACGACCATGGCCATGGCTGACGTGACCTCACAGTTTCCTGGTCTTCCTCAGCCTTGAAGGCATCTTGGCGGCTCCAAGGAGATAAAGGAAAGGAGTGCTCCTCTCGCGAGATTTCACGGAAAGGAAGGAGTCTTGAATTTTAAAAACAATGCTTTGTGTGTCCGTGTCTAATCTTGCCCCTTTCTAAAATTTATGTATTGGTTTGTGTTTTTCTTTCTGCAAATCTACCAAAGAATAAAATAAAATTGGGATTATGGGGTTTTCGCAGGACGGTGGAGGGGGTATCTCTCGTCTGCTGTTGCTCCACAGCCATTAGTATTCAGAGGCGGAGTACCTCTGAACATGGAGGTCCCATGTAATCAGTATGACTCATAGCCATGGTACATTTCTTCTCCATGAATTGGAGAATTTGGCAAACACTCCAGCTGGTGGCAATGAACTCCATAACTTGGGTGAAGCAGCCCTTCCACCGTCCGGAATGTGCTGCTGGTCAGTTTCATTAGATGATTCCTAGCATTATCACTTCCAAGTTCAGAAGGAAGGAAAGTCTAAATCAGACAGGGCCAAACTTGGCCCTCCAGATGTTTTGGGACTACAACTCCCATCATCCCTCGCTAACAGGACCAGTTGTCAGGGATGATGGGAATTGTAGTCCCAAAACATCTGGAGGGCCAAGTTTGGCCATGCTTGGCCTAAATGAAGACTGAGAACTTGAAAAAACATTGCTAATTGTTGTCTTCATCATTTTGCAGTTTTATATATGTGTTTAGTCTACCACCAGTCTTTATGGGCTGAGGATTTCCATCTCTGTCGTCCCCATTGTCTTCTATTATTAGAATGCCTTCCCCCATTACTTCATCAGGTCTTTCCCATGGGGTTTTCTTACTCTATTATCTTTTTCTTTTGTGTGGTGTCTATTCTTAGTGGCTTCCGAACTGTAACTCACAATTTCAGGTCGTTAGCATGGATCTTGCTACATTTGCTGCCCTTTAAAAGTCATGTTTATTGTTAAATACACAGCCAAATTACAAAGCTAAATTACTTTAATTACTTTAATGAGGTAACTGTGGATAATTGAACTTAATTTTCTCTTGTCTTCATTAATTGCTTTAGTACCTGTGGCAAATAAAAAATATATTCAGATTTTGTGTCATGGTTCGCCTTTAATTTAGACTTATTGGAGTTCAACGTGTAATGGTTGCAGTGAGAATTTGAAGTCAAATACCCGGTTCTGAGTGAAGTAAGGTTTTTTCCCCTCCCAGAACCTCAGAATAATTGAGGTCATATCAATTAAACATATCATTAAGTTCTCCCTTTGAATGGTTTCCCTGTTCATAAATCTATGCCACTTCTTTTTCAGGTGCCAAGATGATGTATTTCCTGGACAACTCAAGACAAGAGAAAGCTATTGGCATTGCGACTAAACTAGATGAAACGATGACAGACAAAAATGTGAAGGTAATTCATTATTACGGTTGTGAAACTGAAGTTTCTAGATAGTATGCTGTTGTGAATAGTGCATGAGGTGACATGTGCATGAGCAGGTGTGGGGAACCTTTAGCCCCTGGGTAGGCAAACTATGGCCCAGGGGCTGGATGCGGCCCAATCGCCTTCTCAATCAAGCCCACAGACGGTCCGGGAATCAGTGTGTTTTTACATAGTAGAATGTGTCCTTTTATTTAAAATGCATCTCTAAGTTATTTGTGGGGCCTGCCTGGTTTTTTAAAGGAGTAGAATGTGTGCTTTTATTTAAAATGCATCTCTGGGTTATTTGTGGGGCATAGAAATTCGTTCATTTCCCCCAAAAAAATTTAGTCCGGCCCCCCACAAGGTCTGAGGGACAGTGGCCCCCTGCTAAAAAACTTTGCTGACCACTGCTTTAGCCCTTCTTATGTTGTACTGCAACTCCCATCACCCCTGATCATTGGCCATGCTTGCTAGTGCTTATGGGAGTTGTAGTTCAGCTGAAGCTTACCCACTCCTGTATTAGAGGATAAACGGGAAGGTAAACAGCGTTTCCGTGCACTCTGGTTTCCGTCACGGTGTCCCGTCGCACCAGAAGCGGTTTAGTCCTGCTGGCCACGTTACCTGGAAAGCTGTCTGTGGACAAAACTCCGGCTCCTTCAGCCTGAAAGCGAGATGAGCGCTGCAACCCCATAGTCTCCTTTGACTGGACTTAACTGTCCAGGGATCCTTTACCTTACCTATTAGAGGATAACACATGGAAGAAAACAGTATTTTGACTTCCAGTGGAAAAGAAAAAAGATCGCAGCAGCAGCCCTACACTTGAGAGAGGAGCTAATAGGGAGGGGTGTTTCTGTTGGGATTATTTTGTGGAAGACACCCCAACTTAAAAATAATCCTTTTTTCTATCTTCAGACTTTAACAACAGTTTTGGAATCCTTACTTGATGGCAGCTTTGGAGTCAGTCCCACCCAGAGCGATGAGTATCGGCTGGCCTGCCACAAACTCTTTCCTTTAGCATCTGCATTTGTCTCTCCCACGAAGGAAGATGATGGTAGCTTTGCATCGATCAATCATACAGCCATTCATCACAATGTGCTGTCCAATGAAATTTAAAGCCGAGCAATGAATGGGATTGTGCTCTCTTCCAGACTGGTTGAACATAGTTCAGGGTTTCTACTTCCGAACACATTGGAAAAATTCAAACAGGCAGTTGAATGAAAATGTCCTGTGCTATGAGCTCATTTCTCTCAACAGGAGCTGCTGATATTTATGTAGACATCTATCTCTGCATAATACTGGTTATGTTTATATTTGTACAGTTATGGATCTTTTTATCCAAAATCATGGACACAAGAGATTGACCATTCACATGAATGCTGTTACATATTCAAATAAGTACAGCCACTTCTTATAAAACCTATTGGATTAGCAAACTTGGCAAGTTAAAAGGGTTATCATACTTGTCCATTGTTTTCAGCTTTTTTATTTGTTTCTTTCAAAGCACAAATCCTAATTATGGGTGAGGGCAATTTTCTGTTTATTTAAAGCATTTTATGGAAACCGTGCTTAATTCGGAGAGCTTATTTGTGTTTTTAAATTGGTATGCTTTTTTTTAAAAAAGCTATAACCTCCTTTTTCTCGTAACTATTAGTTTGAACTGTTTATTAAATATTTTTGAACTATTGAATACCCGCTATTACTGTTTAGATACTTGTTTCTTCACCACTTACAAATTTTGAAATATTATTCCACTTTTTTGGGGGGGGCGAGGGTACGACAACATAGAATGTGGCCAATCTCAGATAATAAGTTATGTTTAAATATGATGTTGAGCTCTGTTAAAACTCACAAGAAGTGAACTTCAGTTTTTGCTGAAGGATTGATTTAAGTGCTATAAAGCAATTAGTGGTTAATATTTACTTTAACAAATTTAAATGAGCACAATTAGTTTGTCTACAAATCATAGTTAATATTTTTCTTTGTATTTTGGTGCATTAATCCAAATGGATTATGTCTACAACATATCAAAGTTCTAAGTCAACCATCTTAAATGTTTTACTTCGTGGCATCAATGGCTATTCATGACAACTTTATATAAACTGCTGTCCAAACTTAAAATACACCCTGGCTTGTACAGAAAATCCATTTTCTGAAAAATAATCGAACCAGTTTATTTTCCTTTTTATGGTTAATGTAAATATTTCAGTAATATTACTTAGGCCCTATGCAAAATCCAAGAAGGGAAGTTTTATCAAGACAGACAGTTACCTTGAAGACAGTCTCTTCTGACATAGTTGAATGAAAAATTCACTGTAAAATAATGCCAACTGATGTAATGCTGTAATAAATTATTTTGTACACATTGGCTCTGGTTTTGTGTTTCTATATATATTGAATGTTTATTTTTACGGGGCCGTGGTCATGAAATCTTTCTTTTAAAAACTATGAAAATGACCACAGGATGCTGCCTTTGACCAAATCAGACCATTGCTCCATCTAACTCAGTATTGTCTACTCAGTCTGGTAGTAGCTCTCTAAGTTTCCAAATAAGATAATTTCCCCAGCTCTTATCTGAAGACAACAGGGATTAGAAATTGGGGCCTTCCGCATTCAAGGTAAATGTTCTACCACTGAGCTGTGGAATTTTTGAGATTTCTAGTAGATCAGAACTTACCACCACCATGTGATGGCCTTGTCTGTCAGCAGTGGTTTTCTAAGGCAGAGTTTATCCATCAGGTTATCAGGAAAGATCCACATCTCCCATTAGTAAACGTGTGTCAACAACAAGAACCTGAAGAACAAGCCTTGTTGGCTGATAGACACTTGTTTCACCTTTGCTAAACATTGGAGAGACTTAGAAGGAAGACTGATTGATTGATTGAATTTACCATATATACCGCCCTATACCTGAAGGTCTCAGGGCCGTTCACACAACCTCCTCCTGCACTGGTTTAATTTAGCTCTTCTTTCAGATCCAAATGCAGAACACTGGGTTTTGTGAAGGTTTCTCTAGGGTTTCGGTGTTAACTAATTCTAATATCCATTGTGGGATGTTCATGAATCTCAGTGAGAAAGGAAATATGTAAGAAGTCTCTAAAGGCAAAAGATGAGTTTTATAAACAAATGCACGCATGCATGCACACACACATATTCTATATTGCTTTGAGGAGCTTGCTTCCAGGTCACCGATTCAAAACACAGCTTTTAGCATTTGTTAATTATTATGTTAATGCCTCTGTGATTTCTTACGTTAAGATGCCTTCTTGGCTCCCGCTCAAGTTCTCCTGTTAGACATCTGTTCACATTACAAAATCCACAATCGTAGTGAAGTTAGACTGCCAAATTCAGTAGCGGCTTCTGGGTTTGAATTTATCCGATTCTTGTAATATGATGTAATAGAAGCAGATTGGTAAAAGCTCACTTTCTTGAGTTACCTGCTAAGTCACAGACTTATTTACCTATTTATCCCCTTCCCCTTTTTATGAAGATTACCCACCCTGGGATCCCACAGCTAATTCTTCCCTGGTCTCCTCGCTGGCCCAAATAGGACTAATTTAGCCAGCTAGATCATCTGGTGATCACCTAATGTTTATTGGATGGATTTTCCCCTAAATTGATTTTTGAATTCTGAATTTATTGTTATTCACATTTTATACTGTATTTTAGGCTGTTTTTTGTTGCATCAATTAATGTTTTAAATTTGTTAGCTGCCCGGAGCCTGGTTTTCTGAACCAGGAAGGGTGAGATATAAATAAAAAAATATTATTATTATTATAATTATTATTATTAATGGCATCCTATAGAATAAAAGTTCTCTTGGTGCTTACAGTAAGTAAATATAAAAGCAATCATTTCTTGACTGGAAGGTTCTTGGGGTGATCATGTTTGCTTTGCACTGAAAGAAGGGAGTTGTTGTTTAGTCATTTAGTCGTGTCCGACTCTTTGTGACCCCATAGACCAGAGCACGCCAGGCACTCCTGTCTTCCACTGCCTCCCACAGTTTGGTCAAAGTCATGCTAGTAGCTTCGAGAACACTGTCCAACTATCTCGTCCTCTGTCGTCCCCTTCTCCTTGTGCCCTCCATCTTTCCCAACATCAGGGTCTTTTCCAGGGAGTCTTCTCTTCTCATGAGGTGGCCAAAGTATTGGAGCCTTAGCTTCAGGATCTGTCCTTCCAGTGAGCACTCAGGGCTGATTTCCTTAAGAATGGATACGTTTGATCTTCTTGCAGCCCATGGGACTCTCAAGAGTCTCCTCCAGCACCATAATTCAAAAGCATCAATTTTTCGGCGACCAGCCTTCTTTATGGTCCAGCTCTCACTTCCATACATCACTACTGGGAAAACCATTGCTTTAACTATACGGACCTTTGTCGGCAAGGCGATGTCTCTGCTTTTTAAAGAAGGGAGTACTGCACATAAATGCCTGCTCACCGCAGCTCAGCCCCCTGACCTTGGCTTTCAGCAGAAGAGCTGGAGGGAGATCCATGGGGCAGGAACATGCGGTGCAAGGAGGAATCTTGGGCAACAGGGCCGCTCAGTCCCAGGAAGGAGCCTCCAGGGGTACGGCTGTGCACTTGCATGCTCACTGTTCAGAGCTGCTCCTGGCTCCATTGGGGGGTGGGGGGCAGAGCAAGTGGACCCCTTGGGCATGGAGGCAAAGCTCTTTGAGGGGCCACTCCTTGTAGCCTTCCTTCTCATAGCTGTCAACTGTCCCATATTTGGCGGGAAACTCCCTTATCCCAGCGCCGTGTCCCGCTGCTGTCCCGGACTGATGATGTCCCTTAAATTTCCCAGATTTCAGATGCGGAGACTCAGGAACATTCTACCATATGTGGTGGATATGTAGGAAAATACAGGTATTCTGGGAGAGTATACATGTAGAACTGCAAAAAAATGCTAAAGATCTCTTTCAATAAAAAAACCAGAGGCCTACCTCCAGGGAATAACAGATTTGGATATTCCGCAAAAGAGGAAGGGTATCTTTTTATATGCGACTGCGGCAGCAAGAGTTTTGATCGCAGCAAAATGCAAGAGTAATGAAATCCCCTCTATTCAAGATTGGATCCAAAAGCTGACAGAATATGCTGAATTAGATGGTTTATCAGAAAAAATAAAGAATAAATCAAAACAGGAATTTGTTTCTAAATGGGAGGTTTTTAAAGAATATCTGAAAAATTAATATAGTAGTTTAAATTCTGTTGCAGCATTCGAGGAACTTCAGTAATAGTTGCAAGGTAGATATAAGAAACTAGATTTAATGAGAATAAGTTTAATTATGAAAAAAAAATGTGTATTGGCAATAAGTAATATGAATTTGAAGTATGGATTAGACGGGAGGTTGGGTCTTTAGTGTTAAGACCAATAGATGTTTTATTGTTTGCTAAGAATATTAAGTGTCTATGGTTATTTTTGTAATTTGTGTGTAATTTGGTATTTGTGTTTTTTGTTTGTTTTTCTTGTTGTATAATTAAAAAATTCCCAGATTTCATGTTCGCCCGGCTCGGGAGGAAAGCGGCGGATTGGGGTCCTCCGCCTTGAAAGAGAGAGCGCACAAGCTGCCATGTCTCCGTCTCTCCCTTTTCCCCCTCAGGGGCGCATCGTGAGGAGATGGGGGGCGGGCGGGCAGGCAGCCCCTCTCTTGCGAGACTTCCTGAGGGAGGCCTGAGGGAGGAGGAAGAGGAGGGGATGGGGAGGGATGCAGAAGGGCGGCGCTTCAGCGGCCGCGCCGTAGCGCTGCAACCATCTCATGCCAGGCCCGTGGGCTGTGTGGGCAAGAGTCTCTCTCCCTCCCTCCCTCTCTCTCAGGTGGGGAAGGGCCAATGGAACTCCTTGCACCAGGACGACGGCAGCCCCGACGTGCTGCTTAGCATCTCCTCCAACCAGTGCAGCATCTTAATGTAGTGATTTCCCCCTCTGCATCCCTTTCATAACTCTATTTTTATAAATCATTTGTCCATCCATAGTTCAAATTTTTACTACAAGTTTTCTGTCAATCCTACCAATGTATGTAACTCTTTACAATAGCTTTTCAACTAAATTATAAACTTTCCCCATTCTTTATTAAAGAGGCCCTCTTCCTGGTTTCCGATTCTGCCTGTAAGCTTCGCCATCTCGACGACGTTCATCAGTTTTGTCTGCCACTCTTCTTTGGTCGGAGTTGTAGACCCTTAGGATCATCTAGTCCAACCCCTGCAAAACGCAGCAAAAGCAGCATGGATCCATCAGTGGCGGATTTCTGTATAAACTAAACCAAAACCCCTTATTTTGGCTGCTGATCCCTTATTTTCAAATCTGTAAACTGACAGCTATGCTCCTTCTGCATTTGCAGAAACACTCTTCTTCCGAAGACATTGGGAGCAATGCGCAAAAGAGAAATCGCGCACGATACGGAGCATCTGCTCCTTCAATGAAAACTTACCAGAACAGCATCCTGCAGTTGAATCGGCGATAACCGCAATTGCGCGCACGGATATCCCCATTTGTATGCCGCCCTGCGCGCGCCAAGACCGTCGGGCGGGTCGCAGCCAGCAGCCGGCGTGGCTGGGCGGGGCGCCGGGGAGCCTTCCCGCCTCCCTCCGCCGGAGAGACCGAGAGAGACGGGGCGGGGAAGAAGGCTCCGTGGGCGGCCCCTGCCTCTGCCTCCCGTTCCCCGACGGCGGCGGCGGTTCCCGGTCGGCTCCGTCGGAAGGGGAATTGGGCGCCTCTGGCTCGACGTCTCTCTCTCTCCGCCCGGCGGCCATGCAGCGTCCGGAGGAGCAGCAGCAGCCCTGGGGCGCCTTGGAGCCGTCGGGGCGTCGGGGAGCAGCGGAGCTCGGCGGGCGGAGGCGCCCCTGTCTCTCCGCCGACGGCAGCGTCTCGGCCAGGCGGCCGCCGAGCCGGGCGGCGACGGAGGGCCCTCGCTGCTCTCTCGACGGGGCTCCCGGGGACCTGGCGGAGGAGCTGCGCGAGTTCGACGCCGTGCTGGACGCCTTCTCGCCCGGCGCCCAGCAGCGCCGCTTCCCCGGCGAGGAGCCTCCGGAGTCCCTCTTCCGCCTCGACGCCCAGAGTGAGTCCATGTTCTGCTGCTGCCAGGAGGGAGCTCTCCCCCTTTATTTCAGCCCCCTCTTCAAGGGACCCTCGGCCGGTCGTGGGCTCAGGGATCTCTCGGGGATCCTGGGCTCATCTCCTCCTCCCCGTCCTTTTGCTCGACGGACACGCGTCTGCCCCACAGAGAGCGCTTGCTTTCTCGAGCGCTTCAGGGGGGAGCTGAAGTCGACACGGTCGTGTGCATGAATGATGGGGATTCAATTGCCCAGAGCAGAAATGGCTCCGAGTGTCAGCTGAAGTTCCCGGTTCAAGTCCAGCTTTATGGAGCACACACGGGGCTGCTTCACCTGTCATGGGCATTTGAATGTTAGTGCGCTGATTCTTGCTTGCTTGTTTAAAATGTGCAGATAGATGTGCAGTCCTGTGAAATTGATTGCTGTTCTTCCTGCCTTGGCAACTAGGAGATGCCCACTCCGAATAGTCATCTGTGTACTTAATTTCGGGTTGGCACTTAGCCTCCCCCCCACCCATGCATTTGAGAACCTCAGGTGTGCTGCCGCTTAGTGCCAGTGTTCTTCTGAAAAAGGTGCTGGCTTTGCATCTCTACTCTGATAGGCTCCCAAAATTGTTTCCTATTTACAAAAAAAAACCTCTTTACGACAGATGCGTTTTCTGACAGTTTGCTCAGTGCCATTCATAGCAGAGCCGGGACTTGACTGCTGCACTTGAGAATTAACTGCTCAAAAACAACTGCTTGTTTACCCGGCTTGTTCTTGAGAGAGGAATGCTTCTCAAAGCTATTTTTACCTGTCTTGGGACACAGACACCCCCACCCAACAGAAACAAAAGCGCAGCTTTGTTTTGTGCCCGTGTTTTTCCTGCTGACGATATTTATTGCGATATATCTTGTGTCATTAAAACTCTGGTGGTTGGGAGATCTAGTCCTAAGTCCCTAGAATTCACTGGAGTGGACTTGTATAGAAAAGTGCTAAAAATCTTCATGATTGGCCATGGAAGCAGCCAGGGCGGGGCAATATCAACTTTCCAACATCACAATGTATCGCCAGCTAAAGAATGTGATCATAGTGATTGTAGAATTGTAGAGTTGCAAGGAACCCTGAGGATCATCCATTCGGGGATCGAACCAGCAACCTTGGCACTATCAGCACCACGCTCAAACCAACTGAGATCCATTGTGATGTTGAAAAGGAAGGAGCATCATTTGGCCCCGTCCCCACGTGGCGCTGATGTGAAACCGCCTCGGCTCCCCCCACTGCCAGCACCCGGCTCAGGGAGGAAGGAGGCAGCTGGAGAAGGAAACTAAGGCTTGACAATATACCTCTGAGTGAAGGTGCCATCATGCTCCAGCCCTCAAACCAGTCCTGGGCAATGGGTTGATACATAGTCCAGGCCTAAAAACAGCATCTCCACTGTGTTGCATGTCAGGTGCCTTGCAGTATTGAAGTCCTCTAATCCCGAAAAGATAAGCAGGGTACTCCCACCCGTTCTTCAATGGAACAGTAGAACATCTGGAGGGATCTCTAGAGAACGGGGTTGTTGTTGCAGCTGCTTCAAACCACAGCTGTAAGCTTGTTCCATAAGTGCCAATTCCTAGGGTCCCAGGTCCCTTCACACACACCCCAGTAAAATATTTGAGGGGGCTGGTCTTGTGGTAGGACCAGGTGACTGACAGATGGTGACCCTACCTACCTGTCACAAGGGACTGTGGGGAACCTAATGGTTTGGGGAAATAGCCATCCAGCCCACTGGCTAAAAATCGTTTCCCAAATCTGCAGTGTGGCATAATTTAGCACACACAGAATGAGAATTCAAACATTCTCTTTCTTAAAAAAGAAAACACAATGCAAATGTGCAGCTGCTGTATAAAGATATTTGGAACCACACAGGCAATATTTGGAAAAAAGACTTCTGTTGCCCTGCCAGCCAGCCTGTCCTCCTCTTCCATTCAGACAACTTTTAACACCATCCTTCTTGCTAAGATGTCGTTTGACCACAATCATATTCCAAAGCAACAGTGAAAATCCAAATTTAATAATGCCTGAAATATTGCCACGATAAAGCATATGAAATAGGGGCTAAAGCACCATGTCCAGTCTGTTGAGTGGGTAGAACGAGGGAGATCACCAAAGATGGTTGTTGGGTTCTCAAGAAGAGGATTTAGCTCTAGGGCAGGAATGGGGAGCTTGTGGTCCTTCAGGCCCAACCAGGGATCATGGGAATTGTAGTTCACCAACATCTGGAAGGCTACAGGGTCTCCATCGCTGTGTATATCCATCTCCTCAGAGTATTGTGGAAGAAGGATGTCAATCAACATTTGATGATCTCCTTCTTCCGGTCCACAATAGAAAGTGTCCTTTCATACTGCATCATGGTGTAGTACGCTGGTTTGACATCAACTGATAGGAAGTGCCTACAGAGGGTGGTGAATATAGCACAAGATATTATGGGCTGTCCCATGAATCCACTGGATGAAATAGCGGAAGAACGTTGCCTCAGGAGAGTGAGGAAAATTCTCAGGGATGATTCACACCCTGGCCGGCACTTTCTTGATCTCCTGCCCTCAGGCAGAAGATATAGAAGCATGATTAGTCGCACCAACAGGGTAAAGAACAGCTTTTATCCGTTGGCTGTTAGGCTGCTGAATTAAAAGATAACAACCAGGCAACTGACTTTCGGGTTTGGCGGGTGTGAGTCAGTAAACGAGGGGAATTAAGACTAAGAGAGTTGAGTGGGAGGTGCTCATGTAACCTCACTGTGTACAAGTTGTACAAGTGACAATAAAATATTTCAATTATATAAAAAGACAAGTCAGGGTCTGGGTGTGTTTAAACCCTCGTCAAATTGGGAGGAGGCAGACTTCTAGTTACATGGACATGCCTTGATTTCTTTCTTGGTATTCTTGAATGGCAATATAAAGAAACGACAATGACCTTTTGTAAAGAAATCCAAAAGGCGTAGCAGGATTAATAGAGAGGGCCTTTATTCTAGGGAAATGCACAGATGTCATAACTTGACTGCTTCTCCTCCATGGCCTTCTATGACACACACTGCTAAATTTACAGCCGCTCACAGTCCAGTACTGTTCAAACATCGACTCTCCCTCTTTGAATACAAGTTTATTTCCCTTTTTGTCTCTGTAGCGAAACTGTGGTGCCAAATTCATTACCCCTCCGTTTCCTTGGTAACACTTATGCGAAATGTCAGTGTGGGAGAAGCCAGGCCACAAGGAGACATGCTCTAAAAACACAAATCTGCAGCAACCGCAGTATTAAAAAAAGAAGGCGGCTGCTAGGTGGTATTTTGTCTGTAAACAACTTTTATTGGATGGAACAGCAAGCCACCTTACACATACTCTCTCCTCTGGCTTCCTGCAAATTCATATCGGCTTCTTCTGATCTCTGCTAGCTAGTAGCTTAACCACAAGCCAAGAAAAGCATTCGACCAGCTCTTTCTACAGATCCTCTCTCTCTCTCTGTTTTGGGACTAGGGCTGTGACTATACTGTGTCTGTGTAACCATCTGCATTGCGCAGTGGATCGATAACTGAGAGTCTTGATAGCTAACCTCCCCACTTTGCCTTTGACCGGCTCACTCTGTGTGTGATTGTGATGGGTTCCAGAGCAGGAGGTACTAGGTGCAGGTTCTAGGTGTAACTGCAGCACCAATGTGAGGACGTCTGCTACCAGCACTGGGATCCAACAGTGGTCTCTCCTTACACAGCAACCTTTATTTCTTCAATGTAGAATTTGCAGAAGAGTCGAGTGTAATGACTAGTTTTTATAAATGCTCTAGATGGCCATTTCCTTTTGTGACCTTCTTTGGAGCAAAGTATAGAAGATGAGTTCATGCGATTTAAACAGATTTGCGAGCTAAGATTTGTCTAAATCCAATTCTGAACGGACTAAAGACAAAAGCTAAGACTGTCCCTTGTCATCACTGTTATGTATTCGCCTTGGTTTCAGAACCATTAGCTACAAAAATAATCAGTTAATTTTTACATCAAAACTAATTCCCAAAACTTATTTATCCAGTCACTACTCTGAGGCAATAATAGAGTTTTCCATTTGTGGGCAACCAGTATTGTCACTGCAACTATCATGTAGAAGGTTAATTCTATATGTTCTGTACTGACTGACTGAGATGTGCAATTTCAGAACAATAGTAGGGAATCTAATATTTTAGACATTAATCTTATAATAATGTTCCAGTACGTATTTCTGTCTCATTTCTATTTCAATATATTGTTTTCTATACAAAGATGAAATGCTTATTGTGCACATTAGTAAGACGTTCTTGTGAAATATAAATGGGAGATCTAGGGGTATTTATTAAGTAAGTTAAATTCATACTACATGTTTGTAGTAATTCTTAGCTGCTCGTTTCTCTGGCTCTCTTCCTGGATTGGAACCAAGGTGTATTTGCTTGCATCCGAACAAACTTCCCTCACTGCTGGAAGAATAGCTGGGCAGCAGACCTACAGTAGATAAGCAGTACCATCAAAAGAAGGAAGTTGTGCACGATTGTGCAGCAAATCGGAACTGGCCATCCCTGTGTGGTTCTCCTGAACCAGGGCGCTTAATGCCTAAGAGCTCCTCCATCTGGAAACGCCTAGTTTATGCCAGCAAGGCTGGTGGGTGTCTGAATCTCTGTGTGTAAATATGCAAAAAGCAGCATGTTCACATTGGAGATGGAGGGAAAAGGTGATGTTCCAGTAACACATTAATGAGCCATAGAAAGACTTTCCACTCATGCAGAAAAGTTGATTCCCCTCCCTTCAAACCCCGCAGTCCTGGCTATGGACTTTTGTCGGTGGCCCCATGCACTCTTCAGGACACACATGGGGCCTGATATTCTACACCAGGGGTAAAGGTAAAGGGACCCCGACCATTAGGTCCAGTCGTGCCCGACTCTGGGGTTGCAGTGCTCATCTCGCTTTATTGGCTGAGGGAGCCGGCGTACAGCTTCCGGGACGTGTGGCCAGCATGACTAAGCTGTTTCTGGCAAACCAGAGCAGTGCACGGAAACGCCGTTTACCTTCCCGCTGGAGTGATACCTATTTATCTACTTGCACTTTGACGTGCTTTCGAACTGCTAGGTTGGCAGGAGCAGGGACCGAGCAACGGGAGCTCACCCCGTCGTGGGGATTCGAACCACCGACCTTCTGATCGGCAAGCCCTAGGCTCAGTGGTTTAACCCACAGCGCCACCCGCGGCCCACACCAGGGGTAGTCAACCTTTTTATTTACCTACATGCACTCTTCAGGACACACATGGGGCCTGATATTCTACACCAGGGGTAGTCAACCTTTTTGTACCTACTGCCCATTAATGCATCTTTTTTGATGGTAAAATTTCCTTACCACCCACCAGTGCTTGATGGAAGGAGGATTCACCTTGTGCCGTAGAAACCCCTACCGCCCACCTAGAATCCTGAAATGCCGACTAGTGGTCAGTAGGGACCAGGTTGACAACCCCTGTTCTACATGGACAGTTAGTTGCAGATGTAAAGAGAGTTTGGGTGGCATCTGCACTTGGCCAGGGGTGGGGAACATCTGGCCAGATTTTGCTGGAACTCCATCTCAGATCAGCCCCAGCCAGCATGGCTGAGGGTTAGGGTGGATTGAAGTTGGAGCCCAACCACCTCTGGAGGGCCACAGGTTTGGCCAGCCCAATAATTACCTATTCATGGCACAGATTTCAGTGGGGCGTTGTCAGAACTGGAGCATAACCTTGTGAAGGCATGGATTTTGTGGCTTGTATCCTCCTGGAAACTTTGATATTGTGCTGGATTGTAAAATGCTCTGAGGATTTAGCTAGTTCTGCTGACTCTTCTGTCTCAGGTTTGGATGACTACCACTTGATTGGATGTTAGACATAATTTATTCTTGGCTCAACAGCCAAGTTTGGTCTCTCCATGCTTTCATGCTGAATTCAGTCAGTGGAACTCCACCAAAGATGGATTGTGCTTTTGTGGCACAAAGCTATAGGACTAAATCCAACTCAACATAGCTTAGAACTGCATCTGCAGACTTCCATCTCTGAATAATAGAAGGGCAAGTCAACCTTGCCCACCTATTGATGATGACAAGGTCTTGGTATTTTGCTGCAACAAATCTGCAGAGCATGTCCCTGGCAAAAGCACTGGGGTCTTCTATTCCAAGTTAGACCATTTTGAATGAGTTTTGTTTTGGTTTGCATAGAGAGTTGCTGGTTGTGATGCATACAAAAATCCCCCATAGGCATAGCATGGGGAGTCCCACGGGGGCCGTGGCCCCAATGCACACCTGTTGAGTAGTTTGTTTAAACGTTAGGGTTCATTATTGTTTCACAGGATGTGTACCATTTTAAAAGCCAGGGTGCATATCCTGACCTAGTTTTTACATCTGTGTAGCGGGTGGCGCTGTGGGTTAAACCACAGAGCCTAGGGCTTGCCGATCAGAAGGTCGGTGGTTTGAATCCCCGCGACAGGGTGAGCTCCCATTGCTCTGTCCCAGCTTCTGCCAACCTAGCAGTTTGAAAGCACATCAAAGTGCAAGTAGATAAATAGGTCTTCTGGCGGGAAGGTAAACGGCGTTTCCGTGCTCTCTGACTTCCATCACAGTGTCCTCTTGCACCAGAAGCGGTTCAGTCATGCTGGCCACATGACCCGGAAAGCTTGTGGACAAAGACCAGTTCCCTCGGCCTGAAAGCGAGATGAGTGTCACAACCCCATGGTCACCTTTGACTGGACTTAACCAGGGGTCCTTTACCTTTTACCTCTCTCCTGGGCATCAAAGGATTTCTGTTTGAATCCAAGACTATGGGAGGAAATAAACCATATATCATTAAGACTCCACAGTGCCTCATTCCCAAAGGAAATACAATCCCATGGAATCTTGCACTGCTCGGAAGTTGGACTGGCGTGGAAGAATACGTTTAAGTCAAAGATGCAGGGTGACTTTCTGCTATAACACTAAGGATTATGGGTTGTCTTCTAGGACTCTGGTTTTACACCCATTAGTGAGGCATGATCTGACCTAAAGTGGGTTTCAGCAGCACTGCTATCACTGTGTAGATTATATGGTATAAAGTTAAAAATCGGGTCCCACAGTGCATGTCTGGACTAAAGGTGGGTCCCCAGTCAGAAAAAATAGTTGAGTACAGCTGTTCCAGAATAAATGTGTTGTTTAAAAATAATTGCATGGTGATTTCTTCCCTTTTTGCTCTAAAAGGAAACTCTGAGTGTTCTTCCACTGCCCTTTCGACTAGTGTAATAACTAACTGTTGCTTAAGAGGCAGGCCGTCCTGCATGTAAGTAGATCTCTTGAGGTTTCGCTGAAGTCTGGAATAGAAATAACTGGAGCTAACCATGAATTATTTTGCCTGCCAAGGTAAGCATCCATCTTTCTGTACTCCAAACCCTTCATTAAGTAAGTTTTGCTTCAGCCAAAGCAGGCTGAATCTGCTTAGGAACTTGAATTCACATTCAAAGAACTGGGCTTGACGATACTTTCCTTAGAATTTTTCATAGTCTGATCCACCAAAGTTAGTGTGACTGGCATCAGGAGTCAGAAGCAGGTGAAGGACATGGTTGGGACACTTGGTGCCCACATTCTATCTGGGGTGATGCTAAATATTAAACGATACATTCCCAGGAATCGAATCCCCATGTTAGGAATCGAATCCCCATGCTAGGATCCAAGAGGGTTGAAGAGAGAGACAGTACAGCCCAAAAGCTTACTGTTCGGTATGACATGGTACTTGGAACATCAGAGGGCAGGTGTGTAGAGCCGTGCTCCCTTCAGCTGATGACAGTTACAACTTCATCTTCAAGGGCAACCCCACATGAAGTGCATTGCAGTAGTCATTTTTTTAAAAAAAAACATTTCTGCTTTAGGTAGTTGAAAATTTCTAATTAGGAAATAATTTTGTAGCCTCAATCAAAGCATCGCGTAGTGCCAATTTTGCAGTAGTTCATACCAATAAGTCGGATGTGGGTCCCAGTAGACATCAGAGATTTCCCTTATGCTCACGGCTCTTTGCCTTCTCCCTGGAGACTCTGGAAATAGCCATGCATAATGATAGAAATGGAAGGGGTTACAGGAGGGAGGGAGAATAGTATATCCTGAACCTCTATGCAGATGATATGATACGCATGACTCAAATGATGCAGGATACCTCACGAGCATTGTCAAAAAACCTGGCAAATTTGAAATACCTGGCTTTTTGGATACATCTTAAATAACATATTTCAGTATACCCCCAATGATTAAATGCGGCTAAAAGAATGGATAAATATTCCACAATGCCATAAGGATTTCCAATACCTTGGAATCTGGATACCCTGAAACTTGAACAAATTACATGCTTTAATTTGTTCTTTTAGTGAGGTTTTTTTTTAAAGGGCATGAGTAGATGGAATAAATTACAATTAACAGCTTTAGGAAGCGTTGTGGCGGCACATATTATGATACTTCAGAACTTACCCTTTTTGTTTCAAGTTCTCCCCACCCCTCTCCAAACAGGTAATAGTGCCACTGTATTCTGCTCTGGTCAGAGCTCACCTGGAGTACTGTGTCCAGTTCTGGGCACCACAGTTCAAGAAGGACACTGACAAACTGGAACGTGTCCAGAGGAGGGCAACCAAAATGGTCAAAGGCCTGGAAACGATGCCTTATGAGGAACGGCTAAGGGAGCTGGGCATGTTTAGCCTGGAGAAGAGGAGGTTAAGGGGTGATATGATAGCCATGTTCAAATATATAAAAGGATGTCACATAGAGGAGGGAGAAAGGTTGTTTTCTGCTGCTCCAGAGAAGCGGACACGGCGCAATGGATCCAAACTACAAGAAAGAAGATTCCACCTAAACATTAGGAAGAACTTCCTGACAGTAAGAGCTGTTTGACAGTGGAATTTGCTGCCAAGGAGTGTGGTGGAGTCTCCTTCTTTGGAGGTCTTTAAGCAGAGGCTTGACAACCATATGTCAGGAGTGCTCTGATGGTGTTTCCTGCTTGGCAGGGGGTTGGACTCGATGGCCCTTGTGGTCTCTTCCATCTCTGTGATTCTAGGTAAAGGTAAAGGGATCCATGACCATTAGGTCCAGTCGTGACCAACTCTGGGGTTGCGGCGCTCATCTCGCTTTACTGGCCGAGGGAGCTTCCGGGTCATGTGGCCAGCATGACTAAGCCGCTTCTGGTGAACCAGAGCAGTGCACGGAAATGCCGTTTACCTTCCTGCCAGAGCGGTACCTATTTATCTACTTGCACTTTGATGTGCTTTTGAACTGCTAGGTTGGCAGGTAGTTTGAAACAATGGCCCAAAATTATACCTGTTTTTGCATTTCAGAAAAAGTAACCTGAAAATCGGAATTTTGAGGTCTTAGATATATGGAAATGTTCATAAGCGTACCAACCAAGCACGTACATAGATCAGCACAGGAGGACCGACCTGGAACCATTTTGAGTCCTAAACTGAGCAAATGTTTTCTCTGCAAGGTCAAAGTGGGAAACCTCCCCATTGTCTCTTTCCTCACAAATCCTGTCTTAAGGGCACATTTAAGATATGAATAGGGTGTGAGCCTGTGACCTGGCCCAGGAACTAAGTATTTATCATTACAAAAGACTGGTCAGGCTCCCCAGGCAATCCAATCAAGTAACCTGCCAGACAGGAGATAAACAACAACAGGAGAAAACAATATTGAAATTTCTGTTTTAGACTGCCTTTTCTGTGATGTAGGTATGATGTATCTGAGGGGTGGTCTTAGGTTACACCCCTTCTGTGATGTATGTATGATGTTTCTGGGGGTGGTCTTGATCTACAAGGTGACAATTTTAAAAGTCTTTATAAGGCCTTGCGCACCATTTTTCTGGGTTCCTCCTCTCCTGCGGGCGAGGGGAGCACCCTGTTGCAACAGATCAATGAAGATCAAGCTTACTAGCTGCTTTGCTTCTCAATATTCTCTGGTTGGCCTCTGTTATCTTCTCCTTCCAATAGGGAACCTATGTAAGGACTCTATATGGGTTCTTGGATACCCCATAAGGAAAAAGGGCAATTTTTGTTTACAACACTATCGAATGGCCTGAAGGCAGAAGTTTGTTTTCAGCACATCCAAGCTACATCAGATCTAATCAGTCGGGGCAGCGCATGCTTTCATGTGTCTGGCGAAAAGCACACAAATCCACACTGTTACGGTAAAATCTGGGTGCGGGGCTACTCTGCCACCCAGCTCGTCGGACTAAGTCCGCAGGTCCCTGCGGAAGAAAAATGAGCTCAGCCGGAGACAGGAGCAAACTGCAGAAGATCCAAGTTTATTGCGCAACAAGTTCAAGGCGAGATTGAACAGCGAGAAAGGGGTGACATGAATTTTTGAAACTTCCCTCCATGTCCCAGAATACAGTGCAAAATACATCCCAGTTACATCATGAATACATTAAGAAGAGGTTGGGTTACACAGATTACATCACGAATACATTAGGAAGAGGTTGGGTTACACCGGATTAACATATGGAGGAGGGAGGGGGGAATATGCAGAGCTGGAGATATGCGCAGATAAGCACATCCTGAGAAGACAATGGTCCATGTATGCATCGTCTGCCACCTGGCATTGCCCGGAGGAAAGGCTTGGCAGAGCGATTTGACAGGATTAGGGTCTTGACACCTTGCTTGAGGGATTATGGAGGACAGGGGAGGTGTCATGGAGTCCTAGAGAAATTGAGCAAATTGGCACGTTGATTTTCTATGAATTTTATAGATTTTAGTCCCTTTTGACATTGACAATTGGAAATAAATGGATATATTGTAGCGAAGAAGGTGAAGAAGACATGCCCCCCCCCCTTCCGTATCAACACGGATCAATTAGATTCCTATTTTGATAGACACTCGGATGGAGGGGAGCTTTTCAGCCCCTTAAAATCCTCAGCCTGTTTCTAGACCTGTACTTCTGTGGGCATGGAGCCCGTAATAGCCATTTACATAGGGGCCTGGAGAGGTTTGGGGGAAGTCTCAGCCTAGTTAGTGAACAGGGGCTTTATGCCAACCTCTCCAGACTCCACGAAGGACGAACAGAAGTGTAAATAAACCCACATACTGTAGCTAGTTGTGTTGGGTTCAGTGGGAAGCCTGCTGCATGCAAGGGTACATTAAATATTTTCACCCACTTGCCCACCTAGCCTATTTCATTCCATTAGAAGAAGCAAGCTAGCCGACAGCAGAAGAAAGCTTTTATGAGCTTCTGCGCATGAACCACAGCCAAAGAGGCAGAGAGCAGCTGGTAGAGACAGAAGGAGCATTAAGACTGAAGCACAAAAGTCAAACAGCATTAAATCTTGAGAACGCCTTCGAAGCCACGCTGCCATTGTCAGCTGCTGCCATTGTCCTGAAATGTCTTGTGATTTACCGTGGTTGTTTCAAACCTTGCAGTTAGTTCTGGCATTCAGATAAGCCGATGGAACAATCCCCGTGCTAATTTTGCCTTTTCAAGCATTCCAAATAGCTGCTCAGGTAGAAATCCCATCTAGCTGCAGATCAGAATCTCTTCCGGGAGGGGGGGGACATTGTGGGTGCGTAGAGGAAGCTTATCATCTCACAATAAGTGCATGGCTTCTCGTCGCTTGAGAATTCAAACATTGTTCCTCCAGGTAATTTCATTGTTGCATTTCATAGAATCAGAGAACTGCAAGGGAACACCCCCCCCCCCGGACCTTCTAGGTCCAAGATTCTGCAACGCAAGAACCACAGCTAAATAATCCCTGACAGATGGACTCTTCTGTTCAAAAACCTCCAGTGAAGAAGATTGCATAACCTTCCAGCTGGCTCGGGTGACAGTTGCTGTCAGATGAGAAAGGAGAGGAGGATGTGGGGGCAACCTGAGAGGGTGGGGGCTTCCTTTGCCCCTTTGCCTTTAGACGCAGGCCTACTGGCTCACTCTCCTCAGAGCAGCCATCCACAGAGCAGCCATATTTCCTAGCAAGCTGGGAAGGGAGGCTGCACAGCTGGAGGAGCAATGAGAACCAGAGGAGTTGACCCCCCTCCCCTTGTCACCAATAACTTGTCACTGCTTCTGCCATGGGCAACAGGCCCACACCTTCAAACGCACCCGTCTCATAGGGAGTTTTGCGAGTGAACACACCATCTTACCTTTAAGGCCAGGGCCTTTTCAGTGATGGCTCCGACCTGGTGGAATGCTCTGTCCCATGAGATCAGGGCCCTTCAGGATTTAACCTCCTTCCATCGGGCCTGTATTCCCTATTCCAGCTGTTCTGCCTGGCCTTTAATTTGAATTCAGCCTGATCTTTTATTTCCCTTCTCTTCCCTCCCCCTCCCCTTTTATGAAGATTACCTGCTCTGAGACCCCACAGCTAATTCTCCCCTGGCCTCCTCGCTGGCCCAAGTAGGACTAATTCAGCCAGCTAGCCCTGGTGATTATCTAATATTTATTAGATGGATTTCCCCTAAATTGATTTTTGAACATTGAATTTTATTGTTGTTCATGTTTTTATACTGTATTTTATGCTGCTTTTACAATTAAGTGTTTAAAATTTGTTGTTAGCCGCCCTGAACCCGGTTTTTGAACCAGAAAGGGCGGGGTATAAGTAAAAATTATTATTATTATTATTATTATTATTATTATTATTATTAAAAGCGGGAGGGAGGGATGTACCCATTATTAAGACACCTTTGTGACTTTTATCTGGTCTTGGAACCCTGAGGCCGTTCTTGTCGTCTATAGCTGTGCCTCAGACTATCTGTCTCTGACTTGGTTGATTGCAGGCTGTGAATAAAGCTCGCCTCTGTTGAAGATTTGGGACAGGAGCCAGGAAAGGCACGCAGAGAGTTAACTGTGAAACCCTTCAGGAATCTGTTGCTTCTTTTTTCTCATTTATTTGGGGTGGTGGTGAAGGGATTTTAATCAGCTCTCATTGATTAAATCTACGGGGTAATCAAATTTTGCAGCACTAGCAGAATGGCATGGGTATAGTCATTCGTTCTCTCTCTGGTGGTGGGAGGGGGTTGAGGAAGGGGGCTCCTGCTGCTACAGATTTTCCTGCCCTAAATGCCTGATATGTTTTTGTTGCAGGTGCAGATTCACTCTGCAGAAATAGTTTCGGTTTCAGTGACGGAAAGCTAAATTCCCCAGCGCTGTCTCCTGCAGCTGTGTCTACTCCAACAATAGCTTCTCGCAAAGGTAATGCAATTCTGAATAGCACAGGTGTGTTTATAAGGTCATGTTTATGCTGGGCATCCATGTATCTTATTCTATGTTGTAGAGATAATCCACCATCACCCCCCAAACCCCTGGATTGACTTGATTAAGCTCCCACTGTGAGGAGGAAGAAAAGATCACCATGAGCTCAGAGACCGGACATCAGAGTGTGCAGGCTAGAGAGGGATTTCTCCTTAGGAACCACCCTCTTTGGCCTCTAAACTCCCACATGTGGCTCCAGGCCCTTTTTTCCGTGGGATGGTGGCCATTGGATGCCTGCTCCTGCCCTACAAAGACAGTGTTTGCCTGTGCTTCAGGATCGCATTACGGACCTCATTTCTGCTAGTGCTCAATTTGTTTCCATGCCAAGGCAGAACCTTTAGGATCTATAAAGTAATGGACAATAAAACTTGTTTCTCAGGAGCGCAGGTGCATTTTCCTTGCCACTAAGGAACTCTACAAGACACTCCTTGCAGCCAATTTTAGGAAGAAGGGCTTCTGGATCAGAGAGAGCCATTTTCCTATCATGCAAGGGCCAGACATCTTTTCACAGAAATTGGGAGAAATTTGATTCAGTTAACACTTAAAGGTGGACCTAACATGATTTGCACTTTGCAAAACAGCGCAAGAACTGAAACACAGCCATCCTTTGAAATTGGTGTCTCTCTGAATTCCCAGTGCTGTTCTCTAGCCAAATATTGTGCACAAAGATGCATTGACTGCAGTAAAGTGTGCACAGAAATGCATATATAGCATCAGTGAAAATAACGTTAAAAAATTTCATTATATTTTGAAAAATTACTTTGCAAAAATGTTGATACTGCATAGACTTGCGCATATTAGGACAAATTAGTGGGTGGGATGTTTTAATGTTATGTTCTTTTCTGGGTTTTGATGGATGGATGTAGTTGTTTCCTTTCTGTAAGTTACTTTGGGTTGCCTGTGAATAATTTCTCAAGTGGCATTAGAACTCTGGAAAACTCATGAATTTGTGTCTTTAAATGTTCATTGTTATTTATTTAGACATGCACCATAAAGCACCATATCAATCTTGGGCTTGTTTTTCCAGGAAAGCTTGGAGACACTAAAGAATTAGAAGATTTTATCGCTGATCTTGATCGGACCTTGGCAAGTAAGTCAGGCTAATGGGCAACCAGACTCAAATTCATTTATTGCAGATGGCTGGGAAAGGATGGCTGCAGCCTCACCTCTCAGATCCTGGGCATGAATACCAGGTGAAAACTGGAACCTACTTTAGACAGCTGAGGCAAACCACAAAATGGCATCTGTCTGCCAGGGAAGAAGGGGCGAGCGAAGATCTACATCGCAAACAAGGGGGAAATCCAACCAACCTTACCCAACAGTTGAAGTGGGAATCAGAGGTCGTTGCAGGGGAAATCTGAATCACTCCGGGTGTGTGCAGAGCCCAGGAGACCCCAGAGGGCAGCCCTTGCCATTTCCTTCCTAGGTATGGGAGGAGACCCCCCAGTACCTGCTATTCATTGAGAGGCCACTATAGAGGCGGCCTTGGGGGGGGGGAGGGACGCTGAGCAGGAGGCAGGTCTAACCCCCCCCCCAAAGTGGCGCCACAGCCATTGCTGCCACCATGGCAGCAGCGAGGAATGCATCCCACCGGATCTGCTCCTATGGATTCTGCCACCTGAGGCCGATCGCCTCACCTGGTCTCAGGGGTGGGCCTGCCCTCGTCTACTTGTCTCCATTGCATCCTCAGCTTGGCCATAAGGGCTGGAGTGATTACTCCTTGTTGGTATAACTTGTGAACCTTCCCAGCAGCGGTGTGTGACCTTAGCGAGGTTATCTTGCTGTCGTAGAGGTTTAAGGAAACTGACCCCAAAAATACGGTTGAGTCCATGACAGCAGGCCATTTTAATACCTGACCTGCCTTATGTTCTTATAGGTATGTGAAACAACTGTTTTTGCCTGAAACTGGCCTGCAAAAGGATGAGGTTGAGTCTGGGCTGATCCTGTTCTGTACGACAGAGACACAGACGGAGACCCTCATCTCCCAAGCGTGCAACCTGCCATCTGCTCTTCCACTTTTAACCGTGACGACTCTTGTAACTTTCTCTTCAAATAACAAATTTGCTGATGCCGTACTTTTTCATAAGATATAGCTTAACATTAATTTAAAAGAGCTGACGAAAAGGTTTGTAATTTTATATAGCTAATGTAAATGCTTTCTTTTTTGGTTAAATATATTTTTGTATGCAAATAAAATACGAACTGGATTTTTTGTTTTTGTTTTGAAAAAGGGGGCTGTCTGCTATTTGACACTTTCATCCCATTCTTTCAGAAGCTTACAGCGGTTAACTTGGGAAGCCACCATCCTTCTGACACAGATCAGTGTGGTTCTAGTTCACCCTGTGCCCATTGGCTTGCAAGGATTCCATCTTGCATTAGATAGCACGCTGGCCGGCTGGCTGGCACAATTCTGCCTCTCTTTCTCAGTGCCCATTTACAGTGACGAGAGGCGTACTCATCTGATATGACAGACATGGATGGGAGCGACAGAGCTGTAGCAACCGAGCTTCTATTGAGCATCAAAACAATGGGAACGCTCGGCTGGCGTACGTACGGTAGTCTGTGAAGCCAGATCTCTTGCATTCGGTCTGGTTTCATAAGGAATACCTCCCCCTCCCGGCATGTTTCCTGACCCCATTTTAATTAATGTAGACATTCATTTCAGTAAAAGCAACATTGCGTGTTGCACAGTCTTTCAATATTTGGTTACTCGTGATGAACTTTGAGGGCAAGAATGCTGAGCCTAACTATATTCCTGATATATTCATTTTTGTTGGGAAGAGAGGAATTCAGTCGTCCTGTTCTGAAGGAGGGTTGTACCACAGGGCTATTTTGAATGTGAAGATTATTTGAGGGTTGCACTGAGGGGACTCGTATCATACTCTCCTCCTGCGTTTGTACTGTTTTAGAAGCCACCTTTAAATAAATCACTCGGACAGCAGTAAAGGTTAGTTGACTCTCCCCCCAAAACCTTTTATCAAATCTTGCAGCTGCTTTCCCTGAACTGAATTCCTCCCTTCTCCAAGTGCAAATTTCTTTATGGCTGTAGTACATTAACTTCCAGAGAGGCACTGAAGCATATTTTCAAAAAGAACACTCGTAGGAAATTGTTCACATCGGGGTGAGTTGCATTCTGTTATGAGTAAGAATAGAAAATAAAGACCTACACACTGTGTTCTCTAGATACAAAGAGACCCTTATTTATTCTTTTAAATGTCAGAATGGGGAAAACGGGTTATTATTGTTCACACGTTTTTGGATGCAGCAGATGGGCTATTTAAAGAAACATTTGCTTGCTTGCCAATGTGGCTGAGCTGGGAAGAGGTCCGAAAACTGACTGACATTGTGAGTGTAATGCAAAGTCTAGAAAACAAGGAATGAGTCCAAACGCCAAATTATGAAGAAATCTTAAAAAATAAGAGTGCTTTGTACAGCCCTTCAGGGTCTTAGGGCACAGAAGTAGAAATGCTATCATTGTCCTTAAGAAATCAACCTTCCTCTCAGGTTTTCTATTTGTCATTGAGTTGCACATAGGAAAAAGGTTGTAAGAAATTTGTAGGAAGTGTATTTTGCATTTTACATCCAATTCTTAAAAAGCCTGGTTCACACACTGCTTTGTTGTTTCTGCAGCTCATTCTCTTGTGTATCACAACACATACAGTCTCACATGGGGAGGTGACTGTTTCAGCAAACAACCACCTTGCATTGTTATTTTCCCGGGAAACAATGTTAATTAATGGTTTGAAATCTTAAAACATTTTCTAGCTGAAGATATTCTGCTGACCCGCTTCATTTTCTGATGTATTACCTGCCTTGCCTCTCTCTCTTAATCCAGAATTTTGAATTGAGACGTTTACGTTTTGAAATACATTGTGAACCGCCTTGAGGATTTGTTGGGGAGGAATGAAATCCACAATATTATTCCTCTCTTCCCCCTGGTTTGAATTTAGCAGATTTAACAAACTGGTAGTAACATGTGGTCCAGAGCCAAGTGACGCATGAATTGTGAGGCATCTTAATACATAACCATTATTCACTCTTGCAACTTACTAAACTAAAACGGAATTTCAGAGCATGCCATACGTGGATGGTGGTGCTTTCACGCCAGTCTGCTTACGAATGCAATAAAATATTACCGTTTGTGTCTCTTGATTCCTCGCATTGCCCCTAAGCTGGTTTTTTTTAAAAAAAGTTTCGCATTTAGAGGAAGCTCATGGCCTTTACCAGTTTTATGCTATTATCTGTTGCCTTTCCATCATCAGGAACATTGTCATGGCCATGTACAGCAACATCTCACTGCCTTGGATGATGGAAAATGATCTAAGGAGTTTGCTCTAATATTGTACTGCTCTGGCTTTCAGAACGACTCCACATTTTTCTGGCTCATTCAGTGGACAGGGAATGGCTCTCAAGTACCTCTTCACTGTGGATGGCAGAGCTCGCTCTCTCTCTCGAGACTTTTTGCCGTCTCTTCATAATTGGACAGTCAGCATCGTGCTATGCAGTGTTTTCCTTCCTACGAGACAAACAGCAGCTTCAAGAGAAACATTTAGATTGGGAAAATCTGATTTGGTTCTTAGCCTGGTCAAATATTTTCACTTAACACAGCCTCAGAAAGTCAGCTGCAACCAAATATAATGCCTCTGGGCATTTTCTTTCAGTGTTTGCAGATGCACTGTTGCTTATAATCACAGTTAGATATCTACACAGAGCAGCAGAAAATCCTAAGCTTCTGAAAAACAGTGACGGCCATTCTAGTCCAGCAGCCATTTAAATGAAGCTTTGGAGTTTTTAATGATATTTTATTTTATTTTATTCGTTAATATGCTTTTGCAATTTCTATGTACACCACTTGGAAACATTCATGATTAAGTGATATATAAATAGCTGAAATTATATTATTTTTTTAAAAAACGCTACTTGTCCCATGTGTGCAGTACCTTTGATGGGCGAGCAAATCACTGCTCACACTGCAGCCAATTCAAGAGTAGATTAACGATCTAGAATTAAACAAATTGGTTTTTCATTTGAAATTCTTGGAAGTTTTCAGATGCCTGTGAGACAACTGCAAATCATCCCAGCACATTAGCCTCCACACCTTAACACTCAAGGCAGAAAACGCAAAGGAAGTTTATTAGATTTGTCTGATGTGCACATTACCACATTCATTCTTATTAACAGAAAGAAAATTGTTATGAGTTTTACCAGCTCCAAAAAAGGATCAATGGGAAATGGCAAAACATCCTGCTTTTTGCAGTAGACCAGTGGTGTCCAAACTTTTTTCAAAGAGGGCCAGATTTGATGAAGTGAAGGGCTGTGAGGGCCAACCAAAGTTGTTGAGCTTTATTTAGGGTTGAAGTTGCTGAGGTTTTTTTTAGGATTTTACCCAGGAAATAAACTGCCACAGGGGCCGGATTAAACCGACCGGCTGGCTGGATTAGGCCCCCAAAATGGACTTTGGTCATGCCTGCGGTAGACAAGATATTCAGTGCAAATCAGTGTCTAAGGAAACTGTAGATGGAAAGTTTAAATCGCTGAAAGCTTTTAATGTGGGTGGGGTTTCTTTTTAAAAAACACCACTAAGGTTTTTACTCAAATGTAGCAGTAATAGGTAGATATGCCCATTTAAGTACAATATATACTCCAATGTAAAGTATAGTACTTATTCCAATTGGAGGCCTACGGGTTGTATTCTGTGCCATCCATGAGCAGCACTTACACGGGTAGAAGGCAACTTCTTCCTATCCTCTCTCCTCTAATCATGCTGAGGGCTCCTCCCTCCACAGAAAACATTGAGGCGTGTGGGCTTGGGGAGGGAGGCGAAGTCCCTTTACGGAAGCACAAAGTCCACCGGTACAACGCTAGATTCCACCCAATGTTACTAGAATTAGATCACCCTCTTAAACTCCACCGAGGTGCTTCCCATATACAACTGACCAGTTACAGATTAAAAGCAGGCCCCTTCCTAGGCGTTTGACAGCATGGTGGAGGTGAAGATCTGCTGTAGAATCTGTGGGATGTCTTTGGTGTCCATGGCAATAAAGGAACGGCCGGCTGGCAGCGTCCTTTGCAACCTGCAGATCAGGAAAGAGAAAAATACATGATTGCAAATTGTGTCCCACTACAATAAATACGTGGACGCATGTGGCGCTGTGGTCTAAACAACAGAGCTTAGGGTTTGCTGATCAGATGGTCGGCGGTTCGAACAGGATGAGCTCCCGTTGCTCGGTCCCTGCTCCTGCCAACCTAGCAGTTCAAAAGCAGTTCAAAGTGCAAGTAGATAAATAGGTACCACTCCGGCGGGAAGGTAAACACCATTGCCGTGCGCTGCTCTGGTTTGCAAGAAGCGGCTTAGTCATGCTGGCCACATGACGCGGAAAGCTGTCTGCGGACAAACGCCAGCTCCCTCGGCCAGTAAAGCCAGATGAGCGCCACAACCCCAGAGTCGTCCGCGATTGGACCTCATGGTCAGGGGTCCCTTTACCTTTACCTTTACACTAAATACATCAAATAACGTTTAAATGCTCTTAAGAAGAAAGTAAAAATTTCCTTCTGAATCTCTTGTACTGTAACTGCAACCTGAAAGACTTGGAAACTTTGGTGGGAGCAAGCGGAAAAAGCTTTGCCTCTGCAAGTCTTTCTGCAGCAAGACTCCTTTCTTTTTGTGTTTGCTATGTGCTATGCACATGCGTGGCAGTCAGCACAAAGGAAAGTACAGCATTAATACTCCGGATATTATGGGGCTTGTCCAATGGGACTGCGATAGGGTGTCGCCTAAGATGTGGGATATACAGCAAATCCATGAGGAAACGTGTTTTGTGTTCCCCAGAGCACAAAACCAATGACTGATTTAAAGTAGATTTATTATTATTGTTATTATTATTATTATTATTATTATTACATTTCTTAATTGCGAGAGGTAGTCTTTGGAGGCACAGAATACAAGCAGCCCTTTGGTAAGGTAGCATTTTACTTAAACCAATACTGAGTTAAACACACAGCAGAAGAAAGGCTGAGTCTCTCATTTGTCACACCGAACTCTGGCATGGGCAGAAGTTTTTGCTTTCTGCAAAGCTCAGCTTGGGATGAGTTCTCTGCCGCTCACAGCACAAGAAACTCTGTGAGATGCCAGGCAACCAGCCTGGCCAGAATGCCAGACCTGAGCAGATTTGTGGAGAACTGTGCAGAACACATTTTTAAAGAAAACTTATGCCATATGTATGCATGCCATGAACTCATTGACCTACCTGTCTGCCTGATCTCCTAAGGAGCCTATGAATATGGCAAATGCGTTCACTTTGGGGTTGATGGTCAAGGCTTGAGCAAACCGGGCTGCGGGGATGCCGTACCGCTCAAGGTTGGCATCGCTTAAGACTATGACGAAGTACTCGTCCGCCTCTTCTTTCGCAATCTCCCGAATGGCGTGCTCTGTGCCTTCCAGAGTGTGGTCGCCACTCATACAGAACTGCGCGTGGGCATGCATTATCTGCGGAGGGGGTGAAAACATCAACGAAAAGAGGCATGGAAATGAAAAACAAGGAAGCAAACCTTTCAGCACCCGCTAAATGGAAAAGCCTATTGCATGTGAATTCGTGTCCAAATTTTAGTTCAGACAATAAAGCAACTTTTTGATTGAAAAAAAAAGGGAAACCTTCCCATTTCACCTCAGGCAGCAAAATGAGATGGGACGCCCCTGGGACAGAAATATGGAAAATAAATGGTTCCCTAAATGGTATCAGTCAATTACAATCATGGGGTGCCTATCCAGTCCTATAACTTCCGCTTCCTGCTCTCACTCACTAAACTGCCTCTCAGATATTTACTTGTCTTCCTAGTTCCTAACTGTTCCTGACTCAGCTTATTTCGCTATACTAACTCAACCTACCCACAAACTCTACCCCAATTCACTCCCACTCCAACCAACCACCCAGCTCCCAACAAACTTCTCCCTTTGCCCCTCCCAGAGCTGGTTTTATAGTCCCTCTGACTCCACCCCCCTGGGTTCTGATTGGGTATCTTGTTTAACTATTTCACCTCCAGCACTCTCATATGTTAATGTCACACTGGCTTTCTTAGGCAAATCCCCAGTGGACTGAGAAGGGGGTGGCTGGGTAAATGTACCATGTTGACCAAATTGGAATTAAAGAGAACAGCCCTTCATTTCTGACAGCATCGCTCCAGAGCAGAGCAGGAAAAAATGAACGCCATCCATAACCGGCCTTTGCTGGAAGGCTCAAAGTGCATGCAGAACAACCAGTGCCTAGCGTTTATTTCAATAGTAAAATATGGGATATGACGCCTTAACAACAAGAGATGAGAATTTACAGAAAAATAAAATGTTTTGTGGTTCCTTAGATACAAAAGGATTTGTGAAGTGTTATCTTCAGTTGACGAGATTCATTATTTGTATCTATCTCCATGCGCACACCATTTTTGGAGAAAGCCCATTAAATGCGAGAGGTCCAGGTGGTCTGTGAACCCTCTGCAACGCTCAAATGCATAGAAGAGAACTATAACTACTCACAACAGTAGCAACTGGTGAGAACACCATCTGGACAGGGAAGGAAATCCGTATGTTAATGCGTATGCCATTCTAGAAAGTCACTCCACAAAAACAAATAATATATTGGCAGCCACTGTGAGAACAGGATCCCCGACTAGAAGGGCAAGTGGCCGGATCCAGCAGCTTCTCCTTACGTTCTTATATTCAGATTCCTAAGTGCCAAAGGTGGGGTTTTTTACAGCATGTTTATACTTTCACACTCCCTGTCTCGCTTGGTTCTCTTTCTGGGATACCAGGCACTACACAAATGTCTAAGAATTTCAGTCAGATAGGTTTACCTTCAAAATTTCCAGTCTTTGTTTATTGTTCTTCGGAACATTGTCATTCTGGACCACGGCAATGTTAAAACCATCTCCCGAATGCCCAGTGATGTCATACTGCATGGAAAAGATTTAAACATCATTTTTAAGCATCATCCCCATAATAAAATGTATGTTTTATCATAAGGCACCGATCACAGTTTGGAGCCTTGAACCACCATTTGCCACCCACCAATTTCTGTGTTATTTTTTTTTTTTAAAAATACCCTTGTGCTCACAGGCCAAAGTACAAATTAAGGCTGGAAGAGGCATATTTTATGCCTTTAGTTACACATTCAAATTCTTAATATTGATTGTTCAGCCCTTTTAAGCAAACCACAACAGCATGTGCTTTTCAGCATCAGCTTGCATGGACAGATCAGACAAATTCATACCGGAATACCAGGGGAAGGGTTATCTTTTAAGCTGTCCAATGTCTGATTGCCTATATTTCTATGAATATTAATTTTATTTTACAAGACTTATATGCCACTTAATCAACAAAAACTAAGCAGCTTACATAAAAAATATAAAACATTCATTTAAAAATTCTGATAACATTAACGTTAAAACCAAACGGGCAAAAAATGCATAAACATTGTACTAGACATGTAGTAAAAGCATGCTCTGGCCAACAGACATTCAAAATGTTTCTGGGTAAGAGAGGGATGTTGAAACCTCTCTTACAAAGACAGAAGGGAGTCCAATTGCACCATAAAGACTCACAAATCTTTTGCACCATTAGCTTTTGTGGACTAGAATCAGAGAACCAGAGAGTTGGAAGGGACCCTCAGGGTCATCTAGTCCAACCCCCTGCAATGCAGGAATCTTTTTGCCCAGTGTGAGACTTGAACCCACGACCCTGAGCGTCTCATGCTCTGTTGATGTATGAAAAGGTCCGGGGGAAAGGAAGGCACATGAGATACCGTATTTTTCGCTCTATAGGACGCACCGGACCATAGGAGGGGGAGAACAGGAAAAAAAAATCTCCCCCTCTCTGTTCAGCGCCCCTTCAGCGAAGCGGCAGGAGAAACGGGGCCCCTTCCATTTCTCCTCCCGCTCTGCTGAAGGGGAGCTGCACAGAGAGGGAAAACTATGCAGCGCCTCTCCAGCGAAGCAAAGCCTGGAGAGCAAGAGGGATCGGTGTGCACCGACCGCTCTCGCTCTCCAGGCTTCCTACGGCCATCTGCAAGCCTTTGGAGCGCGGTGGGAACTCCTGCTGCGCTCCAAAGGCTTGCGGATAGCTGCCTGAAGCCCCCGGAGCGCAGCGGGCATTCCCACTGTGCTCCGGGGGCTTCAGGCTTCAGCGAAAGCAACGTGAAGCCTCCGGAGCACGGGGGGAGCGCTCCCTCTGCGCTTTGGAGGCTTCGCGTTGCTATCGCTGAAGCCAAGGAGCCTGCATTCGCTCCATAGGATGCACACACATTTCCCCTTCATTTTTGGAGGGGGAAAAGTGCGTCCCATAGAGCGAAAAATATGGTAAATAAAGCTAAAGTTAAAGCTATACTGATGCAATATGCTGAAGCCTCACTACTACCACCAACATTTAACAAGAGCATTTTAGACTCTAAAGCTAGAGGCAAAACGCAATTGATTTTTGTACTCTGCAATGCTCCCAAACAATGGTGGTAAGACTGCTTTTTGGTTTCGTAAGAGAAAGAAATGTCTGTTCCTTTTGCGAGCAGAAGTGCAGTCTACATATTTCTACTGGAAATGGTCTACTGGAAAAGCTAATGCCGAAAAGTTAATAGGTTCATGTGCAAATCACCTTAAATTTCTGCTCGTAATTCTCAAAGGCTTCCATAACCATGCAAACAGCTTCCATGGAGCGCTCCAGCCGCCCGTCCACCCCGTTGAAGCGGTACATGCTGCCAGAGACATCCACGACCAGGCGGAGGCGTTTGGGCTTTTGTTGAGGGCTTCCCAGCTTAAAGAAAGCAACAGCAAGTCACGTTGGTGGAGGGGGTGGGTGAACTTCAGTCAAAAGGGACAAACAGTTACGTGCTAGCTTAAAGGGCAGATTTAAAGAAATGTTCTAAGGCAAAATTGGTACAAAAGTACCTAGATGAACTGGGCACAAATCCTTCTAATTACTTTTTCAGGTACCTTTCTGAATCACTGTTCTAAGAGCAGGTGAGCTCCTTCTCTGCTACCTCTGCTTCCTTATTTGTGCATTTAAGACAGACCCGAAGGAACAATTCTCTGAAAAGCAAGGGTTAGCTCACTGTTTTGTGAATTGCACATGGTCCTCATAAAGGTCGCGGGTGGCGCTGTGGTGTAAACCACTGAGCCTAGGGCTTGCCGATCGGAAGGCCGGTGGTTTGAATCCCCGCAACGGGGTGAGCTCCCGTTGTTCGGCCCCAGCTCCTGCCAACCTAGCAGTTCAAAGTGCAAGTAGATAAATAGGTACTGCTCCGGCGGGAAGGTAAACGGCATTTCCATGCGCTGCTCTGGTTTCACAAGAAGCGGCTTAGTCATGCTGGCCACATGACCCGGAAAAGCTGCCTGCGGACAAACGTCTGCTCCCTCGGCCAGTAAAGCAAGGTGAGCGCCACAACTCCAGAGTTATTCGCGACTGGGCTTAACTGTCAGGGGTCCTTTACCTTTACCTTTTTTACCTCATAAAGGTATTGTGATCCTGTTAAAATATTACGGAAAACACTTCTTTTGAGATACAGTGCTACCTTGGTTCTCAAACGCCTTGGTACTCAGACAACTTGGAACCCAAAGACAGCAAACCCAGAAGTTTGCTAACATTTTTCGGAAGCTGAACGTGCTCTGTTTTGAGTGTTACGCTTCCATTTTGAGTGCCACACTTCCGTTTTGAGTGTCACACTTCCGTTTTGAGTGTTGAGGTCTGTCTGTTTTTACTATTTATTTTTCCTTTTTGTTTTTGCGGCTTTTTTGTTTTGTTTTTGTGACTGTGTGGAACCCAGTTCAGCTACTGACTGATTGATTGTGTGACTGTAGCACATTGTTTATTGCTTTCATTTTATGGATCAGTGGTCTTGTTAGATAGTAAAATTCATGTTAAATTGCTGTTTTAGGGGTTGTTTTTAAAAGTCTGGAACGGATTAATCCATTTCGCATTACTTTCTAAGGGAAAGCGTGTCTTGGTTTCGGAATGCTTTGGTTTTGGAATGGACATCCGGAACAGAATGAGTTTGAGAACCAAGGTACCACTGTATTGAGAAAAATCTACTGAATAGATTTCTGGATTTAAGTTGCCTATACTGGAAACAAAATCCAAGAAACATCTCACATAAGGTTCTGCAGGTAAAAGTCTTTTTTAAAAATGAACAAACACTAAAATCTCAGATTCAGAATTCATTCTAAAAGCAAATAGGGATTTTTTAAAAAACATGCACTGTGGGGATAACTCGGCTTTGTGTTGCAAAGCTTGTCTGCGGACATTACAGCCTTTAAAATGGGATTCTGGGCGACACTGCACTCAGACTATAAAGTAGATCATTTTAAAAGTGAAGCGCCTGTTTTAACACTTTCTGGCATTGCTGCTGGATCTGAAAAGGTATTTCATGACACATGAAACAAGGCAAGCCGGAATACAAATACCAAGCTGCTTATGGAGAGTTTGGCAAACAGATAAAAACGCTTAAAATATTTGTTTTGTTCTACTAGCTTCCAATGTCATTCTTTCACTGAATCACCATTCAAGCATTTTGTTTTGAATTCTCTTCTTCTCCACTGAAATAGAGATGCTTCTCATAATTCGGTTCTTTGTCCCCATTATTTATGATTTACTTCAATCCAGAAGACCCAGAGCAGACATTATAAGAAGAGGTTGGAATTGCGAACACTAAGCTCTCTGGAGTTCCAACAGTTGCAGGCCTGGGACCAGAGGCCTGCATATATTACACATCCAAGCGGAGGCCTTCATGGTCAGCCATGGCAAGGAAATTCCCCAGAAGGGCACACAGCCATCAAAGAGAGCCCAGAATGTGGCTGCTGATTCAAGTTGCCCATTACGAGGTTCATATAGCAATTATCTCCATATTCTGAGGGCCAAATGGCAGAAGAGCTAGCTGACCTAACTGGAAGAGTCCGCAACCAGAAGGAGGAGGAGTATCAGGAAGAGTGGATTAAATTTAATGATTATTTAGTTACATATGTTAAGTTAAACTAACTGAAAGCAGCTTGCAGATACTTAATTGGCTTGGGATTTTATTTATGATAAGTGACGAATTAATATGTTTAATTTCATAAGATTTAAGGATGTTAATGTTTAAGTTAAATTTTATAAGAATTGTGACTTGGAAAACCGTTAAAAGGATAAGCAATGAAATTCAACCAAGGGGAAGCGGGGCAGTCACTTAACAAAGTTAATAAGTGTAATTTTCAATAAGGTTATGATTTATGTTTGTTTGTCTTATGTGTTTGTTTGTTTATAATACTGTGAAAATCAATACAAAATTTTGAAGAAGGAAAAAACAAATGGCAGAAGACCGTGGGAAATCTGTAACTGGGTCTCCTGCTATTCTTTAAAAGTGTGCTACCTGCAGAGAAAATACAGTGGTGCCTCGCAAGACGGAATTAATCCGTTCCGCGAGTCTCTTCGTCTTGCGGTTTTTTCGTCTTGCGAAGCACGGCTATTAGCGGCTTAGCGGCTATTACCGGCTTAGCGGCTTTAAGAAAAAGGAAACAAACTCGCAAGAACTCGCAAGACGTTTCGTCTTGTGAAGCAAGCCCATAGGGAAATTCGTCTTGTGGAACGACTCAAAAAACGCAAAACCCTTTCGTCTAGCGCGTTTTTCATCTTGCGAGGCATTCGTCTTGCGGGGCACCACTGTAGCAGCTTTGAAGAGGGCAGTTTTATGAGGAAAATGGAGGGAGGGGAGAAAGGATCAACTTCTTCCAGCAGCACCGCAATCCTTATCAGATTCCTCCTCACCACCTCCAGCAGCTACTTAGTAAATAACAAAGGGAAGCTGCTCTAATCCCAGACCTCCGGCTGTCATGTCTGGTTGCCCCCTGGATCCAGAAAAGGTAAAAACAGCTGACTCAATATCATAAAAGCAAGACTGAGAAAAGTTGCTCTCAAAGGCATGTTTGGAGACAGAGTTACGTCACACAGAGCTGCAGCACAAAATGAAACGAGCACAAACAAACGATGTCAATGGACTCCGCAGGAGAACTGACTGCATCCCAAACATAATGCACATAATGTGATTCTGGAACCTGCATGGAGCGGCAGGACAGCCACAGTGGCCTCCCAGAACAGGCAATAATTCTGTGGAAAGTCACTGTGCCAGACTCCAGGGGGGCATGTTGGCTGGGCTACATTTAAGTTGCCGTGCAGGCTCTGTGCAAGCTCTGCCTTACACATGAATAAAATGTGTGAATAATGGGACGGGCAGGCAGATTTTTGTAAATTACACCAAATTACCCAGCAAAATGTTAAACGGACTGAGAAAAGCATGTATGCCAGGAGAACAGTTGGTGTGCATGCACTTTAACTGTGTCTCAGTTAACTTACTTGTGGGTCAAGATCTCCCCGTCGCTTATAGATGGTTTTTTCTCCTGTCAGACTGTCAATTATCTTGGCATCATCTAGTTCTCCAACGGCCTGGTTCCTGAGCCACTGTCTTTCCTTTCCTTTCGCCTGTGAAAAAAAAGGAAACACTTGTCTTTAAGATTATTTTCTTTCTGAAAAGTCTTTGGAAGTACTAATGGGACTTCTGCTGCAAATTCTACAATGAGGTTTGGCAGAAATATTCAAACCAAAACACGAATAGGCAAGTATTTAAGAACACAGGGCTCTGCCTTATACTGGACCCGGACATTTCCTACCTAGAGATGCCAGGGATTCCAGCTGGGACCTTTTGCCAATGAGCGACAGCCCTTTTCCATTGATAATCGATCCTTCCTATCAAACAAACTGTTAATAGTTCAAGTTGTATGGCTTAAGTGATGATGGGCAGATGACACAGCAAATATAGTTAGCAAATACAATCCTCAAAATACAGTTAGCTTTCAGTTACTGACATAAGTAACTGGACTTTGAGAGACGTGTTAATAGCCGGCCATCACTTAAGCCACATGTAGTACAGTAGTACCTTGGGTTACAGACGCTTCAATTTACAGACGCTTCAGGTTACAGACTCCGCTAACCCAGAAATAGTACCTCAGGTTAAGAACTTTGCATCAGGATAAGAACAGAAATTGTGTGGCAGTGGCGCAGCAGCAGGCCCCGTTAGCTAAAGTGGTACCTCAGGTTAAGAACGGTTTCAGGTTAAGAACGGACCTCCGGAACGAATTAAGTTCTTAACCCAAGGTACCACTGTACAATGTCGTGACTTGCCCTGTTTCACTGGTCTAAGGATGCTTTGTGACTCTGAGCAGGAGGCACTATTGTGTGCATGTTAAGAAGATAAGTCCAGTGGCATCCATTGTCCATTCAGCCACACGAACCTCCAGCTTAAAGCAGCACCACACGGGCACAGGTTTATCGCCTCAGTGAGAACTAGTCCCAAATAACGGGATCATACACCAAATGAGCAGGTTGTTAAGTTTCACAGTTATATGAGTCTTTTCCTCCTCCTTTTTTTTTTTTACAGGCGACAAAGAATGTCTGGTTTCTTGGTCAGATAGTTTTGCTACACATTTCCCAGGAAGACAATGCAGCCTCAGGAAACAGAGCATACGGCGCTTTCCCCATGAACTTAAAACAACCTTTTGTTAGTCTAAAGGAAAACGGATGCGCTTCCTTCCCTGACGTTGTGGCAAGTGCTGCTCTGTGTCTCTAGGCCCCAGGGACCAACTCCTGAGACCCTGGCCCTGAGGGAGGGGGCACAGGGCTAGCGGCTGCTTCCTCCCTCCCCCTTCTTCCTCAGCAGTCCTGAATTCTGGAGCCCAAAGCCTAAAATGCAATATATAACATGTAACAACAGTAAAGTGTCTTCAAAAAGAAGATTTTGATCATATTATTATTACTTACTACAGTGGTACCTCAGGTTACATATGCTTCAGGTTACATACGCTTCAGGTTACAGACACCGCTAACCCAGAAATAGTGCTTCAGGTTAAGAAATTTGCTTCAGGATAAGAACAGAAATCGTGCTCTGGCGGCGTGGCGGCAGCAGGAGGCCCCATTAGCTAAAGTGGTGCTTCAGGTTAAGAACAGTTTCAGGTTAAGAACAGACCTCCAGAACGAATTAAGTACTTAACCCGAGGTACCACTGTACTACCACTACAAACAGAATTTTGAAGGTTTCTTCACTTATGACCTGGAATAACTATTTGGGTTTTTTTACACAAAAAGAGAAGCTGGGGGAAAAGCACACTGTCTTAACAATTTGAGGACACAAACAGGCTCTTTTAATCTCTACAAAGTATGAGCTCCTCAGATTTTGAGAAAAAATATTTCACTGCACACTTTGCAAATGGAAGCTCATCTTGATTCTCTCTCTGCATTTCTCCTTCTCTCCCTGGCTTTCAGGCAGCAAAACACAGATGTCAAGAAAGATCACGCCATGGACAAATAGCTGAAACACTCCTGGAGCAGATGTAAAGGCTCACCCAGCTGAAAGCATTATCTGAGCACAATGGCATGAGTTTCAAGGATCAGTGAACTATGACACGAATCACCCTCTCTTTCAAAACTAGATGCAGCACCTCCTAAAGCAGCAGTGGGAGATGGATGAACAATGGCCCAAACGAGGTCACAAGGCCATTTCCCACAAGCTCCATCCACCTTCTCGACATCTGACATTAGCTGTAAGGTCAGGTGTGGAGCAGGAAAAAACGCAACTCACCTGACCTCATGGCAAAATCAAGTGAGTGACGGATGGGGAGCCCTACCCACCTATCAAAATGGACCTGTCAAGGGTGTTGGAGGAGCTCAGAGTCCATCTCCGTGTCAGCGTGGTGTAGTGGTCAAGAGCAGTGGACTCGTAATCTGGTGAGCCGGGTTCGCTTCCCCGCTCCTCCACATGCAGCTGCTGGGTGACCTTGGGCCAGTCACATTTCTCTGAAGTCTCTCAGCCCCACTCACCTCACAGAGTGTTTATTGTGGGGGAGGAAGGGAAAGGAGAATGTTAGCCGCTTTGAGACTCCTTAAGGGGAGTGAAAGGCGGGATATCAAGTCCAAACTACTACTACTACTACTACTACTACTACTCTTCTTCTTCTTCTTCTTCTTCCTCTTCTTCCTCTTCTTCTTCTTCTTCTTCTTCTTCTTCTTCTATATATTTACAGCTGTCATTCCAATATTCTAACCCCTGGCCACAAATAAGCTTAGCCCTGGTTCATACATGCACACATGAGGGAAGAGAAGGTTTTCCATTCCTTTCCATTCCATGGGTTCCCTGCATTCTGCTCTTCCTTTTGGTTTACAACTCCTTTGTGAGCTGCGATTTAATTTGTGCGCAAATATGTATGTTGTGTGATCACATCGTGATCCTTTTTTGTGCTGTATGTATCCTGCCAGGAAGGGATGTGAACTGAAAACTGTGGCAAACTGCACAGAGGCCTAAGCAAAACTTGGAAATAAAAAATAGGAAAACAGGTAATTGATGGTGCATTGGTGCAGCTTCAGAAAAAAGGCTGAGATGCTTTGGGACTCCAAAATGAAGATTTAAATTCAAAGCAGGAAGCACCTCTTATTTCACATGGATCTACTGTTCACAGCTATAGACTTGATGGGCAGCAGCTGGACGTGTGAGTTACCTCTGCTGAAATGTGAAGAGATACAGCAGCCATGGCAGAAAATCCCTATTGTGACAGTCTACTCAGATATGCAACTTATGTCCAGTTGGTTGGGTCAGCAAGTAATGAATTCAAATATCACAACTCTTTGCTAGCTGATTAGTTTTCTACCGCTAGAGAATTTTGAGTGGGATCCGTAAAACAGCTCCCACAAGTCATCCATTAAACCCTCATACCAGAGAGACCCCTCCCATCTTTTTATATATTTTTTCCTTGCCAGTAAGTTGAAAATAAATAATTTCCTGTCAGGTAAAGTGCAGAAAAGGGAGTTTATCAGTTTTTAAAAGTCAATTATTACCTGTAAATTATCCAGGATGATTCGGAGTAAATGAACTTGCCGTCGAACAGCTCCAGAGAACCTCTCATATGTAGATGCATCATATTCACTCATCTGGATTTCTTTTAGTCTGAAGAAATGAGATGAATAAAGAATGAAATGAGTAAGAGGCATTTTGCACAGCTATAAAAGAGTTGGTCAACTTTCTTAAAACAGGACATACAAGTACAGAATAAAACAGGCCTTCATAGCTTAAGTTCGAAAACAGACATTCCGCCATTAACTGGGATGGTCCAAATATCAACAGAATTTGAATCTCAGCTAGACTATTTTTATACTGAACTCTCACATCCTGAAATCTGGCTTGTCTTATACTGTTTCAAGAAGATATAGAAGTGAAATCAAGAAAACTGAAGCATTCAGGTAGCCACTTTGATTTCCTTCACATATACTGGACGTTTTTAAACAGAGCTTTTGTGATTCCTGCCTTGCAGGGAGTTGGACTAGAATTAAGCTGCCATATTCTGAAAAGCAAAATAGAGGGCAAATTTGCTGACTTCTACTTTTAACTATGAATCACTATGATGAATCTACCAATGAAAAAGAGGACGTGTCCTGGAAAAAGAGGACATATGGCAACCCTAGCAGGGTCCCTTTCAACTCTATACAGTTCTATGACTCTGGCTCACGGCTCATCCAGATTTCTGCTCACCCTGCCACTTTCTCCCAAGGAAACCCAATCTTTAACTCTCTAGCAGAGCAAACGTCAATTGGGTTTCCTCAGGAATGACATTTGCCCTCATTTAAGGCTAAAGAGGAGGGTTTTCCCTTGGAAAGGGAGAAAAAGAAAGGAAGAAGCAGGATTCCCCACGGGTGTGGGGTGACAACTCTAACAGAGAGGTCTCCAAGCGGCTAAGCATGTAGATACATGTCACAGTCTACCTCTCAACATGTGCAGGTTGTGTCTTGTCTAGCATTTCACCAACACAAATATCATGGTGCAAGAGTAGGAACTTCCACAAGTTCCAAAAAGCAACAGCCATTTCCCCAAGGGAGACCACAAAGTTTGTGTCAGCTTAAGGCTTCTGGCTAACCACCGAAAACAGGCAAGGGAATGGGGTTAAAGACAGGAGCAACTTGGGACAAAGGGTCCCGCAACCACGTCGTATTTGGAATTGAGCCACAAATGTGCCCCATGTGGGAAATGGAGGGGAAAGAGCTTAGCTTCAGGCGATGCAATTAGCTCTTAAGTAAGTTTGCAATGGGGCGCTGCCTGCCCAAAGGAGGCTTTTGCTCTGACCAGGGACAGTGGAACCTGAGGCTCCTGCTTGGGTTGGCAGATGGAAAAGCATCAGGAGCAAAATGAGGTGTTAGCACAGATCCCTCCTTCTTCCACCTCTCAGTCCCATGAGGACTATCAACGCCTTTGCAAAGGAGGGCAGCCAGTCTGTGCCAAAGGCGTACTCCTTGCACCGCCACCTGTTAAGTGAAGCTAAAGGAATCACAGAGTTCCTTGGCATGTACAAAGCGACAACGGACCTGAGCACTTCAAGAACAATGCGCCCGCATGCTCCCAATGCGATCACGTGAGTGACGAGCAGGTTTCAAACTAAATAGCACAATATCTTTCAAGTAACGGAGCAGTCAAGACAATTGGTGTAAATTATACATAACTGCAAACAACTTCCTGGGGGAATTAAGAAACAAATCAATTGGAGAAGGAAGGCAAAGGCGCAAATAATTTACTGAGCAGCTGCATGTGCCTTCTTATGCATACTCATGTTTTTACAAGAGCTGAATGAATCCCTCCCATGTACTAGGATCCTTTTTATTAGGACTGCAGCCTGGGGAAGGGGGGGAGAGTGAACTACCCCTGGTCCCTACATGGTAGAGTCCTGATCGGTGCTCCTCTTGTTGCTGCTTAAATGACAAAGATCAGGCATGTTAAATGCACACACATGCATTATCTGCTGGGGCCCTTGATGGATCATGTGTCTAGTAGGCACAAGGGATTTCACTTCATAAACCCAATGCTTCTTTCAAAGTGTCCACTGCATGAAGAGAAATCCATTACAAAGTGAATATTAACCTCTGTTTAAAAGCCTTTTCTCCCATCTCCCTGGCGGCTTTCTTCACCTCTTCAGGCACAGCATCTTTCTCCGCTTGAGACACCTGGTAGACCTTGTGGCCAGCATCCAGTCGGTACGGACCGCCTTTGCCGCCCAGCCCAGCCGTGTCTCTTCCACCTAGAAAAGAAGCAGAAACGGCGCTCTTGATTTTGGATGGAGGAGAATCCAACGGCTTTTCAAACGTCTCATGTTGGTGACACACTTTTTAGACATTGTGCATCATTTCGTGACACATTTCGCGACACAGTCATACAGTTTTACTAGGAAACCGGAGGTCATACAGTCATATAGTTTTACTAGGAAACCGGAGGTTCCTTTCCAGCCCAGGGAGGAGCGTTTGTGCGATGCACCTACACAGTGCAGCAGACACACTAACGTGTCGCGACACAGTTTGGAAAGCTCTGCCCTAGAGAATGAGCAGATCAGCACACTGTCATTTCAAGCGAATTGTTTAGAACTACATAGGCAACAGAGCCTGGGACACCCTAACCACTTCAGCACGTTTCAGGGATGGCTCCTGAATATCAGGCGCAAACAATGGTTTTGTACCTGTTCCACCAGCCCACATGTTTCCACCAACATGAGGAGTGTTATCTGGATCTATCTTCCCATGCTTAGGAGCGCTGACATCCAAACCGCTTTCTCTCTCGATAGTTATCTGTTGAAGCAAAAACAAAGTTTGCAGAAAAATGACGGTTATAGGATACTCCGCCATGCGCTCTTTATAAGATCTAGGCATAGAACCAACTTGACCATATTAGTATTCCTTTGCCCAAAGGACGGCTGATGTAATGCATCAAATAAAAGGTTTCCTGGGAAGGAAAGAAGATCAGGGCTATATCTGGGGCACCGAAAGAGTGTGAGCAAGTCAAAACATATAAAGCATCACAGAAGGATGCCTGTTCAAATGATCAGGGCTCCTTAGAAAAATCAACAAGGGGGCGGAGAGAACGAAAGGAGTTAATTTGAATTTTGTCAAAATGCTCTTTATGTTCCCTTGCTCCCGAGAAGTTAGGGCACAAAATGCGGAAGTGTCTGAACTTGCTTCTGAGTCTGGATCTTAACTTCTTCCACCATCAAAGGTGCTAAAAACATGAAACTTCCCGTCAAGTCCAGGGACCTTGCCCTAAAGATCAACGTGCTCCTCTCTCCTGGGCAACTCAATTGCATGACCTTGAACCGCACCACTTCCTTTGATGGTCTAACAGGAATGCCTTCTCTGTTTCTTCCAAAATAGTTTATTATATATATTTTAAAGTTATCTTTTAGATCAGTACTGAATAAATGCTTGAGGATAATTTCTATATTCATTTCCAATCTTCATTAGAAATCTGATGCTGAACACATTGGATACATTTATCACCATGTGCTCCATCCATGTCCATCAAGGGATTATAGATACCTGTAAGCAGCCATTCACCACAGCCTTTACAGAGAACGACTCTAAGGGAAATGTCACTCTGTGAACTGTACTGTATATTTATATTTGACCAATGGATGGTGCTGTGGTTCCTCCAGTGATGATGAGAGCAGATAGCCCTGGCAGAGCAATAACACCAGGAACAGGCCGCCAGAAGCCTTTTTTTCTCATGACCTGCGAAAAGCATTTGATGACTCCAATAGCAGGAGCACGTCAGCAGTCACACAAGGTTCTGTAAACAGAGAGCATCTTGCAAAAAGGGAATATGGGACAGAAAAGACCGCCCAGTGAAAGGAACTTTGCTTCCTGCATCCTGGTTCCATAACCAGCCTACCAGGTGCTGCTGAGGTTTAAGACATATTGTTCAAGATGAGAAACAATTATCATTTTAGAAAATGCAGAAGATGGAGGCTAAAAGTGGTTGCCTGGATATTGTTGGTATTATGGGCTGTGTGCAGCAATCTGTGGCTCCGTGTCTGGATTCTTTACTACATTCTTCTGCTTGTTAACCTTGCCATCTCCTGCAGACCTCTGTGGGGAGCTTTTTCTTCAGATGAGAAGCATTTTGCCTTTTTGTACTTTCAGACCAGTCCGGTACTATACCCACATCCAAACCTGAAATACGCTGTCTTCAATCCAGGCTTTGAGGGAATCTGGAGCCATAACGGAGGTTGGGACTGGAGCCTGCAGGGTAGCAGGCAAAGATAATAATGGCCTTCTGCTAAGTTCAGGGCAGAAATCAGGGCTCCTAGTACTGACTGTAAGCTTCCTTCCTAGATTGTTATAGCTGCCCCATAAGAGAAGCTGTCTGCGAGGCTCACAAAATAAAAGGCCAAAAATTAAAACACAGCATAAAACAGTAAGAACCCTAAACTATTAATAAAACCCCCACAAAATGCAAATAAAACACAATTTTAACTGTCAAACCAATTCAGAGCCATCATACTGAATGCTGTTTGCAGGGGCTGCTTTTCCGTTTTGTCCTTTAATAATAATAATAATAATAATAATAATAATAACAACAACAACAACAATAATAAATTTTATTTATACCCCGGCTAGAGCAGGGCTCAATAAAATTACAGTAAAAGCATAATGGGGGGGGACCCAATTTAAAATACAGGTTAAAATGCAATTTAAAATGCAGCCTCATTTTAATAGTAGCCCATAGATCAAAACCATAAGGGGAGGAGAACATAAGGGTCAGACCGAGTCCAAACCAAAGGCCAGGCAGAACAGCTCTGTCTTGCAGGCCCTGAGGAAAGATGTCCAGTCCCGCAGGTCCCTAATCTCTTGTAACAGAGCGTTCCAGCAAGTCGGGGCCAGCACTGAAAAGGCCCTGACCCTAGTTGAGACCATTCTAACCACCTTGCGACTTGGGACCTCCAAAATGTTGTCATTTGTGGACCTTAAGGCCCCTTGCGGGGCATACCAGGAGAGCATTTTTAGGACTGAGCACCCCCAGGCCCAGGTAACTCAAAAGGCTGTGTTTCAGCCTAAAAGCACAAAATTTAACCCCTGGAGCCCCCGATGTGGAATGTGCTTCTCTGTCTTACCTGCACAGGCCTGCCATTCTCTTCTCCAATCATGGTTCTCCATTCCTGGAGTGATCTCTGAAGACTTTCCAAGCTGGTTTCCCAGAGCCTGACATTGCCACCCATGTCAACAGTGACCACACCTGCTTCGCCGAGTGCGGCCAGCAAGACGTCCGTGTCTGAAATCGCCGAGAGCCACGATGTATAGGGAGTCAGGTTCATTGGTCTGAAAACCAAGGGAAGCTGGTTTACCGAAAGGGTATTTTAAAACTATGGAGAATTGAAAACGGTGCTGAGCTTTGAACAAAGTTAGGGAAGCCCTATGGATTAAAATATTACTGCAATGGTTTCTGTTTGTTGTTTGCGGCTGAGACAGATTTAAACATGAAATACCTGGGAACAGGAATATATTTAAGTTTCTTTGTTGTCAGATCCGTAATTTCCAGGTAACCAGCAGCTTGGGGAGGAGTAACATCTGCAAACAGAAGTATTGGAGGGATATTTTATAGTTAACAGGAAACTCTTTCAATAAATCGTGTTTCAACATCTCTCAAAAACACTTTATAAAGCTTAATTTCAGAAAAAGAAATGAAAGCAAAGACAAATGCTTATGCCATGAATGTTGAACTATAAGCAAACATGAACAAAACCTGATCGGGCATGACTGACCCCAACTTAATCTATCATCTCGTAACAAACACTAAAATGTACACTTGAAGAGCATTTCAACACAGAACGCTTTGGAAAAGCTGAATGCCAGAGATACAGACTGAGACAAGGATGCCCCAATGGATTTCCTCTTCCAGATTTTTAGAGACTAGCAGATTTTAGAAGCTGCAAACATGATATTTCAGTTGGTATAATAGTTATCTAGCAGCATTAAAACTGTTAATGCATGTACATACAAGCAAAAGACTTAACTTGCACTTGAACCATTTAGACCCAGGTGGGTTAAACATAACTTCTATACTGACCATATTGGCAGCTCTACTCAGTCGCTCAAGCCCCTATAGACATCTGCTGCAGACAACTGGAAAGAACTGATTAGTAAGCATTAGCAAGTCTTACCACAAAGCACACTGGAAATCTCTCTGGAAGGCTTCTGCCGCCACTACAGAATAGTTTCACAAGCATAAGGGCAAAAAACTTGCTTTCAAAATAAAATAAAAGACCTTTTTTCCCCAACCAGGCCTTTGGCTAATTAAACAATCTATGGCCTTTTAAATGCGTTTGTGGGAGGGAGTCATTTTTTGTTCTTGCTGTTATGTTATGTATTTTGTGTTTTCATTTTTATGTTGTAAACCGGCTGTGATAAAGAGTGGTATAGATACTTACTTAATTAATTAATAAATTACAAAGTGAGGTTCTTGTTATGCGGCCAGCATCACATTCTGTGCATTTACACAGAATCATGAAGCACAGAGTCCTGACTACACTACGCAAAAGACTACAAAATTCTATATTTGCCAATTCAGAATTCTGTTGTAGAGCTTGCTGCTTCTCAAAGAATCTCACAGCCCAATTTTATGTATATTTACTAAAAGTAAATCACACTATTTACTTCTAAGAACTGCAGCAAGCTAAGTGAAATGTAATTTAGTAATCCCACTCGTGTTACCTTTGGGATAAAGTTCTTTCAAAGGCACATCTCCAGGAGCCAGAACCCTGACCACCTGATTGGCAGCTGCAAGAGTCACACAATTTGGTCGCTTTGCTGCTCCACCTTTGCTGCGCTTTCCATAATACAGCGGATCAGAAGCCAAAGGCTGCCTCTGGCCCAGGACAGAGTCCCTCTTCCAGCTGTAAACCTCATTGGGAGACTGCAAGAAAATCACAAGAGAAGCTGGACGATAGGACTGCACTGCACAACAGAGTATACAATCCTGGTCCATAAAATGTGTTAAGGACGAACAATGAGGAAAAGGGAAATATCAACTTAAACATTCACTTCCTTGAACAGGGACTAATGAAGGCTCAACAGGCTTCTGCAATTAAAAGTTCAGCAACTGAGGCTCCTCCTAGCCACAGGGACCCGTGGTGTGGTGAAATCTACCTGCAAAACATCTTTCAAGGTGTGTTAACAGGAACACCTCCTGGATCTTGTTTGGAATGCTGTTGTTAACTAAGCAGATATTTAAATGAAAAATGTATATTACTTTTACTGAAATGTTATATTTAATTTTATCTACAATGCGTTGTCTAATTTCTTAGGTATATTTCAGTTAAATCCCGCTGCATGATCCAATAATTAAGAGGTGGTGGCATCTCCTCTCCAATTCTGGGCAACAGACGATGGTAAAATAAGGTAAGGTAAAGGACCGCTGGACGGTTAAGTCCAGTTAAAGGCGACTATGGGGTTGCGACGCTCATTTTGCTTTCAGGCCGAGGGAGCCGGCGTTTGTCCACAGCTTTCCGGGTCATGTGGCCAGCATGACTAAACCGCTTCTGGTGCAACAGGACAATGTGACAGAAATCAGAGAGCACGGAAACGCCGTTTGCCTTCCCACTGCAGTGGTACCTATTTATCTACTTGCACTGGCGTGCTTTTGAATTGCTAGGTTGGCAGAAGATGGGACAGAGCAATGGGAGCTCACTCTGTCACAGGGATTTGAACCACCGACCTTCCTATCAGCACACCCAAGAGGCTCTGTGGTTTTTATGGTGGCACCATAAATGCCTCCATTATATGAAGGGCATCAACTGCTACCATGTAGGATCAGAATTTTATCAAGCTTGTCCAGAGCTAATTATCTACCTAGTGTGGCATCCTTGATGCTGGCATTTCATTTATTTAAACTAAGTAAAAGCGATGCCTACCATGAGGTGTGGAAATCCAACAACAAGAGAAGCATAATTATGTTCATCGGAAAGCATTCTGTTGGGGGAGCTGATCTTCTGCCCAAGTGCTACACTTAGGTTTTCGGAAGACAATTGGTCACATGAAACTGCCTGTGGCATATGCAGTTCTGAAGTGAGGCAAAAGTGAAGCAAACAAATAATAATAATAATAATAATAGTAATAATAATAGTAGTAATAATAATAATAATAGTAATAGTAATAATAATAATAATAATTTATTTCCCTAGCCACTCTGGGCAGCTTCCAACAAAATATTAAAATACAATAGTGTGTCAAACAATAAAAGCTTCCCTAAACATGGCTGCCTTCAGATGTCTTCTAAAAGTCTGGTAGTTGTTTTTCTCTTTGACATCTGGTGGGAGGGCGTTCCACAGGGCGGATGCCACCACTGAGAAGGCCCTCTGCCTGGTTCCCTGTAGCTTGGCTTCTCGCAGCGAGGGAACCGCCAGAAGGCCCTCGACACTGGACCTCAGAGTCCGGGCAGAACGATGGGGACAGAGACGCTCCTTCAGGTATACAGAAACATATAAAAGCTTGTATCCAGCTAAGGAGCCAATCCTATGGCAAGATACGTCAGGGAGAGCAGCTGAGGATGCCGCAGATCTCCAGCTCACCTGGGCTCAGCTGACATTAAGTTGCCAACCCCAACTCAGCCAAAGATATGCCAGTGTAAACTTGCTCTTCCTGGCTCAGCAACGGAACAGCGAGCTGAACTGAAAGTGGCTGAGTCTGGTGCAAGGGGAGATTTGAGGCCGAGGGACTCAATCCATTCAGCTGGCAATCCAACACACCCCACTCTTTTAAAGGCTTGTTTTCCCTCTGCCACCCTTGGGCAGAGCAACAGGAGATCCCCCACTGCTGAATGGGGGCTTAGATCTCGTATGATTTTACACCAGTTTAATTTACTCCAGCTCGCTTTAAGGCAGCTTCTTTTGCACAAGATTGCTCCCTAAGTCATCCTGAGATAAACTCACTGGAAAAAACCAACAGATTTAAATTAGATATTGCCCACTGATAGTTTGTAGGCTGAGCAGGATTCTCATGGTTCAGCGGCTATTCCCTAAGAGGTGATGAGATGCAGTTTTCATCTGGTGATTGGCAGGAGGCATAGAAAAGTACGGGAATCACATTACACCTCCAGGCATAAGTTTTGTGCTTTTTATTATGCAGTCACAAACCATATTTAGGCAACTTTCTTGTAGCAGACATGCAGGACAGTAGTTGACATTGGCCACCACAAGTTCCTACCAAATGTGTCTGAACTGAACACCTACAGCTGCCTATTGCACAGCATTCTGTGGAACCAACAGTGAGCCTAAACAGGACAACAGGGAATTTCTGGTCTTATACCACAGTTGTTGTTTTAAACACCAACACCATCTGATGACATGGCTCCCCAAATCAACACAGACTGTGGAAACTTCACACTGGATTTCAAGCATCTGGCATTGTGTGCCTCCCCATTCTTCCTCCAGACTCTGGGTCCTTGGTTTCCAAATGAGATGCAAAAGCTGCTCTCATCAGAAAAGAGCCATGTCATCAGCTGGTGTTGGTCCACTGTGCTTCATTAAGTCCAGGGTCAACACAGCCATCCACCAGGAGATTTTGGAGCACTTCATGCTTCCTTCCGCAGACAAGCTTTATGGGGGTGCTGACTTCATTTTCCAGCAGGACTTTGTCACCTGCCCACACTGCCAAAAGTACCAAAACCTGGTTCAATGCCCATGGGATTACTGTGCTTGATTGGCCAGCAAACTCGCCTGACCTGAACCCTATAGAGAATCTATGGGGCATTGCCAAGAGAAAGATGAGAGACATGAGACCGAGCAATGCAGAAGAGCTGAAGGCTGCTATTGAAGCTTCCTGGTCTTCCATAACACCTCAGCAGTGCCACAGGCTGATAGCATCCATTCCAGACCGCATTCGGGCAGTAATTGATGCAAAAGGGGCCCAAACCAAGTACTGAGTACATATGCATGCTTCTACTTCTCAGAGGTCCAATATTGCTCTATTTGCAGTCCTTGTTTTGCTGATTTCATTTAATATTCTAATTTTCTGAGATTGTTAATTTGGGGTTTTCATCAGCTGTACGCTATGATCATCACAATTATAACAAATAAAGGCTTGACATATCTCGCTTTGCATGTCATGAGTCTATCTCATATATTAGTTTCACCTTTTAAGTTGAATTACTGAAATAAATTAACTTTTCCACGATATTCTGATTTTCCGAGTTTCACCTGTATGGTGGCTCTGCCAGCTTCCATTCGCACTATTGGAAACTACGTGAGGTTCTCACTGAGACAGTAGGAGGCTAGACTAAAATCTTTCTTCCTGACATGCTAGTCCTGACATGGGGAGAACTGTGAGAAGTAAGTACGGGCAGTGACCATTTCACACGGGGGTTCTGTTCTCGGCCCCCATGTGCATCGGGGGAGCACACCCTCTGCCCGGTTACGCCCTGCCCCACCCTCTTCCAGGCCCAAAAGGACCCTAATTTTGGCAGTTGTGTGGCTATTGGACACGCCTCAAATGCTTGCCCCCTGTACTGAGGCTCCCAGTTAAAACAGGAAGACATAAATGAGTTGCAAGTAACTTTTCCTGTTGATTTCAATTAGACTGAATATAAACTTTCTTTGGATGTGAGTCACTACATCTTGTCATCTGAAGTTTTAACTCTCCTACTTTGGCATTTGGAAGGGACACAATTGTAGAAGAGGCCACAATCTTGTTAGCAGTACTGTAGTAAGACTGGGAATTGTCCCTTTAAAGCTTTTAATTCACATAATACGTGTGACCAGGTGGAAACCTGACTCATGTAGTGCCAAATTGATTTTAAATTCCCTACCTGTTTTTATCCCAGATTCGGTCTCCGTTGGCTCTTCATTCAGTGCATGTAACTGGCAAATTCCATTCATTTCAGATTCCATATGCGTAGGCTTAGTTAAAAGATATTTCCTGCAAATCAGGTGGAATTGCCCAGTGGTTATTTAACACGGCCATATTTATCTCTTGTCCATTGCACTGATCAACACCGTCACAATTGTTAGGTTCCTGAGCCCCCAATCTCTCTCTCCCACCCTCAAATTATCCTTAGGACTTATTCTCAGGTTAACAGTGACGTAGCTACCACTGGTAGAATCATAGAATCATAGAGTTGGAATAGACCACAAGGGCCATCGAGTCCAACCCCCTGCCAAGCAGGAAACACCATCAGAGCACTCCTGACATATGGTTGTCAAGCCTCTGCTTAAAGACCTCCAAAGAAGGAGACTCCACCACACTCCTTGGCAGCAAATTCCACTGTCGAACAGCTCTTACTGTCAGGAAGTTCTTCCTAATGTTTAGGTGGAATCTTCTTTCTTGTAGTTTGGATCCATTGCTCCGTGTCTGCTTCTCTGGAGCAGCAGAAAACAACCTTCAAAATGACTCCTTCCTTCCAGTATAATACCAGCAACATCTTTAAGCAGGGGATTATGGGAGACAGGCTGATGACATGACTTCTTCTTCCCACATACGTTGCCGATGTCCATGAGGTGCCATGGCTGTGATGCAGGAAAGGGGCAGCCCCACCTCCCTGGGCACAGTAAGAATGTTCCCCACTCTTAAATTTAGGGTAGGAGATCACGGAGGTAATCTTTTTGTGATGACTGCAGATAGTCTTGATCCTTGTAGACACCATTACAAATAATATTCCATTTGCTTTACCAATCTTAAGATTCATAGGTAAAGGTAAAGGGCCTGACCATTAGGTCCAGTCGTGACCGACTCTGGGGTTGCAGCGCTCATCTCGCTTTATTGCCCGTGGGAGCCAGCGTACAGCTTCCAGGTCATGTGGCCAGCATGACTAAGCCGCTTCTGGCGAACCAGAGCAGCGCACGGAAATGCCGTTTACCTTCCCGCCGGAACGGTACCTATTTATCTACTTGCACTTTGACGTGCTTTTGAACTGCTAGGTTGGCAGGAGCAGGGACTGAGCAACGGGAACTCACCCAGTCGCGGGGATTCGAACCGCCGACCTTCTGATTGGCAAGTCCTAGGCCCTGTGGTTTAACCCACAGCACCACCCGCGTCCCTCTTAAGATTCATACCCCACGTTAAGTGCTTGAAAACCTCGTGGATTTCAATGGGTTGGAGCAAAGCAAGTTTTTAACTCATTAGCATGAACACTAAACCAAACCATGGCTTAGCAAGAAAAAGCAGGTCCCTGGAGTGAAAATCACAGCTGCTTTGCTCCTTCCCTGAACCTGCTGCCGCCATGCAACCCAAAGCTAAGCCATAGTTTGGTTGACTGTCATGTGTGAAACCAGGTTTGTGGTTTGTCTCCCCCAAGCAAACCACAAATGGTAAATCAAGAACAAAACTTTGTTATATACTTTATAGGGAGAGAGACAAACCACAAGTCCAGGCTGTAAGCCAAGCACTAGGCCAAGCCACGGACAGCAGCAGCATGGCCAAGGGAGGAGTCAAGTGGCAGCAATTTTCACCCCAGATACCCCAGGATTACCAGCTCTTACTAAGCCAAAGTTTGGCTTAGCGTCACATAAAAACCACACCAGCATTTTTGGCTGGACCACGCCAAAAAACTTGCTAAAGCAGCAGCAGGGGTTACAAAAAATGGAAATTCCCAAGTTACGGAGAAATATTTTCATGCAAATATTTAGGCATGGAGAGGGCATGGATATGTCTAAGTTTCTGGGTGGAACATGCAGGCATATCTAGTATCTTACTGGTTTGTTTTGCTCTCGACCAGGAGCCAGTGGTCTTCAGCCACCAAAAAGACAGAGGAGAGTTTGATAGGCAGCGTGATGGTGTGAGCATGGCCTTCCAGGACATCTAAAACGGTAAGGTGACTCCTGGAAAATAAAGGGGTAAGAAAGACAAAATTAGGCTGAGGACAAACACAGGAGAGGGACCTCTTTTTTTTTGCCGTGAGGGGAGGGAATAGGAAACAGGAGTTCTTTCTCACCCTTCTTCTTTATAGAACACCAGCCAGTTTTTGTGTGAAAACTCCTTGCACATTTTGTGACTCTTCTAAGAAATAAACAAATTACAAAATTACCCAATTCAAACTCACAAAGTTACCAAATTCATCATAACTTCAGTTGTAAAAGAGTTGTCTGCCTGCTTACAGGAGGAAAAACAAACAAACAGCAAATGAATATTTGGCCTCTATCTATATGAATGAAAAGTGCTTCAGATCAGGCTTTTACTTCCATAGAGACCTTGTTTGGCAAAAAATATAGTACTATATTCCAAAAGCCAGCAGGGTGCACTCTTCTGATATATAAATGCTTGTAACCACAGATTCCCTGGTTTATTTGACGTAAACTGGATTGAGACTGGAACAAAAGAGATTTATCATGCGAAGCTGTCAGACCACTGGGTCCATCTAGGACAGAAGACTTTACCCTACTCTTGAAGAATTTAGCCCGAGATATTTCTAGTTCTTTTGAATTGAGATCCTGGGTACTGAACAAGAGGCCCTTTCACATGCAAATTATATTGCATCACGACTACATAGCTCCTCCAAAGCGCATTTCCTATATCTGACTGTAAGGGAAATTTAATTAAAAATACATGCATACAAATTTCTGAAGGGTAGCTATGTCAGTGCCTGCAAACAAAAACAGTTGTTCTAAAGAAATGCACCCTGGCATGAGGTTTCAAAGGGAAGAGCTTCCTTTATGTGTTGCTGTTCATAAAGGCTAGACAGAAAAAACTCTGATAACTAGGCTTGGAGGAGACCGAAGCTTCTCATTTCGCACAAAACATAGTTGGCTACTGGGATGCCTTACCTCAGGGGTAGGCAACCTAAGGCCCGGGGGCTGGATGCGGCCCAATTGCCTTCTCAATCCAGCCAGCGGACGGTCCGGGAATCAGTGTGTTTTTACATGAGTAGAATGTGTCCTCTTATTTAAAATGCATTTCTGGGTTATTTGTGGGGCCTGCCTGGTGTTTTTACGTGAGTAGAATGTGTGCTTTTATTTAAAATGCATCTCTGGGTTATTTGCGGGGCATAGGAATTCGTTCATTTTTTTTTCTTCAAAAATATAATCCGGCCCCCCACATGGTCTGAGGGACGGTGGACCGGCCCATGGCTGAAAAAGGTTGCTGACCCCTGCCTTACCTGCTCTTCCTTGTTGCCCCACCAGGATGACCTTTTAGGACCCTCTTTCACATCTGGTGACAGTAAAAGTCGGCGTATGGATCCAGTGTTAATGTCCACTGATAGAATAACATTGCTCTGCAAAAAGAAAGTAAAAAAATTACATTCTTTTCCAGCATATGCCATTTTCATGGCATCATTGATTCCTTTCACTGAAAAGATTGACACTGAAGACATTTTAGAATTTTGAGTAGATTTCATTTTGTTGGAAACCACTACCTAAGCTTCTTTCTTTCTTTCTTAAGAGGCCCCTCAACAGCATTTTGTCAAAGTTCACTGTTAGGTTGAAATCCTTGACTTAGAAGAGAAATATATGGTTGGTCTGTTGTGTCAAACTGGTCTCAATATCCCAACCCATGTAATGTCATACGAATGGGAGAGCACCAAAGAAATAATCACAGATTAATTCCACGATCTGCTACAGATCACTTCTTTGGTTATTTTGTTGGAGGAGGCTGGAGCAAGTGAAAGTGTTCAAGCAACCTGGAATAAGAGGAGGCACAATCTAGGACCATAAAATTCATGCATGTCTATTTGGAAAGAAGTGTGGTGAGACAGCTCCCCTTATATTTTAGGATATGGCACTAAGGTAAAGCACTTCATTTCTTTCTTTTTTAAATTCAGCTACCTATTCAAGACCATGACAACTGGGGTCTCCATGCCATATTGCTATAACTTCACCCTAAAAAACAGGCAAGCATCAGTTTGGCAGAAATGTAAATTATGTGAATTATGTAAATGTGAATTATGCCTTGTTGTTACTGGGGTGGTGAATTTGTATCTGGGCGATAACACTTCAGGTAGCAAAAGGGAACGCACTTGCCTGAATGTTCCTTCAGGCAAAAGAATTCCTTACACAGAAAACTTGGTATCAGGGATAAAGCTTCTAGCCGAGAACCCCTTGTTGTTGTTGTTTAGTCGTTTAGTTGTGTCCGACTCTTCGTGACCCCCTGGACCAGAGAACGCCAGGCACTCCTGTCTTCCACTGCCTCCCGCAGCTTGGTCAGACTCATGTTGGTAGCTTCGAGAACACTGTCCAACCATCTCGTCCTCTGTCGTCCCCTTCTCCTTGTGCCCTCCATCTTTCCCAACATCAGGGTCTTTTCCAGGGAGTCTTCTCTTCTCATGAGGTGGCCAAAGTACTGGAGCCTCAGTTTCAGAATCTGTCCTTCCAGTGAGCACTCAGGGCTGATTTCCTTCAGAATGGAGAGGTTTGATCTTCTTGCAGTCCATGGGACTCTCAAGAGTCTCCTCCAGTACCATAATTCAAAAGCATCAATTCTTCGGCGATCAGCCTTCTTTATTGTCCAGCTCTCACTTCCATACATCACTACTGGAAAAACCATAGCTTTAACAATGTGGACCTTTGTCGGCAAGGTGATGTCTCTGCTTTTTAAGATGCTGTCTAGGTTTGTCATTGCTTTTCTCCCAAGAAGCAGGCGTCTTTTAATTTCGTGACTGCTATCACCATCTGCAGTGATCATGGAGTCCAAGAAAGTAAAATCTCTCGCTGCCTCCATTTCTTGCCCTTCTATTTGCCAGGAGGTGATGGAACCAGTGGTCATGATCTTAGTTTTTTTGATGTTGAGCTTCAGACCATACTTTACATGTAAGAACCCCTTACATGTAACAAATCTCCACTCATACATTCCGGATCGTAGTTATATTCAGCAAATCAACATCTCTTCTTAAAAAAGAAAGGTTTTAACTCAAACCCAGTAAGATATTGCCAAGCACTTGGCATTATACCCTACGTAACTCCAAGAAAGTGTTTGCAATGCTCACAGCCCCTATATATACAAAAGTACATGAAGGAGAAGATTAAAAATGCCTTCTTGATGAGTCTCGAATGCGCATTAGCACAATCTAACTAAATAAAGGGTTAAGATTTCCTGGCCATTGCAAGCATTAACAAGGCAGTTGTGTTCTTTCACGTAGCGGTGGGCTCAGGAGGTCGGCTGGCACCATAACAAGGCCCCTTTCCCAACCCTTGCAGACGTTAATGGCTCCCATCTGTAACAGGGACTGGTGGTGTATTGGTTTGCGTATAAAAATAGAAATTTGCATCACTGGTGAATACTTCCAGTTACAGCTTTGGCAATTCTTCAAGTGGGCTGGGAAGTTATGCTGTGCTTGTGCACAGTTTCGCTTATGTTTATTCTTTACTGGGAGAAAAGAAACCTTTGGGTGACCTCATGTCCCCAGTGCCTTGAATTCCAAATACTCAACAGATGTAACAGCCATTATTTTGAGGCGCCGCTCTTTTATTTTTAGCTACTGCAAAGCTTCCCTTTCCTTGTTGCAGTTTGTTCCTTCGCCAGGGTTTTCCTCCCTTGGAAGAACTTAGTTCAAATAAGGGTGTAATTGCGACTAAGGGAAAGGGAAGCTGATGTTAAGAGTTCTTCTAGATGGGAGGAGGGGAGTTTAAAAATGAAGAGGAAGAAGAAAGGATAGAGAAGAAAATATTTGAACAGGACTTATTTCCTTATTGCTTTTCCATCCCTCCTTTCCTACAGGCAAGTATTTCCTCCAAAGCCATACCCAGTTCCCCCTTTTCATGCCCCCCAAGAATAAGAAGGTACTCAGTAGTTTTGTTTTGTGCATGTGCGTAGCTGTACATTTGCTTGAAAGAGCTTTGGAGGCATTCATTAATTTCCTTTTCTCTTCACTTTCTGCTGGAGCTCTGGAGACTGTTTCAGACAGTACAAGCGCATTGCATGAGCAATAAAAGCAAACAACTTTTTTTTTTTTTTTAGTGCCTAATGATGAGCCCCAGCTTTCATCTGCTTTCTTGTACAAAGTCTGCAAAAGGAAATTAGGATTTAAACTGGACTCTGAATGGCGGTGGTGGTGGCAAACTGCTTTTAGCCTGCAGAACAATTATCTGCATTTCTCTGTGCCATTAAGGTCCTGGAACATGAATAAAGGCATTTTGCCCCCAATGCACCAGTTAAATGAAATATCCAGAATGCATTTATCTTGTTAGAGCAGACTGTAAAGGATAGGAAGAGCAGCAGGAAGCAAACAGATGATTTGGTTCAGGAATTATGCGAGTGCGAAGTTGCCATCAAACGCAGCAGCAACACCTCTCTTTTCATTTTCAGTGTTTAGCAATGCAAAACTGGAGATATTATGTCACCATAAATTTTGCTCTGCCTAATAAGTGGAGCGAGAACAGAGAAACTTGCAAATGGCGACATTGTCGCTCCATACCTTTGCATGAATAACCAGAAGGAGCAGAAGGAGACTGCCTAGCCATGTGCCGGCTGTACTGCGTAATGCCGACTCAGAAAAGTTAGTGTTCATACAATTGTTTCATTCAGCCCAGACACTGAGATCCAGTGCCGAGGGCCTTCTGGCGGTTCCCTCATTGCGAGAAGCGAAGTTACAAGGAACCAGAGAGAGGGCTTTCTTGGTAGTGGCGCCCGCCCTGTGGAACGCCCTCCCATCAGATGTCAAGGAAACAAGCAGCTATCCTATTTTTAAAAGACACCTGGAGGCAGCCCTGTTTAGGGAGGTTTTTAATATTTAATGCTATATTGTTTTTAAACACTCGATTGGGAGCTGCCCTGAGTGGCTGGGGAAACTCAGCCAGATGGGCGGGGTATAATTATTATTATTATTATTATTATTATTATTATTATTATTTTGCTTCACTTTTGCCTCACTTCAGAACTGCATATGCCACAGGCAGTTTCATGTGACCAGTTGTCTTCCGAAAACCTAAGTGTAGCACTTGGGCAGAAGATCAGCTCCCCCAACAGAATGCTCTCTGATGAACATAATTTCAATGCATGGCAAAAAGATATTTCGAAATATATTTGGCAAGGGAAAAAACCCTAGAATAAAATATAAAATATTGATAGATGCAAAAGAGAGAGGAGGTTTCTCCCTGCCTGACATGAGATTATATTATGAAGCATCTTGTCTTTGTTGGTTGAAGGAATGGATGACATTGGAGAATTCACATATTCTAGACTTAGAATGTCATGATAATATTTTCAGTTGGCATGCTTATTTATGGTATGAAAAGGTGAAAGTACATAAAGGATTTACAAATCCTATAACTGGGGAAAAATTGTATAGAGAATGGAATAAATACAAAAATCTATTAGATGCAAAAACAGCACTTGGGCTGTCACCACTGGAAGCCATAGTGGTAAAGAAAAAGAATATGATGGAAGGTTGGACAACTTATAGAAATTTATTTTAAAAATTGTGATGAGTATAAATTAGAATAATTTAAGGAATTATCAGGGAAATTGACAACATGGATACAATATCCTCATTTGAATGAAGTACTTAAGTAAGATAGAATACAAGGGACTGGGGAACAAACATCACAACTGGAGAGAGATCTGTTGGAATGTAATGTAAAAGCACTGTCTAAAATGTGTAATATGCTATTGGAATAGAAAACAAAGCTTGCAACAAGTCTGTAAGGTAGTGCCACAGAATTATCCCTCTCTTGCAGATGTGGAGGCAAAGTAGCGTGTCTAAAGGACCCCCAATTAGTTTTTGGACAGAAAATCCCCGGTGCAAATCTTGTCTCCAATTCATAATGCAGTATCTTAACCCCCGTACTACACCAGCTCTCATGCGGTACAAGGAGCCAAGTTTACAGAGGACTGCAAGTGAGCAAGCAAGATGTGTCACAAGCCCAGCTCCTACGCAGTGGGGACACGTTTGGTGAAAAGAACAAAAGGCAGTGCCATACACCAGGGGAACGTGTGTCCTCCATAATCCCAACCAAGATGAACTGGATGAGAATTATTTTTGATCTCAAAACTAGACAGATGTTAGAGCTTGAGAAATATGAGGGATCCCTCTTCCTGGTGGTAACAGATTAACCCCAGAAATGGAAATCATGTTGGCTTTTTTTACCTGCTCTTCGTGTAGAATTACTTGACCTTTGAGAGGGTTACCCAGAGGTGCCAATGTCACAAACGGTTGCCATATTCCACCAACGGTCCTTGGGAAGATGTCATACAAGTCTATAATGCATCCATTCTTACTGGCCAGATCCATGGCATATAAGGACACAGGATTGCATGTAGCCACATAAAGGGCGTCTTCTGCTTCCGAAAGCGGGAATAAGATCCAGATTACACGAAAGCAAACATATGAACAGATTGCTTATAGACACAGACATTGTTTGCATAAATATATTGATATATGGAATGAGTCTATACATAATATAGCAGGTTATTAATAACCCTATATGTATTCGCATATATATGTATTCACATATTATACAAAGGTAAAGGTAAAGGGACCCCTGACAATTAGGTCCAGTCGTGGACGACTCTTGGGTTGCGGCGCTCATCTCGCTTTATTGGCCGAGGGAGCCGGTGTACAGCTTCCAGGTCATGTGGCTAGCATGACTAAGCTGCTTCTGGCAAATCAGAGCAGCGCACGGAAATGCTGTTTACCTTCCCGCAGAGGGGAGGGAATTAATATAGATCAGAGGGAATAAAATAAGGCAGCATACAAACTAATTTATATTAATTATGTTCTAGATATCTACACATTCATACTGTTTCTCTTCATCACTAAATAAACAGAAAATAAAATTTATACTCTACCTTGAGCCACAGCAACATCACACACAAAATTAACTTCATTCAAAGGCAGCGACCAAAAGGCACGTTCTTCTGTAAAGCTCAGGGATCTGGCTTCGTGTCTTTCCAGTGGGAATGCCTGCACATTTAAGTACATTGGACCCTAAAAGAAATATAATTTATATTTTGAATTAGACACATATGCGGGCACCAAAATCTTTTAAATGCTTAGGGCCTCTAAGGGTCTTTATCCAGCCCTGGAATTGGTAGACTACAAATTGTGAATACATGAAAAAATTCTGTATGACTTTAAAATCCTGGAAAATAGGGTATGCTTACAGTCAACATTAAGATTTATTTTTTAAAATCTTACCTTTATATCTATGTGATGTGTTTCAGTTGGGCACAAAAGTTTCTGTTGTGGCTGGCTGACTTTCCAGTAGCCCATTAATTTTGCACTTGGCAATGGCAACCTGTCCAACAAAGAAACTATTATTATTTTTTTGTTTTTTAGGTAGGTAGGTAGATAGATAGATAGATAGATAGATGATAGATAGATAGATGGTAGTTTTCAAACATTTACAGACAACAACAACAAAGAGAAGAGAGGAACAAAACAAAACCAAAATCAATGTAAGAGGGAAAATGCAAGTTATTGGCATCTGAAGTGCCATGAATGCTAACCCACCCATAACTTTCTCTTTTTAGACGTCACCTCATCTAAAAATACATTTCTGAGCTGAAAAGTTTCCTTGTTAACCTGCCACAGAGTCAGCAGTCTTAAGACCTCAAGGAAACAATACCAGGAGGAATCCCACTGAAAATTATACTCTGTGAGGGAAAGACTTGGAAACCCAAATGGCCTGTGCAAGTACAGTGGTGCCCCGCAAGACGAATGCCTCGCAAGACGAAAAACTCGCTAGACGAAAGGGTTTTGCGTTTTTTGAGTCGTTCCGCAAGACGAATTTCCCTATGGGCTTGCTTCGCAAGACGAAACATCTTGCGAGTTCTTGCGAGTTTGTTTCCTTTTTCTTAAAGCCGCTAAGCCATTAATAGCCGCTAAGCCGCTAATAGCCGCTAAGCCACTAATAGCCGTGCTTCGCAAGACGAAAAAACCGCAAGACAAAGAGACTCGCGGAACGGATTAATTTCGTCTTGCGAGGCACCACTGTATAAGCTGTGTCCCAACATATCTAGAAACACTTTGGCTGCACGGAGGCCACAGGTTTGAATGCAACAACTGACAAAGGAAGAAGGAAATACATTTCTAGAAAATACAAACAAGTTCTGCCAAATAAGAGTTTAAAGAGGAGGCCAAGTTGGGTTCTTTTTTTCTGTGGGGTGGGAAAGATAGATGGGGAGCTGACAAGATCAAGGAGAGACTAGATAAAAATAATAGGAAAAGTCCTCTATGCCAGGGCTGCCATACGTTCGGAATTTCCCAGAGATAGTTGGGATCTGTACGTCAAAAATGGCGTCTGGGTGGAATTTTTGAAAAGCAGCACGAATGTCCAGGAAAACCTGGCAGCCCATATCGGAAGTGTTGATTTTTTTTGGTATTTTCCTTTTTTTAAAAAAAAAGGTTTAAAAAAAGCACTCCATTTTTGGGGGAGATTTTGCAAAAAATTGAAATATGGCAACCCTATCATATACAACTCAGCCCATTTTCATTAACTGCCATGACTGATGAAGCATTGCCATTGAACGGCTGAGTCTCCCTCAGAAGAAGGTCTCCCAGCATTTCCTGCACGTCACAGAATGCGGTCAGGGCATAGAATCGGAGCGGATGAGGGGACACATTATCTTAACACATTAGTTAAGATAATGCTTGTTAAACCTGCCAGACTTCCAACATTATGACTGTTAAAGGTCAAGGACCCCTGACAGTTATGTCCAGTCGCGAACGACTCTGGGGTTGTGGCGTTCATCTTGCTTTACTACTAAAACATCTAACAATACAAACTTGACTCTGAGGGCAAGTGTTCCTTTTCAAACAAGTTTTCTGAGGAAGGGGAGGGAGACAGTGGGCTTGCTTCATAGCCCAAAGATCACCAAGATGCCACTTAGGTGGCACAGTGCCGAAGATGATGCTTGGGAGCGATCATGTCAACTGCCCCTTTCATACTGTCATTTCATAGGGAGGTCAGCGCTTTGACAGAATCGTTCAGGAACACATCGGTTTCTGAGGGGAGGCCCTTCAAATAGGCCCACTCCCCTTACTGCCAGGAATTGCCACTACCAAGCCAAACTTCACCAGACCAGGTAATGGTCCAAAAATAACAAGTGACTGCACTATATTCCCTCATTTTCAAACCATCCCTCACATCACTCAAAGGTGTGCCCTGCCTAATCCGTTGGCCCAACAGCCACTTGAGACATTCCCATGGTTGTCATGAAGGACATGAAATTTCAAACCAGCCCAATATCAGCCTCCACAGGGACAATGGAGTCATGCAAGACAACTGTCCCAGGATCCTCTAACACTATGCTGGGGACCACCTTGTCCAGCTCAATTTCATTGCAAATTCATTATTCTCGGACTTCTGGGGAGGCATCATAGCTGGTTAGCCGTCTCTGTTGAGGCTCTATTCTCAAAGATAATTAAGTGGTGATTAACGATAGCTACTGTCTCGTATTATCTCTGAGGAACAGATATAACAGGGATTATCTTCCAAATGTTCTGGAAGGATTGCTCCCGCCATGGGACCAAGAAATCTTCAAGGAACCCAAACGGGTGAATTTTGCCCAAACACCACTTAATAGCCCTAGAGGTCAGCCCCTAGGGCAAAGATAATCAAAAGCTCCTTTCTTCAATTATTTCTGAAACTCCTATAAATTACTACTACGACTATCTCTCTGTTGGTTAAAATGTTCATTTGAAATACAACCCAATAGCTGGCTTAAGAGGAGACGCCATTAAGGGGCTGTAAACAAATAAATAAAAAAAAATGCTCTTATTCCACATATCAAAGAAAGTTTTTCAAACAGCTAAGTGATTCTGCAACTTTGAGAAATTTTCATCTTATTTTGTTCTAGTCTTAATCCTGTTTTACTGGTGAATGTGCTGCTTTGTACTGTGAAACTACATGGCTGCTCCCTGTGAGAAGGCAATGTTAGAAATGCAACTTCCTGCAATTTCCAGATAAGCAAGGACTGTGTGAATTTCTGAGAAAGCACTCAGGCTGGTGAAAATGCTGAAAAATACTGCATTGACTGTTGCAGTTGTGCAACAATTATTAAATGAGCAATTAAAGGAAATAAGAGTGGAGCTGCATAAAATGTTAAATGTTAATTGGGCAACACTGTGGCTGGATAATATATATAGCCTTTGGAAAAAATACTGCTGGAGATCTGCCAGACCAGGAGAATGGAATGATATAGTTGAAGGCAAGGGATGATGAAAGTGAGAGGACCTCCACACAGGTGCCTGGAGGAATGAAACAGCCAAGCTATGATGTTGGAGGAGGGGAAGCGGTCCATAGATGGAGAGACTAAGAAATATCCTGAGCTGGCAGAGATGAGCTGAGAACGAAAGGATTCTGCGTACAATTTGGAATAAATCTCGAGGGGAAAGCTACTTACTCTTGTAACATGTTTGGGAAAAGAATGGAAAAGGAGGAAATGGAAACTCTCTCTCTCTATGTATATATATATATTAAAGGACTGAAAACAGTGGCCATCAGGAAATGGGACTGGAAGATATGGATTCGGATGTGAATTAATGATTATACAATAAGTAAATAGCTATCTATTATTGTCTTAACAAATAACCAGAGTGAATAAACCCTTGAGGAATAAAAAACAAGGACTGAATGTTTCTTAATATTGGAGATCCAGTTGTGATGCCGGACTGGAGGAAGACTACTGCTGACTTTTATATATAATAGCATAATAACAATCAGGGAACCTCTTTTGGACTTCTTATCTGGAAGGAAAAATGAATGAACTTGAGATGTCCAGACTGAAGGCTGGGAAAAGTCACTTAGCAGAGGGAGGAACAGCTGGATACTACTCTGGAGTAAATATTTGACTGTTTTGAAGAACTCTTGTATATATAACTGGCAAATGGGTAGTTGGAAGTCCCTTTTCCTTTTCTTCAGGAAGAAGCGCCGCCACTGGAATTCAGTTGCTACTGTAGTGGCATTGCTCCAAACCATGCTGATCTGGGCTCAGGCCAGCATAACATACCCCAGCTTTGACCCTAACCATATTCTGTGCCGGAACTGTACATATGAAGCTAACAATGGAAAGAGAGGTAGTTCCCAAATGCTTTAACAAGATTTTTGCACCCCTATAGTCTCTCAGAGATCCAGATAACGGTCTCAACCGTAAGCCAACATTCACTTTTGCTTCTAATATTTATTTGCCCTCAGTAATCCTTGCCCCAACATGCCTTCTGCCTTGCAGGTATGAAGAAAATACAAAGAACTGCCTGGCAAATGCGGGCTATTATGTTATGTGCAGTGAGAACAAACAGTCCCCATCGTCTACGGCCAGGAAGGAGAGCAAATCCAAAGTTTTGTTTCGGATTACATTAACAACTGTAATTGATAAAAAAAAATATAAATGTAACTCCTAAACTATTGACTGGAAGGAGGCAACATGAACTAATTTTAAAACAACTTCACTTGACTACCTGTTTGTTTCTATGCCCAATGCAAGGTGCTCCTTTTAATCTTTAGAATCCTAATTTTAATTTAGGCATGCATTTCAGATGGTATTTACTAACTAACTAACTACCTGGCCCTTCACCTAGGCAGTTTCCATAAAAAACAATTTGCCTAGCACCAGTGGTTTGTATGTATAAAGGGGAATATTTGTTTTTCTATAAATGGTTTCGGAAATTGGTTTGCAGCGCGATCTTATCCATGTCTGCTCAGAAATAAGTACTACTGAAATCAATAGGGCTTACTCCCAGGTAAGCCAAGATAGGACCACAGCCTTAGTAGTTATGACACATAAATTATGTGCATTTATTATACTCATCAAAAAAAACAGTCTGAAACCAGAGGAAGGCCACCAATATCATGAAGCAAACTGGATGGCCTGTAAGCAGTTTGTGGAGTTGCGGTTTTGCAAAGTACATGCCAAATGTCTGATGATGGGAATAAGTATTGAAATGCTAACTTCACTCAAGAATAAGTTACTCTTTGGACATGTTCTACAAAGTATTTTGAAAGATTTGTGCAAGAATAGGGGCTAACATATTTCCCCACTATTGATAAAAAGAATTTGGATTTGCTACTAATTATGGAAATAAATTGCAAAATGATCATTCAATGACGAGAAACCGAGAAGAACGAATTTTCCCCTTTATTGGATCCATTTAATCATACAAATCATCACTATTCATAATATAATACATTCACAATTTATACATAATGCTGTAAATGTGCAGAGTTAAAATAGTATAAATTAATAATAGTTCAATAATATATCAATCTGTTTTCAGGTATTAGCAATATTTGCTTCAAGCATTCAAGGCAGACAGGTCGATCTTAACTAGCAGCAAATATACAATGTATGTTAGTCTTACTCCTTAGCCAGGTGTACATTGGTGGGTTTTGCTCCAATGGGGATGCCATGTTTATGCAGAGTCCGAATTAAAATCTCACGCATTTCGTTATTGTAGGAGTCAAAGTCAAATACATTTCTGACAACGTTGGCAAGCCCTTCTGTTGGAAATTTCTACAGAGGGGGAGAAAGAGGGAGAAGAGCACAAGATTAATGAGCTCCCCATGGACCGAGATGCAAGGTTTCATAGGTTCTGAGATGCACAAATGGAGTTCTAGGTAAGCAGGAACATCTCCACTCACTAAGATTCTTTGATAGGGATGCACATTGCAAGGCTGTTTCATACGCTGAAGTGAAGGCCCATTGCTGGCATCTGTCCGTCTCGAGAGACAATGGGAATGACCGTCTGGGGGTGAAGTCAAACTGCATTAACAGCACTGAAGGGACATCTCTAGGCATAGGCCTGGGTGGTGTGTATGGAGGTTCTGGGCTGCCCAGATGACAAGGCCCCCCTCTCAGCCTCACTGATGTGGTCCAAAAGAAAGCAGAGCAGTGTGTTTGGCACTCGTGGCCACAGGAGAAAGCAGCCGGCAAGCACCTTCCCATTACCAAGACAGCTCTGTTGAAAGCCGCCCTCCCTCCAGCTACTGACTATCACATCCCCTCTAGGTAGGCTCCCTGACTTGCTATGGACTTCGGTTGGTCGCCTCGGGACCTGGTAGGAATTTTTTCCAATTGGTAATTGGCATATACAGCCAGTTGGTTTTTCGCCTACCTCGTAGCAACTCCTCAGTATTGGCGGTTAGGCATTGGCAAGGGAGGGTTAAGTGGATGAGAGGGGGGAGGGAAGTGCCATCGCCTCCCCCACAGAAAAGGGTAGTCCGATAAAGGGCTCTGGGGGGGCGCTGCTCTGTCTGAAGCCTATGGAGGTATGGGCCCAAGGCACGCCCCCAAGCGGTGACTCCGGGGGAGTTCCTAGTTGACGTGCCTCAGCAGGGCTCCCCCTACTGGTGGTTAACCCTTGCCGGTCTTCATGCAATCGGGCTGGAGCCGGCTAGTCGATAGGGCCAATGCCTAAGCCAATACCGCTCATTCCTGTAATCCATAAAGTTGTGGCCTATTTTGCCCATTAACCTTATATTCTGGTGTCCTGTGTCTTTATTTCTTCCTGGGTGGGGGTGGGAACTCGCCACGCAACCAAGACAGCTCTGTTGAAAGCTGCCCTCCCTCCAGCTACTGACTATCACATCGCCACGGCCAGTGTGAGAAAGCGACAAACCAACAACAAACAACACAAGCAACACAATGACCAGTATGCTAGATAGCACTGCAATTCTTATTGCATAATATACATAATTTAGTACAAGCGGTGAAACTTTTTAGGCGTTCATGGTGCCGAAGTAGTAAGTGAATAACAACGTAGGACAGTGATCCCAGATAACCTGACTGTTTCGCTGGAATCTTCTTCAGCACAACCCACAGATTAGAAAAATGCACAAAGTTTTACCTCTTAGCCCACAGGATAGCATCTATTACTTTGTTTCAACTACAGACTTATTATACTTCTACGGACTTTCAAAGATTGACAGAGGTGTGTTCATTTGATTTCAAATATATTAGAGAATTTACAAGTGTACACATTTTGTTTTTGTTGTACTAAATTATGTATATTATGCAATAAGAATTGCAGTGCTATCTAGCATACTGGTCATCATGTTGCTTGTGTTGTTTGTTGTGTTAGGTTTGCAACACAGGGGTTTGTTGTTCTGTATTAGTGAGAGAAAGTGGCCCGCCTTCCGCTGTGGAAGCTCAATGATATGCTGAATAACAGAGAACTCCTTCCCAAGCTTCTTTTTTACCTCAGCCCTCCCAATCCCTATTCCTCTGGGGTCAAGCCTAAGAACATGGGATTATCTCATTTCTAATATTCATAAACTGCTCTGGAAGCCTTTGCCTCGAAAATGGGTAAATAGGTTATATTATTTCATTCTGAACAAGCTACAAAGAACACAGGATAATTTTTCTGAACCTTCTGTGAAGAGTATTTTAGGTTGCAACCCTAACATACTTCACAGGGAAAAAGCCCCATTGATCATAGCTGGCCGGACTTCTGAGTATATATGTAAAGCACTGGTTTTCAACCAGTGTCCTGTGGCACCCAGGGGTGATTTAAGGAACGTTCAGGGGTGCCCCGGGGGCATTGTTTCATTAACTTGCTGCCCATATCTTCCTGCATTATCTCTCTCTTTCTCGCTAAGCAAGATTCAGGGGAGCTGGCAGCTTTAACTTGCAGCCCATTATCTTCCTGAAATAAAACAGTGGCAAAAAAAGTGGAGAAACACTCTTGCATGACTGTTTTATCTTCTTAAAATCTCTCCCCCCCCCCAAAAAAAATCCTCCCCAGCTTCAGTAACTAACAGTTCCTTAGTTTTACACAGAGGGCTTGAAAAATGCAAGAAAATAGCAGGGTAGCTTGATGTTGCGTGTGCCCAGATGTGTGTGTGTGCTTTGCTGGCATGTGGCATCTGGAGGGATCAGAAGTTGCTTGGGGCTGATAAGATTAGCAACCCCTATTTTATGGGCTTGCTTCCACACAGAAGTGGCATGTCTACAAAGCGAATAAGAATAATATAATAATAATTTTTTATTTGTATCCCACCCTCCCCAGCCGAGGCCGGGCTCAGAGCGGCTAACATCATAAAAACATAAAACAGACATCAATCAATTAAAATGCATCTTAAAATTAATTCAGACAAGTTAAAATCTGGCCAGGTGACAATTATCAGGTTGGAATTGAGCGTGGTTAATACTTGCCAGGATCAACTGTTTACAGTGATCATACAAGGTCCTGTGAGTGGGTTGGGGCCCTCCTTCGGGCTTGTTTTATACAAAAGAAAGTCAAACTGCACCCTGCCCAAAGGCCTGGCGGAACAGCTCCGTCTTGCAGGCCCTGCGGAAAGATGTCAAATCCCGCAGGGCCCTGGTCCTTTATATACACAGGAAAGGAGGAATCATCTGGGCACATTTTCTCTTGAGTCCATCAGACCCCTGCTGGACTTGGTTTATCCACGACTAACCTAATTTCACTGCTTTCACTCTGGAACCAGCCACAGCCATTAAAACCACTTAGATGGTCCTACAAACATTTTAGGCTTTACCAATTTCAATCTACTCTTCCGAACGGTTTTTGCAAGTTACATTAGGAAGAACTTCCTGAACTTCCTGACAGTAAGAGCTGTTTGACAGTGGAATTTGCTGCCAAGGAGTGTGGTGGAGTCTCCTTCTTTGGAGGTCTTTAAGCAGAGGCTTGACAACCATATGTCAGGAGTGCTCTGATGGTGTTTCCTGCTTGGCAGGGGGTTGGACTCGATGGCCCTTGTGGTCTCTTCCAACTCTATGATTCTATGATTCTATTCTATGATTCTATGATTCTATGTCAATATTTATCAGTGGGTCTGTTCCAAATCGCGCCAGTAGCAGGAATGTATGTACTGTACCTGTAAATGCTTGACTATATTCACTACTTCTCTCGTTGAGTAAGGATAATTGATAATTCCTTGGTCGGCCAAGCTTCTGAGCTCTCCAAAAGCAGCCACCAGTTTCTGCAGGACTGGCTCAGGAACCGCGGGCCCGTATTGTCGAAGCATTGCAAGCTCAGAGCTCGGTTTGGGGTTATCAATTGCATGGCAGCTAAAAATATCTCCTGGAATAAACAAGCAAGGAATGGAGAGTTGTGGAAAGGTTGTAGCATACAGTAATGGAAACCCTGTAGCTATGCAAACTCCACAAAGCCAGGTGTTGTTGACACGGTTGCATTCCTGGACTGGAGGCGGAAGTCTCCACTGAACCTTCAACCATGTTGCCCCTTGTGCTATTCAAAGGGGTCTTTATGGCAAACGGTCCCTCTAGATACCTATTGCCCAGCTTCAACGCATCTTCGCGTATGGAAGTTCGCCAGCTGCTGAGTGCTCTCCTCAGTGGGGACCATAATCATTCAGTCCTCCACTTGAAAGTAGCTCAGGCAGAAAGGCTGGGAACGGATCCTTTGTATGAGATTTCCAAGAGCTAGCACCAGAGGAGATACTATGAGCTTTCAGCAACCTGCTGCCCTCCCAATGAGGTGCCAACTTCCATCAAGCCCATCCAACACTGAGGAAGGTTGGGGTACATGGACCCACAACAGTCACGGAATGCCAGTATTTGGGCCCCTTCCTCTCGTCCCAAATTACCTTATAACAATCCCAGAAACATAGTTCTTCTTGCTAACATTCTGAAAAAGTATGTTCTGCTATGTGCTTAGCCAAATACTTTAAAATTCAAGATCCCTTATTTTATGCAGCCACTTTCCCCAAAGAGTCCATGTGTAATTCTCTTCCAAGTTTCAGATGAGAAAATGACTGACACAGCCTCCTATCTGAAAGGCTGAACAGATTTCTTAAAAAACAGCCTGTTTCCTGTGTATCTTTTCTATCAGGACGACGAGTAAAGCAAAGGTTATATTTTCCATACTGAAGTCTGTAGAAAACACAGTTGTTGTTGGTTTATTAAGAACTGCACTTACCTAGTGTTCCAAAAAAGTCATTGCCCAAAAACGGAAATCCAGGTCTGTTTGCTAGAACGATCATTCTGAAATCTGGATGAATTACCACCACATTTTCTCTTCCACTCACACTAGCAGAGTCTAGAAAATACATATAATTGAATTAATATTTTCAACTTTACAAGGCACGGTTCAAGTAACAAAATTCATGCCCACTGAAAGGTTTTAAATAATCAATATATATGAAATGATCTGCTTAACTCTACAGTGAATATAACCCATTATCATTAAAATTTTGCAATAGAATACCCCAAAAGTACAAAAAGTATAAAATTATGCATTTTGTTATAAATACATTTATATACATATTTAAATATGGATTTTCATACAGATTTTTTAAAAAATACGTGGTGATTAGTGAATGACCACATGAAAAATTCATATGAACCATTAGCATTTTGATTCATCTATCCCTACATTTCCCTTGAACAATGTGTTACATTTCACAATTATTTAAATTTTACTGATTCTACAGCCTTCTCTCCTGCTGCCAAACTATTCCATTCAATTCCAGTCTAGAGAAACTCAACAGTTCAACTCATTCTTCATAAAAAGGTAGAGGATTTCACCTTTTCCAATCCTGCAGGCCCACTCCAAGCAAACTTACAACAAGCTAACTCTCTCTATTAACACTCTGATCTGAAACATTTATTAAACCACAGAACCTAAGGCTTGCCGATCAGAAGGTCGGCAGTTCAAATCCCCACGATGGGGTGAGCTCCCGTTGCTCGGTCCCTGCTCCTGCCAACCTAGAAGTTCAAAAGCATGAAGTGCAAGTAGATAATTAGGTACTGCTCCGGCGGGAAGGTAACCGGCGTTTCCGTGCGCTGCTCTGGTTAGCCAGAAGCGGCTTAGTCATGATGGCCACATGACCCGGAAGCTGTACTCCAGCTCCCTCGGCCAATAAAGCGAGATGAACACCGCAACCCCAGAGTCATCCATGACTAGACCTAACGGTCAGGGGTCCCTTTACCTTTACCTTATGTAATAAAACTAATATCCATTAGCGCAGCACAGTGATCACTACAGTCCAATATAAGCACTTCTTTGTTAGACAGGCGCACCTGGTTATAATTTTTTAGCTAACCAATACGCCAGTGCTCTGAATATAGCAGAGGTTTTCAACCTTTTTGAGTCCGCGGCTCCCTTGACCAACTACATTCTTTTTACAGTTCCCCTGTGGGGCTCAGGAACCCAGTTATGTCACCCCTTGCCTGCAGAGCTGGCAGCCTCTCAACCTTTTTTGAACCACCCCCCCATTGGAACACGCCTGTGGGGCACACACAGTCCCCAAATGGAGACAAACCTCTCCGGGCGTCTTCCTGATGAAGCGCAGCCCGGGACATCCATAAATCTTCAGCCCCGGTGCGCACATATCCAAAGATATGTGCACGCTCAATCAGCAGAGTATAGCAGAAACGAAGTGGAGCTTTGGTGTGTGCATTCTCAGTATTTATTAAGCAATATATACAGGACATATGGAAGGGAGAGCTGGACGATAAAGAAGGCTGATCGCCGAAGAATTGATGCTTTCGAATTATGGTGCTGGAGGAGACTCTTGAGAGTCCCATGGACTGCAAGAAGATCAAACCTCTCCATTCTGAAGGAAATCAGCCCTGAGTGCTCACTGGAAGGGCAGATCCTGAAGCTGAGGCTCCAATACGTTGGCCACCTCATGAGAAGAGAAGACTCCCTGGAAAAGACCCAGATGTTGGGAAAGATGGAGGGCACAAGGAGAAGGGGATGACAGAGGACGAGATGGTTGAACAGTGTTCTCGAAGCTACCAGCATGAGTTTGACTAAACTGCGGGAGGCAGTGGAAGATAGGAGTACCTGGTGTGCTCTGGTCCATGGGGTCACAAAAAGTCGGACACGACTAAATGACTAAACAACAACAACAACATATACAGGACAAAGCAATCATGGTGTCCTCTCACTTCTTCTTCTTCTTCTTCAAGAGAGAAAGTAAGTAAGTAAGTAAGTACAAAGTACAATACAGCGGAAGAGATAAGGCTGACTTCCGTTCTCATACTTTCCAAGCCTGGAAAGTAAACACAGACATGTGATATAGCAGTCAAACATCCAGCAACGGAGGAGTGAAATGCTGACACCCCGACCCCAAAGAGAGGTGCCTCGCAGAAGCACCATTAGCTGGCGGAGCTTATAGCCAGGGCTGCAGCAACAAACAGCTGTGAAAGCCTTTGGGAGGCAGAGACATGAAAGATGAAGGAGGGAAGGAAAGAGGGACAGAGGCCAGTGTTTGCTAATCTCATATATTTCCATTTTAATTCCCAAGGCATGAGGGGCTGAAAATTAAGAAGGCATGTCTGCTGGACTCTTGCTGGCAGAATGGAAGTGAGGGGCAAAGGGAACACAATCTGTGCTCCTCTGTTTTTTTTTAAATTTATTTTTTTAAAAACTGGAATGAACTCCAACAGTATTTGGGCTGCATTAATTTATTCCTTGAATAGAGGCATGTTGTGGGACTGGATCCTTTGGATCCATGGATTCCCTAGAATCCCTCCAAATCACCCTGGAAAATCCCCTCTTGAATTTACTGACTTCAGAGCTCTGACCTCAATAGGGCAAATGGCATGGAAGCTGCTGTGGTGGCAGCGAAATGGTAGCCGGGTCTCCTTTTCTGAAGGTGGAGCTGTCTTTCTGCCTCTGATGTGGCACATCCAATGCCTCTTATGGCCCCTGGGACCAAAGATTTGCAGAGCCAAGGTCTTTTCCCCAGAACTATTTAAAATAAACTTGCAAGCTATCCAGCCCAAGACCGCAGCACTGGCTGGTAGTATTAAAAATCTTTGTTTCCTAGGGCAATGCATTCTTATTATATAATTATTCTGATATTCTCAAATATACATTAATAATAAGAGACAGAGAACAAGAACCTAATGTACCGTCTGAGTGTTTGCAACCTAAAAGCTTTATTTTCTTTGGTAAACTATATTTAGATAGTAATTAATGACCAAAAGAAGGCCCAAACATTGGAGAAATGTGCTATTCATTAATCTGCAACAGATGCAAATGCTGGAATGCTGTGTTCAGGGGTTTACTTACTGGCAACAAGGCGCCTTCCATCAGACAGAATCATTTCTCCACTTTCCACCAAGGTTTTCAAAATGCAGGTGACATTTGTTGGGGCCTTGTCTGCCTCGTCAATAACCAGAATGTGTCCCTTTTTGACAGCTTTCACCTGGAAAATGTTAAACAGCACGCGCATTGGAAAAGAAACTGCACAACTCTGGATGCACTTTGATAAAGATGTAAATTTACTACCTGTGCATTTGTCATAGAGATCACATTTTGGATATTTAAGAGAATACATTCAATGGATTGTTTTCTCCACTTCTCTTGGCAGAAACTTCTGCCAGACCAAAGGCCATTTCAACTTACTTGTTTTGAGGGCTAGAAAACTTACTTTGAAAAGAAACAGGGCATTCTTAGATTTGTAACAATGTATTTCATCTCAAGATAAGGACTTGGACCCATCAATGAAATTTAGTGAAGAACTCATATATTCAAATGCACAAATGTGGACTTACTAGTGGAGAATCCTCATAGACAATATGACCATCTTTAACTGAAGGCTGAAGTGTAAGACTCTGCACGGTCGTGTCTCTAAGATAGCAAAACATGCACAAGTCAAAAAGGGAATTAATTTATTCTTATTTCAAAATATCAGACTCCATTTTACACTTAGAAACCACCTTAGAAAGCGCACTGAGCTTTAAGGAAAAATGCTTTCATCACAAAATTGGTGTGGAAAAGGGAACCGAAGTTAGTCTTATCAGGGATGTTATACTCTGTTTCACCACCTCGAGATGATTTTTCAGTTAGCAGTCCCTTGTTTTAATGAGTAGAAGAGATCATGCCATTCAGCATTATTTAACAACCTTTGAAAGCTTTAATCCCTTTCCAGTCAGAATCTTTCCACTCCAATGCATTATTTAGGACAAACAAGTTTCAATTTTGCAAAGTTGCCCCCTCTCCCCTGGTGTTCTCCATACACAATAAACCTAGAGAAACAATTTTGCTTGTCCATGCATGTTTTTTATGCCTGGGTTGCCAAGATGACACAAAGGGCTTCAGGGACGCCTGCTTTAACTCTGGACAAACCCCAAATCCCTCCAAGGCAACCTGTCTCAGCTTGGAATTCATCTAATGCACCCTCCTGTTCAACATAGAATCAGAGAATTGTAGAGTTGGAAGGTCCAACCCCCCTGGAAGGCAGGAATCTTTCATGGGAGAACGTGACTCCTCCTCTTCCCACCCACTGGATTGAATAACTCTAAAGAGAGCAAAAGAGCAGGACTTTCAGCCATTTTGCATTTGGTTTTTGGTTTTACAACATGGGCTGCAAAATGGCTGCTTCTGCAGCTTTCCTGAACGGAAGGGTCAAAAGTTCAAAATAATGTTCAAGGGGATGTTTTGCTGAGGAAATTCTGCACAGGATGTTAAAAGGTTTAGATCAGGAACGTGGCAATTAGGGGAAAGAAAAACTTAACAAACAGAAACTTACTCTCCTTTGGTGATTGGCTAAAAAGGTTGAAAAGGGGAGTGAAAATATTGTTTAGGAGTTGAGAAGAGGTAATTGCTGGACCTGATCAGCTGAAATGGCTGAATTGAAGAGGAAGGAAACAGGAGAGGATCATGAACAGACTCAGAAGCTAAACTGAGGGATACAAGTTGATAAGCATTGCTTCACCGAGGGAAACATACCAGAGCACATAGATCTGGGTGCATTCGTCTCTGTTTATTAGCTATTCATTCTTACGGGTGCCTGCTCAAACTATTCAACTCACCTTTTCCTAAAATTATGTTCTAAAAATGGTTTAATTTGTTGTCTTGTTAGAACTTTAAATGCAGCACATTTCCTGTGACCTTGCTATTCACTCCAACTCTAAATTGCTATATCACTCTATCAAGTATTGGAAGTAGGTTGGGCCAGCTAAAGGGATATTTACTGGAAGCATCTATAACATTTCACCAGCCATGTGTCTGAAAAATGCTGTATAATTTATAGCAAAGCCCAATAATTGAGATGATAAAAATTATATACCAAGTGTACAAAAAAAGCATCAAAGCTGTTTACAAGAACAAAACAGTAAAATGATCAGTAAAAACAGTTAACATCAGTTATTTAAAACATTTAAAAATGATTAAAATCAATGATAAGCTAAAAACAGGTTAAACAGGTGCCTACCTAATTGTGAAGTCATGTAAAATGACTACACAGCCCCTCTTACCTGTGCAGTTGCAAATACTCTCTTGGTCGATTAAGCAGGTGAAGGAATCTGTCAACCACCTTATTTTTCCCCACACCCTGCAGAAAGGAAAACCATTCCATTCCTTAACGGCAAATTAATGCAACAGGATTAAATATGCTTTACAACCAAGGAAAACCAAACCCCAACCATGGAAAAATGATTAACAAAAAGCAGTGCTCGTACTGTATGTAGAAACAACATTTTTTTTAGGCCTAGTTTGCACAACACAGTCAATAATGGCTTCCTGGGACTGTGGGAACATGCTGACTTCCGGAGAGGAGATCCTTCCCAGCGCCTGCAGTAGCCAACTCAAGGTTTGGCTTTGCATGTCAGCTGAAGCTGGGCTCATAGTAGTTAAGGACTTCCCTTGCAAACAACGAGCTGTAGGTTTGTCCTCAGCTACCATTCATGATGAAGGAGGAGAGCCCAGCCATAAGCCTGGGTTCAGATAAGTAGACTAAAGGTAAAGATAAAAGTACCCCTAACCATTAGGTCGAGTCGTGAACGACTCTGGGGTTACATGCTCATCTCGCTCTATCGGCCGAGGGAGCCGGCGTTTGTCCGCAGACAGTTTCCAGGTCATGTGGCCAGCATGACTAAGCTGCTTCTGGAGAACCAGAGCAGCGCACGGAAATGCTGTTTACCTTTCCGCCGGAGCGGTACCCATTTATCTACTTGCACTTTGACGTGCTTTCGATCTGCTAGGTTGGCAGGAGCAGGGACCGAACAACAGGAGCTCACCCCGTCGCAAGGATTCGAACCGCCAACCTTCTGATCGGCAAGCCCTAGGCTCTGTGGTTTAGACCACAGCGCCACCCGCGTCCAGACAGGGGCTTTGCTGCCACACTGCAAAGTAGTGGCTATCTCTTCCCTGGAGCCACACACTTTTTAACACCGCCCTAGTTTGCTTATTTTTCCAAAGCTCATTCTGAGACCCAAAGCTCATTCTGAGGGTAATATTCAAAATAATTTTACATCTTTGGATGCAAGGTTCCCCCCCCCCCCATGTACAGTAACAGTGGACTTTTCAGTGTCAGTCCTCTGTCAAATTATCCAGGTCAGAGCTTTCAATAAATACTAATTACAGTAAAACAAAAGCACACGCTAGCAAGAAATATTGGGTTGCTCTCACCTGGTTGCCAACCAAGAGAAGGTGTTCGCCAAGCAAAAAGTCTTTTAGCATATCTTCCATCACCATCATATGCTAGAGAGAAATTAAATCTGCTTTATAAAACTTGAAACAACTTAGTAATGGCAAGGCAGCAGGAAGAAGTATTCCAGAGCTCTTGAATGTACACGTGTAATTTTTTGTGGTGCTGGTGATGCACAGTTGCCACACCCATTTAGAGAAGCAATAATATATGTTTTCTTTAATTACACATTAATCTATATTGGTAAGAATTTAAGAACTGATGTTGATTGGTTCAGCTACAGGTATGTCTAGCTCAGTAATGAATCTATTGAATAATACTAAAACTGATACTGATAATAATAGAGGCATAATAACAGAGGCTGTCTTTAACGCACAGCAGAAAAATGCAAAATCCACTGCTAGGAAGGTGAACTAACACAGCAATGAATGGAAGAAGGAACCTCCCAATAAACTTCCTACGTGGCAAATGGGACTTGAGGTAAGTGAAGAAATCAGGAGTGCCACTTCTTGCTGGAAACAGCCACAGCAACCTTGTTAACAAAATTCTTCGGTGGCGATGTATTTATCTAGAACATTTGAATAACGTTTGCAGTGTTTTAATCACATTAGATAAGGATGGCGGAGAAATCTGATCGTAAGTATTTGTTATTAAAATCTTGGCCGAAATTGGTCAGTGAGAGATCAGCACTTACTTGGGTATTTTCATAGAAGAGAACATCGGGCACTTTCATCCTTTCCAAGGGGTTATAAATCGGGATTGTGACTGCCCCAATCTTCAGGGTTCCCGAGTCCACTTCACCTGGAGGTTTCATACAAACCACATATATGCACAACTATATCCATTCAAAGTGCAATGGAAATATTTGATTTTAGCAAAGTCATGGAGGTGGGGAACATAAGATACATTGAGACTTGTCATTATGAAAGCTTGAGGTATTTTGAAAAGGAGCATCTAGCTAGAGAACATGCTTATCAGGAGAGTTGTGCATTCTAAAACCTGGAAACTATTTAGAAACTAAATACTGTGTAGACATATGATGCCATGACTTGTCTTACATGCTTGTTACTACTTTTAGAAGAAGAAGAGTTTGGATTTGATACCCGCCTTTTACTCCCTTTAAGGAGTCTCAAAGCGGCTAATATTCTCCTTTCCCTTCCTCCCCGACAACAAACACTCTGAGGTAAGTGGGGCTGAGAGACTTCAAAGAAGTGTGACTAGCCCAAGGTCACCCAGCAGCTGCATGTAGAGGAGCGGAGAAGCGAACCCAGTTCACCAGATTACGAGTCTACTGCTCTTAACCACTGCACCACACCACTTTTAGAATTACAACAGATCTTCCAGGTAGCAAGAAAGGGGAAGAGGCCATGTTTTAGCGAAGTGGGAAAAATGCAGCCCCATGCAATGGCTCACTGGTCAATACGTTTTTTGGGGGGTGGGGGAAGGAAATGCGGTTCTGAGAAGAAAAAGGTGGTTCTGAGGTTCTGAGGTGTTTAAAGATCCGAATTGGAGGCCTGCTCTCAGCAGTGAGCTGTTCACTGTGCTTTGCCACTATTCTGGTTGGCCTGACTGCACTTGGATACTTTCTATTTAGCTTTTGGGTTTCCCTTTGCTTAGAGAAATAGCTGCCATAGCAAACCCTCAGAGTACAAGGGTACCAGTACGCAAATGGCATTCTAGGAGGAAGTGAGATTGAAACACCGAATCATGACCTGTTTATCCTAAAGTTCACTTTAACAGAAGAAGCAGGGGGTGGAGGGAGGGAGGGAGGGAGAGAGAGAGAGAGAGAGAGAGAGAGAGAGAGAGAGAGAACCGCAGCTTACAGCTATAGCCTTTCCCCTCCATTTCCAGAGTTTCAATGGGGCTTGCTTCAATTCCAGAGTCCAGCAGATTTTTATGTAAAGCAGATTTTGCAAGGTTGGGTAAAAACCTAATGAGACAGAAATGGGAGAAAGTTAACTTTCGGGTGGGTGGGGGGAATAATCAACAATATTTGCAATTCTCCAGTACGGAGAGACAAGACCATAGTGTGTTGTGGTCCTGGAATACCACCCACATATTTGCCTCAACCACTTCAGATGTGTCTACTGAAATGTGTTTGTGTTTGAGCATGGATCTTAGACACTATGTCATGGGAGTGTAAGCTCTCAGATTTCTTTTCATTGGTCTAATCCTTAATGCAGCGAAATGCGCCCAGATTATAATGAATACATTAGTTATTTAAAACAATACTAGCCAAGACAAAGGTCACAAACCTATTTACTGGGGGGCTGTAGAGCACAGGGCGGGAACCTCCAGTGTACAGACTGATCTTGGCCAGTGAGACAATTTCCCCCCAAGCCCCACCCTCCTGCCCATCAGGTGACATCACTGGGCGGCATCAGCTGATGGGCAGGAGGGCGGGGTTCAACCCAGTTGGGGTCTGCTTCTCAGACATGTTCCCTGCAAGGGAACAGGTGTGCCCAGCCAAAGTGAGATGGACTGAACCTCTGTTCACCGACTGATTCGATCATTTAATTTCTATACCGCTTAATATATTAAATACATCTCCAATATATACATCTCCAAGCAGTGTATATAAAAGAAGCAACAGCAGAGAGCTTGAACAAAATATTGCAAAAACACACATTACCTATAGAAACAAAGTTAAAGGTAAAGGGACCCCTGACCATTAGGTCCAGTCGCGGACGACTCTGGGGTTGCGGCGCTCATCTCACTTTACTGGCTGAGGGAGCCAGCGTACAGCTTCCGGGTCATGTGGCCAGCATGACTAAGCCACTTCTGGCAAATCCAGAGCAGCACACGGAAACGCCCACCGGAGTGGTACCTATTTATCTACTTGCACTATGACGTGCTTTCGAACTGCTTGGTGGGCAGGAGCAGGGACCGAGCAATGGGAGCTCACCCCGTCGCAGGGATTCGAACTGCCGACCTTCCGATCAGCAAGCCCTAGGCTCAGTGGTTTAGACCACAGCGCCACTTGCGTCCCAAGAAACAAAGTTACTAATATCTAAATCAATCTCAATTCCATTTCCTTCTGGTGCACCCTCCCTCTCAGCCACCAGGGCCCAAACAAACTCTCAGCTTACACACTAAGAGAAGACTTCCTGGAAACTTGCTTTCTATGGGCAGGCCAGGGTGGGTGGTCCTTGCTCAGGCTGCCCCTCGCTGGGTCCGACTCAGCTGCCCTCTCCACACCCAGGTCTACTATTCAGCTACTCTTTCTGGCAACCCTGACATTATTAGCTGTGAGATTATCTGATTGCATTACATGTTTTTAGATGTTTTCAATATTATAACACATTCTTAGATGTTTTCAAATGTTTTAAATGTGCTTTTATTTTATTTTTAATTGTATTGTTTTCTCGCTTTTGTGTTTGCTGCCTTCGACTGAGAGGAAGCATGATATATACAGTTAAGAAATAAACAAATAATTCTGTCTTTGCCCTTTTATCGTCATTAAGTGGAATTCAGTTAAACAAAAATGATCAAAAGCAATATCTGGAAATTTCAGATTGTTAATAAATAATGTATTTGTGTTGTTAAACTAAACACAATAATAATAATTCACAACCGTAAGAATGCAAAAATATACCTGGAAAGACAAGCTTTATTGACAGCATCATAGAGTCTTTCATTTGGGTACTGAGATAGACGCCGACAAATTCTCAATAGCTGCCGTGTAGACAAGGATGATGCCAACGACTGAGCCTAGCCAAAGTAAAATTAATTTTATTCAGCATTTCTTAATCAGTAACGCAGGAGGAAAACGGCTTAAATCCCAAGCTGCCCACAGTTATGCAACTGACACCAGAGCGCAATTCAATCACGTCTCTGCTTTAAGTGCTATATAACTTGAAAAAATCCACTATTTAAATAAAAAATACAGTCATACTTTGGGTTACAGATGCTTCAGGTTGCGTGTTTTCGGGTTGCGCACTGCGCCTAACCCAGAAGTACCGGAATGGGTTACTTCTGGGTTTTGGCAATCGCGCTTTGCACATGCGCAGAAGCACCAAATCGTGCACAGACGATTTGTGAACGCTGCACGTTGTGAACGTGCCTCCCGCATGGATCACGTTCACAACCCGAACGTCCGCTGTACCATAAATTCACAGTGATGTCAATTACTAGATCTCAACTGAGGAAGTTCAAGCATCAAGACTTGAGTATCAGCGCTAACATTAGATATGGTTAACCAGAATTCCCTCCTAAATGGAATTTGAAATCGGAGTTCGAAGCTGAATAGCAAACTCTGGTTGGCCTTAACAGTGCCAGTTCAATGCTCTACCAATGTCAATCCCATCAAGTGAAGTGAGTGGGGTGGTCTGGTGAAGAGCAAGTACGCAATCCCCTAGCCTGCTTCTGAGTCCTTAACTGTGGTTAAGAGATCATAGAATCATAGAGTTGGAAGAGACCACAAGGGCCATCGAGTCCAACCCCCTGCCAAGCAGGAAACACCATCAGAGCACTCCTGACATATGGTTGTCAAGCCTCTGCTTAAAGACCTCCAAAGAAGGAGACTCCACCACACTCCTTGGCAGCAAATTCCACTGTCAAACAGCTCTTACTGTCAGGAAGTTCTTCCTAATGTTTAGGTGGAATCTTCTTTCTTGTAGTTTGGATCCATTGCTCCGTGTCCGCTTCTCTGGAGCAGCAGAAAACAACCTTTCTCCCTCCTCTATGTGACATCCTTTTATATATTTGAACATGGCTATCATATCACCCCTTAACCTCCTCTTCTCCAGGCTAAACATGCCCAGCTCCCTTAGCCGTTCCTCATAAGGCATCGTTTCCATCGTTTCCCCAGATCCCTGGGGTTATGCCAGCATGATAAACTATAAGAACAATCCATCCAACTCCAGATGTTACATGGTGAGTACAGCACAATGGGAACCAGTAAGGAGATAGCAGCAAACATACTGCAGCTTCTCTCTCAAATACCTGCACTAACAGAGCAATACCATTTGTAGTGCTTTCCAAAGCCATAGTGTTTGGGATAATAATAATAATAATAATAATAATAATAATAATAATATTTTTAATATTTATACCCCGCCCTTCCTGGTTTTAAAAACCAGGCTCAGGACGGCTAACAGCAAATATAAAACACTGATTAAAATGTGACTTAAAAACAGCATAAAACAGCATAAAATACAACATAAAATGCGGCATCAGTATCAGTAAAATTCAGGGGTCATTTTGGAGAAAGGAAAAAAAAACCCCCAGTCAGTAGACATCAAATGATCATCAGGGCTAACTGGCCAAGTTGGTCCTACTAGGGCCAGCAAGGGGAACAGGGAAGAATTTAAATGTGGGGTCCCAAAAAGGGTTTCTTCACAGAAGAGGAAAGGGGAAAAGGGAAGAGAGAATTGGGCTAATTCAAATTGAAGCCCAGGCGGAATAGCTCTGTACAGAGCATTCCACCAGGTCGGAGATGTCACTGAAAAAGCCCTGGCCCTGGAGGAAGATAGTCTGGTTTCCTTAGGGCCCGGGACCTTTAAGCTATTATTATTCATGGACCTTAGGGTCCTCTGTGGGACATACCAGGAGAGGCAGTCCCATAAGTACGAGGGTCCTAGGCCGCATAGGGCTTTAAAGGTCAAAACCAGCACCTTAAACCTGACCCTATATATTTGTGGCTTAGAAGAGACACTGAATTCATTTATACAGTTGGCTCTCACTCTCCTCAAAAAGCAAATTTGCACTAGTTAGCTTTTAAAATATATATATATAAGTTAACACTGCAGAGCAGAACTGCTCACAAATTCACATCCATTTGTTCTCAGCAAACTTTGCTTTTCTCCAATGGCCAAGATGCAAGCAAATTACAACTATTTACATGAGCATTTTCTAGATGGAACAGAAAGAGACTCTGGAAAATGTAACATCTGGCAGGGACATTCAAGTTCAAGATATAGGTCATGTTTAAAAGCAAGAGTAATTTGTGTATTGAACAGGTTAGCAAGCAAGTTCATGCCCTGTCATTATCGCCTTACACAAGGGTAAACATGCATCTGGAACCCTATGGGGGGGGGGTGAGCAGCTATATTCTCTCCCTGACGCTGCATGAGCCATCAAGGATTGTATACCTAAGGCGTACATTTCAACTCGCAGCACAAGAGGGCTATTTATATCTTTCTGCAGATGTCCTGTCACTATTCATCTGTAGGAATCGCCCCTCGGTCCGAACTGTGACTCACTTCTGACGTGCAGGCCTCTGGACATTTTGAAATTTCAAAACGTTATCCCTGTGGAGAGGCCCCACTTTTCAGACTCACTGTATGTCAGCAATCTGTATCTATGTGAAGGGCCACAGAGATTTTCTTTTTAGATATAGCAGATTTGGGTGCTAATTAGGCATTAAATGAATAATACATTGATTTTTTTTTGCCCTTCAAAACTACAGTGGTACCTCGGGTCACATACACTTCAGGTTACAGACGCTTCAGGTTACACACTCCGCTAACCCAGAAATAGTGCTTCAGGTTAAGAACTTTGCTTCAGGATAAGAACAGAAATTGTGCTCTGGCGGCGCAGCAGCAGCAGGAGGCCCCATTAGCTAAAGTGGTGCTTCAGGTTAATAACAGTTTCAGGTTAAGTACAGACCTCCAGAACGAATTAAGTACTTAACCCGAGGTACCACTGTACCAGCATCCAAGACACGTAATATGTAATCATTTCCTCTTAAATGCAGACATAGAATGAATGGTAGTCAAATAATACAGTTTCTTCTAGGTCCTAGTTTCACTGGGAATGTCAATATGCAGAGGGTCATCAATGAACTTCTAAGTGCCCTCTCTGACCGAGGGCAGTCCAATGGGCTCCTTTGATTTCTGAGGAATTCTGGGTAATGAAGGGTGCTGGATAATGGCTAGAGCGCAGGTGGCACAAGTCTCAGTGGGAATCTGATTGAATACAGGTACAAATACACAGGTCATAGGTCAGTGGTGGCAGCAAAGAGAACAACCTCTCAGTCCCTATGGCTTCTTGAGAATTGCCCAGTAGGGGTGTTTGGAGCGGCAAATTGACTGGTCCAGACCAGAACTGTATCATTAATGGGCCACTCACAGACTCCTGTTGAGGCGTAAAGGGCGTGGAGTGAAAAATCATTCAGATCCATGATGCCACAATTAGTGGAGGTCTTTGGAGCACAGTTGCAGCCTGTGGCATCAGCTTAAGTGGTTGTAGCCTCAGGATGTCTACAGGACACTTGCAACAGTGAGGCAGACTGTGTGCCCTCTCCATCCATGCCCATTAGGGCTGGTAAAATCCAGGAGGGGGATTGGCTGGATGGGTCCAAGGAGTGGATGATGCCCACTCCATAAAGTGGCAGTGGTGGAGTCTCCTGAAGAGGTCCCTCCTGGATCAAGATTATAGAAAACTTCCTCTTTCTGGGAAAGACGGTCAAGAGGGATGTGGCCGGCCAGCTCTTGGCATGCCTGGAGAAAGCAGATTATCTGCACTCATTCAGCCAGGTTTCGGACCTAGTTTTAACACCAACCCTGTGGATTCTCTCCTCTCTCAAAGGCACTACTCAGGGGAGGCACTCCTCCTACTCAAAGGATCACCACCAGAAAGTGGTCCTTGAAGACCGTGGCTCAGTCCCATGGCTTTGAGTTGTAGGGTCCGTCAAGGGACCATTCCCTCCCTTATGCAATTCAACAACCATATGAAACCATTGGGAGCCGTCATCTGCAGATCTAGGCCACGGAGTCCTCTACTTCTCCGTTCCATCTGAATTAGGGGAGGCTGTGATTAAGTGTGATTAGGGGAGGCTGTGAAGGTGTGACTGGTGTTGGGAGGCAGTGATGGGCTGAATGAGAGCAATAAACTGAGGCTGTAAGAGAGAGGCGTGGGGGTGGGGCTGCTTCTGTGTCCAGGAATTAGCTGTTCTGGGAAGGACTGCACTTCCCCCTTGAATGAACTGGGTGTTTATGCCCACCTTAGGTAAGCTTGTCTACAGTGTACGGTTGTTCCTGGACCAGAAGAGCCTCAGTTGTCCATACTCTGGTGACCTCCCACCAGGACTACTGCAACATGGGACTCTCCTTGAAGTCAGTCTGAAGGCTACAGCTGCTAGGCTGGTAAGTGGGGCATTTGCTGATGGTCTTGCAGTAGTGCTGTTATTCTAGTCAAAACACAGGACGCGAGAAAGAAGAAGGAAAGCAACACGGAACAATTGAAATTCGAATGGTTGGACTCACAGTGGGATCATTTGTCTCGCGGAGTTTGTGTGCTAGTTTCAACAGCTGCTCCACTGCAGCACTAGGAACATTTGGAACCTGAAAAAAATATATAAATATAAAATATGGCTAGCACTATATACAGTTTGTGTCTCGCAAGACGAAATTAATCCGTTCCGCGAGTCTCTTCGTCTTGCGGTTTTTCGTCTTGCGAAGCACGGCTATTAGCGGCTTAGCGGCTATTAACGGCTTAGCGGCTATTAACGGCTTAGCGGCTTTAAGAAAAAGGAAACAAACTCGCAAGAACTCGCAAGACATTTCGTCTTGCGAAGCAAGCCCATAGGGAAATTCGTCTTGCGGAACGACTCAAAAAACGCAAAACCCTTTCGTCTAGCGAGTTTTTCGTCTTGCGAGGCATTCGTCTTGCGGGGCACCACTGTAATTCATTCATCATCTGAGTGCTGACATTGCCAAAATGGCATCATCCACAGAGTAGCATCAGCAGCCTTGGAAAATCCCAAAGTTTACAGAACTATAACGTGGGGGATGGGGGGTGGATAAACTTAGGAGGAAAGACACCCCCCCCAAAAAAAACCCCAGATCTCTGAGGACAAACCATGCTCAGTAGCCACAGAACAGAGAATGTCTGTTTCATGAAGGGGGAACCACAAATGGGGAAGGAGGCCATGGAAGTAGAAGAGAGTAATCTGGAAAGAGACAGGCCTGCTTGCCTGTTCGATAGGCACTCTGGACAGCAGACTGTCCACACTGTCCACCACACTGCAACATTTTGTTGCTGATCCCTCTTGTATACATGAAATACACATACACACCATGCGTGTATTTCTGTTTATATATGATCTATTCATTTTCACAGTATAAATGAGAGGGCAGAACTCAAAAAAACCCCTTTGTGCAGCACCTTGCACACCTCCTGCTTCTCAAAAAGCTGAGAACGGGGGGGAGGGGGGGGAGAAAGAAAGAAAGGGCATTGGGTAGCCATTCAAAGGACTCCCTGAATGGCCACCCAAAGCCAAGCAGCAAGGCAAAGTTTTGCAAATACTTACCACCCCTTTAATAACTTTAATTTCTTCACTCTTGTTCAGAGGCTTTATGTCATGGAAAAGGAAAAGCGTCAAGAGCTCTGGGCCCAGCCATTGCTGCGTGGAGCTTCCTATGACAGGTGGCTCTGCTAAGGCAATTATTCTAAAGGAAGGTTGAATGGGGAAAATGGACCTGCGAGAAAATGGTAAGTTTTAGATGTGCCATCTTGCCCAGGCCTGAAGAACACCTGAACGCAGCTCAAAAGCTCGTTTTGCTTTCGCATTCCCACTCACTGCATGGTCCAAGAGGCGGCAATGTCTACATTATTCTGTTTTTTACTTTGTCGGACCAACACAGTATGGCAGCATTCTGAACAAGAATGGTACGTTAGACATCACTGCTTGGAAAGTGGCGGTTACAAAAAAAATCTAGTATTTCAAAGGCTAAGCTGAGAACTGCCTGCTGAAAACACTCAGATCAAAATGCTGGTGGTGACATCAGTTATTTTTAGCTTAAAGTCATAAGCCTCAAAGCTAATCCCTGACTGATAAAACACAAACAACAAAGCGTCTGAAATAAATAATGTGAAACGGGAATAATGAATATGCAATTGTCAAAATGTAGGAAACCAGCAAGTGTCGAAGAAAAGCAACCATGCTTATTACAGAAAGAACTTTTGTAGGGCAGCTGTCTTCACATTTCTATTTTATACACTTCTATTTTCACTAGTAAACAGGATAACATGCTCATTTCTGAAACTCATTCCAATCCCTCTGTGTGATGACTTGTGTCAGGAAATGCAGGGACTCTGGCAGTCAGTTCCCTTACAGGCTGCATTGCACTAATAGGGCAAGTGGCCTTCAAAAAGAAAAAGATTCCCGTGGTAAAATATCTGTGAGACACTGGTGCAAAGCTTCAGCGATATGCAGCCTCATCACATTCATGAGTCACTGCCAGTTAGCTACAGATCACAGCAAGTCCATGGCTCCTCATGCACTGCAAATATGCTACAAACACACATACTGGATGCTAATATTTAAAAAAAAATAGGGGAAAAGTTATGAGAAGGAAAATACCCAGGATTTTAAACAAGCTATTGTGCTTCTTGGGACGAGGGTGGCGCTGTGGGTTAAACCACAGAGCCTAGGACTTGCCGATCAGAAGGTCGGCGGTTTGAATCCCCGCGACAGAGTGAGCTCCCATTGCTCGGTCCCTGCTCCTGCCAACCTAGCAGTTTGAAAGCACCTCAAAGTGCAAGTAGATAAATAGTTGCCGCTCCGGCGGGAAGGTAAACGGCGTTTCCGTGTGCTGCTCTGGTTCGCCAGAAGCGGCTTAGTCATGCTGGCCACATGACCCGGAAGCTGTCTGCAGACAAACGCTGGCTCCTTTGGCCAATAAAGCGAGATGAGCACCGCAACCCCAGAGTCAGTCACGACTGGACCTAATGGTCAGGGGTCCCTTTACCTTTACCTTTATTGTGCTTCTTGTGGCCACAGAGCATTCTATGAAGCATGGCACTGTTATGCAGTGGTCCCGCTCCTTCCTCCTGGGCAGTGTCCAGAAAGTAGTGGGGGGTCTCATTTCTGGGGTGCCTCAGGGTTCCGTCCTCTCCCCCATGCTTTTTAACAAATGAAACTGCTGGGAAACTGCTGGGAGGTATCATCACAGGGTTTGGGCTGGGTGTTCATGGTTGTGGGGTGGGTGGCAGTCAACAGATTGAGGTTGAATCCCAACAAGAAAGAAGTACTGGTTCTGGGAGACAGGAGGTGGGGCAGGTGTAGGGGATTCCCTGTTCCTGAATGGGGCAACTGTGCCCCCTAAAGGACCAGGTGCGCAGTCATTTTGGACTCACAGCTGTCCGTGGAGGCACAGGTCACTTCTGTGTCCAGGGCAAACTACTGGTCTATGACCATAATAAACTGATTAAACTGATTGTGTCCAGGGCAGCTGTCTATCAGCTCCATCTGGCACAATAGCTGAGACCCTCCCTGCCTGTGCACTGTCTTGCCCGGGTACATGCCCCGGTTATCTCCCTCTTGGACTACTGCAACACACGTGAGACTACATTTGAAGGTGACTCAGAAACTACAGCTAATCCAGAATGTGGCTGCCAGACTGGTGACTGGGAGTGGCCACCGGGGCCATATAACACTGGACCTAAAAGATCTACATAGGCTCCCAGTACGTTTCCAAGCACAATTCAAAGTGTTGGCGCTGACCTTTAAAGCCCTAAATGGCTTCAGCCCTGAATACCTGAAGGAGCGTCTCCACCCCCATTGCTCAGCCCAGACACTGAGGTCCAGCTCCGAGGGTCTTCTGGCAGTCTCCTCCCTGCGAGAAATGAAGTTACAGGGAACCAGACAGAGGGCCTTCTTGGCAGGGGTGTCTGCCCTGTGGAACACCCTCCCATCAGATGTCAAGGAAATAAACAACTACCTGACTTTTAGAGGACATCTGAAGGCAGCCCTATATAGGGAAGTTTGATAATGTTTGATGTTTTACTGTGTCTGATGCTTTAATCTGTTGGAAGCCAACCAGAGTGGCCGGGACAACACAGTCAGATGGGTGGCAAACAAACATTAATCTTCATCATCATCATCACCACCACCACCCAGCAGGCTACCTTTGTTGTAGTTCCTCATCGGAGAGCTGTAGATCTTCTTTCAACTTCTGATATCTCTCATTCCTGAGCAATCTAGTGCCATCATACAGAGTAATGTCTCTGTCATGAATCAACCTGCACAGGATTTTACAAAAAAGGGGGCAATAAGCAAGTTAGAGGATCTGTTCTAATAATCAGTACTTGTTAATTAGAGAAACACTTCATGCTTGCCCTTTCTGCCACTGACCATCATAGCAATTCCTTCATGTGTTGAAATATCCACGCATAAAACAAACCTACAGGTGAACATGAATGAGTTGAGGGCCATCTTCCAATCTGAACACATTTTCTGAAGGATGCAATTTACAGCGAAAGTTCAGAATCAGAGTTATAGAATCATAGAATCATAGAATCATAGAGTTGGAAGAGACCACAAGGGCCATCGAGTCCAACCCCCTGCCAAGCAGGAAACTCTGATCGACAACATCCAACTAGGACAAGGAATTAACACTTGCTTTTTAAATTATGCATGAAGTATAATGTCACTAATAATTTTGCTCTCCTATCTTTTGAAAGAATGTAGTATTGAACAGTATAACAATACGTTTTAAATGAACAAAATTAAATATATGGGCTAGGACACAGAGATGTCCAGTCTGCACATGCATCCATTGCCCAGGGGTTTCTCTTTCAAAAGACAACTTCAAATTGCTCTTTAAAGCTTCCATACAGGAAAAGCACTTTGAAAATCTGGAGCAAGCACTCTAGGGGAAAATAAGGGCTAAAAATATCCTACCCACAACACAGCTTCCTGTTCCCCCCCAAATTCCAAGGTGTTAACAACAACATAACCAGTACAAATTCCAAAATGTGATTTAAAGGAAAGCATAGCAATATTAACATATAACTGAAGGCAAATTCACAGAATCAGTGGTGTTAACTAAATGTACACACCGAACATTTTCACACTTTATTATCACCATCACAGATAAATCTCATTTCAATCCCTAATGAAACAATTTAGAATGACGACGTCTAGAGGGGCAGTAAGAAACCAACAGCGAATTCAGAAGACTACAGCTCCAGTTATGAAACAACCATTTCATACTGAAAGAGTTAATGCTATGGCCTGGGGCCACTTTAGACTTTACATGGAAGAATTCTTTCCTGTGTATATGCTACATGCCCACATGAGGAATATGAAAACACAGGAAGATTGTACTTCAGGATAACCATAGGGAGTCATATGCCAGGACTGCCACAACTAATGGAATTCGCTTTGTATGTGCTCAGTCTGGTTTCTAGATTCAGCCTTTATCTTAATTAAATGTTACAGTGTGGAATATTCCTACGTGTAATTCACATATTTCCATTCAATGTGAGCATCAGATGCAAAACCTAGCCATACACTTTCCATCATGTTTAACAACTTAAGCAACCTAAGGATAACTCAGGACCAAAATGGATGTGGCATCTGTCATGTGGTTTGGTCTTGTGTGGCAGTTTAAAAAAGCAAAACAAAATCAGTCATGGTAGGATTAGTAGAGCTAGATTAGGTCCATTGTGTGGAGGTAAAGGACCCCGACAGTTAAGCCCAGTCACGAATGACTCTGGGGTTGTGGCGCTCATCTTGCTTTACTGGCCGAGGGAGCCGGCGTTTGTACACAGACAGTTTTTCCAGGTCATGTGGCCAGCATGACTAAGCCGCTTCTGGCGAACCAGAGCAGCGCATGGAAACGCTGTTTACCTTCCTGCCAGAGTGGTACCTATTTATCTACTTGCACTTGGACATGCTTTTGAACAGCTAGGTTGGCAGGAGCTGCGACCGAGCAACGGGAGCTCACCCCATTGCGGGGATTCGAACCGCCGACCTTCTGATCGGCGAGCCCAAGAGGCTCAGTGGTTTAGACCACAGCGCCACCTGCGCCCCCAATTCCCCCCCCCAATTTTTTTTATTGGTTTTCACAACATTATAAACGAACAAACAAACATAAATCATAGCCTTATTAAAAATTACACTTATTAACATTGTTAAGTGACTTCCTCGCTTCCCCTTGATTGAATTTCATTGCATGTCCTTTTAATGGTTTTCCAAATCACAGTTCTTAAAAAAAAAATAACTTAAACATTAACATCCTTAGATCTTCACATTGTGAAATTAAACATATTAATTCATCACTTAACTTAAATAAAATCCTAAGCTGTTTTCAGTTAATTTAACTTAAAGCGCCCCTAATTCTGAAGCACAATCTTCCTGTGTTTTCATATTCCTCATGTGGGCATGTAGCATATACACAGGAAAGACATTTGTGTGGAGGGAGGTGCTTAAATCCTATGCCCCGCCTGTAGTGCCATTTAAAAGGGCTATGGCAGGGCAACAGTTAAAGCCCCCTCCCTCCACATTCTGTATCGAGATCACCCTTCTTCAGAACTGGCAATTCTGCTTTTCAAATCAGCCGTGTAAGGCCAACCTATGTGGCAGACATGACATATGCTGTGCTCCTCAGTCCTTTTTTTGCCAACCTATTTATTTATAGTATTTTGAGTGAACTGCCTTTTTATGGCCAACTCGCACTTGCTGGCAGCTCCCCTTGTGCCTTGGAAGCATGTGGGACTGCAAGCAGGCTGTGTTTGTGCAGAAACAACATTTCCCTGAACTGGGGGCTCTCTGTGGGGCTGGTATCCGAGGCTGCACAGCTCCAATGACTTGAAAAAATATCGCCCAGACTCCATAATTCGTGACTGGTCCACCAAATTGGTGACTCTTCACAAGCACTGTCAGAATCTTCCAGAAACACTCCTGCAGAAGCCCCGGTGAGTGTGGACCTGTCCTGACAAGACAGAAGTACTGTTTTGGGGGGACAGGGTGGGTGTGTGTGGGGGAATTCCCTGGTCCTGAATGGGGTAACTGTGCCCCTGAAGGACCAGGTGCGCAGCCTGGGAGTCATTTTGGACTCACAGCTGTCCATGGAGGTGCAGGTTAATTCTGTGTCCAGGGTGGCTGTCTACCAGCTCCACCTGGTATGCAGGTTAAGACCCTACCTGCCCGCAGACTGTCTCACCAGAGTGGTGCATGCTCTAGTTATCTCCCGCTTGGACTACTGCAACACACTCTACGTGGGCTACCTTTGAAGGTGACCCGGAAACTCGGTGACTCCTGAAGGAGCGTCTCCACCCCCATCGTTCAGCCCGGCCACTGACATCCAGCGCCGAGGGCCTTCTGGCGGTTCCCTCATTGCGAGAAGTAAGGTTACAGGGAACCAGACAGAGGGCCTTCTTGGTAGTGGCGCCCACCCTGTCGAACAACCTCCCTTCAGATGTGAAGCAAATAAGCAGCTATCCTATCTTTAAAAGACATCTGAAGGGAGCCTTGTTCAGGGAAGTTTTTAATATTTAACACTGTACTGTTTTTAACACTTGATTGGGAGCCGCCCAGAGTGGCTGGGGAAACTCAGCCAGATGGGCGGGTATAAATAAATTATTATTATTATTATTATTATTATTACTACTACTTCTTAAAGCCTCGGTCGCTGCATCCTTCATTAACACCCCACAGATCTATTCCTCTAGGACTGTCACACTGACCTTTGCAGAACAGCGAGGGTTCCTGGGTTGACACGGTGAATCCCATCCAGAATAACAAGCTTCCCCTCCAGGGCGGCTGTTATAAGTGCAGATGGTCTCCAGGAAGTGTCCCCATTAGGGAGAGTGTACCTTTGCTGCAGTAGATCTCGGGCTGTCATATCCTATGAGTAACAACAGCAGAAGCAAACTCCTATTAGTGTGAGTCTCAGTAATACAAAGCATTTATTTTGCTGGCACTGTAATATTTTGCTTTAGTCGACACATCAAAAAGGGAATTGTGATTGTTTTAGCCGTGGATTTATGCACACATAAAATGTGCAATAAACATATAAGCATGCTAAAGCTTTGTCTCCAGAACAGGCAACAAGCATTGCCTCAAATGAAATGATGTTGCCAGTTAATGCAAAATACTGTTTTAGTCCTGGTGCAGTTTAAGGATTGACTTCTCTTTTCTGTAATCCATCATCCTTACTTAGTTGCCGCTACTACCTAGGCATCAACCCATGTCTTCAATAGGCAATACCAAGAACAGAGCAGTAGAAAAGAAAAACTGGTTTCTAAGCAACTTCAGTGTACGATAGTGTTACTATGTCATCTTATTTTCCCTTATCCAGGTCCAGGGCTCCCACAGCCTCTCCTGATTCAGACGCCATCCAAAAAGCAGAGCTGAGTGCTATCAGAACACTGATGAAACTTGGTCCCTAAGCCCTTCATACAGATATTTTATGGTTCTGGTGATAAAATGGTGCCAAGCTATGTAGGCTGCACCGGACCACCTTAACACAAACCCAACTTTGTTGTTTTAAAGTAAACATAAAAGCAACCTAAACTATTAACATGCAGATTTATTTTGAAAATGAAATCAGCTCCAGTTGCCAACAGATCGCAGAATCAATGGCCTACTTTTCACTGCGGTGCCTGGGCTGCAGGTGGGATCTCACATTATTCTTCTGTATAAAAACATCCCTGCAGCACAGGAACCATAGAGAATAGACTACAATTCTTCCCCCAGGCATCCATTTTCTCAGGGCATTGACTTTTGAAGGGACTTCAACTGCATGGCATCTGCAATGGTATAGCCTGGTCCAACCCCCTTAGTAAGGAATAGGGTAACACCATAAGAGATGAACGACAATCCAAATGCAACCCTCTGGTCAGTGTGTGACAAGCCTGGGAGGCCAAGGGTTGGGGTATCAATAAACTTACCTGATATAGCATGACAGGTTCTATGTTATACCCTAATGTAGCTGCAAATTCCTTAGCAAGAACTGTTTTTCCACAACCCTGGAGGGGGAAAGGAGAACAAGCTGATTGAAGCAGCTGTATGTTCAACCTGAGCAAGTAACAATTACTTCCAGGTGAGGCGCACAATAGAAACCAGTCTGTGATAAATTAGTATGGGCAGTTCCCCCACCCTCACCAAATGGTATAAGTTTGTGTCTATCACGATGCTGCATTAAATTTAGCGCTATGTACAGTTACATTAGGGATGCGGGTGGTGCTGTGGTCTAAACCACTGAGCCTAGGGCTTGCTGATCAGAAGGTTGGCGGTTCGAATCCCAGTGACGGGGTGAGCTCCCATTGCTCGGTCCCTGCTCCTGCCAACCTAGCAGTTCGAAATCATATCAAAGTGCAAGTAGATAAATAGGTACCGCTCTGGCGGGAAGGTAAACAGCGTTTCCGTGTGCTGCTCTGGTTCGCCAGAAGTGGCTTAGTCATGCTGGCCACATGACCCGGAAGCTGTACGCCGGCTCCCTCGGCCAATAAAGCGAGATGAGCGCTGCAACCCCAGAGTTGGCCACGACTGGACCTAACGGTCAGGGGTACCTTTTCAGTTACATTATGTCACTTACTTTTTCTCCAATCAAACAGATATCTTTAACCATGTGGGACAATATCATTTCTGCCAATTGCTGTTCATGGCTGGGAGTCTTAATGAAATTGTCTGTCCCAGAATGCAGGTTTAGTGGCCTAGTTCCAGCAGGAACCTAAAAGACAGATAGCACTATGTTAAGTATAATTGGTTTAATTCACACAGAAATGGTGAATACCTGTGTATTGGTGAAAAGGTTTAACATGGGGGTTTTCCATGGGGCTATATTAAAGCTAAGAAAGTATCTCTGAGCTCTAGCTGAATTGATAATTAACTGTAGTTCTCTAGTAGCTAACATGTGAGTGAGTAACCTTAGATCAGGTGATTAAGGTACTGAGCTGCAAATCTGCCATCTTTGGAGGGTGGTGGCTGGAATCGTTTGTTCTCTCAGACTCTATGGAGTAAAGATGTGTAAAAGACTCTCCTGAAGGGAGAGAAAACAGCTCCAGGGAAAATGGAAGGTGGAATGTAGGCAATGCCTCTCTCTCTCTCTCTCTCTCTCTCTCTCTGTGTGTGTGTGTGTGTGTGTCTGTGAGAGAGAGAGTGAGCAAGCACTACGTTTGTCAGCTCTCATTATAAGCTTATTTTATTTCTAAGAAGATGCTGAGCCTCTGCTGGATATGCACAAGATATGAAACTGTTTTGATGTATCATTTACTTTTTTGTGTGTTATATTTTAAAGAACATTCTGCAAGTAAAATTTTGAATAATATTCATGGGTCTGGACCATGCTTCATTCCAAAAGCACTCTGTTTCCATGCATCCCTTTGCTTCAAACTGTGCAATATTAATATCTGTAATATGCTAACAACACATAGCTCTCTTTGCTCAAGCATTCACTCCAGAAAACAAATTCAGACATTTGCCTGTCAAATAATATGAAGGTAACTTGTTTCCTGAACAATGAACAAACCATATGTACGTCTCCATCCATAGCTCAGCTTAAGTCTTTCTTACTGACTGCTGTATCATCAAACAATAAACTATGGTTTAGCACTACAAGGCTGCTCCACAGCAAGCTTCCTGCTTATGCACGCACACATAAGCACCTGGAACTGCCACAATTATGATTTTGGAAGTTTTCACTCCTGTTTCAGAATAACCATAACTTGTCATGACACCCAAGCAAGTCTGTCAGCATCCCAGTTTACAGGAATGCAACATATTGTTGATTTTTATGTCAAATTCTGGGAAAGTCAGAAATGAAAGGAAGGCAGCAACATAGCAATACATGTGCAATAAAGCTTATCCTCCCACTTGTTAAACAATTAAATAGTTACCTGAAATGTCACAGCTTCCCCGGCTATTTGAATTGTCACGTCAGCATGCAAAATCTTGCCATCCTCCCTCTTGTTCACATTTATAACTCTTGTAGGTACAACAGGTCTTTCTGAATCCTGGAGCTCAAATCGCTAAGAAAGAGGAAGGAATAGAAGGTCTAGATTATTCTATTTGTGAAAGTATTTTCAGCCCCAAACTCCTCCACCTTGTTTGGTCCTTAGTCTGGGCTTGGCCACCATGCTGAACTTGCACCAATGTTACAGGATCACCAAGAGCCGTGGGCAAATATTATTATTATTTATTAAATTTGTTAGTCACTTTCTCTTGCCCAGGGAAACCCAGAGGGACTTACAGTCAAATAGAGAGACCCAGCGTCTAGAAGTTGCCCCTGCCCAGTGACAGTGTTCATGGGGGATAAAGAAGGGACATGAGAAACCTGGGATGGCCTCATGGGACAGATCACAACACTGGCTGCAGTCACATAAAGGGTGAGGATTACATCAGACAGCTTCCATAATGGCTAGCTGTATGTTGTCTGCTCCTTTAACCAGACCTCCTGTAGACATGACACCCCCCCACACACAACAAAAGAGACTCAGGTGGAAATAGTATTTGTTTTCTGTTAAAGAACAGATCTAATAGCAAAATGATGCCTCATAACTAGGAAAAGTAAAATGATCCCACAATGTATGATTAATTTTTCAGTATTTCAGCTCTAGTTTAATTAATTGTCATAATCAAATGTTAATTAATCAAATGTCATCAGTTTGAAGGGAATGTAGCAAACATGGCAAGCTTCTTGAAAACTGGTCTTAAAAAAGTAAGGCTACAATCCTATGTACTTTTACTTAGGAGCAAGCCCTATTAAACACACTGGGAATTACTTTCAAGAAGTATGAACAGGTTTGGGTTGCATATGTCCCCTTAAGCAAGAGCACTGTCAATGCAGATCTTCCGTGTTTCACTAAATTAACTTATATTTAATAAGCCTACAGGGCACCATGATCATGGAAGACTACGTCCCTCAAGACATCCTTACTATTCAGTCATCATTAGACTTCAGCATGTCAAAAAGAATCACGAAACATACACAGCCCAACAAGATAACAAGAAGAATCCACCGACAGCATACGAATCAATCTGGCTAACCTGATCCGAAAACTCACACACACACACACCACTCACAAACAAAAGCAAATCTCACTACAGCCAACCAAAGACAACCAACCACACTCTAAGCCACCCCCAACCTCTCTCACCACCAAGGAAATACAACAAGCGAATAGTAAGAGAACCCACACAAGTGACACTGACACAAAACCCCACACATACACTGAGTAGAAGAATAGAAGCACTGCCACCCGACCCCACACACCATTCCCCTCTCCCCCTTTCCCCCCTTTTCTTCCTAACCTAACACTGTATGCAACACTAACGTCTCACAACAAATGAAACTTATCTGTAGAAAGCACAACTTGAGAAAAGAGACAATGCATGCATTTTTGTAAATTAAGAAATTTTTAATAAAAATATGTATTTAAAAAAAGAACCACAAAAAGAAAACACATCTCATGGAAGGCCTTCACTTACAGTTTTCATCAGTCCTCTCTGTCCCCACCCAAAATGACACGAAATAAATACAGAAAGCCATAATAACTAGAAGACACTTTTGGAGACACATAAAACAGCAGCAGAAGAGAAAGTTCTTGAGACCATAGGGCTTTCTCTAGCTTTGAAACCAATAATTTAGCCATTATTATTATTATTTTATTCCAGAGAACTGTAAAGTGTGGCTGCTACCTATGCCAGAATAATTTGTATGGAAACAGTGAACGCTTACCTTTAAGGCATCTTCTACGGCCGTCTTGCCTTCCCTCCCCAAAAGAACATTATATGGATAAAGCCACTTGATTATATGCTGGATTGACATCATAGGCAAGCAGTTCTGGGGGGGGGGGGGGGGAGAGAGAGAGAGAGAACAGAAAAAGTGAACATAGAATCCCTATTGTGCTAAACCTGAAAGAAACATTGATGCTACTCTCTGCTTCCTGCTACTTAGCCAACTCCAGATCCACAGGAGGAACTCTCCTCTGGGTCCATTCTGCTCTGGTCAGACCTCACCTGGAGTACTGTGTCCAGTTCTGGGCACCACAGTTCAAGAAGGACACTGACAAACTGGAACGTGTCCAGAGGAGGGCAACCAAAATGGTCAAAGGCCTGGAAACGATGCCTTATGAGGAACGGCTAGGGAGCTGGGCATGTTTAGCCTAGAGAAGAGGAGGTTAAGGGGTGATATGATAGCCATGTTCAAATATATAAAAGGATGTCACATAGAGGAGGGAGAAAGGTTGTTTTCTGCTGCTCCAGAGAAGCGGACACGGAGCAATGGAGCCAAACTACAAGAAAGAAGATTCCACCTAAACATTAGGAAGCACTTCCTGACAGTAAGAGCTGTTTGACAGTGGAATTTGCTGCCAAGGAGTGTGGTGGAGTCTCCTTCTTTGGAGGTCTTTAAGCAGAGGCTTGACAACCATATGTCAGGAGTGCTCTGATGGTGTTTCCTGCTTGGCAGGGGGTTGGACTCGATGGCCCTTGTGGTCTCTTTCAACTCTGTGATTCTATGATTCTATGATTCCATGCCTGGGAAGTGATCACAGGAGTCTGCAGTGAGGTACCTTGTCAAAAGCTTTTTGGAAGCCCAAGTCCACTCTGTTAACCGGATCAGCTCTATCAATACAGTATTCTAGTTCACCTTCTCAAAGAACTTTAAAATATTTGTGAGACAAGACAGCAAAGCCAAACTGGCTCTGCTTCAGCCAAGACTTGTCATTTGCAAGCCTTGCGCAAGTGAAGACCACAAGGGCTAGCCTTCTGCCTTGAATTAGTAACTATGAATTTGATTAACCTAATACAAGAGGGAGCTTAAAGAGGTTTTATTTCCTATAAATTCTATAATCTCTCAAAGGGTCCTGCAGTTTTGTTCAATAATAACCCAAGTGATTCCTTTCAGTTACAGTCTTGAATCTGTGGCTTTACTGGTTGAGCTTTATTCTGTTCTGCAGGATTGCTGCTGGGCAAATTTGAGCCTTGACTGGGGGATCCAAAAAACATTAGTTCACTGGCCAAGATTTGACATGGTGCTATTGGGCATTTGAAACATGCCGCAGAGTGCGTGCAGAGTAGACCACACAGACGGAATCACTGAAGAGGCGTAAAGAGATCTTTGCAAGATTTAATAACAAAACTTCTCTAACATACACCTTGCTTAGTGTCTATAATCATCACCCATCCATCCACCAGGGGACAGAGTAAGGTACATACAGCAGTATATACCATTCACAATTGCTGACACAGCTAATTACAGTGACTTATCAGCACCTGCTACACAGCTGTAAAAACTAGGTCAGGATATGCACCCTGGCTTTTAAAGTGATACACCATCCTGTGAAACAATAATGAACCCTAACATTTAAACAAACTATTCAACAATACAAAACTGATTTCAGTTGCAGATGACAACTATGTTAGGAAAGAAAATAAGCCTTCACTGCAGCAATTTGCTATTTTCTCTTTTTTTCCCCTAGCTACACTGTAAAAGCAGTTTCTTTATCCTTAATACCTGAATGCTTCCCCTAAACTCCAGATAAGGAATCTCCATCTCGGTATCCATTATTTATTTGCAAGGACCTACCAGAATCTGCACAGCAGATGCTAACGTGTCCAGAGGAAAATCAGGGAGACCCAGGGCGGAGGATTCTTGGGTGCAAAAAGTAGTTGCAAATGACAAAAGTTTAGAAATTCTAGAAAGAAAACCCAAAGGCAGAAAATGTTAGACAAACAATACTTCTAAATAAAACACTTTTTAAAAGAAAAATAATATTTTTCGTAAAAGATTCATTTCTTTTTACCAACTTCACCCCGTTGGTTCCTTCACTTAATCTAATTGCAATAGCAAATGGTTCAATATCCAAACAGCAGTGATGACAAAGAGTGTCTGTGCCTTGTGTCCCAGTTTAAAAAGAATGGCTCTGAAATAGCTCCATCATTGATTAGCTTGGTTATATGGGCACTATACATAGCCTTAATTCACCTTAAAATTGACAATTGGGGGGGATTCAAAATCAGATTTTCAAATGGTGGTAATGGTCTCATTGCCTGAGATTTAACTGTTGAGTTTGAGATAAAGTGTTTTACCTGAAAGATCAATAGCCAATTCATATTACACCCTTCCATTCTTTCCATGATTTGCCCTGCTGTGAGAGAAATATCGCTTATATACCGGAGGTGCTCATTTTGATATCCAGGATCGCCCATCTTTAATTCTGCTTTTGCAAAATGGGTTTGTTATAATTTCTTGGACAGTTTATGTTATGAATAAAAAATGGGTTACCTGGTATTCTGTGCTCAAATTTATCAAACTCTGATTGTATCCAAATATTCCCTTTTCACATTGTTGATCATACTACAGGCTTATGCGGGGGTTGAAACACCACCGAAAAAGCCTGCAAACACCCTGTTCTACCCCTTTTGGTGACATTTTTGTGATGCTTTCGGGTCACTTCTGGGTTCGGCACAAGGCACATGTGCATGGTTCACACATATCGGATGTGCCTATAGTGGCCGCTGCTTGTAATTTCATTTTGTATATGGACCGCATCATGATATCTTTGCAGATATGTTAAACCAATAGCCCCTCTCTGGGAAGGTTAGGACATTACAGTTAACTGTAGTCTAGGTCTCTTGCCCTGATGAGTAACGCTTACAATCATTTTTTGCCATTTCCTTAGGTCCTTTGCTGAAATACTTATAGGCAGGGTTTGAAACAAAAAGAATTAAAAACGGTAAAATCGTCATTTTAACTGATGCTACCCTGCCCATCCAGGAAGCTTTAATTCATCTTTAAGAAACATATCCACTTCCAAATGTTTGTAAAACCTGTGCTAGATAGGGTCATTCAAGCCTATCAAATGCCTTTTGGGGATGAATGAATGAACTTTATTACGGTCACAGACCAGAATAATGGGGATCTAAAAACAAGCTAGTCCCTTGTTTGAGACTATAGATAGCATTAATACTATTTATGAACCTTTTAATATACTCTCATGTTGAAAGTCAGGATAAATCCAGTTTAATCTGCATCAAATTATTTAGCAATAAATTTGCTTAATCTAGCTGCCAATATGGATAACATCTTAAAATCATTGTTAAATAGAGCAATCTTCTATATGATATTGCAATAGAGGCCACTTTCTTTAGTTCCGCTTTAATTAGAGTACTAGCTTCTTTCATAGGGTTGCCATATGTCCTCTTATTCCAGGACATGTCCTCTTTTTCATGGGTATGTAAAATGAGTGTCGTCATAGTGATCCATAGTTAAAAGTAGAAGACGGCAAATGGATCCTCTTTTCTGCTCTTCAAAATATGACAACCCTAAAGTTTTAGAATATACTGACGGAAACCCATCTAGGTAAATTTTAATCTTAAATTCAAAATGCTAACTAAAGTAAGGCTAACAGTTGGTACAACCATAATATCAGTAGTGTAAACAGGAAGGCATATATCCATCCTGTGTACATGGCATGTTCACACACAACATGGGATCCAGCACAGAGTGTTTGATCCTGAAAGCCACAGTTGTTGTTTTTAAGGCACGTTTCTAACAGAGCAAGAGATCATTGCTGAAATTTAAGATGTTCTATTTCCCATCCCTGGCCCATTCAGCTTATTTATCCACAAATTCTAAAAAGGAAACAAACAATCAAAACAAAAAAGGTACAAGTGTCTTTAATCTCACATTGGCCCCATTCAGACTTCGCAGGACCACTTACATGAACAAGCTGCAGGCCTCCATCTTGTGCATGCTCAGTATTTCCTGTTTTGCACACTAAGGAAGAGATCAGAAGCCCCCACTTCCAATTTTAAACTGAGTGCAATTCCCCATAATTGCGGGATGTAATCCACTGAGAGCAGTCAAACACAACATTTCTTGTTTTCCTAGAGAAGCATTCCAGGGGAATGTTTGGTCCAGCCAGTCGAAAGCTTCCTGTTTCCTCCTGGCTGGAACATCCTTCCTTTGCATGTGACTAGAGGTGGGTGTGACCTTACCTGTCCAGGTAACAAAAGGACAAGGCATGCCGCCACACTCTTTCTTTTTTGACTTCCTCCGTCGTTGGAGCAGCAGCTTTCAGCTAGAATTGCTCTGTTGGCTCTCAGCCAACATAGGACACTGGGACTATCTCCATATGGGACAGATCCACATGTTTATACTTTGTAACTAAGTCTGCCTTCAGAGATCCAACTGTGAACTGATGATGTGAGTAAACTTTTATATACTTTATACAAGATTGTGGCGTGTTTATTCTTTTAAGAGGGATATAAGGGAACTCACCAGAAGTCTAATGTTGAGAGGCTTAAACAAGCCTGCAACCAGCTATCTGCTGTGCGTTTAAAATGGGAATGTAAAACTGTGCTAAGTTATCGAACCTGCTAGCGCAAGTTAGGAAGGATATTAATAAACAATATATCCTCTCCTGCCTCCCTGAACATTCCCACAATAATTTCTGAACTTGGGGAACTGTGGTTTAAACTATGGTTTCAGGGAGATCTGAAATCACAGTTGCTCAGTTGTTTCTGACTTTTTCCTCATTAACTATAGTTTAGAACAAACTACAGGACCTCTGTCATGAAATGAAGGTTCATCAAAGAGCTCATCTAGGTTTATTCACAGAGGATTCTTGCTCACCCCATCCTAAAGATGTGAGTTTGGTTGGAAGATAGAAGTACCGAAATTTTGTACCACCATTACCTAAAGTAGATTAGCCATGAAATCTGTTAGAAGGCCTAATAAAAATCTGAACCTTTGTATATCATGTCTAGATTATCTCACCGAATTCATTTGGTCATATCACAAAAACTCTACAGAACTCTAATATTGTATGAGGGAAGCCAATAGGTAAGAAAACTAAATTCTAAGAACATTTATGCATAGCTGTAATGCATATATTTACCTCTCAGCTGAAACGTTAGGTCCAATACAATATAACTGTGAAAGATGGTCCTAAAACAGAAGACAGTATCACCTATCAGGCCATTTACTCAAGCAACAGCACTCTGTCCACCAGGGTGCAAGGTGAAATCTTCATCAAGCTCTCCACCCAAGATCTCGTTCCTGGTCCGTCAACGTCAGATGTTATGTTACAATGCACACCACTTTACACTTGCTAACATTACGCAGTGTTTGCCATTTTAACATCTATTCACCCAGTTTGGAGAGATCCTTTTGGAGCTCCTCACCGTCCTTTTCGTTTTTATATTCTGAACAATTTTGTGTCATCAGGAAACTTGGTCTCTGTCCTGCTCACCACTAACGCCAGATCATTTGTGAAGAATATAAAAAGCACCAGTTCCAATACAGATCCTTTGGGGATCCTACATTATTCCATTATGACATTTATTCATGCTCTGCGCTTCCTGAACTTTAACCACTTGCATATCCATAAGATAACTTGTTCCATGACTGCTAAGCTTGCTCAGAAGTCTTTGGTGGTGGGCTTTGCAACAGCTTTTCAAAAAGTCGAACACACACAGTCTACTGCATCATCCCTCCCTACATGCTTATTGATGCGCTCAAAGAATTCTAAAAGGTTAAGTAGACTGGACTTTCCTTTGCAGAAGCTATGCCAGCTCCTCTTCAGCAAGACAACATCGGTATGCTTAGTAATTTTATCTTTAATCATGTTTCCCACTAGTTTTCCTGGAACAGATGTTAAGCTAACTGTCCTGTAATCTCCAGGATCCCTACTCCCCAACTGTGGGTTGTTGTTTTTTGCTAGATGATTAGCAATTCTAATTTTGAGTTCTTAAAGAGCTCCTGTGTAGATGCCATCTAGAGCTGTTGAAGCCTTCATTTTTAATTTGTCAACATGGCCTAAAACATCAGCTCTTGTCACTACTAGTTGCCTCAGTTCCTCACTCACTTCCTGATAAAGTAGTAAAGAGATAGGCATCTGCCCTTCCACAGTGAAAAACAAATGCAAATAATGCATTTAGCTTCTCCGTCATTTCATTTTCCTCCTTTAGAACACCTTTGACTCCCATGTAAATGCACACATTGAAGCATCATTCAACTGTACTTTGTGTACAACCCCAGACACCTGCAACATTACTTACCTTAAACGGTAGATAATAAACATCTCTTGCTTGAAATCTAGATCGCAGAGGTGGGTCTAATGGGTTACCCAAATATCGGGGGACGGGAAGGCCCAGGGCAATGACTCTGAAGTTTTCACTGACTCTAACAATCTTCCATGCATCCAACTCTGATTTATTATGCTCCTGAATAAATTAAGCCTATAATTAGAATTCTGCAACCACTTCAGAAAAAAGACCAACTATTCAGAGTACCTAATGAAGAGCTGTTTGAACTGGACAACAAATGGCTTATAGATCTGGAAGACATAGAGCTCTCACTCCACCAGCTTCAATACAAATGCCAGTATTAACAAAACTGTATATTGATTTTAGGATTTTAAGAGTCACTTCACACATTAGTGATCTGAATGCATGTTCACTGTGCTTTCACAGTGAGCCATAACCCTGAAAACAATTTTATAAATCTTCCTTTAAAAAGAGGAGGGGGGAAATGTTGGTACATGGCAAGGGAGCCATCATTACCTGCAATGCCAGGTCAATGATTCATAAGACCAGAGCCATCCATGACTCGATCAAGAAATTGACCTGCACGTGTAACAGAGACATGGCTGGGCACGGTAGCTGCGCCTGTTCTTGCCACTGCTTGTCCACCAGGTTTCTCTTATGCACAGCAACCCAGATCATTTGGGTGGGGAGGGAGGTTGCAGTGATTTTTAAGAAGTCCTTCGTTTTCACCAACCTTCCTATTAGGGAGTCCCAGTTTTCCGAGTGCAAGTTCTGGAAGTTGGGTCATAGGGGTAGTACAGGATTCCTATGGTGTACCGACCTCCCCACTATGAGAAGCATGTGTTAGATAGATATTGTGGTATTTAAGGGCAAACATAGAAATATAACAAAGAAAGAAAGAGTTCCAGGCAGTAAAATGTTACTTGAGAGATCCAGCAAGGAAGGACTGAATATAAAACAAACCATATAAAGAATAAGCCTTCTAGAGATCAAGGCTTCTCCAGCAACTTTTATTTTAGATTTAATGTTGTTTGGGATCTAATATTGATGGAACAACCCAATACCTTCAGCAGTTTGTCATAACGTTCTGCTGACATGAGAAAACGGCCATCTTCAAGTTGCATCTCCCGGTTCTCCAGTAAATTGTTCAAGACGGGTAAGACATTCCGCTCGGCCTTCTCTAAGCCTTCCAGAACCAAGATTCTGCCTTCGGTGGCTGCTCGTACGGCACACTGCCCATCAAAACAAAATCAGCTTCAGAAGCAAAAACAGCTGAATTTTCGTTTTCACAAAACGAAAGCTAGGCTGAATATTTCCCACTGCACACATTTGCAGGACCATATTCCCCTGTGAAAACAGGGGTGGAATATCTGTCAACTTTCAGGGGAGAATGTGAATTGTAAGAATTGGGGGCCCTACCTTTACTTACAGCATATATTACTATAGCCAAGTTCTTCCTCTAGAGATAGAGTTGCAGTTGGGCCACCAGCCTAAATGAAAGGATGGAACATTGTGGCATCGAGGCCACCTGTGCTCGAAGGGACTGCAATGGATCCAGGAGAATCGCCGCCCCCCTCACTCCTTCCAAGGGAGAATGGCCCCTCTACAGTAGGGACCACACAAATATGCCAGTCAGAGGAACCACCCACCACAGCATCTCAGTGTTGACTAGATTAAGCTTCAGTTTATTAGCCCTCATCTAGTCTATTATCACAACCAAGAGCTAATTCAAAATGTAAAAGGAGAAATGCAGCTGTGTGTCATCAGCATAGTGGTGCCAATGCTCTACAAAACTCTGTATGGTCCCACTCAGCAGTTTCATGTAGATGTTACACAGATGGAGCAGGGGCAGAGTTGACTCCTGTGGGACCCCACACTGGATAATCCCCAGAGCCAAGTATTGCTCCTCCAGGAACCACATTTTGGAGCCATCAATTCAAGCAGGAATGAAACCCCTACAGCACAGTGCCCCCAATACCTAAACTCAAACAAAAGGTTACTATCGTCAACAGTATCAAAAGGTACCAAGAGATCAAGGAGGATCCATGGAGTCACACTCTTCCTGTCTCTCTCTCAACACAAGTCATCGTCCATGGCGACCAAGGAAGTTTCCATATCAAAACCAGGCTTGAATTCTGGCTGAAATGGATCTAGGAAATCTGACTCCTCAAGAGTACCTGGATCTGGTTGGCAACCACGCTCTCAAGAACCTTGCCCAGAAATCATCAGTTCTCATCAAATTGACAATAAAGACCCGCGGCGATTATAAGTACTCACCTGATCAATGTAGTAAGCAGTCCCAGCTCGGATCTCTCTCCGCTGTTTGAGATCTGTTTCTGTTGTGTCCCTGGAGAGTGCAATGTACTCCACTTCTCGCTTGGTCAACTCCTGTAGGACACAGCACAATATTTGAAAACATATAGATTACAATCTGCACAGCGTCACAGCAAATTATCCAACAGAGGCAGAGGCAGCGACACATCACTAAATGGAATAAAACTAAAGAGCAACACCATCTCTTGAGGCCCAGTTTAGTGCTCTCCCTCAATCAGCATGGTTGCAGGCCACCTCCTTATGAACATTTCTGAAACATTCAGCTTTAAATCACTTGGATGGATCAAAACAAAGTAAGGAGGCCAGCTAAAAGGAGAAATAAGAGAGACACACCAAGGTAAAAAAGATCTTGCAATATGTTCCATCAGTGTGACTCATAGCATGACAGAAAGCAGTAATCATAAACATATAAACAGCATTGCTATTATTTCTTTATCATTATTAGTATTGTTGAAAACTTTGTTTTGCTTGTGTTGTATTCCTTTGGGTACATATTAGTGAAAATGTGTTTGTCTAGCACTAATGGTTGCTCATGAAATGTATTGTGAGCTGGAGGATCACAGTGTATTTCCTGAATATGTGCCATTCATATAATATAAATGTTGGAACACAATGCAAAGTAATGCACTGCAGTAATAGATTCAAGTAGGTAGCCGTGTTGGTCTGCCGCAGACAAAATAAATTAAAACAATTCTTTAAAAAGATTGTTAAAAAGGCTCTTGAAAACCTAAAAGCTCCCTTAAAAGAATCAAGCCTTCAAAGACTTCAAGTAATTGCAGTAACAGACATAGACAGCAGAAGTTAAGCTATTCCTGTTCAGGTAGGGGTGCAGCTGGGCTACCAGTCAATGCTGATGGAAGGCACTCCACGCCACTGAGGCCACTGGAGCCTCAAGTAACAGCAAAGGATCCTGAATATTCCCAAGCTGCTTACCTGCTCCCTCAGAGGGAGTGTAAGCCCATCAAGAGCAGGCAACCTCCCAGCCTTCTGGTCTAGGGAACCACCCAGTGCCTCAGTCTTATCTGGATTGAACCACAGCAAAGCAATGCCACTCCCCAACTCAGACAGCCGCTCCAGTAGGATACCATGGTCAATGGAATCAAAAGCCACTGAGAGGTCGAGGAGAATTAACAAGGACATGTTTCCCCTGTCTCTCTCCTTACAAAGGTCATCATACAGGGTGACTAAAGTGGTTTCTGTGCCAAAACTGGGTCTAAACACCAGTTTGACTATGCCAATAAAATAAGTATACCAAATGTTTGAGGCAACAAACAATGAAAAAACCACCAGATAATAATAAGAAGAATAAGAATAATAAGAATAGTTGTTGCTGTTTTATACCCAGCCCATCTGGCTGGGTTTCCCCAGCCACTCTGGGCAGCTTACAGCACATGTAAAAATTTTAAAACATCAGACATTAAAAATTTATCAATACAGGGCTGCATTCAGGTGTCTTCTAAAAGTCAGACAGTTGTTTATTTCCTTGCCATCTGATGGGAGGGCATTCCACAGGGCGGGTGCCACTGCCGAGAAGGCCCTCTGCCTCTTTCCTTGTAACTTTGCTTTTCACAGGGAGGGAACCAGCAGAAGACCCTCAGAGCTGGACCTCAGTGTCTGGGCTGAGCGATGGAGGTGGAGACACTCCTTCGGGTATATTGGGCCGAGACAGTTTAGGGAATTAAAGGTCAGCACCAAGACTTTGAATTGTGCTCAGAAACGCACTGGGAGCCAATGAAGATCCTTCAGTACTGGTGTTATATGGTCCCAGCAGCCACTCCTAGTCACCAGTCTAGAAACTCAACTGTAGTGTGTTCTTGGTTTGATTCAAAGGCTTCAAAATTGGGAAGTAACTCTAAATAATCCTTGATTACCAAACATACTCTCTGCACACTGGGATGGACACTTTACTGGGCCTTCTGCCAGAAATCCAAAAAGAAACTCTCCCAGGCTACATGTCTCTTAGACTGCTAAACATTACTACACTGAAACCTAAGAATTACTAATGTCCACTCCAGTTTCCAAATGAAAATTAAGTCTCTCTCCCCAAGCTTACCAAGTACTGCATGGCAATCGATCGCCGAAGAGGCCCAGGTGGTCCTATGAGAAAGACGTCTTGGCCCAAAAGGTCTTTTTGCATGATCCATCTTAAATGCTGGATTACAGACTGAGCCACAGAGTCTGAAACTAAATAAGAAAGCGTGGACTTTGGTCTAAATTAAGAATTTACAAACCAATATTTTTAAATTACAAAGCACCTTTAATAGTTTTGATACTGCTCTTCAATTTCTGAATTTATCTTTCTAGCCTCACTGTTAGAGCTCCTTTTTTTCAGAGGACAAACATTTCAAATCTATTAAAGTTCAAACCAATGCAACTGACAGGGTTTGGGATGCATAAAATGGACTGATACGAGTCCAGTTAAATTAATAAAAGGAAGTGCCATCTAGAGTCTTGGGTTTAAAGGCGAGGCAGCGGGTGAGCCAGGTTAAGATTTTCCTCCGGCTGGACATTTGATTAAACATTAAGGCGTCTCAAGACTGGCCTATGTTAGGCAACTAAACAAACAAATAAGTAATCTCTGCTCATCGCAGAAAGTCGCTGGGTAGACTTTAGCAAGAGAGTGTCTTCTCCAGGAATGGCCATCGAGCTATTGCAGCAATAGCCAACGTGGTGGCCTCCCTCCCAAGGTTGCTGGCCTACAGCTCCCATCATTCCTGACTGCTGGCCAAGCTGGCTAAGGCTGATGGGAGCTGGAGTTAAGCCACGTCTGAAGGGCACCATGTTGGCTACCCCTGGGCTATGGAAGGTGCTGTAGTCCCTGGAGAAGGCCAATGCTGCCTTCATTCTATTCTCCACATGGCTCCTTCTCTCTTATGTGTGAGCTTCCTTTGCCAGGCTTAGGCACGGTTAACGCAGAACAGGGATTTGAAAACAGCTTGAAACGCTGGTGTGGCGTCCCTGTTCTCGGCATGGTATAGCCAGAAGCCGGGACTTCTCAGCAGGGGGCTGGAGGCTTGTTCACATTAAACCACAGAGAACCATTAAGTGTGGCTTAACATGATGTGTGATCACAGCCAGCATTAGAAGCCCAAGAGCAGTTTACTTGCTATGCAACTCCACGCTCCTGGTACATTTCACATTAACAAATTTAGCTAGCTCTATTTTTAGTTACGGTTTGAAGAAAAGAAATTGGATCAGATTTAAGAGACACCTAAAATGGAAAGAAAACTCAAGAATGCAAAACAACCTGTCAGATAGGAACAGAACATAAATGCATACAAGAATACCCCCAAAGCCTCAGGGCCACAGACCCTACGGACACAAGGGCACTCAAATGCACTTTTCAATACTATAACCAGCTCCTACAAAATTTCACTATTTCCTTTATATGAAATAAGAAGAGCATAGAAAGGCCTGTAGGTAGGAATTGGCAGATATGTTTAGTTGATCTTATAGTTTTATTTTACTAGTGCTCAGGTTAACATAAAGTAATTAACCATTACTAATGAAGACAACAACAAAAATGTTATCTTCCCAGACTTTCTCCATCTTGCATTTCCTTTTATCTTTCCTCCACCTTCTCTCCATCCTGTAGTAATCAAACTCTTCTAATATTTATTTAACTATTTGCAGGCTGCCTTCTAGTCAAATCCTGCCAAGCTGGCTTCTGACATAAATTCACAGTATAACATCAAAAAGCTTAAAAAAATTCTATTGCAGGTTGTTTTTAATGATTTTTAGCGAATGTTGTTCTTATCTGTAAGCTGCCTTGAGTCCGTCAGGGAGAAGGGTGGGGTGAAAATAAATTTTAAAATCATTACTATTATTCATATATGTTTAACCAGCTGGGTATTAGAAGAATATTGTTTCTTACTGTAGTTCACTGGGACAAGTTCTGGATTTCTTGGAATTTTGAGTTTGTATGACACATCTCCAATAGTAACAGTATCACCTGAAAAGAAAAGGGAGAACTGTCACTGATTGCTAACTACACAATCATCACAAATCTAACACAGCCTACAAAGAGGAAGACGTTTGCTCATTCAGGGCACATAATATTTTCTGAACCTTCCTGCAGGGCATGATCCAAGATGGCACTTTAACCATAAAATCTTTGTTATAGCCTTTGCTCTCTGTGTCAATAGTTGCAATAGTAAACCTTTGTACAGAGTAACAAACCTAGTATATCTAGCTTAAGGTTACCGGATTTTTTTTCAATGAATCCGGGTACACTTTTCAACTCCAATGGATTTTGTATGGGGACTGATTTGTAAATCCGGGGACTGTCCCCAGGAAAAGGGGACGTCTGGTAACCTTAATCTAGCTTCCACTTCAACTCCTGGCCTTTGCAACCCCAAGAACTTTAGAAAAAGGACACGTGTAAATGAATAGCTCCATCAGCCACTTTGCAGAGATTCTACAAAAAAACAGGTCATTCATTCAAGTTGTGATACTTAACATTTTATTTAAAGATGTGAGGTTGGATCCAGGCTTAGTCATGCTTAGCACAGACCTACTGAAATCTAGTTTAAACCGATCTATTTTAATCATTATTACACCTGAATCCTGAAATTGTGTAATTAAATGCACACAAGAATTTCCCAGCATGGAAACAGCTTTTGAGCTCTCTGCCTTGCTTTCTGGGCAAGGTTGACTCAATGCGCCCGCTCCAGGATGCGGGGGGAGGGGGGCAGTTCCAAGGGTTTGAGGCCCTGTGTGAGATGCCTTCGGCATCATGTAGGCTACCCAAAACCCAATGGCTAAGTTGCAATCAGGTAAGGAGAAAAATGAAATACAGTGGTACCTTGGGTTACATACGCTTCAGGTTACAGAGACTCCGCTAACCCAGAAATAGTGCTTCAGGTTAAGAACTTTGCTTCAGGATGAGAACAGAAATCGTGCTCCGGCGGCGCGGCGGCAGCGGGAGGCCCCATTAGCTAAAGTGGTGCTTCAGGTTAAGAACAGTTTCAGGTTAAGTACAGACCTCCGGAACGAATTAAGTACTTAACCCGAGGTACCACTGTAGGGTGTGTGGCAACAGGGCATCCTCAATGAAACACACATGACAAACTGCCCACCAAAAAAAAAAAAAGCACTAAAAAGCATCCACACCAGCAGCAGCTACAGATGACAAGTGGCTTGTTTTTCCTTATTGGGTTATCCACAGAATGAGAATATCAGTATTTTATTGGGGGGGGGGAAGGGTTGTGGGTTGGCATTTTGATGAGGAGAATGCCACGTGGAGAACATGAAAAGCATGCACACCTCATATCCACTTCAAACTACTGTGTGTGTATAGTACAGCCCATTACCTATTGTGAAAATAGACCAAATATGATTTTTTTCATATTAAATGAGCAGAGCAAGTTCTGTGCTAAGCATCTGTAGATATGGCAGGTATTAAACATTTAAATACATTTTGCAAGAGCACTGACTTGCAGCAAGCACCCCTGTGTGGTTTTCTCAGTCATTCCAAGAGGGGCAGAATAGACCCCCAAAGCTGTAAGAGTAAAAACATTAATTTTTTCACTAAATTAAGGAGGGGGGCTCTGAAATACCACATGGCAATCACAGCTCATTACAGCCGAAAACAACATGGGGTAATGGAAGACTGACATACAAGTTTTATTATTGTTTTCAGCACTTCTGGGATGCATATGTGGCCATAGTGAAGCTAAAGAGAGCAGGAATATTTAGGGCTCAATCATCAGATTCTCAAGTGATAAATGGGAGGATGTTATACAAATCTCTGTTTGATCATGGGGCAAACATATCCCATTTCAACAATTTTAGGATTTCATTATCTTTCCTGTCTGCCAGCTGTAAATTGTTGTATACTCATTTCTCATTTCAAAAATAGTTACTTCTTAACACCAGGATAACTACTCATTTTGAATATGTTCTTTAAAGTCAACTGTTATTATTTTTCTTTAATAATGTTTTTAATGCAACTGAAATGAATCTGAGTTTCTGCAAGTCAGTTTCAGGGCTGGTGGGGGGGATGACCAGCAAAAAATTAACTAAAAGGACTTTGATCAAAACTAATGCTGTTGGGCAACTGGGTGACAAACACAAATCTTGCTGTGGAAGTACTTATTATCAGGTTTTTAAAAAGCAAGAGATAAGGACAAGCTCAGAAATCCTTAGTGCGCCTGGGAGACAACAAGAAATTTATACTGAGAGTGAAAAATGGGCACACCACTCTCCAAACAAGATGTTATGATCACAACCCCAGCAGAAGCACAATGAAAAGCATGCCAGACGGTGAAAAGGAGACGTATCAAAGACTTCATACAGAGCTGAGCTAAACACGTAGAAAAGGTTCCCATATAGAAGCTTAGAACATTGACAAAAGAGAAACAGGAACACTTTAATCAAAATAAATGTGATGGAAAGTCAAAGCTGAGATATCATCCGAAACACATGTATGTGGCAGTAACTTCCACTAAAAATCAGCGTCACTTCTGATCACATTTAAAATATACTAGAGTGTTAAACCTAGACCTCAGTAACAGGTTAAACAGTTATATTATCTGCAAACCAAAATAATAAAAGTGGTACAGAATCCTATCATTTGCTTTTATATTATACTGAAATATGGAGCATCTAAGTAAATTTATTCTGGGAAATTAAGAGCGAGGCTGCAATTCTGTGTACCTCATAGAATTGTAGAATTGGAAGGGACAACAAGGGTCCTCTAGTACCACCTGCAAAATCACAGCTAGAAGCAAATCCCACCAAAGTTGATCCACAATAAAGGGTTTAATAAAAGTAGCATAAACTAAGTAGTGTAAATGTGTTGTAAACCACATCTGAGCTTTTTTTCTTAAAAATATAAAGCAGCCTAGAAATGAAATGACTAATGATATTGATGAAGATATAGGCTCGTGCCCAGCCTTTCTCAACCTCTGGTCCCCCAATGTTATTGGACTACAACTCCCATCATCCCTAGCTAGGAAGACCAGTTGAGAAAGGCTGTTACTGCCAGTCTCAGGGGTGGGGTGGACAGGGGCCTATTTCCTATTTATCCCTATCCATGTATCCTATTTTTCCAGTTCCTTGTAGAATTTGTAGCTTTTGTTTACTTTATTTCAACGGAAGGAGCCCAGTCATGTCAATAACAACTCCTATGATGATGATGATGATGATGATGTAAAGAAAAAAGGTAAAGCATAGCTCCCATTGGAATGAGAGAAGACTTAAAGGGGAAACAGGGTTTAGAAAAAAGGATGTCGTGTTTCGAGAGATGCTGCTAGGAAGCCAGCAAGCAGGTTAGGAAGGTAGATTGTTCCTCCCCTAAGAATTTTATTCTGTGAACCACCCTGAGATCCACGAATGGTATATAAATTCAATAAATTCAATAAATAATAATAATAATAATAATAATAATATACTGGTGCAGAGAGGTGTGTGGCTTTTGAGAAAGCAGTGGTTCCACTGGAAGGGCTGAAGCACTCTTGGAAGAGCAACCCCACAAAAGGCCCTTTAAAAAACCCAAAAACCCTTTGGGAGCAGAAGTCACCCAGGCCGAACTCTTCTCGTGGCGGTGAGTCCCATAAGCTCACTAGCCACGGGGAAGGAAGACCAGAAGCGGAGGGCCAGGGAAGTTCAATTAATAATAATAATAATAATAATAATAATAATAATAATATGCTGGTGCAGAGAGGTGTGTGGCTTTTGAGAAAGAAGCGGTTCCACTGGAAGGGCTGAAGCACTCTTGGAAGCGCAACCCCACAAAAGGGCCTTTAAAAAACAAAAACCCTTTGGGAGCAGAAGTCACCGAACTCTTCTCGTGGCGGTGAGTCCCATAAGCCCACTCAGCCACGGGGAAGGAAGACCAGAAGCGGAGGGCCAGGGAAGTTCAATTAATGATAATAATAATAATATGCTGGTGCAGAGAGGTGTGTGGCTTTTGAGAAAGAAGCGGTTCCACTGAAAGGGCTGAAGCACTATTGGAAGAGCAACCCCACAAAAGGGCCTTTAAAAAACAAAAACCCTTTGGGAGCAGAAGTCACCGAACTCTTCTCGTGGCGGTGAGTCCCATAAGCCCACTCAGCCACGGGAAAGGAAGACCAGAAGCGGAGGGCCAGGGAAGTTCAATTAATAATAATAGTAATAATAATAATAATAATAATAATAATAATAATAATATGCTGGTGCAGAGAGGTGTGTGGCTTTTGAGAAAGCAGCGGTGTCCACTGGAAGGGCTGAAGAACTCCTGGAAGAGCAACCCCACAAAAGGGCCTTTAAAAAACCCAAAAACCCTTTGGGAGCAGAAGTCACCGAACTCTTCTCGTGGCGGTGAGTCCCATAAGCTCACTCAGCCACGGGAAGGAAGACCAGAAGCGGAGGGCCAGGGAAGTTCAATTAATAATAATAATAATAATAATAATAATATGCTGGTGCAGAGAGGTGTATGGCTTTTGAGAAAGCGGCGGTTCCGCTGGAAGGGCTGAAGCACTATTGGAAGAGCAACCCCACAAAAGGGCCTTTAAAAAACCCAAAAACCCTTTGGGAGCAGAAGTCACCGAACTCTTCTCGTGGCGGTGAGTCCCATAAGCCCACTCAGCCACGGGGAAGGAAGACCAGAAGCGGAGGGCCAGGGAAGTTCAATTAATGATAATAATAATAATATGCTGGTGCAGAGAGGTGTGTGGCTTTTGAGAAAGCAGCGGTGTCCACTGGAAGGGCTGAAGAACTCCTGGAAGAGCAACCCCACAAAAGGGCCTTTAAAAAACAAAAACCCTTTGGGAGCAGAAGTCACCGAACTCTTCTCGTGGCGGTGAGTCCCATAAGCTCACTCAGCCACGGGGAAGGAAGACCAGAAGCGGAGGGCCAGGGAAGTTCAATTAATAATAATAATAATAATAATAATAATAATATATGCTGGTGCAGAGAGGTGTGTGGCTTTTGAGAAAGAAGCGGTTCCACTGAAAGGGCTGAAGCACTATTGGAAGCGCAACCCCACAAAAGGGCCTTTAAAAAACAAAAACCCTTTGGGAGCAGAAGTCACCGAACTCTTCTCGTGGCGGTGAGTCCCATAAGCTCACTCAGCCACGGGGAAGAAAGACCAGAAGCGGAGGGCCAGGGAAGTTCAATTAATAATAATAATAATAATAATAATAATAATAATATGCTGGTGCAGAGAGGTGTATGGCTTTTGAGAAAGCGGCGGTTCCGCTGGAAGGGCTGAAGCACTCTTGGAAGAGCAACCCCACAAAAGGGCCTTTAAAAAACCCAAAAACCCTTTGGGAGCAGAAGTCACCGAACTCTTCTCGTGGTGGTGAGTCCCATAAGCTCACTCAGCCACGGGGAAGAAAGACCAGAAGCGGAGGGCCAGGGAAGTTCAATTAATAATAATAATAATAATAATAATATGCTGGTGCAGAGAGGTGTGTGGCTTTTGAGAAAGAAGCGGCGTCCACTGGAAGGGCTGAAGCACTATTGGAAGCGCAACCCCACAAAAGGGCCTTTAAAAAACAAAAACCCTTTGGGAGCAGAAGTCACCGAACTCTTCTCGTGGCGGTGAGTCCCATAAGCTCACTCAGCCACGGGAAGGAAGACCAGAAGCGGAGGGCCAGGGGATGCCGACGCTCCAGCAGCCCTTTCCGCCTCAACCTTGTGGGGAAGCGTCCGATCCTGTGGGGTCCTCCGGATCCCCGGGCCTGCCGCCATGAGGCGACCCGGCAAAGACCCGGCTCCCAGTCCCCGCTGGGCCGGGGGTGACCTTGGCGCCCCAGCCGGCGGCGGCGGCGGAGGCCCGGGAAGGCTCCCTCTCGACCCCGCCGTTACCTTCGGCCTTGCCGGTCGAGTGCAGAAGCCGGGCCCGGCCGGTGCGGGCGCTCCCGGCGCCGCCGCTTCCCGAGGCCGCCACCTGCCGCAGGAGTAGCCGGACCCGCCTGGTCGCCGCCGAAGCCCCGCACACCCCGCAGGCGCCGGCGCCGCCGAGGAAGAGCATCCGCGACGGCATGGCCCGGCCGGCCTGACAGGAGGAAGAGCCGGAGAGCAGCGTCGCTGGGGGACCGGTGCGGCAGTTGCACAGCGTCCCCGCGGAAACAGCGCCCGACGCTTTCGGGGCCGGGCCAAGCGGCGGAAGGGGTTTATCTCTCTCTCTCTCTCTCTTTTTTTTTTTAAATGATATTTATTAAAGTTTCAAAAAATAGAAGAAAATACAGAATACAAAAAAAAAGAATAAAGTTTTTAAGATATAACAAAAAAGTAAAAAAGAAAAATAAAACATACAAAATAAAACAGTTAAAAACACATTAATTTTCCATAACCTATCTTCCTTACACTTATTTCCCCGGACCTCCTCGTACCTCCCTTTTTTGTATTCCAGTTCAGTTTGTTAGTTCAGCAAATCCTTACCATTGAGCTTTTACCCATTTGTAAGCCTTTCTTCGTATCTCTTAAAGCATTACAGCTGGAAACCACTTAGTTTCTATCCAACTTCCTTCTAAGATTCCTTAATTTTACAATATTTCTGTAAATAGTCTTTAAATTTCTTCCAGTCTTCTTTCACCGACTCTTCTCCCTGATCTCGGATTCTACCAGGAAGGGGTTTATCTCTCAACGGCTGACTGCCTCCCTCCGACCTCGGCGGCTTCTCCAATGTAGGGAGCGTGGCCAAGATCACTATTATTTACGGATGTGAGAAAAACACTCGCCCCTCGCGGCCACGTTTGCCTCAAGAAGGTCCCGCTTTGCACAGCTGCCGGCCTGAGCTCGGGAGCTGCTTCTGCAATTCGTGCAAGAGCTGCGCGCCTCGTCTGTTGTTGTTTAGTCGTGTCCGACTCTTCGTGACCGCATGGACCAGAGCACGCCAGGCACTCCTGTCATAGCTGTCAATATTCCCCCCTTTTAAGGGAAATTCCCTTATTCCGAATAGGATTCCTCGCAAGAAAAGGGAAAAGTTGACAGCTATGACTCCTGTCTTCCACTGCCTCCCGCAGTTTGGTCAAACTCATGCTGGTAGCTTCGAGAACACTGTCCTACCATCTCGTCCTCTGTCGTCCCCTTCTCCTTGTGCCCTCCATCTTTCCCAACATCAGGGTCTTTTCCAGGGAGTCTTCTCTTCTCATGAGGTGGCCAAAGTATTGGAGCCTAAGCTTCAGGATCTGTCCATCCAGTGAGCACTCAGGGCTGATTTCCTTAAGAATGGTTTGGTTTGATCTTCTTGCAGTCCATGGGACTCTCCAGAGTCTCCTCCAGCACCATCATTCAAAAGCATCAATTCATTTGCGATCAGCCTTCTTTATGGTCCAGCTCTCACTTCCATACATCACTACTGGGAAAACCATAGCTTTAACTATACGGACCTTTGTTGGCAAGGTGATGTCTCTGCTTTTTAAGATGCTGTCTAGGTTTGTCATTGCTTTTCTCCCAAGAAGCAGGCGTCTCTTAATTTCGCGGCTGCTGTCACCTCGTGGCTGCGTGCTTTGTCTAGGATCATCTTTTTATTCCTGCTTTGAGAGAACTGGACTTGAGAAAGGGGCTTGAGAAAGGGATTTACGTCTAAGCTAAACAAGCTATAGCTTAGGGCCCCACTCTCTTGGGGGCCCCAAAAAAATTTAAAGGAAAAAAACCCTGGATGTACATTTCCAAAATATAAGATAAAAAACAAATTTTTAAAAAACCCTACATACATCAACAGTGTTTTGTATTGTGTAGGCTCCTGTGATGTAAGTAATGGGCCCCGCCTGCTAGCCTGCTCCCTAAAATATCACTGGTTTGCTCATTTCTATATATAGGGTGCCTACATTCTGCATGTGCAAATGGCTCTAGATACCTATTAGGTCCATAAATTACCATATAGCATATATTCAACACAAAAAAACAAAGGAAAGCTGGACATAAAAAGGGCCCCATTACCTTCACTAGCTTAGGGCCTCATTAAACCTAAATCTGGCCCTGGTCTAGTGCTATCTCTAACGTCACTTATCCGTTCATTTTGTTAAAATCTCTTTCCAGGTAATAATCGAAGCCCCACCCATAAATAAGCATATGAGATTTGCTGATTTTAAAAGTGCGATGTTATGTGCGTACAGGGATTAATTGCGGGCTAAACTGATTTGCCTCCAGGCCAGCCCTCCATTCGCACATGCAGTGATTTTACCCCAAGCGTGTAATGAAGGGGAGAGGTATGGAGGAGCATCCTCTCAGTGGCATTTGCACAGGTACTTTGCCAAGAGTCGTGGCTACTCAAAGGGCTTCTTTGCTGGCGCATGTTGGGCAGGGGCTTTCCTTAAAATGGGGGAGAAAATGAAAAGTTAAGTCTCTAGCCCTTTTCCTTGCTAAGAAGCAAAAGCTATGAAACAAAACATGCAGGTAGCCTTCTAATGGATTCCTGTGAAAATGAGTCATACTGGCTCCTTCAGTCTACTGGAGTTTGAGCCTGAAATGGTTAAGAGCAGGGGTAGGCAACCTAAGGCCCAGGGGCCGGATGCGGCCCAATCGCCTTCGCAATCCAGCCCGCGGATGGTCCAGGAATCATTGTGTTTTTACATGAGTAGAATGTGTCCTTTTATTTAAAATGCATCTCTGGGTTATTTGTGGGGCATAGGAATTTGATCGTTTTCTTTCTTTCTTCAAAATATAGTCCAGCCCACTACATGGTCTGAGGGATGGTGGATCGGCCCACGGCTGAAAAAGGTTGTTGACCCCTGGATAAGAGAGTTGTTTGGACACCAGGCAATAAGAATCCTTGGGGTTCTAAAGAACTGCTATTTCAGCCTCCCCTTTAATGCACTTCTCCAGCGTTGGTCCTAGTTTCTAGGCAGAAATTCAACAGGTTAAGCCTTTTCTCATATGGCAACACAATTCACCAGTATTGCCCTGTCTCTAATTTTGTGCTATGCTGTGCTCCCTTGGCAGTCGTGTTGTGACTCGTACCCCTAGTACTCCCTCGAAATTCAAAATGTGCTTCCTGGTCCAAAAAGGCTGGCAACCCCTGGCTAAGGGGGAAAGTTGGTTGCCAGGGCAAGGTGACAAGAGTATTGAGTGCATTCCTGCTGTTAACTTTTGGGAGGTGCTGGGGGGGCAGACATAGGGTCCACAGGCTATTCTAGGTAAGGACATGGGGGTTGGTTAAATGGTCCTGCTGAGGACATCTGTAGGCTATGCACACACTGTTATCCCACACTTTCCAATTTCCCCATCATTTTCCTTATTGCAAAAAGTCCAGTCCTTAGGGGACATTCGTTTATTGCACAAGACCTCAAAATAGCACTAGAACAGCACAAGCTGAATTTGCTGGTATGTGATTGAATTGCCTGAGAAGCCTCCTGTCCTGAGCAGGCAGGCATAGGATTGCGCACTAAGCTGTTTTGACATCTGTATCATGCCAGGCCCTCACAACCTCAAGCCTTTCCTTAATAAGTATTCCAAAGAATACTGTTTTCCTTTGTTATTTTATGTGTTGGTACATGGCACTTAAATTGCAGCTGGCTTGGGACTAAGGGCTTTTAAAGCCCTTGCTGCCACATCTAATTTCCCATTAATCAGCTTTGATTGTCTGCAGAAAATAAGTTTCAAGATGCCCAGAAGATGAGACAATTTATCTACTTTGCATGCCAGGAAATAATGGTCATAACAATATTACAGAAACTCTGAAGTTGTAGATCAGATCCCTAATGTAATAAAGTCTGTTGCCGCATAGTTCATTTGAAGGCAGAGTGCCATATAAGCTATTTGCCCATCAATTGCTTTCTCAACTAGGGTTGCTCTTGCCGCTGTGCAAAACACTTACCTTCTAATGATCTAATTTTTGCTTAATGGTGCAGCAGTGCAGTAGACATTTATCCACCAGCAACATTTGCTGCTTCAGATTTCAAACAGATGAATGTATTTTGTTTTGACAGCGTGCGTAGGAAAGCTTTGTGCTTTCACATGGATTTTCACATCACAGATTTTCGTATAAAAAGAAGTGTTACAAATGTGAATCAAATATTGCTGTAATGGGGCCCCAAAATTCAATGCATATAGAACTACAAAATGCAAGTGGAGATACAAATCAATTTAACGTATTTCATCAAACAGCACACATTCAAAAACGAACAAATCATTAAAATAAAACTTTTAAAAGAGTGTAGTGCTTTGAGAACTATTAACAGAGACTAATCCACAGGGTGAAATCCTGGCTTCTTGCAGGTCTTTCCCCCTTACATGCTATGATTTTCCTACATAGATTTCATCAGGGCAAATGTGCACATGTATTTGCAATCATCTCTGCACAGGGTGAAAAAAGATTATTGGTGATGACTTCATGTCAGGGTGGAGAACCGTCTTGCAGCCCCAGGGCCACATTCTTCCATGAGGAACCTTCCAGGACTGCATGCTAGCAATGGATGAGGGCAGAGCCAGAATCACCCTACCCTTTCTTCTCATGTATGCATGCAAGCACACACACACACACACACACACACACACACACTCCGTCGATCCACCCATCCATCCATTGCATTTCTCCCCTTCTCTCTCTTTCTCCCTTTCCTGTTCCCTCCCCATCCCAACTATCTCCACTCCTCAGCTGTGCCTCCACGCAGCAAGTTCAGTGGTACCTCGGGTTACATACGCTTCAGCTAACAGATGCTTCAGGTTACAGACTCCGCTAACCCAGAAATAGTACCTCGGGTTAAGAACTTTGCTTCAGGATAAGAACAGAAATCACACGGCAGCAGTGCGGCAGCAGCAGGAGGCCCCATTAGCTAAAGTGGACTTCAGGTTAAGAACGGACCTCCGGAACGCATTAAGTACTTAACCCGAGGTACCACTGTAATTTTAAAAGCAACAATTCCACTAGAGTAGAACTGGGGGAGGACCACAGTGTGGGTGGTTGGGAAGATTCACCTTTCCCTTCCAAGCTGCAACTCATCCCCAAAGTGACTTCCACACAACATAAAGTTCACGTGCATACAAAGGCATACTTGTCCCATGGGGTGGTGTACTTATTTCTGTACAAATACAATATCCGTATGACAAACTTCAAAACATGAAGTTCCCCTTAGTCATCTAATTAAATGACTCACTGGTATTATATAGTCTATGTACAAATCTGGGAAAAAGAATTGGGTGGTTTTTCCAGGTGCAATCCATAATCTGGAGCTCTTGCTACCTCTGTTGACTGTGAATCGCATCTCCATCTATGTGACTCCTATAGTATGCGGCTTTGAGAGAAA